TGCGCGCTGTGCGCACTCTTTTCTCGTGCGCACGTAAGGAAAATGCGCACTCTTTTTTTCAAATTTTTTGTACAGGAAATTGCGCTCTCTTTCTAACAACAGGAAAAATGCGCACGGTTATCAAATCCTGTTCTTTCGGATTATTTGAAGTTGATATAACTGATTTTTTTCAGAATTCATCTTTTTTTCAATAATAATACCAGGCGGTCACTAGACTGGTCAGACTGATTTACCTTTCACGTGATAATGTGTTTTTTTAAATTTTTGGAATGTTATTTTTCCGAAGAAAGCCACAGTCGGCGTTTATAGTTTGTTCAGAATTTGAATGTCAAGTCATCGGTCGAACTCCGCCTCTTATGTGTAGATCAAACCAATCAGAGAACGAGCCACTCACAGGCTTTGTTTGGGGCAGAGATTGCTGCTTGAAACTCAAAACATGGACAAACTATATTATAAAGGGAAATATGTGAAATACAAATCGAAAGGACCTTTCGAGGTTCAAAATATTTCTGAAGAAAATTTACAGGGTGATGAATTATTACTGCGACAAAATGAAGGAGCTGTCAATATGTCAATTGTCAATAGTCAATAAAGACCGGAAACTCACAATTATTTTTTATAAAGTTTTACAGGGATTTAATCAAAAAAAATTAACATGAACTGCCGCTCGAAAATGTAGTGGCACCCAATTGACTGCGGTACGCAGATGGTCGAAATCAGTTTTGTCACAGTTTTTGAGCAGAACGGCCAAAAGTCAGTAGGCAAACTGGTGTGTACTGTTACAAGAGGCACATTGAAGTTTCTCAAAAATTTTGGAGTCAATGGGATAACAGAAAAAGCACAAAACTCCATTCTTCTAACCGGATAAGACCTTTTTCGATAAGGACTCGAAAATTGGTTTTGAGCTGACTAGGGAACTACGCGAACTCGCATTCAAGGATCGAGTTCAAACTTTGGTGGCTTATAGACCCGGGTAAAAGTACTTGGAAACAAGAGAGATTATCTGCTAAATCCTATAGACTTCTGAGAAAACTATTTTTGAAAATGAACAGTTTAGGCTTGAAAACTATCAAATTTTTGCTTTCCTCCTTCTTTTGGCTGGAAAAAAGTTTTTTAGTGTTTATCATAGCCGGATCATTCAAGGCGATTTTTATTAAAATATTAAATAAGGTAAAAAAAGCAGTATTCTGAAAAATTTTTCAGGTCTAATTTTTCACATTTTTCTACTAATTTTTTTCTCAGTTCTCTATTGGGTTTAGCAGATATTCTCACTTGTTTTCAAGTGTTTTTCACTAGGGTCTATAAACCACTAAAGTTTGAACTCGATCCGCGTACCCGAGTCCGAGTAGTTCCCTAGTAAGTAAGATTGCCAAAAAAACAGGCAATACTATCTGCTAAACCCCATAAGGTACTGAGAAAAAAAAGGTACACACCTTTCAAATTATCTTGTTTACTGCTCTCTGAGTTGACCTCATCTCTTACAGAGACTAGCTATATCTGAGCTATCTCGGAGGTACTTTAGAGTCTCCCTCAAGTCTATCTCATTTTTGCTCAAAGTCCTCAGAGGTATACTTGGGTTACCATCGATAGGCTTCAGACCCTGCGATATGCCTCAGAGGGTCTCGCGATACCCCTTTTTTTCTCTATTTTTTTCGGAAAACAATTCCTTCAATTTTTGCGACTTCTTTTTAATTGCTTACATAGACGTGAATCGTTATCAATTTCGAGAATCAGAAACCTTAAAAAAAGTACGTTCAAATTGAGCTTCAGGGCGACCTTATCGAATAATTTCTGAACGTCGCAATAAACTCCCTCTCATACGGCCTTGATGCGTAATGAAGTAACTTTGAGTCAAGATTTTTTCCAGTGTTGTACTTGGCTGTAAAAAAATCACTGAAAAAAATTTTTTTGGTGGTTCGGCCCGGCCCAAAAAAAGCTCAAATTTTTCTTCATTTCGAATTTTTAGCTGTTTTAACGAGAAAAAGCAGGGGTTTTTGCTTATTTTTTTCTTCATTGAGTTATTAAAAAAATGTGATTCAACATGTAAAAAAATATTTTTTTCGGTGAAAATGTTTTTTTAATGAAATAAAAAAAGTTTCTTGAATCTCTGGCCCGAGCCCGCGCTTTTTTTCGAAATTAAAAAAATCAAGTCCTAGGGGGCTTTAGGCCTTCATAGCCAAAGCCTGCCTGCCTTGCCATAAACGCCCAAAAGGCAGAAACGACTTTTTCCGAAAGTCAGCGTGGCATCATCATATTATAGAAGAAGGCTTGATGAAGGTAGGAATAATGACTGGAACAAAAAAATGAGCTCAGGTCGGCGAGCAAATGCTAAAAAAACTTTTTGTCGCAGTAATTATTCCTCCACTCTGTATTGTTTAATGTTATCAGATGGAAAAAGATCTGTATATTTTGAGAGCATCTCACTTTTTTTAGCAGATTTTTCGCGGCAGCTTTTGAGACCAAGCTTGGAATCAGCTTGGTCTCAAAAGAAAAACATCTCACTTTTGCATAACTACACCTGGTCTCATTCCGAAGTGACCGCAGACCATTCCTGATAAGAAATATTCTCCATAAATTATCAAATAATCAAAAAGATGTTCAATTCATCTTTAGCTGAAAAGATTTCTTCATGACAAAGAGAAAAAAGTGAGATGGTTTATGTGGACTTCAATCTAGAAAAAAAAGCGCAATTTGATAACCGTGCGCATTTTTCCTGATGTTAGAAAAGAGCGCAATTTCCTGTACAAAATTTGAAAAAAAGAGTGCGCATTTTTCCTTACGTGCGCACGAGAAAAGAGTGCGCACAGCGCGCACTTTCCAGCATGCCTTAATACAGTCAAAACGACCTGAAGCTGTTTGAGTTTCTGTTTCTCCATCGCAACTTTTCTCTGCTCCTCCTCTTCTTCCCGCATTTTCTCCCGTTCTGCTTGTCTTTTCCGTTCTTCCTCTTCCCTGGCTTTCTCCAATACGCGGAGTCTTTCTGATGAATGCTCCTTTTACAAAAAAGGAAAAAATCCAGAAATTCACCAAGTTCTTCTTGTCTCTGAAGCTCCCACTGGCGCTCTTTCTCCAGCCGTTCCCGTTCTCGTCGAGCCTCTTCTTCACGCTCCCTTTTCTCGATTTCAGCACGTCTTCTGTTCTCCTACAATTTTAATTTCATTCCAGAGACAAGGTTATTCAATAAAGCACAAAAATCTGCTTCAAACAAATTAATTTCGTCGCTAAAAAGTTCAAAATCGAAAGAATTGGCCAGAAAGTGAGGCAGGAGTGATATTTCGATTGAATATCTTACAAAAATTTTTTGAAATGCTTTTTCTATTCTTCTTATCTCTGCTCTACATCAATTAATGAGCAAGCGACCTTTTTTTAAACTTCCAAGATGGAACCATCGTATGGCGAAAAAAATCTCTACCCCAAGTATTAAAAACTCACAAAAGCCTAGAATTTGAAGTTATCTCCGAGTATTTTCATGAATCCTTATCAAAAAAAACCTCTTCCATCAGAATTTGCCGCCGTCTTTCCAGTTCGGCTTGTCCTTTGGCGAAATTGTCCATTCGCTTGTCTTCAAACGTTTTCAAGGCTGGACTTTTCTGGGCCGGAGGGGCATCTAAAAAGCAACTTCCTTGAAAGAAAAATTAATCAATAAATACTTGGATCGATTTCCGGAGTGTTGTTGGCAGATCTCGAAACGCCGCACATTTGAGCCAACTCTGGCGGAGTTGTTTTCGGAAGAGCATTTCCGGCCTTAAAATTCCAAGGGTCGGTTTGAAAATTGGACTGGAAGAGGAAAACCTTGAACATATCGATCATCTGCATCGCGATGCAGTACTCGTCGACAGAAAGTTTCCCGTCGCGGTTGACATCGGAAAGGAACCAAATGTGGGCAAGAGCCGGCGTGGAAAGGCCAGTCAGACCCAAGGCGCTTCTGGCTGCCTGGCTGGAGAGCCATCCTAGGCGTTGCTGAAGAAAACTCAATCTCTTGAAGTTTTATCTATGAAAAATAGTAGAAAATCCAAAAAAAGGGTTGTAAACGATGCATATACAGTCCATTCACATATAGCCAAGAGAAAATCGTACAGCCATTCTGGCCAAAAGTGTCGAAATTTTTCGCGAAAAAAGTCGCTAAACGGATCCTTTTGCTGTTTTAACGAGTCTATCCTTTTTTCAAAAATTTCAAAGCCTCAAGAAAGTTAGGAGGATGGGAAAAGCGGCAAGAAGCTTTTTCATAGACCGATGAAAGGTCAAAAAAAAAGGCATCATGACGAAAATTTTTTCAGTCTTTCAGAAACAGTTTTTGGAAACCTTGAATGTTTCTTCCCACTTTCCTGTAAAAAGTCATATTTTTGCACACTTTCAAGTTGATCGTGTCGAGACCCTAATTAACTATACTCTCAGGGCCGCGGTGAACGAACTATAGGCAAAGCTATAAAAAACCAACTAGGGAAAAATCAACAAAGAAAAAATAAAACCCTATGATTTTTGCTTTTTCAAAATGATTTCCCACGCTCGAATTTTGAATTAATGTAAAAAATAAAACCTCAAAGAGAGAGAAAAAACAATAATAAACTGACTTTATCAAGTTGATTGAAGTTCTGGCAGTATTTCAATTTGTTGCTGTGCGGAATCGTCCAGTTTTCACACTGCCTTCCATCGAAAATCCCTCTTTCTGGGGTTTGTGACATTTCTGAGAATTCAAAAGTTATAGCAATTTATTGTGAGTATTACGGGGTGCCATAGGCGGTTGTGGCGGAGCACTCATCGGCAAACTGTAACTTCCCATCATAGGCGGGGCTGAAAAGTATTGTTTCATCGCTTAAATTCCACTTTTTTTTATGATTCTCAGAGTCTAAAACCTTTGATGAAATCTCCAAAAATAACGAATGGATTGCACAAAGCTTTGGAAAAATAAGAACCGTTCTTAGTGTTATTTGAAGTCATGCAAACTTATGAGAACTCTTCAACGATTTTTTCTAATAAATTTTCCAAGTATTCACTTTGTTGAGTGAGTCCATTGTTCTGCGGGAAACCCATGCCGTTTGCAGAAGACATGGGGGAAGGTACCTAGAATTATTATATTTCTTATTTATTAGAAATGTAGGCGTACAACTAGAAGAGACGGTGGAAGCTGTGGCGGCAAGGGAATTCCAGCGATGCAATTTAGGGCCAGCCGCATGGCGATGGAATATTCTCGCACGTCCAGACTTCCATCTTTATCGAGGTCGGATAATACCCAAATCTGTAAATATGAGAGTTTTGATGCAGATTTTCTATTGTTCAGATTTTTTCTCATTTCAACTTTGTCTAGTCCTAGTTAGAGCCCAATCCGCGCCAGTTTCTCACGATTTATACATTCTTTCGGCGCGGACAAGCTGGCGCCAAATAGACCTTAAAAGGATGTCATACTGCTCGAGCCGAATTCCAACGAATTAGGGTTTAGACATACCATAATAATCATTTTATTATACGTTTCGCTGAATCGGACTTGAGAGAATGGAAGTAACTTCAGTGAATAATTATAAATTATTCAGCAGCTTTGGTTGAAAATTGATACGAGATCCTTGAAAAACTTCTACCCATGTTCAGAAAAAGCTCTTTAGTCCACCATATCTAAAATAATTTTTAACCTGCGCTAGAACAGCCGGAGGCAAATTGGACTTGAGCAACGCGTTTCTCGCCGTGTTGCTGTCCATGAGCCGACTTCCCGACGTGAGAACTTGGAAGATTCTGCTGTTATTGGCATATTCGGCTTCGCCTATCTCCCACGGATTACCGCTAGCCATCTACAACGATAACTCATCCACAGATGCAAAATGAGGACAAAAAACAGAGAATTGAAACGACGAAAAAATTGCAGGACATTTTTTCTTGGGCTTTCGGAGCCTGAATCATTGCAAGCGCGCCTTCTCACATCGATCGAGAACTTCCACGCGGAATCCAAGACTTTGACGAGCCCCTACTTTTCCATAGTAAATGAACAACAAGAAAATGCAGAAAGAGCAATCTTGAATGATTCTATGATTATTTTGATAGGCCGATAGCAAGTGCATTAACTCAGTTACTCTAATCATTAATATTTTCATAAATTCGAAAAAAATTCCTAAATCATAAATTCGAAAAAAATTCCTAGAATTTTTCTTTGAAATGTTCATAACAATAGCTTTTTGAAAACTACACCATGTCCTGTGAAGATTCATTTAAATTTTAGAAATCATCGTTTTTTTCAAACTGGCTATTTAACGTGGGTCCATTTTTTTACAGCGTTGTTTTATTAGAGCAATTAAATGATAATAAAAACTTCATTAACAGTTTAAAGATTTTTTTAAGATTTTCAAAGTGTATTTTCGATCAAACCGCATTATATAGCACCGATTAAATAATTTTTTTATTGTCCAAATAACCCATTGAAAAATTCGTTTGAGTCGAAAAAAAATTTTTTCTCTCAAATTTCCAACAAAGAAACAATATACAAAGAAAATTTTTAGAAATATGAAAACAAAAAAATAAAAAAACAAAAAAACAAAAAAATTTCTTGGCGAAAGAAACCACTTGAGTGGTGTCACGGAGGGCGCGTTTTACCATGCCCACAGAACGGAAAAAGTTCGGAAAAATCGTTGATGAACTTTTTCAAAGTTCAAAGGATTCCCAGAGAGAATTAATGTATTTAAGTGCTCTGCGATTTATGATTTGAATTGATTTATTCAAATAAAATTATACTCGTCAAATAAATTAAGGTTTTTTTTCACAAAACCGAACATGAAAAATTGAAAAAAGTTTGTTGAATTGTTGGGACAAAGTCGAGATCATCATTGAGCATTTGTGTATCTTCCACGACCAGCGTTGAAATTTCCTGGCCGATGGCCTGGTGCATTAGGAGGTCCTGGAGGCTTGCGGTTCTGGCTATGCATTGAAGGTCTTCTGTCGTTTCCCTGGAAGCTCTTATGATGAAACTCCGTCAGAAATTTCCAGAAACGAACATCTCCTTCGGCAAAGGACGGTCGCGGCTTCTCGGCTGCATTAGGCCACGCTTGCTCACTGATGAAAGGTGTTTCTATGAAAGCCATGAAAAATTCGCCTGCTTTGATGCATTCACTATTTCTTCCACAAGTCAGCGTGAGACCACCCTGTGAGAATATAATTTTTTTTAAAATTGCGAATCTCAACACAAACCTGATAGAGATTTGCGTATGCAGATTTTATTCGAAGAATATCGCCTGAACGCCAAGTTTCATTGAATTCAGGATTTATCAACGTCAAGTTGATGGAACCCGTTGAGTCCGCTACTCGCATAACCAGTATAGTTCCCGTATTTGTTCTCCTTATTTGCCCTAAAATGTTTCCCATGGCTCAAATGAGACTATTATCTATTTACCTGGCTCTAAAATGATCACCATGGTATTTATAGATTGCATATTCGGTTGAAGCTGTCCTAACTTTAACCAAGGCTCGTCTGTCATTGTCACTAAACTACTTTTAGTAGATGCTGATAAGCAAGAAAGCAAGTTTTTTTTCTTTTTGTAAATCTCCTGACTTTACTCATTGTATTTCAAACTAAAAATACAAATTTCCTTCACAAAAGCTTCGAAAAAGAATTTGCAAAAATTATGAAACGGCATAATTTGAAACAGGTTTTTTTTTCCCAAAAAGTCGTAAATTTTATCTACTTATGAAATAGATTTACATTTTTACAGTAAAGTGTTGAAAATCCCGTTTAAACTCGGATTTCATAAACATTCACATCCCATCTAGAAATCAAAAATGGTGTAGTCAACTGTTTCGCAAGGATTGCAAAAACCACGCCCACTTTTCTGTGCGACGATTCAAACGCGAATGCGACAATTTTTTCCCTTCAAAAAACGCTTCAATTTTCGAATTTCAACTATTTTGTTTTGGAAAGTTTGTTTTTAAGATTTTTGAAGAAAAAAATTGAGCAGGTAGTGCTTTATACTTTGATAGTCCGATACACGTTTTTCTCGCAAAAAGGATTCTCCAATAGAGAAAAATTATTTCTAGATTTTTTTGTCTCGTATTTTTTTGATCGTCTCGTTTTTTTAATGATCACTTGGAGTTTTTTTCTTTTGCATTTTTTGTCTTTCAGGGGATGTCCTACGGCGAAGGGCTATCCGGAGCCGAATATTTGGCCTCTATTTATGGAACAGAAAAAGACAAAGTCAACTGTTCTTTTTTCTTCAAGGTGCCTATATTTAAATATTTTTCTTGTTTAAATTCTCGTTTTTTTCAGACGGGAGCTTGCCGACATGGAGATAAATGCTCTCGTGCTCACCACACACCAACTTTTTCGCCAACCGTCGTTTTGAAAAACTTTTACCACAATCCTGTTGTCGATGTCCGCCAAGCTGACGCTTTCGACAGTAAGTTTTGACAAACTATCTTTTTTTCTTCCATAACCTCAAGTGATTAATTGAAGAACTTTTCATTGAAAGTGAAAGGCAAATCCATTTATAACTTGAAGAGGGTTATAGTTGATGAAGCACGATAGTTCTTTATTCATTTTTACCAAAAATAAACCTGTTCTGTTTAAGAGGTCGGAAAGAAAAACCGAGAGGAACAGCAATATTTCGATGACTTTTACGAGGAAGTTTTCACAGAAATGGAACGAAAGGTAGTTGAATGTTTCAAGTTTTTTCTCTATATTTGTTATTGAAGTACGGAGAAGTGGAAGAGATTAACGTTTGCGAGAATATTGGAGAACACATGGTCGGCAACGTGTACGTAAAGTTCATTCGTGAAGAGGATGCCGAGAAAGCGAAAGAGGACCTTAATAACAGATGGTACACTTTGAAAGAAATTTTTTTTTTCATGATAAATTTTAAGGTTTAACTGTCAACCAATTTACGCGGAATTGTGTCCTGTCACAGATTTCCGTGAATCTCGATGCCGTCAGCATGAGGTTTTAAAACTCTTGACAGCGGTTGTTGTTGGAATTTAATTTTTGCAGGTGACGAGTTGTAATAAGGGAGGTTTCTGCAATTTTATGCACTTGAAAGCCATATCGTCTGAGTTGGGAGAAAGGCTTTATGGAAGACGTGGTCGAAGGTTCGTTCAGTTTAAACTCAATCTTGGATTTGAAGTGAAAAATTTCGAACTTTTATATTCACTTTTTATGTTCCTGTATGTCTTCCATCCTTTCTGACAAAAATATAGTATCAATTTTCTTTTCTCGATTTTTTCGAAAAGCGTTGGATATGTATACATAGTATAAGCTTTTTGTCTTTTGGAAGCGTTGAAAGGTCTGTGTTCGTAAACAGGATTATTTTCGCAATACTTCGCGTCATCTCATAGAGATTTGAAGAGCTTCTCAACATTTTTGCTGATAACTTTGACTTTTGTTATGTATGCTTCTAATGTACGGGCGATGCTTAAATACATGGAAGATAAAGTCATTTCAGAAATTATTGCCAAAAAATGAAAACCAACAAAAAAAATTTCTAAGCTAAGTTCTTGTTTTTCTTTCAGTTCTTAAAGTTCAGTTTTTTCAATGTTCGTTTTTTTTTACAGTCTCCTCTCAATTTTTATTTTAAAAGCCTCTTTTTGAGATTCGTTCGTCACATTGAAAGCGTTTCATGTTGGACCTTAAAAACTTCTAGGTACGAAATGTGCTGAGGAAATTGATTTGAGTAATCTAATAAATCTTGTTTTAAAAAAAAGCGAAAAAGAAAAACTGGAAAGATAGATAAAAATCTTCAATTAAGAAGATAATTTTTTTTTTCTACGAAATCAAGTTATTCATCCGATTATGCTTGGTTTTTCAGAGCCGATGCTGCTGGACACTATCCGGCTGCTCGTCGAGGAGGCGGCGGCGGAGATGACCGAGGTTACGGTGGCGGAGGCGGTGGCGGGGGTGGCCGAGGCTACGGTGGAGGCGGCTACGGTGGCGGAAGAGATAGCTACGGTGGTGGCAGAGGATACGGTGGTGGCGGCGGCGGCGGTGGATACGGTGGCGGCGGAGGCTACGGTGGCGGCAGAGACAGACGACGAAGCAGAAGTCGCGACCGTCGACGCTACTAATCATTTTTGTCCATCTTTTCACGATCTTCACTTTTCAATTTTGTTTTTATCGTTAATATAATAAATATTTACTCCAAGTGTGTTTGTTTCTTGTCTTTACGTAATGGTTTTCGGGAATCATCTGCATATTTCAGTTTCATCATCTTTTTTTTTTCTCGATTTGATAAACGAGCTGGGAAGTTTTCCATGCTCAAAAATCACATGAACGCGTTTTTATTTGATTTTTGAGATGGCGTTTCACACAAACTTCCCTCACAATAGGAAACGGACGTTGTATGTAGGTGGATTCAGTGAGGAAGTCACTGAAAAGGTAGTTTATCACAACCTTTTTGTTTATTTTTCGTGGATTTGGAGGTTCTAATGTCGGCTTTCATTCCGTTTGGCGATGTTATTGCCATTTCGATCCCGATGGACTACGAGTCCGGCAAACACAGAGGCTTTGGGTGAATTTTCGTTTTTTTTTTTGCTAGGTAAATTATCCAGCTTCGAAAAAAGTTTACCAAGATGCTTTGTGAGAATCATACTTGAATTCAAGTTCTAAAAATAAATTTCTCGCCTATGCTCCTTTAAATAATAATATTTCAAGTTAATGTGTATTAAAACCCATCTGGTAGCGTTAAAATCGGCAATCTTGAAATTTCTTTGAACCATAGTGAGGGACGATAAACGGAAACTGAATAAAATGAATGAGTTTATAAGAAAATTAGAATTTTCAGGAATTTTTCAGTAGTTTGTTTGAATTTGAGGACGACTGTTTTATTTATTCGTGATATTTTTTTTTCAGATTTGTTGAGTTTGACCTTCCCGAAGATGCTGCCGCCGCCATTGATAACATGAACGAGAGCGAATTATTCGGCAAAACTATCAGGTTCTTTTTTTTTCAGCTTGAGTCGGGGTAAAGAGACTTCTATGTAGAAAAGAAACTTTTAGAAATTTGAAATCAGTTCCAATTTAGATCTGAAGTTTATAAAAACCGTGGCTTTGCAGGGTAAACTTTGCCCGACCGCCGAAAGCCACGGAAAGATCACAAAGGCCGGTTTGGGCCGACGACGAATGGCTGAAGAAGTACGGCCAAGGCGGCGAGAGCGCAGAAACGGCGACTGAAAATGGTTCCGGCGGAGGACGAGGGCCTTCCACAGTCTTGCCTAGAGTCTACTTGGGCGTCAAAATCGGCATCAGGTTCGATTTTTCGATAAATGACAGAATAGCCTGTGAAGATTGAGTCATAGCCAAGAAAGCTTTGAAAAAAAGCCGAAAAAAAACAAGTAAATAACTAGATTTGAAAAAAAAATCGTAAATTATTTTCTCCTTCCTGTTTTAATTCAAAATTTTATGTCATTCACGTTAGTTTCAATGAAGTTATAATAGTAATTTCAGCCTCAGAAAATTAATTCTTTTTCGGTTCAATTGTGAATATTTGAGAAAAAAAGATTTTTTTAAACTACAATTTTATTTAATTTGGAGGGCCCTTCGATCTTTTTGAGCGTTTTTTCGAGGCTTTTTTTTTACTTTTCTTTAGGCGTCATTTTTGCGTCTCTTTATTTTATCATCATAGAAATTTCCTCTGCTCCATTTCTTACCTTTTCCACATAAAAATCATCATTTTTTTCCAGATATATTGGCCGGATCATCATTGAATTGCGGTCCGATGTTGCCCCGAGAACTGTCGAAAATTTCAGATGTCTTTGTACCGGTGAACGAGGTTTCGGTTATGAAGGTACTTATCTCAAATTTATTTTAGAAGCAAAGTTTTTCATATTTTCAGGCTCGCAATTCCACAGAATCATCCCGAAATTCATGCTGCAAGGTGGAGATTTCACAAAAGGTGACGGTACAGGCGGAAAATCCATTTATGGGTCCAAATTTGAGGATGAAAATTTCACGGTGAGTTCATAGGGTCAGTAGCTTTTGAGGTGCAATAATTAAGATTTTTCGCTTCGAGAACTTCAAAAAAATTGTTCTTATTTTTTTCGAAGCGAGATTTTTTTCAAAAGTTCATCTTATAATTATTTCAGTTGAAACACGTTTTTTTCCCGGAACAGTTTCAATGGCAAATTGTGGACCCAACACCAACGGCTCGCAATTTTTCATTTGCACTGAGAAAACGGATTGGCTCGACGGAAAGCACGTCGTTTTTGGACAAGTTGTTGAGGGAATGAACGTCGTCCGGCAGATCGAACAACAGGTTCGGTTTTTTTTTTTTGAGATATCAATCAATAAATCTTAGTGATATCTTATACTATCAAAAACAATATTAGAGGAACAAAAAAGGGAAATTAAAAATCGAGTTTGGAACTTTTCCTTCAAAGGTTTTGTCATGTCTCTAGGACTACTAGGAATGTTTTGCCATCACCTTGGAAATTTCGGCAGTTTCAAATAAATTTCGTGAAGATTCGCTCCTGAGACTTCCGAATAGTTTTCCATAAGGCGTTCGAAGATATTACGACGCGAATTGAATCCAAGGGTCTTCTTTAGGGCTTCTAATTCATCTTAATTGACTTATTCAATCGAATTAGGCGCCTTTCTTCAGATTCCTAAATTGTTCCAAGTTTTATACTTTCCTTAGCGGCTTGGGAGGATAAGCGTTATTTTCGTCAGAGCTGCTGTTTTTCAGGGAAGCCCGTCAGGAAAGCCCTCGATGGTGGTGAAAATCGTCGAGTGCGGCGAGTTGGAGCCTGAGAAGCGGATAGCAGCCGAAGCTTTGAAAGATACCCAGGAAGAGAAAGAAAATACCGAAGAAACTAACGGCGAAGCGACAGAACAAACTGTCGAAGCTTGATCTCTTTTTAATTTTAATTTTTGTTTTTTTTTGTTTCTTGTTGTTATATATTGTCCTCGGCCCAATACAATTATTTATTATTAAACTTATCGCCTTCTCCATAATTTTTTTATTTTTTTGAAATCGATGGATTCATTCGATGTTATTATCTTATTAAACTCAGCGATTTTTCCATTTTTTTCCTAAGGCTAAGCGTAATATGGAAGCAAATTGTCAAACGTTTCCTCATTTTTTCAGAGCTCTTTTCATTAAAAGATGAGTTAGGATTTTGGATTTTGTGCTGAAAATTAAATGATTTCAATATTTTGAAATTTAGGCACCTTTTTGTAGATTTTTTTTTCCATTAACTGAGTTAGGAGGGTTTGAGATTTTTGGTCATTTGCCATTTTGTCTCACCTCAGGAATAGTTAAACTAAAGCTTGAAAGTTTCTTGAAAATGATATTTTTGCTCAAAAAGACATTTTTATTCATCTTTTTCAAACATTCTTTGCCTAACAATTTGTTGAACAGAATGATAGAATAGTTTTTTTTTTCACTTTTTCTTCCGTTCTTTTGCTCTCGAATCGAGGAAAAGTATGACAATTTGCAATATTTAATGCGTAGATGTCAAAAACTGGGGGGAACACGGAACCAATGCCGTTTGTGCGCAAATGGGGTGGCATGAGCACTTCAGACGACACTGCGGCCGGACCTACACTCCCGCCGAGCATGTTGGATGGTACTGTTGAACTCGAATCTCAGAAAAAACCCCCCACTTTTCAGTGAAATCAAAGTCGAAGTCGCGGTCCAGAAGCAGGTCCCGCGATCGCAAGAAGGACAAGAAGAAAAGGTCGCGTTCGCGAGACAAACGGTCCAGATCCCGCGACAGGGAACGTCGTCGGCGATCCAGATCCAGAGACAGACGGCGAAGTCGCTCCAGGGATCGGAAAAGGTTCCGTTGCAATTTTTAAGCACTGTTCAAGTTCAAATAGCCATAGAGTGTAAAAGATAACTAAATTTCGGAGGGTCAGAGATAATTTTGCATTTTTTTTTTGAACACGACGTTAAATCAATCTATGGAGGGATAGTATTTTGAATAAACCTCTAAATCTGATATGAAACTTTTCAGAAGTCCAACAATGGTCCCATCAGTTCCGCACGTCATCAAGGAACCGGTTATCAACCCGCTAATTCGTCAGGATCTTGGTTTGTCCCATTTTCCTGTTTCAAGTCGTTTTTGTTAGAGATCAGAATATTTTTTTTTGTTACTTTTCACTTCGATTGCACACTAGTTCATTTTATATTTTTGAGAAAAAAAGTAAAATCAAATTTTTTTGAAGGTATCTCTTTTTTTCATAGTATTTTCAAAATATTTTTGGCTGCGATGTAAAAATTTCTGTACTTTTTTTGAGGTGGGCACGATAGGGTTATGATAAAATTGAAAAAAATTTACTGGCTTTAGATTAGATACCGTTGTCCGCTGTCTTGAACACACGTGAAAAAAATAGAATGGAAAGTAAATTTAAAAAAATTTTTGCGGTTCTTCAAAGAAAATAATTTTTTTAAAACAGGAGTTGAACAACTTCTAACAAAGAAGTGACGAAGAACAAATAGATTATATTTTTTTATTTAAAAAAAGTTTTTTTGGTTTCCAAATCCATACCTTGAAAATAAAAAGATTTTTTTATTTACAGCAGCTCCGGGGCAGGCTCCGACGGACCAATCTGGTATGCAGGTGGCTTTTGGCCGGGTTTCCGGCGAAACGGGAGCGGAAAAGTCGATGGTCGACGACCAAAAGCTTCGTCCCCGGAATGCCCACCATTTTGCCGTCTGATCTCACCGAAGAGCAAAGGACAGCTTATTTACGTCGGTTTTTCATTATCTGTTTTTTTAAACCTTGAAATTGGAAAAAAATTCGAAAAAAATTTAATAAAAAAATTAGAAAAAAATGGTGTAATGAAGCAACAGGGAGGCCTCGTTTATTGATACCAAAATCCAGTAGAATCTGAGAATTTTTCATGCGGTTTGCTTTCAGTAGAACTTACAAAGTTTCGGTTTCCATTGATTCTTGAAAAATTTTATTGGTTTAACAAAGAAGAGCAAAAAAAATTTAAAAATTTGGAGAATAATCGGCGAAATTTTCCTGCTTCAGTTTTCGTATCCCGAAAAATTGACTTTTTAATTTTTCTACTTTGGCCTTGGTCGAAAAATTGAAATTTGAGTAAATTCGATCAAGGCGCAGTACTTTGAAGGTTTCAAGAAACAGTAGAATTGAGGTTATGATGTCATAAAAATTATAAATATTCAAGCTGCGAAGAATAGAATGATAAGTATACTTGGGATTTTTCTCTTTCAGTTCAACTAGAAATAGAAGATGCGACGAGAAAGCTGCGCCTCGGAGATTTTATTGGCTCTTCAGATCCGGCTGAAAGGTTTGACTTCATTTTTTTTTTTTGGATCCTTGATTCTTATCTGAACCATGAATGGCTGCCAATACCTTTTATTGAACCATCCTATGAATCTTAAATCTTAAAAAACACCTTGGAAATTTTACGGCTGCAATGTTGAACCTACTGGAAAAAGATGAGTTCCTGTTGGAAATATCCTCCAAAAAGTTAAAAAAATTTCTTTCTTACTCTTCAAAAAATGTAAGATCAAGAATATTTTTTCAGAAGTCCGTCTCCGGAGCCGATTTACGACGCAAACGGAAAACGACTCAATACTCGCGACGTGCGGAAACGACAGGAGCTGGAGCAGCTCCGACATGAGAAAATTCAGGCTCTCCTCCGTATCAATCCAAATTTCAAACCTCCTGCTGACTATAGGTGAAGCGACTATTCTATGAAATGCACGTAATTTTAAATCTCAGGGCACCCAATATTCGACTTCACGATAAGGTCTGGATACCACAGGACGAACATCCCGAATTGAATTTTGTTGGTCTTTTGATTGGCCCGCGAGGAAATACGCTGAAGAGTCTGGAAGCGGAGACTGGCGCTAAAATTATCATCAGGTAATTTTTCATTCAAGTTCGAAATTTTTCTCAAAAGAACTTTCAAACTATATGAAAAATGGATGGTAGGACGTTGCTCGTTTAAAAGTTTTCAAGCGAGATAGTATTAGGAGCTGTGGAGACGCCAGACAACGAGATTACTGTGTCCCTTCAGCGAATGTTGATCTCTCACTAGTGAACTTTGAAGACCAAGTTTTGGGTCCTATCGTAGAAAAATGCGTGAAAGTCAGGCTCAATTAAAAAGAAGAGTGAAATAAGAAAACATTGAGTTTAAAACGAATAAAATATTAAATTTTTTCTCGAACTTAAACGTTTTTAAGGCATCTTTTTAAATTTTCAGAGGAAAAGGATCAGTGAAAGAGGGAAAATTAGCGAACAGAATGGGTCCTATGCCTGGCGAGAATGAGCCGCTTCACGCCTACGTCACAGGAACCGATCAGGCGACCATCAAAAGAGCCTGCGACAGGGTAATTTTCGATCTTTGTCTCTGAAAGATTATATCTCTACCTTTGAGAACAAATACCAGAAGATATAGAATTTTTAAAAATCAATAAATAAAATTGAAATTCATATTTTTTTCGAAATTCGGCTCTCCCATAGTGGCAGAGTAGTCATCTGAACTCAAAAGTATCCAAAATGGGTATCTGTTTTATTGATGTAAGCTATGATCGGGAGTTGATTCTTTTAGGTTCTTTTCAACTGAGATATATTTCTCCGATCTAAAAGGTTAATTTTAGGAATTTGTAAAATTTTTAAAAGTTATCAGTACTTTTAGCTGAGCTGTCAAACTTTGAATCACTTTTTTTTCTGATCAGAAATATTTCTGAGATAGTTTGTAGGGTTTTTAATAATTCGGTTTCAGTTCAGAGCTCATTTTGTAGTCTTAAGCTCTTTATATTTTACTCAAGTGATAAAGGTAACATTAAAATGATTACAGATCCGGTCGATAATCGCGGCGGCGACAGAAATTCCCGACGGACAGAATGAGCTCCGGAAATTGCAGCTCCGTGAGTTGGCGTTGCTCAACGGAACTCTGCGGCCTGAGGATCTTGTCAAGTTAGTTTTTACTTATTTTTCTTCGATATTTCTGTCATAAGAGCATATTTGAAACATAGGATAAAGCCTCAAAATATCTTATTTTCTTATATTCTTCGACTTTTTTTTTCAATCACTTCACTTTTCTCTAATTTTTTAGCGGTGCTCGTTGTTCGAATTGCGGCTCTGACGAGCACAAAACGTGGGAATGTCCTGACGCTCCGAACGTGACGGGTCAGATCAAATGTAATATCTGCGGAGGTCCGTTCGACTTTTCCTCATTTCTTAAGTTCATTTTTGAACTTTTCAGCCTTTGGTCACATTTCTCGGGATTGTAAAAACCCTCAGATGGCCGGCGACGCGAGTTATATGCAGGTAATTAATTGACTTTTTGAGGGAAGAATTTTCCTGAAAAAGGCTCATTTTGATTTTTAAAATTGTTTTTTTTTTTGGACTTTTCGTGGGAACTCTACTAGGAACTTTGAAATGGAATAGTCCCTATTTGAAAGTCAAATGTTTCAAAGTTTGAATATATACGAAAAATGAGAAAAAAAAACAAATGATCTGAAATGAAAGCGCGAAAGAGTGCTCACTATTCCAAGTCTTGGTGGATGAGGTATAATTTGCTCTCACTCAGGCTGGAATGGACGACGAATACGCGGCGTTGATGGATGAATTGGGAGAAAAGTCGGTGAGACCGTCTGCTCCTTCGACGGCCGACCGAGGCGCCAGCATGCGAGGACGTGCCGGCTTCGGATACCGAGGCGGAGCGGTCAGTCTTCAGTTCAGCAATCTGAACGCTCTTGGATCATTTCAGCGTGGCGGAGCTTCCTTCCTGCCCAGCATGATCTTCGGAGATCAACAGCCGCCAGAGCCTCACTACGGCGGCGCCACCATACAATCTGCCACCAATGCTTTTGGTGAGTTGTCGGAGATTATTGCTTCGATCTCAGGTCACTCCTTAGTTAGGTTTTTCATGCAAATTTCGAGATTTTGATCAATTTTTAAAGTACTAAATGAAACTTCTTAGTGTTTCAAATGATAAGAAATTAGTAGACTTCATGTTGACTCATTGAAAAGTCACAAAAATAGCTTTTTTTTTTTTTGAAGCTTGAGACTTTGGTTTTTTTAAAAAAATGCGCAGATTTAAATTTTCAAGATTTCATCATTTTGTAGACTGAAAAAAACTTTCTAGCAAACTACCAGGACTTTTTCATAATTTAGAATAAATATTCTCGTTGTGAGGAGAAAAGTAAGTTTTTTACATACATTTTCTCTTTTAATAATTGGAAAAAAAAAAATTTTTTCAGCGGCCGCAAGTGCTCAAGCCTACAGTACCGACTATTCGGCTCAAGACCCATATGCGGCCCACTACCAGCACTATTCACAGCAGCAGCAGCAACAGCAGTACGGCGCTCAGCCGCCCTACAATTTCTTCGCGAGCCCCGGGGCTCGTGGCGGTCGAGGAAGGGGAGCGTACGTTCATTTCTCACTTTTTAGGAATTTTTACTTGGTGTAAAAACCGCATTCATTATGATGACTTTAAGAATAGATATATAGAGCTCTGTTAGTAAATAAAATTTGAAGTCAACATATTTGTTAATCCCTGAAAATTTACGAACTGGGCAGTATACAAGGAAGGAAGGCCATCTGTCATGTTCACCACTATAGCTTCAGAAATTGAAATTTTTTTTGTTGCGGATTGTTGCGAAGTTGCGAGTTTAGGAAGCAAAGTTATATCTCTAATTTAGAATTTAGTGTGAAACACGACTGTATCTTTGATTTTGAGAAGAGAAAAGATATCGCGGACAGGACAGATTCTAATCACTTGACTAGGGGGTCAAAAGCTACTTTTGAAGCCATAACGAACAACCGCTTTTGGCGAACTAGAAGTCCGAACGTGTAGTTAATCAAGTTGAAAGCAAGGTATTACGGTCTTTCGTCTTATTCTTCTGAGCGTAGTCCATCCATTTGAGCCTTGAAGAGCTTAGAATGTAGGAGAGCCCGAAGACCGTGCTCTGGGTAGAAACTTAAAATTAGAGCGACCGCTTCGATTGAAGACATTGCACGGAGGTGAAAAATTAGTAGCTACTGGTTTTTGCTTGAACTTTTCACGAAATGACTCTGCAGATGGTATGGAAGCGGCGGTTCGACAACGATGCCTCTCCCAGTGCCGCCACCTCCTCCAGCTCCTCTCGGCGGCTTCGTTCCGCCTCCGCCGCCGCCGCCCCCAATGCCACACAACGACCTGGCTCGGCTTCTCTCTGCACCGGCTCCGCCTCCGCCACCACCACCTCCGTCTTAAGACCTTATTTATTTCCAATTGTTCTCTCTTCTATTCTCTAATTATTAATACCTGTCGTTCCCTGCTGTTTTTGTTTTCCACGACTCTTGTTTTATTGTTTTTTTCTGTAAACGGAGAAAGAAAAAAAAATCCAATCCCGATCTATGAGACTTTTTGAGCGTTTTATTTATTTATTGTTGTTGGTTTCACCTGTTCAATAAAATTTGACGAACACTTGTTCGTGTCTTTCATCGAGCTTGTGTTAGCTTTTGATATACTGAGAAAAAAAACACTGGAAATCAAAGGAAAATGGGTTTTAGATGAGCCGACCTGGCGCCTGGAACCGTGTTTTTAGCAATCTTTGGAAATATTTGAAGAACGATTTCTCGAAAAAAGTCAAACATATTTTAGTTTGTCATTCAACAAAATTTTGTTCCAGAGGTATGTGGCTGAAGACGATTTCGGTAATAGGTACTACCAAATCGAAAACAGTCGACAAAATGTTTCGAGGTACCACTTAAGGCTACTGTTCAGTTTACAAGTGGCCCCTTCAGGGGTTTCGATCCTCCGACGAGTGGAAATTCGTCGAGGCCTGGCATTGAATGGGAAGCATGGCTGAAAGGCACCCGGAGGTGAATTTTGAGAGAAAAAACATTTTGGAAAAAATGATTGTACTACAGTGTAGTTCAAGTGCAAAAGTTAGGACCTTCAAAAGGTCAAGAATATAACCATTTTTACGTTGAAAATACATCAATTTGTTTTTCTCTGAGATTTTTTCTTCTCTCGGTAAACTTTAGAACCCTGTTCATTCCATTTTTTTTTTCAAATCGCGTATCAGATTCCCACCGTCGAAGGAGGAGATCTTCCTAAACCGGTCGAAACAGCAGGCTCAGCTGGAGCAGGACGCCAGGACGGAGAAAAGAGCTCCTCACGTCGCCGCCGACGCTCCGAAACCCGAAGACGGTCCCCAGCGATATCCCAAGTACAAGGACATGGAAGTGACGCCCGGACATCGTGAAGAAAGAGACCGATGATCACACTTTTTCATGTACATTTGTAGATTCTTAGTCGCTTTTAGTCGCCTCATAAATCTTCTTTATCTTCTCTTATCCATCTTTTCTGGAAGCTCCGAGGATCACCTATCCCATGTTTTTCCACTTGTTTCTGAAAAATAATCTGTGTCGTTGATTTTTGGAAGATGCCGGGTATCCACAAGATCATCAACGGCGTCATCCGGTTTCGACAAACCGTTCGGCAGCAATTGGTGGCTCTTTTCTATGCTGAAGTCATAAGAATTCAGAACGTTTCAGGTGACTCAATTCGAGCGCATTCGCGACAATCCGAACCCGACCGCCGTTTTCTTCACTTGCATGGATTCCCGTATGCTTCCCGCAAGGTTTGTCTCAAAATTTGGGATGCAGATGATCGGAAAGTTTGGAAGAAATGGAACTTTTGCTTTTTTTTCCACCTGCCTGAAGTATCTGAAGTTCAAGAAAGCTCTATTTTCAATTGGAAATTCCGAAAGTAATAAAAATTTGGGAAAGAAGAAAAAAACAGCTTGATCGGCGAGATTTCGTCCATCATAGAGAATCTCGAGAACTTACTGAAGCCTATAAGATTCTATGGCACAGTTTGATTTGAAAGCTTTGATATGCCTGAGGTTTGATGAAGTCGGACCGCTGAAGGCCATTGGAATCAGGAAGAATTGAGTATAATTTTATATTTTCTATTAGAAAAAGTAAGAAGAATGCTTGAAGGATCACGACGAGCCAAGTCGGCGACATGTTCATCGTGCGCAACTCGGGGAACATGATTCCTCACGCGAAAAACTACGGCCCGGCAGGTTTCGAAGTCTCAGTGACGACTGAACCCGCGGCTCTGGAACTGGCCGTCAAGCGCGGCAAGATCAAGCACGTCATCGTCTGTGGACATTCCGATTGCAAGGTCTTCATTTACTTTTTCTCATATAATCTGTTCGAAACTCCTTGTTGGAGTTTTTCAAACGCGCAGAAGTCACATGATACCTCACATAAAGCTGAAAATACCTTTTCGCTTTCACATTTTTCAATATCCGTTAAGATTTTCAAATATTTTTCAATGCGCGAATGAATAATTTTCTCGAGATACCGTGCAAGCTTCACCTCTTGTAGATGGCCCCTCAATCGTTTAGTTTAGTCTTTCAGATGCACTTTTTGAATAATTTTTCCATTTTTTCTATTGTATATATCATTTTCGATGTTTTAAAAGTTAATTTTTCTGTGTTATTGATATTTTTCAGGCCATCAACACCCTCTACAATCTCCACACTTGTCCAGGAGCTTTTGATCCACAATCACCGATGGATCATTGGCTACGGAGGTCGCTTCAAAATTTAAAGATGGTTGATAAATTTCTCTCAGGCATGGATTCCATTCCTTGAGAAGACTGGAAGAGCGATTGAAGGCTGAAAAAAAGACGCCGCTCGAATTTGTGGTGGATAACCCGCTTTTCAGGTTGATTTTGATGTTATTTTTAAGAATGGAACTGAAAAAAAGCCTTTTTTGGGAAATTATACTTTTGTCATCTATTTTTGTTGTTGAAAAACTTTTTGAAGGCGTTTTTGGTCGCAACTTTTCAAGTTATTCTTAGAGCTTCACTGAATTTCGAATGAAACAGGTTTTAATAGCAATTTTTGCCGTTCAAGGTTCAGAAGCTCGTATAAGATTCTTTTTTCGAGTTTGAAAAATTCTGAATTTTCGAGTGAAATCACCTTCCTTGTCATTTCAATCTCTCATATTTGAGCTGAAATCTTCAGTTTCTCTGCTATCATCGACGAGGAAGACAAGCTAAACGTCGAGGACAAACTTTCCCAAATCAACACTCTTCAGCAACTCGAAAACGTCGCCAGCCATGGATTCTTGAAAGTGACCCCAATTTCCTCATTTATTCTTCTAAATCCGAGTTCCAGGAGTTTCTAGAAACCCACGCCGTCAACTTACACGCCATGTGGTTCGATATCTACACAGGTTAACTTACCGTAATTTCCCTCAAATACAAGATTTTCCAGGCGAAATGCACATGTTCAGCAAAGGAAAGAAGCGCTTCATTCTGATCGACGAATCGACGGTCGAAGAATTGCTCGGCGAAATCGAGAAAACCACTAGATGAACCAAAAAATTTGCCATTGGACTTCATTTTCTTTCTCAAGATGGTTGTTAAATTGCTCAACATTGCCATAATCGATGCATTTGTATCAGTAGTACAGTTGTATCATGCGTTGTACATATAACAATTGATTGATTAATAGAGATAGTAAATATATTGACCTTGTGACTATTTGATGTGATTTTTGTAGTTGGAATCTACATTTTTATTGGATTATCTTATTTTGACTTTTGAAGCCGTGTCCATGCTTTTCACGGTTTGAAAACGACATTTTTCTAAGTCTATCCTGAAAATTTTTTCGATTTAAAAGCTCGTTCGTTGCATGGTGGACAGTTGGGGAGCGGTTTTTTAGATGTTTTGAGTTTTAGAAATTTCAAATTTAAATAATTTTTTTATGATCCAAGTTTTCGCGCGAGTGAATTTTGAAAATTCACCGTTTCTTCCATTTTTTTCTCAGAAAAATCTCAATTTAGTGTCAACTTTTTCTATTCTACATAAAAAAAAACCCGAATTTGTTCGAAAAAATCAGGTATTTGAACTAAAATCGAGCAGAAAGTCGTGAAAACTTTTTTTTTTCTCGACCTTTATTTTTCACCTCTTGCCCTTCCCCTTGTTCAGAACAGTAATCTTTAAAAAAAAATTTGAATTCTGAAGCTGCGAAAACTCGGAGAATCAGAAAAAATTGTTCCAACTCTCTGAAGTTGACAAATTTCATACTTTTATTGATAGATGTCCGCTCTTGGGACCTTCGCCCGAAGGTTTTTCTCAGCGCCGGCGACCGCTTCTGCACTGACGAAGAGGAAACGATTTTACAAAGTGAAAAATAAATTTCATGAAGTTCACAATATAGATTTCCTGCAGAACGTTTTGGTGGTCGATGAGAAAGTCAATGATAAGCAGATCTACAAAGTCGCCTTGGACAACCGTATCCTGAAAACGCAGGCCGGCCAAGTTCTGCAGGTTTAGATTGATTTTTTGTAACAAGTTGCAGTAAAAATATTTATTTATTGAAGGATTGCCTGATTTTTGAAAAATTGTACCGGTTTGATATAGGCTTTTCTGAGATCAGTCGTTATTATATCTTCTTCTGATTATGAGTGACTTCGCAATTGCTCAGTTTCGTATTTCAGCTCGATATTCTGAAAAAAAGCTGTTATTTTTTTAAAAAAATGTTAATAGTTTAAATTCAATGAAAAAAATGGAGTCTTTTTCCGAGCTCATTAATTTTATTAATTCAGAAAATCAAAAAAATTATAGATCAGGAGTAGAGTCAAAGGTCAAGATGTTCATTATTTTTCAGAAATCCTTTCTCAAATTTTTTTGAAGCTTTTTAACAATATCAAAAAAAGTATTGAAAAAAATGCATAAATTGAAAAAAATAAATATTTTTTTAAAACCTTTTTTTACTGGTTTTTTTGAATTCGTTATATCACAACTGGGCAGGGAATTTATTTCGTTTTGCGAATTTCTTAAGTTTAAAACTTCTTTCCTAGCCCAAACGGCTCTGAATTTGACTATTCGTGCTTCGAAATCCTACCAACTAGGGTTAAAACTTATAATGATAAATCAGTACCTTCATTGACGCAACCGAAGCCCGAGACTGTAGAGAAGACCTGCGGGAAGACAGGCGAGAGATCAAAGTAGAGTCGAATTTGCGACACAGAAAGTAGAGGCCAGATAGTAGCTTCAAACAAGGCAAAATACGTTTCAAAATGTTGTTATTTTTCGACCAATCAATTATTCCATCTTATTGGATAAATGTTTTTCAAATCATAAACAAATCCAACTGTCATTTTTTCTATTGATGAAATTCACAAGGTAATGAATTTACTTACAAGTATGAACAATCCAACGGCGAGGACATGAAGTCCGATATTATGCAGACTCATGAGAAAAAGTGAAACTTTCGAATGGCAGAAAAGGTAGTCGAGAAGGCGGAGTGCACCTTTTTCCCTTTGCTATCGCTCCCTCTATGACTCCAATCAATAATTCATTGTTTACATAAACATATGTGTAGGTTGACTCTGAAAAAGTGGAGTTTTTAGTTAAGAAAAGCTGTAGTTTTAGTCATTCTCATAGTATTTCAATACTTGGAACGAGGTGTAAAAAAAGTTAATCATATGAAAATTCAAATTTTGACAGATGTGAGTTTTGTTTGAATGAAGGAGTATTGTTAGGAAATAACAAAAAAATAAAAAAAATAAAATGAATCGGCTATGTTTCACATTTCACAATAGGCTTCAAACTCAATAAGTCTTGAACTTATTACAGTTGGAATCGAAGCCCTTGGCGCTGGCGATCGCTCAGGAATGGGCTTCCCAGGAAGAATTCTTGAGGTTGGGCCAATTGAGACTGACTGGCCTCGCCTTCACCGCCCAAGACAATCCGCTCGAACAGACGACGTTAGATTTTTCTCAGAACTCATCCCAAGAAAAATTTCAGCGATTCCATCTGCAAAAAGATCCTGGAGTACGTCGAAGGCGACACGATTCTCTTCTGGAACCCCGAAAACGAAAAGTTACACAGGTCTTGGAAAAAAGTTTTCAGGAATCTTCAAATAAGTAGTTCAGGTACCAAACTGAACTTTGGAGGCCTCTCATCGGTAATATCAATAAGGATCTGAACCTGAGGATCAAAGCGAGTGAATCAATCTTAGGTGAGACTTTTGAAAAATAAAAAAAAAGCGATTTGAGACTTCAGATTGTGATGTCGTGTCGGAAAATGACAGATTTAAGTTAGATAAATGGATCAGACAGCACAATTTCCCGTCGTTGATTGCCCTACAATATGCCACAGAATCGGTAGCTTGTGATGATTAACACCTTATCTTTGCGGATATTGCAGGTGAAATCATTTTTGATCACCTACAACGCTCTGGGATTCCACATCGACGCTGAACAGGCCGTCAAAGCCGCCACTCTGGAGCAACAGACCCAGGCCGAGACTTGGGGAAATGTCCGTTCTCTCTGACTGTTTTACAACTGATATTCTGGTAGATGATCAAACTTTCAATCAAAACGGAAATCATAGTATCTCTATCACAAGCTGAACTTGTAACTAATAAGCTTCACAAAATGGGTTTTTACATAATTTTTAGGTCTAAAATCTTCAACTTTTTTTTAGCTTTCTTTTTAATGGAAAAATATACAAACCTGAGCCTTATTTTGCAGCTTCTCACGAGAATTTCGCGTGACTAAAAGTTTATTTGAGTAACTTTTGGTGGATTTGAACTTTCAAGGATCTAATTATGATTACCACTTTTCGACAAGATGCCCCTGAACAGTACTGAAATTCGTTTTAATTTTCTGAACTTAAAAATACGGAGCTTGAAAATTTTAGACTTATCCTTTCAACAGAACGCAGACAAGTCAGCAAAATTTTTGAAGAATTTTTACTTTAAAACCATTTTTCGCTATCAATTTTGAAATTTTTGTCAATGAGCTTTACAGTTTCAAAATATTTAAGGTGGAATGGGCACACGATGTCGAACGAGCAGAGCTTCTTTCCCGCCTTTCTTCAGCCGCCCTTTTCTTTTATTACAACTCGAATCGGCTCACCCAGAAACTTGAATAGGCTTCACTTTTAGATTGTTTTTTCTAAATTTTGTTATATTTTGGTTATTAAAAATTTATTAAGTTTAAAGCTTTTGGATTGGATCCTATCAAAGGTCGGAGTTGAGGTCGAACTTGACTGTGTGGTAGAGACAGGCGGCGTAGGCGTCCACTGGGGCGCACATGTTCTCGATTGACCGCCGCAGGGTTTGCTGGAACTCGAGGGATCACAAAGAGTGGTTTAATGGGTTGCGGTACCCTGTAAGTGTCGCTGACGCCTTGTTCGTCGGAAAGAGTGTCGCACATTCTCTGACATTGTGTGGAGCGCGACTGCGGCAGTGGCTGTCGGTCCATCACGTGGATTACGGTAGTCATGATTCCCTGAAAGTCGACTTTGGTGTTCTCATTCAATCTGTTAGTTTCGGGGGAATTGCAGAAACGGATAAATCACGTTCTGTTGGACCTGCTTAAGATACTGCCAATATTCCTCGAGCTTGTCCCGATTTTCGCCATCCTCGTTGAGCTCGTCGCGCGTCGGAGTGCACATCTGAGGGAAATATAGAATTTTTTTCTTTTACCATTTAATTGGGGGAAATTGGACTCACTAGTGGGTTGGTGGTGACTCAATAGATCTTTAATAAAAAAGAAGCTTGAAAAAACCTTGAAAGAGTAGGTGTGGAGATCTTGTTCAGTGGAGCACTCTTCAGGACCGTCGTTGCTAACGAATTTTTTGATTTTTCGCACGTCGCTCGAGTCTTTGGTTAGGCTGTCGCAAAGGTGACAGAACTGGCTGCAATTTATTCCATTAAAGTTTTTCGCAATTATTTGAAAAAAAAAAAATGTTTTCTGCCAACTCAGAACTTAGAGAATCTTTAGGTATAAGGGTTAAGACCAGAATTGGGCGGTAGTTGTTTCAAAATTTCAAAATAATGTTCTTTAGAGAGGCTTCAAAAAGTGAATTTAAAAATTTTTTTTGGCGGTAAACCTAACGTTTTCTACGAATAGAACATAGAAAAAGAGTTGAAATCAAAGCTTACCAGGTCTGTTTCCCGATGAGCATGTCGCGAAGTTGAGAGTTATGACTTTTCGGGCACCAGTTTCCAGTTGTGATATTGGTGCAAATGCTGTCGATTCCGGTCAGACTGTTGCCTTCTCCACGGCATGGCATGTTCTGACCCAACTGCATGAAGGCCTCGATGTAACTAGAAAGAGAAGCTTTGAATTTTCGAAAAATCGGAAGACTCACGGATTGTGGATGGTCCGCTTCATTCGGAAGCTCATTTTTACACGATAGCACCCCGGAAAAGTGATCTTCTCCGTTTTGCCATTGATGTCAGTGATGAAGACCGAAAATTTGGTGTAAATAAGGTTTTTTTTTTCTCTAAAAAGTCTTCTAGGATGTTCAGAAGGTGTACTTTAAAAAGCGAAGAATTTAGGAACTCCAGAGCTTGAATTTTGCCCCTCTAGGGACCACTTAGCCTCCTCTTGTAGGAGCCACTAGAGCTTGCAAGTGACCCCTATAAAAGTTCTACTCAGTCCCCTATAGAGAACCCTTGAGATTTAGGGGTTTAGGAATCAGATCCTAAACGCTTATGGGGTCATCTAAATTTTACCGCTGCCGGAACTGTTTTTGTCCACTAACTCTTATAGGGACCGCTCTGGTGCTCCTAAGATGTCTGGCCAGAATTTGAAAAAACGTAATAGCATATACCCCAGATACTTTATGAGAATCACTATGACTTACCTCATCTTTAGAGTCATCGTCGTCTGAACCTTCACGAGGCAACATTTTCATAGAAATTTTCAGAGACGATTCATCAATGAGGTCCGAGTCAACTTCAATATCAACTTTTTATCGAAAAAAAAATTTAAAACCAACCATTGGGACAAGTTTGAGTCACATTTTCCCTTAATCGAATCTGTACGGTTTTGGCGTAGGTGCAGACAGAAAATGAGAGCAGAATTAAGAGGAACTTCATCATTTGATTGAATATTCTCTCATCTCAGCGAGGCTTTATAAGCCCCCAGCCAGAAGAATCGTGGATACACTTGACCCATATCGAAAGCAAAGTCTCCGCAAAAAAAAGACGTGAGCATTTTGGTTGTCTTTTGACGCTTTTCCCTTTCGATGAAGTTTCAATCTTGAGAAGTGTATCTTGATCGAAGACCTTTCGAGAAAAAGAAGAGAAAAAACTTTTTCACTATTTAAATTCTGGTTTCTCCATACATATTAGAGCGGAAAGTGAACGCTGGAACTCCTAAATGAACAAGAAAAAAACACTTTTTGAAGTCAGCTGTCTTCGAATTTAAAAAAATTAATGAACTAATTCTGAAGAAAAGCTAGGCATTTCTTTCTTTGCAATCTTCAAATTTTTTTGGGATTCAAATTTAAAAATTTTATAAAAAAAGGTTATCTGCGGCTTCAAATGCTTTATAACCGATTGATCGGTATATATACCAATCCACTTTCATGTATGCATGCTAAAAATATTCCAAGCGAGTCTGAAGAAATGGGGCGTGGCGTCTGCAAAGCGTGCGAGCTTTTACAATTACGAAAGAGGAAAAACTGCGCTTTGAACGTAAAATTATTAATTTTTCTTTTTACAACATTTTTCCTTGGTTTATGTAGAGATTTAATTGTTTTAACATTTTAATTTGAAACCGTGTAGCAGTTTCGAAACGAATCACTTATTTTTTTTTTTATCAATTACTTTTTTATAGACAGCTTTTTTTCGTGAAAACACTCAAACGATGGATGATCCTAGTTGCTCGATGGAGATTAGCACGGAAGTCACCACCACTACTTCGAAAATCTCTTTTGGATTGAAGAGAAAAGAGGAAGTGAAAATAACCGTTGTCTCCAAGGAGATAATCAATGGTGAGAAACAAAATTTGTTACTTTTCTAGTGGTTTTATTATGAAAAATTGCAGTAGCTTCGGACAGCGAAGAAGAACGAGAAAAGGAAGAGCAGGAGCGACAGGCCAAGCGTAGAAAGCTTACACATTTCGACAGCGAAACCGCCTTGTCAGTTTTACCTTCATTTTTGAATTTATAGAAAAAATATGTTTAAGGGACGACGATGATCCGAAAAAGAAGAACTTTGTGATCCCTATAGTGGTCGAGAACGATTGGCGTGTCGCGAAGTTGCTGGAAAAACAGAAAGAAGGAACTCTTACGGAGGAAGAAGAGGCAAAAATTGCCCTTCTCACACAGTCCCATGAAACCAGCGACGAGGTTCGGGTTTCAAACAGTTTATTTTTTGAAATATTTTTTTGTAGCATGCAACTGAAAATGACGGAAAAGTAATTGTGAGTTCTGAATCGAAGGAAGATGCTCCTGATGCCGATTATTCAGTGGTATCTAAAGCTATCTTTAAACTTTTCCGATTAAATATAATTAAGGTCCCTATTGAAAGCTTTGGCCTGGCTATTTTACGAGGTTGTAATTGGAAGGACGGCGAAGGGATCGGCAAAAATCCACAGGTTTTTTTTCATTTCTTCTTAAAATAAGGCATTAGAAATTTAAAGGTTGTACTCATATCTCTCTTTTGAAAAACTACATTATTTAGAATTCATAAGTTCTATTAAAAAAATGACGTTCTTCTCGAAATTTTATTCCTCCAACAATGAGAAAAGTTGTATGCTTCCAAAAATCATTTTTGAAATTTGAGGTTGTGCCGTTGCGAATCCCTGCCAGGAGACCACATGGCCTGGGTCTTGGAGCTACGCCAAAAGTAACTCAAACGAAAAACGGGAAGAAAGGCGAAGAGGTGGAAAAAAGCTCTTTTTTCAAAATTCATTTCATTTTTCAGGGCGCCTCGCTCGAAGTTAAGAAAGACAGTTTGGTGAAGATCGTGGACGGACGCAGCAAAGGTCTTTACGGAAAGGTTTCGAAATGAAACAGGAAGTTGATCTTGGAAATGAAGATTTTTTCCAGGTTGAAGCCCGGGACGACGACGCAAACAGCTTGTTTGTAAGACTTGCGTTGGGAGGAAAAACGGTCAAAGTAGGATTTTTATAAATTCCTTCTCTGTTCCTTTTTTGTTTTGATTAAATCCTCGAACTCTTCAAGGAAAGTTATAATTGGCCCTTTGAGGAATTGAATTTTTTTTTGAATATTTCTCAACGCATCTTTCCATTCACTTTCATAATTTTGATCCCAACTCTCAAATTTTCCGTTTTCAAAAGTTTTTTTTCCTAAAAAAAAAAAAATTTACAATGAATGAACTGAAAAAGGCTATTTTTTCGAAATTTGAAGATATTCTTTCAAGAGGATTTTCCAGGTCAGCGTCTATTCGGCGATGGCAGTCACCCAGAAAGAATATGAGCGTGACGCCAAGTGTATAAGTGAGTTTGGATCGATATTAACTCAGAATAATGTTTTGAAATTTTTTTATTCAATAAATTTCAGACAAAGATTCTTACGATCGCGAGAAAGAGATTATTGAGCGTCGTAACGAAAAAAAGCTTCGAACGGAGAAGAGACGAAAAATGGCCGAGATCGAGGCGAAAAAGAAAAAGATTCTTCAAGGAGACATGTAAGGGAATTTTTTGCAACAAAGTCGCATCGCTGTTATCAAATAATCTTTTTGTAAAATGTGTATCTTTCATTTTTTTAAATCTTATTACATTTAATTTTTTTCTACACAGTATTTTTTTCTTTATCCACAATGAATATATCAAAACGGCCCGTTGGAAAGAAAAGTTATTGCTGTTAGATTGATCCAAAAAGTGTTTCCAATTTGAATCCATGACTTGTCAACTTGCCATCAATTTTCAAGGGAAAAATGAATGTCCTTCTCTTTCTCCTTACTTTTAATTGAAGTAAGAATCGATGAACCGAACGATCATTTCTAAACATTGTAATCAGATCAGTATACAGGACGAGAATCGGTTATGGGCGCGGTCCGATCTTGTCGTCCGTTTCATCGACAAAAGTTACAAGGGCGGCAAGTTGTACAACCAGAAACTCCGGGTCGTCGACGTCGCCGGCCGCAAAGACGTCACTCTGGAGGACGACTCCGGCAGGACCCATTATAGTCAGTGAAAATGATCTCATTTTGTTATAATTTCGACGTTCTGAAGACCTTTTGTTCCAAGAAACTTTTAAAAAGTCGACACAGTAGAGTATTTAATTTAATCGTACCCGATTTGAATTTGATTTTCCCAGAATATTATGGGAAATTCCAATAATTCGCCTTTTTCACGTCCTCTTTGAAATTTCTGTTGAAGATTCAAAATTATTTGTTGTTACTTTTAAGGAATTTTCTTTTTTACAGTTACTTTGACTTCGTTTAAAGATGTAATTTTAAAAAAAATTGACAAAAAAAAACAGGAAAGACTTTGAGTGTATCTAGAGACACCGAAGCTCATTACCGAGAATCTCCGAATTCTCCTAAGACCAGATGTTAAAATAACCTTGACCCCTTACTACTTCACCACAGAAATAGTTTTTTTTTTCTCTTTTGAACATGATCATTTATTGATTGATGTGTTTTTCAAGATATTCGGCAGTCATGGATTGAGACGGTGGTGCCGAGGAACGTCGGCGATCCGCTGATGATCCTCTCAGGAAGTCGCAAAGGCCGGACGGCGATTCTCGTAGAGAAGGACAAGCGGAAACAACGGGTCTATGCTCAACTCCCTTCTTCCAATGAGGTTTTTTTCATTTCGTAACGTTCCTTTCAAAGAATTTCACTTTTTTCTCTTTGAAATTCCAATCACAATGACATTTACCCATCGAATCCTTTGAAAATGACATCTTACTAGTCAAAAAATGAATCCAAGGTAAACTTCATACTTTCTACTTTTTTCAGGTCTTGAAGCTGGACTTCGAAGACGTTTGCTTATTCAGAGCCAAAGAGGATGCAGATTATGACTAGTGTGTAAATAAATAAATGCATTTCCCATAAAATAATTCTTGTACCAGAAAAATCCGCAATTTCACAAACACGTAAAACTATTCAGTTCTTTGTTGAAATTCAGCAAAGAAATGAATTTCGAAGGGCAAGAAATTGTCTTTGAACTTTCTGCGTTGGTTTGAAATGAGTTTTCGACGTGAACTGGAATCGCTCGCAGCGGCTCGCTTCATTCCTACTCGTACTTCTCTACCAACTAACCTCCTGACTTCCTCTCACTGACTATGACAGCAGAGCGCATCGAGTCGTTTCGCGTCACGAAAAGCTTCGCCAAGGTTTTTTCTTGTACCTTCTTTCTGGGAGTCATGCACTTCAACAAGATACTTTGAGCACAAGTGTTCCCTTGAGGGCAGCTCAAGTCTTATTTTAAGGGACGTGAAGATAGCCCGACTTATGGCAAAAAAAAGTGGAGAAGGGTTTTTTCTTACTGCGACCAGGAAACATCCAGGAAAATAAATCTTTTCAAGCTCCCTTCGTTGATAAATACTTCCACACCACGTTAAGAAAATTTCGAAACAAAAGAAAGAAGATATTTAGACGCCTCCGTAGTATTTCCAAGTTAAAGTTGGATGAACAGTAGCTTTCTGAATTATTTGAATGTGACGTGAGTTGCCAAACAAGCCTGGGATAAAATGAAGATATCTTCATATTTAGCTTTGAGAAGGAGAAAACCAGTTCTTACGTTTTATCCAAATGTTCCTTCAGTTCATGGAGCTCCCACACATGCTCGAGTGGAAGGTAAGCGATCAAGACGTGATGGTGACCGGCCGCGTCCTTTCCTACTTCCGCAGCAAGGTCTTTCCGTGTCTCGTTCTGAGGTAGAATGAGCAATCTTCCAGGGATTCTTCCTGGACTCGCTCAGCAGCCTCAAGGGCAGGCCGATGACGTTGACGAAAAAGGGCTTCCTCTTGATTTATGAGAAGCAAGATCGAGGTTCATCCTTGTGAAGGAGCTTGAAAATTGAAATCTGGTCGCAATTAGAATGGCTCGACGCACCCTCGACGGTTCGAGCCATTCTACGTGCGACCAAGAAATTCGATTCCGAGCGGATTTTTTCGAAGATCCTCAATCAACTTTTAGAATCCAAGTAACAAAAAAAAGCGCCGGAAAAAAACCACTAGAGTGGACTTTTAACTATTTCCTATAGTAGATACTTTGAAGGACTCGTCGTCGACCTTCGCACAGTCAAGCGCATCATCACCACCACTGACATGTACAAGTCGCGCAAGACCTCCTTTGTACTCTTTTAGCATATTCCTTTCGCTGAAACGACATTTCCAGAAGAGATGTCACATCAAGCTCAAGTTTGCCCAGGGCAACATACACCTGTTCCTGATCGGAGAACAGATAGCCGCCTGGCGAAACGCCATCTGCACGGTCCACGAATCCAACAGAAAAGCGTGTCCTCACGAGGTCGAGGAGGAGAACTCGCCGAGCCCAGTGGAAGAGACCCTGCCGGCCAAAATCACGCAAGGAAGCTCGCACACGGCCAGGAACCAAACCGAACAGTCGACGGTACCAATTGAAAGCCATTCAGATAGTATGAGATCGGCTGCAGGTCTCGGAATGGTTGAGCGGGACGTCGGAGCCAACCGATTCGGAAGATGACACCAACAGCGGAATGATAACGGTCATTGAAAGACCGCCAGTTGAACTGTCAGCTTTTCTTTTGGATTCAACGATATCGTGTAATTGCAGGCCGTCGCTGCGACGCGGCAGACGTCGTGTCTCTTCGATGAGACAGATACTCGAAAACGATCTGATGGAGGAATTGCGCTCCAAGGTCTCCACGACTCAGAAAACGACACCGGCAGTCGTTTCAAGATCTAACTCAATTAGGGTGAGCCTACTTTGAATAATAGCCAAAACAAAAATATTATCAAAGTGCGCTCCACGGCTAACTTGATCACTTTTTGAATTTTCAATTACTTCTTGACACAATTATGTTCTTTAGAGCTTGCTGACAATATCGCCTTGGTTTTACGAAATTTTCGGTTCTTAAAGATTTTCCGTCAGCTCATTCCGTCATACGCTCTTTCTGTAGCTTAGAAAACCATTCCTTTACAGGTACCAGGTGCACCAAAAAAGGAGCCAGCCGCAACAAAGAACTCGTTTTCCTTCTTCTACCCAGCAGCACAGGACGGCGAAACGGTAAAATGTCGAAGGAAGATCCGAAAGAATGATATAATATTCAGGAAAGCGCGCGACAGAGCAAGATGCCAGTGAGGAAAAGCGGAAAAGCCGCGCCGCCAGAGGAGGATCCGACGTGGTGGCAGAAGTCTCTTCGCTGCTGATAACGACAGAGAGAGAGAGAGCCCCCGACTCTTCGAAATTGGAACAAAAAAATAAAGTTTACTCTCTGTCTTTGTACAAATCGAACTATCTCTATGAGGTGGAAAAATGAAACAAGTTATTCTGTAATACCATGAGATTTCTCGAATTTGTCCAGCTCCCTTTGCACCAAGTCATCCTCGTCTGTTTTCACTTCTATCACCTGTTTTACCTGAAAATATATATGAATAGATATATATCACGTTTCTTCTTATCCCCTCAAGGCTTTCTTAATACTATTATCACTTAGGAACTCCAGAGTGGTCCCTTTAGTGGCAATGTTAGAGGCCCTTGAAGATTCTCCTCTAGGAATTACTTTACCTTCCCCTATAGAGGCCACTAAAGCTTGCAAAAGCGGTACTTGACTTTTCGCTATGAGACTCATTTTCACTGCATTCATGCTCCTTTTAAAACTAAAAAGTAGTTGAAATACTAAATCAGGTATAACCTTTTCCCCTTAAAGACTCACTTCGGGAACATAAAACGACAACATATTCTCGATTCCGTTCTTCAAAGTGATTGAAGAACTTGGGCAACCTGTGCAAGAACCCTAAAAAAAACCTTGAGTTAGATTTTGTAGATTTAAAAAACCTGAAGTTTAACTTTGACAACACCGTCATCGAAACCGACATAAATAATGTCTCCTCCGTCTTCTTGGACCATCGGCCGAATTCGGGTCTCCAAAATCTCTTTGATCATTGACACCGTTTCGTTTTCTTCTTCTGGAAGCAAAAAAATTCTACTATGATTTTTTTGAATCAAATATAAATTATTTTTCTCTCTCGACACTGCCAGATTGAATAGAGCATTGCGAGCGACATTCCAAAAAAAAATTTTTTAAGTTTTTCTTAAATTTAGATCAAAATTCTTCTCGGTTGGGGAGAAAATAGAAAAAAAGAAGTAAAAAGCGTAAATTGGTAATCATGGAATTTTTTTCATTTCTTAAGGAGCCCTTTTTTTCTGAATTTCTAATGGTAAAACTTCTGGAATCTTGTTAGAAAATTTTTGAATGATATTTGTTTTTCATCTTGAATTTCCGACTAATTGATGATCATTATCCCTCTTTGTTAAATTGACAATATTATGCTCGATTAAAATAATCAGTTAAGAGACCGGCTTCTGCAGCTCCAGCCTCAGCGGCCACACTTTTGACGGCTTCCTTGCCGCTTTGGAAAAAGTCGGCGAGGGTCGAGAAGATGTCCGGTCGAATGAGGGCCCAATCGACCGTTTCGTCCTGAAATATCTTCTGAAAGAGACATTTTCAGGAAAGGACCGACACGCTTAGTTATCGTGACAAAGTCCTCGCCGACGAACACGGATTTGACGCCTTCGATGCGGAAAAGCCGCCTGAAAGCAGGTCCGATGAGTTAGAAGCGCAAGTTTTGGGCCAGAAACACATTGCCAGAGGACTTTGACGAGCGTTCGCCGCCGAGGTGAAGTCGTAGGTCTTCGAGTCGCTCACCACCGTCACTCCTTAACGAAGTTACTCAAATGGAGACTTTTTCAGGCCCCGGTTGAAATTTTGATGAAACTTGGTGTACAGTGTACAGGACCTTTTGACTCCAGAATAAAAATAATTTTTCTTTTTTCAAGTTCGTCTTCAAGTTGTTATGCTTCAAAAGCTTTAACTAAAGCTTTTTTCAGATAACGACGAAACAGTGTGTCAGAGAAAGAGTTGTGGTGATATTTAGACGCAACTTGTAAGATTCTATTATTCGATCTGATTCTTCTAATTGTAGAAAACTTCTGTTCACGAATGAGAAACCTGGCAAAAACTTCATGGACATGGGATTCGGCGTTTCTTGCATCTGGATGTACATAGAACGGACTGAAATCAACAAAAAAGAGATAATTTCAGTTAGACTACAAAAACGGACCGAATTGTGGAAGACGATTCGCAAATCGAGAGGATAGCAATCTTCTCATTCTGCTGAAGCCATATTAGAATATCAAAAAAATTTCATGATTTTTTCAAATAATATCGCGAAAGAACCGCTTGTGTTTTATTTTCCAAAAAAACAATTTTTTTTTCAACCTTCCTTAAACGTTTATGACGGAACTCAAACAATTAGGGGAGAGTATAATCATCAAAATATCCAGCAGTGGGGGAAACGCTCCAATGGAACAAGAAGTGGTGAATCTTCTTGTTGAAGCGTTTTTTGGACGAACTGAAGGAGATAAAAATGAAATATAGTGGAATAGATATCACCGTAATTTGTGCGGGATGTTGGAAAAGAGATGGTAGATAGAAAAGACAATATAACGACCACCAGGAGTGCCCAATGAAATAATCAAGAGAGAACCCAAAGAAAAGTTGGAAGCGAAGAGGTGAATTTGAACATTAACCATAAGGGACGAAAAAGAAAGAGAGGGAGAGTCATTATAGGATGGGAAATCACAAAATAGGTTCACCTACAAAATATCAATGAACAACGTGAACAAAGGGCAAAAGCAAGTGGAACCGTGAAGAATAAACTCAAAAAATAAAATAAAAGATAAGACGAAAAATACATTGAAAGAAGAGGAACAACCTATACCTACGAGATTTCCAAACGAAAAATGGATAATCACATATGAACAGGATATAGTTTTGGAAAGGAAAAATGAGAGAAAAAGGATGAATTAAAGCGACCCGATGCGATAATGGGAAATCACAAACACGTACATCAACAATCAGCATCAAAACATTTGTATTACCATTAAGTACGTGTTTGAAGACACTGTAAGCAGGGAAAGAGATGGAAGATAGTCTAAACGATGGACCAAACTACAAACAAAATCTGCCAAGCTTATATGAGTACGGGAGCCGGTCGTGTTGAATTTTTCTCTAGATGGAGGAAAATTAAAAGCAATTCAATTAACAGATATAGAAGCAACGCTAGTTTCAATTGGAAATAGAAATCGGGAAGATCAGTTCCAGGCGGCGCCACCCCAGGAGATGTGCTGCGAAGGATTCTGCTTGACGGCGTTCGGCACGGAGTTGGTGTTTCCAGTCCCCCAGGTCTGGTTTTGCCTAAAATCATTGAATAAGCTTGTTTTATTAATTTCGAAAAATTTGGGATAAATAGTCTTCACAATGTTCCTTGCAAATGTCTAACAACTCGGCGCTTAATTTTCCTTAGAACTGAAAGTTAGAAGTTCAACTTTCTCTACTTTTAACTTTACAAATGAATTTGAATTTTCATTTTCGACGTGCCGTTCTCAAATTGATTGACGCGATTATTTAACTATATTTTCAACTATTCCTAATGACTGACGCGGTGAAAGAGTTGAAGGGAGGGACGCCGGGATTCGCAGGCGACGGATTCGAGGCGGCCTGTGACTGATGGAAGAAAGGCGCGGAGGGTCGATGAGCAGAACCCGAAGGTGGATGGGAAGGCGCGATTCCGGCGAACCCGGGAGGCGGTCCGGAGACGTACTGCTGCTGTTGGACTCCGCCGCCCGAAATGACGTTGCCGCGACCGACCAGAGGTCTGCCTTGCTGGTTCGTGATCGAAGACGGTTTCTGCAAGAAACAACACTTATAATTGATCAAAAAACTCTGCTTTTTGCTACCATGAAAGAGTCGTTCGTGTTTGAGCCGCCTCCATGCATTTGCTGAGACGGATTTCCATAAGGAGACGAGTTGAGGATATTGGTGAGAGAATCGAACTCGTTCGAGGCCGCCTGAGAGTCGATTTTGGTACTTTGATATCAATGATCCGGAAGATCCCATTCTTATTTTTCTAGCATTTGGAAAACTAAAAGTTGAAAAAATCACTTGATAAGAAGTCATGAAGTTCTTCAAGGCGTGCTGTCGCTGCTGCTGTTGTTGTTGTTGCTGCAGCTGGGCGGACTGAGGGTTGGAAATTCCAAGAGAAGAGGCGTCGGAGAAGGCGGACGGTTGGAAGAACATGGAGTGGTTGTTGGGCTGAGGTGCCGTCGAGGGCGAAGGATTGGTTCCTTGGTAAGTGGCGAGTTGCGCAGCCAGCTGAAGACAAAGACAGGCTAGAAGACGTCCAAAAGACACGAGATACCTGATTGAAGAGCGTGTTATTCTGCGAGAAGGACGACGAAGCTGGAGCCGGCGCCGAGTTCGTGGGCGCATGTTGACGCTGAGAGCTGCTTGGAGCATAGGAAGGAGTCTGGATAAAGTAACCAAGTTAGGGCCATTAGGAGTGGAAAAAACCGAGATTCGAGAGAAGATAGAAGAAGAATTTTTGTGCTGCGGACTTGCCGGCGTGGCCCATGCAGATCCTGGAGCCGCGTTCGATGTAGATGACAATGGAGGCGACGAAGTTCTCATGTAGGACAGCAGGTCGTTTGAAGTCCAATCGGAAGCCTTGAAAGGGGGGTTTTTTTTTCAATAATACTTTCAACCACGTAAAAGAAAGACTGCCCTTTGAAAATACCAAACTAAATAAATCCGGGAAAAATTCTAAACTTCAGCGCTCGTAAACTCAAATTATCGTTGGCGAACGTTTTTTTTTGAACCAGGATATGAATCAACTGAAATTTCTCAAAAGTTCATACCTTTGAGTTTGAACCATCAGTAGACCCGAGAGTAGACGGCGCAAGAGAAGAGAAAATAGGATTTCCCCAGGTAGACTCGCCAGTCTTCTCATCAGTATTTCCCCAAATCTGGAAAATCGAACATATTTTTGGTGTGATTCTTCCAACAAACCTCAGCAAGCTTGGCATGAGTAGTCGCTTCGAAAATCGATTCTTCAAGGTTTCCGAAGTCAGGTCGATCAGAGCCAGTCAAATTTCTGTCCGAGTGAATAGACGAGAAGTTCAGGCCTAAAGACATAATGTTAATAAAATTTGATATGATTTTTTCAAAACCTGTATCCGTAGAAATGTTGGGCAAAAGGGTTCTGAAGCTGCTTGAAACGACCGGCTCTTTTTGAACAAGGGTTGATTTATCCTCGAAGAGACCTGTAAAAACTATTTCGACAAGTTGTTCGCATTAAAACTTATTATCTATGCTTTCAGAAAAGTTTGAAGTTAGGAAAAACTTTGGTTTTTTTTTTTCTGAAAATCCTACCCCAATTTAAAAGTGGGCGGAGCTTTGCAGTAACTATACTAAAAGCACACAGACTTCGTCTAATGACACTGATAATAATTTAGCCTTCAGGATACGGGAATTACAACAGGTCAGAAATCAGAAATTGCTGAAACACTGTACAGAAGCGATTCCGGACTCGCTTAGTCAGAACTAATCAAAGAAAAGTGCGACGTTTGCCAAAATTACTCTTCGATAGTATCAGTTCCAATTTGGAGAAGCCATAACTTGACTAGAACTCGAAAGACATCTTTTTCAATAAAATAAAACGGTATATCCAAAATCACTTAAGTGAAAAGTTTCCTCAAACTTTGATAACACCACCTTTTGCCCCTCCCGGGCAACTACAAACAGTCTTACCAAAAGGCCGAGATCCAGGCGCTTTGCTGAAGATACTGTGGCTTGCTGGCGGCTCGACGTCCACTTTGCGCGGCTCACTCTGACGAGCTGCCGATGGAGGAGGACCAATCGGATTGGGAAGTCGTTCTGGGACGACCGGATCCGGAAGCGAGGGCTTTCCGAGTCCGAGCAGGGAGAACTCGGAGGTCAAGTTCATGGCCGGCGGCTGAGAAGGCGCAGAAATGGGCTGGGATTGGGCTCGGACCGCCTTCTCCAGTGGCGCCGACGTCCTCTGCGACAGAGGCTGGAACGGCTCTGGATAGGCCGACGTCGTCTCTTGGGCGAACGGCAGCTTTTCCATCAGATGGGCCATATTCGCAGAAGGCAGATGCGTTGGTTCCGTGAGATCGCCTTGACTTGTCGCCGAGTTTTCTGCAATTTCATCGTTGGTTTTGATCCGTTTTGAAAAGACAATGAAAAGTCTGCTTTTTAACTACGGATGGATTTTCAGAAGAAAAATAATTTTTCTCGAAAGCACTTCGAAAAACCGTCACAAATATATTGTTATTTCAAAAATTGATAAGAATTTGTGTAGGCTATGACGTTCAGGACTTTCATCAAGTGCATCAAAAAAAAAAAACTTTTGGTCAAATTTCAAAACTTTCTATGACCAAACATCTTCTTTGACCGTCATAAGGTTTCAGAAGCAGATATTTTGAAAATTTGAAATTTTTTTTTTACATTAATTGTCATATATCTGGCTCACAAAGAATCTGGGAAAAATGTTCACAAAGCTGAGCCCTTTGAGTTCAGTTTTCTAAACCAATCCTTCAGAAGTTTCAAGCATATCTTCCATAAACTCGTTCTACTTCCTCACCATCGGTGTTCGCAGCGAGTTGCTGTTGGCGTGCGGCCATCCGTTGTTGCCAGACGTTGGTGGTGGAGGGCGTGGCGGAAGGCGTCGGGGCGACGGGCGTCGGCTTGCTGGTGATGATCGGGAACGATGGCGGCAAGGGGTCCAGGTCGCGGCCGATTCTGCAGCTGCTCTCCGAGGAGACCGACGACGCGACTGAGCTGTTGGCTCGTGTCACCTGAATTCTTGAGTTTTATTAGCAACATTTTCTGTCCAACTTGAATAATCACATCCTCGACCAGAACTTCTCCATCCGTAATCAGCCGATTGATCATTTGGGTCGCATTCCTGAAAATGATACATCGATGCAAGAAATTGGCCAGTGGAACGCACCTCACGGCATCCGGGGACCCGCGGATGCAAATTTGACGTTCCGCTTGCGGGTCTTTCTTAGTGCCTTGTTTCTCGACCTGCACAGAGATAAAATAAAACTTGCAACATGTAACAACTTTCAAGAAAGCAATATCCTTTCAAGAAAAACGTTTTGAATTTCACTTTCAAAGCTTCCCAATCTTCTACTTCTACAATCTTCGACCACTTTCCTATATATACCTCGATAGAAGCTCCAGTCGCTTCTCGGATGGCGTTGATGTTGCTGCCGCCACGGCCGATGACGCGAGCGATTGTCGCGCTGCCGACGACCAAAGTCGCCTGTTTCTTCCTCGCCTCAAAAGCAACTCTCCAATGGTAAGCTAATCCAAGACGTACAAGTTCGATATCCTGCCAGCCCTTGATCTCATCCGACGTGGTGATGGGCTCTTTCGCGAGCTGCTTCTTGGCGGTGACCTTGCCCTTCTTTCCAGACGCCTTGACCCATTCGTCAGAAGGCGTCGCCGGCTTCGGTTGCGGAGACGTCGGCGGAATGGCGATCGGAGAAGAAACGGCGCGAGTTTGTTGGACGACCGTCGGCTGGAGCTGCACTCCGTTCAGACCTTCAAAAATACAGTTAATTTGGTCAAATTTCCGAGTGACGTCAGACCTTTGGTAGCTTCCCGTCGGGACTTTCTCTCCTTGCGGACCAAGTTCTTTTCCGCTTCGACTTCTTTCTTTTCAATCAACGGCGGAGTTTCGGGTCGCGAGGGTTCCTCAACCTAAAAAAAACGACTTTTTTCCTCTTGCTTCAAATGAAAAAGACATCATCGTCTGATTTTTCAAATTCGAAACTTTCCCAAAACTTTTTTTCCTCTAAAATTTAACTGAATTCAACTATTCTACCTTCTCCTCTTCAACTTCTTCAGCCACAGGTTCAACGTTTTCATCAACCACTTTTTCCTCGATCGTTGGCGGCACTTCTTCTTCCTTCTAAAGAACAGATTTTTAGTTTTCGAAGCTTTTCTTCTACGAAACCTTCTCTTCAACCTTAACTTCATCAACACTGTCTTCGGGTACCGACGAAGTTGCGGCCTTGCCCTTCTTAGCCTTCTTCTTCTCCTTCTTTTGCTGTTTTGCCTGCTTCTTCGACCGAGCGGCTTCTTCCTGAAACAGTAAAAGGGTTTGAAGGTTGATTGATTTTTAATCAAGACCTCTTCCTCGAGCTGAGCAAGAAGGAGAGCGGCCGCCTTGTTGGCCTCCTCGGCCTGGGCGTTCTTCGCATCTCTGATGATGGTCATGCACTCGTTGCACTTGGTTTTGACGTCCTTTAAAAAATTATTCAAGGTTTTTGTTGAGTGAAAGAAGAAAGACAAGAAAAAGTTAAGGGCTGCAGTTCGAATTTAGAAGATTGAGTTCCATAGGGTCTAAAAAATAGGGTCTTTGAAGTCGAACTTTATGAAAGATGCAGAAAAAGAAAAAATTAGAGCTTTTCCATGAAATACAGAAAAATAGACAAAAAATATTCTGGAGACTCTACAAACTCTACGAACTCAAGGATTTCAAGCTTTCCACACGAAATTACCTCGGTTTCAGAGCTGGCGATTCCGCGAGTAAGCTCTTGATCAGAAGGGAATTGCTTAGCATGCTCTACCATGAACTTGACGACCTTGAAAGAGAATAATCTTGTTTGAAATTCGAAGAGAAGCAGGGAAACCTTGACATGTCCTTTCTTGAAAGCGGCCATCAGGGGTGAGATTTTCCGGTTGTCGAGAGCATCAGGATCTCCTCTGTGCTTGACCAAGGTGGCTACTGTTTCCAGGTGTCCGCTGTGGCAAGCCAACCAGAGGGCCGTACATCCCTGGAGAAAATATTTTGATCAAGGAGTCATGTATACAACTTCGAAAAGTGTTAAAAAGTCAGATAATGAAGAACCCTTGATCGAGTCTTCCGAGTTTACCAACTTTTTATAACCATTTTCAAGACTATTTTAAATCTAACTCTCCAAATTATCCGTGGAGCACACTTAAATCAACTATAAGAGCATCAATCGAATTATCTTCTCCTTTTTTTCAGAACACAAACCTTCTTGTTGCGGGCATCGATGGCGGCGCCGCGATGGACCAAAAGCTCGACAAACTTTTCGTGACCCTTGAAGAAACGTGATTGACAGGAAAAGGGCAGAGAATAATCAGACCTTGTCCGCAGCGATGGTGAGAGCCGTGTCTCTGGAAGAAGGCACAGGCGCGGTGTTTGGATCGGCTCCGGCTTCGAGCAAAAGATCTCCGACTTCCGTGTATCCACCGTTCGCCGCTTCCATCAAGGGCGTCAAACCAGTCTGGAATCAAATTTTGATTAGACTTATGATTGGTAGAACCAAGAACTACAACTGAGAGGACCTTCCAATGAAATTATCTATGATTTCACTTAAAAAGTTTATGTATTAGAACTTTCAAATGTTGTGATCCCTGAGCGGAAATTGAGACTATTCATAATCTTTTTCGATTTTCAAGCCCCATCATAAACTCTCAGACATTTCACACTCCTAAACCTTGGCTCGGTGCTCGACGTTGGCGTTGTAGCTGAGGAGAAGGCGCACGACCTCAGTCCGTCCTTGGAAGCAGGCCAAAGTGAGCGCCGTGTTGCGGTTGGTCTCGATCTGAGCGTTGATGTCACTGCCTCGTTCGAGAAGAACTCGCGTCGCTTCTTTGTGGCCATTCATCGCAGCCAGCATCAGTGGCGAGATGCCGAGCTGGAAATGAACGGTAAGTTGCTGAGAAGCGAAGAAGAGGCCAAACCTTGCTGCCAGTCCTCGAGTTGATCTCGGCTCCGCTGTTCAGCAACAGGTTCACGATCTCGATGTAACCTCCGGAAGCGGCCAAGGACAGCGGAGTGTAGTCGCTCACATTACGGTGTTCCTAAACTTTTGATATTCGTTTTGCGTTGAGGAAGCCAGGGTGTAGGATTGAGAAGGCAGCCATCGTATTTATATTCCATTCAGCCATGAGATAGAAATGAGCCAATAATTTAGGTGGTCTTTAGAAACTAGGTCAAGTACGTGGCGATAACGCCCTGAACTAATCATTTTTAAATTTTGTACATTTTTCGTTTCTTTTTTTTCTGCAAGTTTTTGTCAACATACTGTTACAGAACTTCCAGCAAGTTTTAAAATTTCAAAGTTCATACAAGTTTTAAGAAAAGACAACTTCAATTTTTGTTGATGATTTGTTCCTGGCTTCCCTTACTATAGGCCTAGAAAAGACTCGTTTATCAAAAAATGAATAAACTGAACCTTATTAGCGCCATAGCTGAGGAGAAGTTCGACGACGTCCTTCCTGCCGCTGGAGCAGGCAAGGGACAAGGCCGTGTCTTTGGTCCGATCCGACTGCGACTCGATCGCCGCGTGGTTCTTCAGAAGAACCTCGACGACGGGGGCGTGGCCGGCCGTCGCGGCGACGATGAGGGGCGTAAAGCCTTTCTTGTCGCGATGTTCGATGTTGGCGCCCTCTTTGAGCAGAATCTCGACGGGGTCACGGTGTCCGTTGGCACAGGCTATGGAAAGAGGCGTCTCCTGGTTGGATTCGGTCGCCTTGTCGATCGCCACGTTCCGTGTCTTCATGCATCTGGAACCAGGGAAACTGTAAGAAAATCTATTGAATTCAGAAAATTCCAGCTTTATCAATAACTTTTTTAGGTGGAAACTTACTGAATAAAAAAATAATTTTCCGAAAAAGGTTTTAGTGTGGATTCTCAGAAGTGAAAAAGTTGTAATCGTTCAGCTGGGAAAAATCATCCGACCAAATGAAATTCTAGACTGTTTCGAACTGATTTTTTGTGCTGCTGACATTTTCATCAAGTCCAATTTTTACCAGCTCCAATTTTTGAGCTGTTTTTTTCTGATCCCATTTTTCACTACTTTAGGCACCTATCGCTTCCATCTCCCTCGGAATGAGTCCGGCGTAGCGTTGAAACGGCAGTCGGAGCATGAGCGAGGATCTTGGTCTGCTCGGTCCGCTTGACCGTCTTGCTGATCTTCTTCGTTCCGTGCTTGCTGATGCCCATCAATCCAGCCGCTTTCGGGTCCGGCAACGAGACCATGAAGGGGTCGTAGACTTCGGAGCCGACACGACGACGGATCTGATGAAAATTCTATTGAAACAAAGTATTCGGGGCGGAAAGCACTACAGCATCGAGGTTGTAGGCGTGGCAGTCCTTTGAGTGTTCGTGGAACAGTTCCATGTACATTTCGTGCAGCTTCTTATCGGGCGAATCTGAAAGAAAGACATGAATGTCAAGGAAGTTGAAGGCGGCAAACTGCTGAGGTCGCAGGTGAGCATCTTTCTCATCTTATCCATGATGTCCTTTCTCTCGGCCTGAGTCGTGCCGTTGAGCAAGTCCTCCAGAAGACGTTCTCCAACTAAAAAACGTCGATGGTCATAAAGCCTCCTCGGGCTTACTCTTAATGTCTCCACCGTTGTTCGGAGTGTCGGGAAGCTGCGTGGCGGCGTAGGCGGCTAGAATCGCGAGCTCCTTGTTTAGAGGAGTGTTGTTTTTGGCGCATTTGGCCGCGGCTTTTTGCGCCATCGCTGCGATGCCTGGGTAGATGGCGTTCATCGAGAAGTGCGCTTCGACGATCGGAGGGATGTTCTGAAAAATATTTCGAAACATTTTTCTCATATTTTTATGGTATAAATTAGAAGGGAAAAATGGACAAAAAAGCTTTATCAAAACTTTATGAATAATTTTGATATGCAACGAATTTTGGTGACATTTGAAATTCAAATTTAAAAAACCAAAATCGCTGGTAATATTTGTGTTAAAAAAATCCTCGTTCCTAATTTAAACTTTTAGAAACTGAAAAAAATCTTAAGTTTCATGAGCAAGTGCACTCTCTGTATTTTGGCCACTTCCAGTTTTGAATGATTCTATTTGCCAATATCTGTCATTAAAATTCAAATATCTAGTCCTCTTTTCTTGAGGAATAACAGGAAAATCCTCACAGCTTGCGCGTAGAGCTCGGAGTTGGGGAAGCTGGGAAGGATGCGCTTGACGGTCTCGTAGAGGCATTCGCGGTCGATGTTGGAGATGTTGCTCGAGGAGACGGAGGAGGCGCGGACCGAGGAGCGGCCTGAACGAACAGCGTTCGTCATTTTGGTGAAGGCAGCGCGAATGGCCGAATCGGCGTGGCCGCAGGGTACTTTCCCCTCTACAGCTGAGAAGCGTAAAGATTGGCGAGAGATGAACGAAGACGAACCGTTCATGTGGCTCGTCAGGTGTTGGTTGAAGAGTTTCAGGGCGTCTTCCGAGGCGATCGGCAGCTGAGCCGTCACGGCGGAGACAGGAACCCGGAGTTCTTCTGCGAGTTTGGCTTGGTAGGCGCTGGCTGTGTGTTCCGGATCTGAAGAGAAGATTGAAGAATCGGATTTGAGATCGTAATTATATATTTTTCCTCTTGAAAGCTCACGAAATAATAAATTTTGTAAGATAGCAATGGAAAGTTGTCTAGATTAATGAAGAAGAACGGTGAGCTGATTTGTATATAAAGGACGCCTTTCCAATTTTTGAAACACCTTCTATGGATTTACCTTCACTCTGGGAGTTGGCCAGTTGTTTCTGCATGGAGAACCATCCGTTGCGGACCAACTCGGCCCAGTCAGCCACACTGGCGACGTCTTCTCCGTCGTAGGCCTTCTCCAGATCGCAGAGCGAAGGCGGCGTCGGGAAGTTGGTCTTTCCGTCGGCCAAAACTCCGTAGACGGCGTTCATGCCTTTGACAGCTTCCGAGAACGGGAAACCAGACTGCTCATTGGCTGCGATGTCTCTGGAAAAGGGAGTATTAGATTATATTACTCAAAAACAAAATATCATCTGGACATCGAGTCTCTTTATTTTTTTGAATAAGAATGAGCCATAAAAATAAACGGACAACTTCACCCAAAAAATGGTGTGAGGCTTTTTCACTGAATAGTTTTCTATTTAATAAATCTTAGTAACAAGAAGTGCGAACAAAATAATTCGTTTCGCCGAAAAAAAAGAAGTTCCAATAGGTTCCATTCTTTCAGAATCTTCTTGTGGCGTCTCACTTTAGACAGCTTGATTTTCATACACCCTGAATCCTCACCGTTGCAACTTTTCCATCTGGGCCAAAAGCTCGAGTTCAGTCGTGCTGTATTGGAACTGGAAAAGATTTTTTAAAGTAAATATCCAAAGCAAGATATTTACCGTAGTGGAGCCAGAAAAGATGGAAGTGGTGCTGGTTACCGAAGCCTTGCGCGGGACGGTTCCCTTCTTGAAGACGGATCTCAAAGGACCCTGAAAAAGGCGAACTGAGGTTGAAGTTCAGTGATTGAGCTGATCGAACCTTGCTCGTCTTGGGGATGACGGTTCGGGTCGTAGTGTCTCCAGAAGAGTTGCCAGATTGCTGAGAAGCCGCCGGGCGAGGTAGAGCTCCGGCTCTTCCGTACTCGATCAGAATCTTCATCACGTCGGTGTTGCCATTTCTTGCACTTTCAAAGAGACAGGTGGTTTTGTCCTGGAACACAAAATTGGAAATAGGTATTCAGATATGATATTTATCAGATCGAAAGTTGTGAGCAGGTCAACCTTACTATGAAAACATTTTCGGATCCAAAACTTATAAAAACACTCCAATTTTCAGAGACTGACCAGTTAATAGAAGAATTTAAAAATTAGAAAAAGACTTTTTCCTTTTACTTTTGCTTTGAAACTCAGGTTATCACTCTTTAACTTTCAATGAACCTTGTTCTCAATGTGAGGATCGGCGCCGTTCTTCAGAAGAACGCGGACGACTTCGGTGTTTCCTTCAGCACAGGCCAAAGAGAGTGCCGTCGCGTCTAGACCAGAGGAGCGATAGTTGACAGGCGCTCCGTAGGTGATGAGGTCCGAGACGACATCGACGTAGTCGTTCTTCGCAGCTCGCATCAACGCCGTTCTTCCTTCCACTTCGCAGGCCTAGAATCCCAGGCTTCATTTTTTTTTTTCAGTACACTTCCTTTACTATTCTTTCTACGCCTTAAGAAAAACTGAACTTTAACATAACGAAAAAGATAGTATGATATTTTTTCATATATTCCTCAGAATCAAATTTCTATATATCTCACCACATCGGCGCCAGCGTCCAAAAGCACCCTCAAAACTTCTCGCTGGCCACAGTCAGCGGCCAAAACAAACGCGTGTCGGATCTGATCTTTCGGGATATCCTTCAAAAAACGTGTTCAAAAAGGAAAAGAGCAGGAAATCGAGGTACCCCTTGTTGGAGGATGAACTCGACGGTGCTGAGGTGTCCTTCCTGAGCGGCCTCGACCAGCGGAGGATTGCTTCCCGCAGTCAGGTCTCCTCCCTTCTCAATCAGCGCCTTCATGATGTCACTGAAATTTCTCCATTTCTCTTCACCCTCAGGAAACAAGGCTCAAACATGAAGCCTCCACAAGCGGCGACAGAAAGAGCCGTTTCGCCGGTTTCCTCCGTTTGAGCGTTGACGTTGGCGCCGTGAGCAAGCAGTACTTCCACTACGTTCTGGAATATCATAATTTATAATTTTTCTTGGGGTAATTGCTGTACCAAATGTCCTTCTCGAGAAGCTTCCATCAACGGTGTGTAGTTTTCGTCGTTGGTCGCTTCGAGGTAGGCTCCATTGTCCAGGAGAAGCTTCGCCTGAGAATTGATGGATAAGTAGAGGAAAATAGGAGAAAAAGGAAGCTTAGGAATAAATTCGTTTCAGCTTTGAAAAGTTTCTAATTTTTTTTCCTGAGGGGTCTCTATTGACGAGTTTAGGACATTTTGAAATTTCGAAAAACTTTTTCTTGGTCATTTTTCTAGATAATGTTTACTGACGAGTTCATGATGGCCTCCGCAGCAGGCGAGGGTGAGAGGACTCTCGAACGAGTCCGTATTCAGGTTGACGGGGGCTCCGTGGTCCAGCAGCAGCTGCACGACTTCCATGTGGCCGTCCATGCAGGCCTCCATCACGGACGTGTGTAATTCTTCTCCTCGGTCGTATTCCTTGAAAAACCACTTTTTTTCTCGGGAAATGAGAGACGCTATGTTTGCTGTGATACATGTACTTCATAAGTCGTTTGAGTATTTTTTTTTCAAAGTTATGCACCATCTTTTAAATCAAAATATGAATCTAAAAAAATTAGCCAGCATGTCCAAACCTTGTTAATAAATGAAAAAAAGGGAACCACACACACCTTTACCTGGACGTTCTGCGATGCCTCATAGGTTTCCAACAAGTACCTCACAATGTCAATGTTGCCTTTGTAAGAGGCAAGAGTCAAGGCGGATTCCTGACAGACAAATATTACAATTTTGATTCGAAACGATTTCAACTTTGAATTCGGAATTGAGATTGATGTAGTTCGACGGCGCTCCCGCTTCCACGAGCATCTTGACGATGTCGAGGCGTCCTGAAAAACGGATTTGGAATTTATTTTTATTGCTTCCTTGGAATCTATATACTTTTTCAACAAAAAAATTTTTAAAAAAACAAACTCAAATGAAAAGGCTCAAGCTTCAAAACGAAAAAATATCAAAAATAATCAAGAGCTTCAAAAAATAAGTTTTTTGCCTGTTTCAGCGAGCCAAGTCCGTACTGTTCTTTTTCAAATCAAGAGCTTTTTTTTATTTTTGAGTTGCAAAAGATGACGTTTGGTTTTTTTCGAAGAGTAGAATTTCTGATAACCTTCACGAACTTCTATGACTGAGAGCAAAAAATTCTAAAAAAAAACAACAATTTGAGAGAATGGCTATTTTCTCTTAACTTCACGTTAGTATTGAAAAGCTTATTTCAATCCTTTCCCTGAAAAGCACCTGAACTAGCGGCTTCCATCAACGCGCAATGGCCGTTCAGATTGAAGTGCTCAATCGAACAGTTGCCCGTGTCCAGAAGCTCTTTCACGCACTGGAAAACTTTAATAAATGCAAGTTTCGCAAGTTTTCCGGCACCTCAGGTTGTCCAGCGGCCGCGGCGTAGATCAAGGCGGTATTGCGGGTTCTAGAAAGGGAGCTGACGTCGGCGCCGAGCTTGATGAGACGTCGGAGGACGCCGATCGTGCCGGCCGCAGCCGATTCCATCAGAGGCGAAACCTCGAAGTCCTTGGTGAACTCCGTCGTTCCACGGACACGAACAATCATCGAGGCCATTTCCTCGAACTGGAAAAGAGACAATGAGAGCTACACTTGGAGTTCGTCATTATAATTTCTTGTACAGCTGGTTCACGGCTGGCTTGAGCCATCCAAAAAAGTGTCTTGACACGGTGAAAAGAAGCAGTGCCTGGTTGGTGGAGGGCACAGATAAGCCACGCCCTTTCTCAAACTAGCCGTGAAGCGGCTATAGCTTTTGAAGTTTTATTCTAACATGTTCGTCGAAACAGAGACAAGTAATCACATACTGGTGCTCTTTTTTTCACAATAAATGCTTCAAATTATTTTCTAGTACGTATTGAAGTCAATTGGAACACCTAACATAATCTTGGGATTAAAACAGCGCTAATTATACTAAAACTTAACGGAAAATACACAGAACTAAACGGAATCGTTGTATTATTCGAAAAAAATCGCGTCTTTTTTTACTCATGAGTCCCTTGAAGGAAAATTTCATAAATTTGATTGACTATCGCCCCAAAGTCTATCAGACAGCCCTCCTTCAACTAGACCAGGTTTAACTCAGAGCGCGTCATATTTCGACGAACAAAAACAGCCAAACACGGACCCCGACGGTACAGGCGAGTTCAAGAAGGCCGTTTTCACGGATCGTGTTCTCGCTGATGGCGTCGGCTTCGTCTTCTTCTTCCTCCTCTTCCTCTTCGACGCCTTCTTCGTCGTCGTACTCCTCGTCTTCGTCTTCAGTCTGGCTCTCGGGCTCCTCCTCGAGTCCGTCTTCGTCTTCGGCCGGTTTCAACGCGACTTGGTTGGGAGCCGCGTTGGCGTAGTCGAGTTGTCGGTCGCCGTCTTGGTCCACAGAATCCCCAGCTTCGACTTGAGATGCCGCCATCACGCTCTCCACGCAACGAGTCAGCGGTCGACTGAAACTTCAACATTTTCTCATTTTCCGCTCAGAATCAGAACGAACCGCATGGCGGCATTCACCAAAACCGTCAAAGCGTCGGCTGCATGTTCGACGGGAACCTGGTGGTTGGAAAGCAGGTTCACCTGAACAATTGGGTTCTCTCGGAGCTCGGCAAGCGCCCCTTCCAGATTTTCCTCATCGACCTCGCTTCCGTTGGACCACTGAAACAGAAGATGTGAACCTTCGTATGAGAGCAGAATTGACGGAAAAAAAAAGTCAGAGTTGCTGCTGTTTCCAAAAAAGGTCATGAAAATGGATTGATCGAAAAAAAAAACAGAGAATTTTTTCTCAACTAGAAGTTTTTCCTAAAAACTTTCCCAATGAAAAGAAAAACTGACAGCGAGGCATTGAGTGATGACTTCAACTGATGGTAAGTTGGCGCTGGGAGTCGGGCTTGGTGAGGAAAAACCGAGGTGGGAGGCGATTTTGGCGATCGTCGAGGTCGCGCTGCTCACCGTCGAGTTCGCGACGATGCCGGGCAAAAGTCCGGCGGCGACGCTAGCAGACTTGGTCTGCGCGAACGCGTAGCTTTGCAGGTGCATGTACGCCTGTAACGACGAAGATTTATTAGAGTTATTGTAAAATGCATTGTAAAAGCTTGGAATAAACTTACAATTAAAGATTTCAAAAATTCAGTGCCGCATTGTTTATTTTAACAGCACAGGAAGCCTTTTGTAATACTGGGAAAGGAAATAAATTAAAAAAGGTTGTTAAAGTTTCCAACGCAAAAGTTTCCTAGAAAATGATGCATCAGTACTTTTTTCAAACTTCTGTTTCTACTCTACACAGAAGAAAACAATAAAAACTGCATCAGAAACCTTTAATAAAAACTCCTATTTTTTGAATTTTCAATCGTGCCTAACATTTTGCTTGCAAGGAAAAAATAGCCGATTTATTGATAATGCAAAATCTTTCATTTTCAGCTTACCTTGACACCGTGGTCGTAGAGGCAACGGAAGACTTCCTCTTGCTCGTGATGATTCATACGAAAAATCTCGACAGGAAGAAGATGAGCGAAATGGTAAAGCGAAGAAGAATTGGCGTTGTTCGCCTGCACTACTCCAGTCACGGGGTCGACAACGACATTCGCGCGGATCGCCTTCTTTTTTTCTTGTATTTCATCTAAAAAAATGAAAATGTGCGGTGAGAGGCAATGTTTTTTTAACAATCAAAAAAACTCGATTAAAATATATAAAAAAATAAAGATATTTGTATTATAAATAAAATTTACAAAAATCTGATGCATATGATGCAAAAATGATACCTCAGCCAAAAATGAAAAAAATGCATAATAGTACAGTTTGTCTGGTTCTTATTAGAAATAAAAAAAGCTTAAAAACAACGGAAGAACGGTGAAAATAAATTCAAACGATACCGTGCTAAAAAATATTCTGAATAAAAAATGTTACCGCGGAAGAAGGCGAAGTGGATTTTGCACGGTAGCCCGTCTTCAAAGCCATATTGACACCGTTCTGAACGGCACATAGACGGGCAGCAAGCTAAATAAAATATAATTTAATAAGAACCAACCATATATAAAAATAATGTCAAAATAAAAACAAAAAGAAAATTGAAGAAAAATTAAAAAGTGATCAACCTCGCTGTTCTTGTCCAGCGACATCACATCCACGCTCGCATGATTGTTATCAGTCATTTTCCGCCACGAAATGTCGAAACTGACTGTAAAAACAACTATGAATATAAAACCGGAAAAGTACAACAAAAAATAACGAAGACGAGAGAACCATGCGACCAACGAAAAAACGAGAAGGGTTCCGAAAAATAAGCAGAATTTACTCGAACATATAAAAGTGCATATAAAGCTCCAATTTTTTATACTTAACTGTTTAATCCTTATTAATTTTGACATTTAGAACAGAAAACAAAACTATAGTAGTATTCATCGTACAAAGCGGGCAATTTTTCATTTCACTGAAGATGCACCAAATTTGCGCCAAAGTATTTGCGTCATGCAAGGTTCGCGAGACGCCGCGGCCGATTTGATCCGCAAAATGTTAAAAACTTTTCTAGACGTGATTCACTGATAAACTAGTTTGAGAATATTAGGAATTATTGACTGTAGAGATTGATGATGAAAAAGAATAAATGAAACTTTTTGGAACTTTTTGAGAGGCTCGCCATCATTGCTAGTTTTCAAGTAACGCGCCACCATGAAGAATTTTCCGAAGATAGAAATCTTCAAAAAATAAAAGAGTTCACCCAACGAGATTGGTGGCAAATCAGGTTTATTTTTTTTTTCTCCTGAAATAGCGAATTGATCGTTTCTCATAGTTTTGTGTAGTTTTGTTTTCCGTGTACAAGTGACAAAAATGAAACAATTTATAGCATTTTATTCTCTCTCTCTCTGTCGTTCAGCTTCATTTCGGTAGAACCAAGCCCTGAATTTAAATTTGTTTAAGATTACAATAGTCCATTTACGTTTGAGAGCATGTTCCCGTAGAGATTTCCCAACGTGTACGGCTGCTGACTCACTTTCTTAGTTTTGCATTGGTCCTAAAGTTCAATATGGGAAAGATCTTTGTAGTTTTCAAACCTTGACGTTTTGTTCAAGGGTCAGAAGACTCTGACGGTCATCTTCGCTCAAGCTTTCAACAATGTTCTCAACCTGTAACCATTTGAAAACTATGAAGTCTGTTCACAGTAGTTGGACTATGTTAGGATCATAGGCCCAAACACCACAGAGAAAGGCCAAGAAGCCTTTGAAAGCTTTCTTTCCTCCTATAAAAGATCAGCAAAATGGCGTAAAATTATCAAATTAAAAACAAAGTCAAAAGTTTTTCAAGTATAATATGATCCAAAATTCTTTTTCAGGGTGTTTGATAACACGGAAATCTTGCATTAAACACTAAAAAAGGCTTATCGCCTCGATACCTTTAATATAATATTTGATCCTCAAAACACCATAGCGAAACATTTCGTAGAATCGTTCGCCAAATTTTTCCCAAGACCAAAAACAAATTTCTGGATCGTGACTGCCATTGCCATTTCGTGTTGTAAAACTGTTTGGCAGTCATTTTTTTTTCCTGGTCATGTTTTCCCTGGCCAGTCATATGATCATATGAGCCAGTTAGCAAGTCGAAATGGCACTTTTTTCTTTTTTGGTGACCTCCAGGAAAGTTTTTGGCGGCGACTGGAAGCCGTTTACTCGGAGACTCGAAGAGAGGCAATCGATACACGTGACCGACCTGGGCGATGCGCGTCTTCTTCGGCAAACTGTAGAACGACGGGCTGCAGGACAGCTTCGCGATGTCCGCGTACGCACTTTGAACCTGCCAATTGCACTCTTCTGACTCAATGGGAAAGAGAAAGAAATGAATAAGATCACATGAGCAGCAAAAAAAAAAACTAACAATGGAAGTTATTTTTGTTATAAGTTTGGATGTTTCCTATGAATGTGGTCAAATGCTCCTCGAATAAATCGAAATCAAGTCAACTTGGACATTATCTGGAAAATACTCTTGCTTTGGAGATATGAGAAATCAACGAAAAATTGAAGAATCAGTGACTTGAAAGCTTCAAATAGCTTCCAAATTTGAAAAGTTCCAAAAATCTTCATTAAAAATTGTCCGCAACTCGTACCATATCTGGATAACAAAAAAACGTCTACAGACATCTTTTACGAACTCGATTCCCAGTTCGCACGTGCTCAGAGCATCTGGGCCCAGTTTTTTGCAAATCGTAAGACTCGTTCCTCTCCTGACCAAAAAAGTCTCTTTTTGCAATTTTACGACCACATCTTTCTTTTTCTTTTAAAGAGACCATCGAAATGTCTGTCGATCGTCGGAAAGTGTCTGGGAAAAATTATTAAATATTCTGACGGCATCTATTGACAAATGGATAGCTTGGAAACTTTTGAGAAACGTTTCCTAATGGATTCGATACATCAGGAGGGATGTCAATATTTCTTGAAATAAAATCTAGGTATCCATTTGAAAAGGAATCTGTTTTCTAAGCTGGCCGGTAGTTTTCTAAGTTTTCTAAGCCTTCGGAGGCGCCGACGGAGCTAAATATAAACATTTTTCGTAAAATTTTGAAGCTTCAAAAGACATTTTTTAAACTTACAGTGGCCGGTGCGCTGCTGAGTGAAGTGCCTATGAATTCGTAGACATCAGTTAAATTCGCCACAACAGCTTCTGCGACTGCCTCAATAGTAAAAAAAAAGTTCGAGAAGTTGTTTAGAGTTTTTTTTTACTTTATCGGAAGCCGAAAGGTCAGCTGGAATCGTGGCAAGTAAGGCTTGAAGTCGTTGATCTTTTGTGGCCGCCGGGTCGTTCAAGGAGGTCAGTGTCTAAAACTACTCTTTCTTGAGTGAATTTCTCTTAGAACTAGCTTCAAATCATCTCCAAACATTCCCAAAAATCTAGTCGATCCTTCTCGACTTGACAGGCAAAATAGAAAAAAAAAATTAATTTTCAATAATTTTCAAACTTTTGTACGTTCACCTAAATCTTTTCAAACCCATAAAAAATTAGAACTTCTTGTAAAACGAACAAAATCCGCGTCGCACACGCAACGCTTCACGCTTGCCAATTCACCCATTTCGCCTTTCAAATCGGGAAAGATTGACTATACAAATTTTAAAAAAAACTTATTTGTACAAGATTTTTCTATGTTTGACCTCGAGTTCCCCGCCAAAAGTATTTTTCGACTCGTTCGAAGAGCATGAATAACAGGAGGGACAAAAAAAAAAAATCAAAGAATACATTTGTAAATGCGACAAGCTTCTCAGTCGCAATCCTCCCGGAAGTCGTTGCTGAAGATTGAGTCGACGTCGTTACTGTCGGCTGCTGAGATACAGTAGTCGTCCTCCTACCTAGAAAATACCTTTTGTTCCTTATATTTCGAGATTTTCTCATGTTTCAAAAGTTGTCAGCAAGATCTTTCCGTTATCTAAAGGGCTTTTAGTTGAAGAAATCAACGCTAAAATGTTTAGAAGTTTACAGTGAAATCCCTTTTCATATAAAACCTCTTAAAAAACGCCTACGAATCTATTTCTGAAAATTACAAATGACGAAACTTAAAAAAATGCTGAACAGCATAGGGGTTTTTCGCTAACAAAGATGTCATTTTACGGTTGAAAAATTTAATTTTTACTACCTCAGGTAATTTTGTGGTACCTCAGGTTCATGCTTACCAGCTTATTACCTGGGAATTTCTTCAAAATCACCTGGCCAGTCGTGGTCACGGCTTAGCAAATCAGCGTAAACGGCTTCGCAAATCAATAAAAGAAGAGCGATCAGTAGAAAGTTCATCGGAAATGGTTATACAAAATGGGCATTTCGGCGCATTTTCCCTCGGTGATCCGTTTGAAATCCCCATTTCACTCCTCTTCTCGCTCAGCCGTTTCCAATTTATTGACCTTTTCTCTTTTTTTTCTAAATTAACTTTCTTCCATTCTCAGAAGGAGCTATAAAGAAAAGAAGAGACGGCAAACACCTGCGATGCCATGGAAACGGTCCAAGTTACTCATTAGGCGCAGTTTTCATTTCTTTACAAGATGGAGCACCTCTGCGACCCGCTCGAAGACTTCGAATACAACGTCTTCGGACATGGTGAGAATTCTTTGATAGGCACTAAAAAATACAGTTCCCTTTATAAATAGGCTAAATTCAGAAAATTCTCAACTTTTTTTATTATCCAAATAGAGTATGGCCTGAGCACGACAAAGAGTTGAGAATCGAGACTTTCTGGGTTGGTAGGCCTAGGCGAGACTTTTTCCGAATCAAAAAGTTTTTCCTGAGTGTACAAGCCCCCGTAAAAAAACTTCCAACATTCCAAATAAAAAAATCGAAAGAATAAAAAAATTGATTGAAATGGAAGAATAATTGAACAGTTTAATTCTGCATCCACGTAAAAAAAATGAAAACTTGCGTTCTTTTAACGAAATTTATCAAGTTATATTAGAAACGTACGCTGGAACATGGTCAACGATGTTTCAGACAAATGTCCTGAAAAATCCGACTTGCGAAGCTTTTCAGTTTGATTTTTTTCACATGAGTAACTTTTTAAAAATGAACTCGATGCTAGAATCTCTCAAAAGTTCGCAAAAACAAGAAACTCGAATACAAAAACTGGAAATCGGTACTGATTGAGACATCCAGGGTCAGAAAAATCCAGATTTTCTGTTTCTCAAAAACAAAACGGCCTTGTAACGTTTTCAGACCGCATGTGGATCCGCAGCATTGAACTCATACTTCTGATTTTGTTCTGGCTGTTTATCTGGCGTCAACCAACATCTCCAACGAGTCTCTGCATGAGTACCGTCGCGTCTGGTCTCACTTTATTATTGCCTGTCCAAGCCATCAAGACCTACTACACATTCTGGCATCCTATTGACGCCATACAATCGTCTGTTTTTCCACTTCTAGATCCTCTAGTCATTTTTCGAAATTCAGAACTTTGTTGTGTCACATTCTTCGAATCGAATACACATTGCACTACTTCTGCTCGACCGTCTTCCAGCAATCCTTCGTTCTGTTCTACGCTTTGATTGCCTGGAACCGCTCTGTGTATTCCGAAGTGGGGAAAAAAGCGAGGTTTGTTCATTCCAGGCGATGAAAATGATGAGAACTACTTTTCCAGAATCGCTTACGGCCTAGTCTTTATCGAGTCCGCAATCATCAGTATTCTCTACGTGAATCTGAGAAGCCACGCAGTGTTCTTACTAATTTTCCTACTCCAACAGCTCTTCTTCCTTGGTGCTCTCTCAGCGTTGATTCTCTTGGTATGGTATATTCTGCTCTGGCTTTCGAAAAGAAAAAAGACCAAAACTTTGCGTTTCGAGGCGTTCTTCAGCGCGTCACCTATGCTCCTTTTATTTTTCTTTCTTTTTGATACTCTGAAGTAGAGTTTAGATTCCTAGGACAATGAGAAAGTTTCTTCGCAGCAAGAATCCTCTGTTTCCCTTAAAAAATTCAAGAAAGTTCCTATGACTCATAGGCTATGAGTTCAGTTTCATTCTGGTTAGAGTGAAATTCTAACCAGGGAAATGAGTCTAAAAGCATAGATCGCATATTAAAAGATACACTGACACAAAAAATGAAGTCTTTTTCCCAAGCTAGAGACAAATAAACTTTGAAAAAATGACTTCTGATCTTCAACAGGTCGGCTGTCTAACGTGCACGAAAGCGCCTTCGACCAAGGAAAACAACCAGCACGGCTACAACTTTTTCTGGCTACAAATCTACCTCAACTCGCCCTTTTGGCTCAACTTCTATCAAATCGGTGAGAAAGGCTTTAAAGGGACGATGAATCATCCTTTTTTGATTAAAATCTGTTTCCATGTCCAACCAAGCATAATGAAATTGAAGGCATAATGACGTCACTGCTTTTCCCGCTACTCTCGCCGGCGCCGTCTTCTTTCGACTATCCATTGGACCTTTCTCTACGCGCTATCGAAGCGAATCTCGTGCACAAATTCACCTTCACAACTATCGTTACCATCGGTCCAATCTTCATCCTACCGCCATTCCGACGCGAAATCCTCAAACTGTGCTGCTTTTCACGCAGGAACAGAATCTCAACCCCCGCAGAAAGTCCGGCACCTACATCCTTCTAAGCTCTTCTTTTGAAACCATACATGGGCAGACCTTTTACAAAGGCCGCCAACCCCTCCTCAAAAAGCATTCCTTAACTAAAATTAGTATTACCTCCGACAAGAATGGTCATATACCTTCTTAAGAGATTGATAACTATTTCTATTCTTGTTAAACTACCTCCGTGAGGTTAAACTTTATCTCCTATTTAAAAAAAAACTAACTTTTGTCTACCCTTATTAAGTTACCCTATACTACAATCAGTTTAATCTCCTGAGGTTTGAAATTACACTAATCTCTATTTCCCCACCTGAGTATGGAAGCTTAGCAATAAAAATTTATTACAGCTCTTCAAAATGAAACAAACAGACTATTACAAATTAAGGAAGTGACAACGGGTATTCAAGTCGATAAATTAAAATTCCACGTAATATTTCTGAGACCAGTTGATTTTGCACAAACCGAGAATAAACATAACGGAGAATCGAAGTGCATCGAGAAGATATATACCGGGAAAAGAAAGAAGCTCAGTTTCGCTGGGCTTGACGTTGTTCGCCGTTGAATTTCCTGTTCATAAGAGGACCGCCGGGCCTTCTGTTGGTGTCGATGCGACGCCAGACAAAGCGGCGGAGGTCCCGAACACGATTTTCCGTCTCCTGAATTCAACAGTTTGATTCAGATATATGGAAAAAATCAGTTTTCAGATCAAACCACAAAAGACCAATGGAAATTCGCCATTTCAAAATTTAATAAACTTGAAAAACTGGAGAAAAAAAATCACAGGATTTCAATCATGAATTTGATAGGTGAAAAGCTGAATCTATGATATAGAATAGTTATTTCTAGAAGTGCATTTGATTTAGAAGCAAATCGTTTAAGGCAAAGAACTGTTGGACAAAAAATTTACGAAATAAATTCAAATCCAGAATTTTAATTAACCGTACTTTCAAATAAGTTCTGAGCCCTCTTCAGAAATTCAAAATGTCCGAGCTTCGAAACCAAGGAAAAAAAAAGTGAAGAATTCAAAATACAATCTCATGGTGAAAACTGCGAAAAAAAATGCTCTCAAAATTTGAATATGATTTTTCTTGAATAGATTACTAGAAAAACTTATCACATCTAAAAAAAATGTTTTTTTTTAAATCTGACCGCTTGCTCTTGCTTGCTGTCCCAACTGTGTTTGAGAAGTGACTGTTTGCGAATTCTCATAAGCGTTCGGCCGCCTTCGTTTTGTCCGTCCCAAGTCAAAGGCTTCATGGCTTCCTCGCGGATTTTTCTCCATCCCGTTCCGTAGAGCTTAATTCAAAAAAAAAATACTCAACGTTGGAAAAAGAACATACCGCTTTGTTTCGTACATTTTTTGCACATGCAAGTAAAATTAGAACCAGGAAAACTTTAAAAACTAGTTCCAACCCAAAAAAAAAGCGAATCTGATATGGTTGGAGTGTGAAGGAAACGTTTTTTTTTGCTTCAAACATTACATCAATTCCTGAAAAAACCCTAATTTTGGCGAGCGGTTCGACTTTCATTTTCCCTACAATTCGAAATGAAAATATTCTACAGCTGAAGGAAAATACATGAATTATTTTTACCTAAAAAAAAGTCAATTATAACTCCGAGAGAATTTTTTCAGCTCACCTAAAGTGATTTTTGATAATCAGCAAAATAGAAAATAAAAAAATTGAACATGTTTTCACCTTGTCTTCTGAAGCGACAGCAATATAGCTTGTGCCAGTACTGACAAGACAGTTACGAATGCTACGCGCCTGTTCAAACTTCAGAGTTTGCGCTTTGATGTACATTTCCAGCTTGATCTGAAAGCGAATATTCTGCTTTGATAATAATCAACAAATCGAACCTGATTCCATTTTTTCTCACTGAACGCCTTGATATTCTTCATAGCGTTTTCGGCGCCATTATATGTGGGTGCAGTGCGAATTTCCGTCATGGCATCTTGATCGTTAAAATATTCAGCCATCAAGTACCTTAATTATCATTTCAATATTAAATTTGTAGTTCCCAACGATACCAGTAGTATCGTTCAGCGCTCTTGTGCTCTTTCTCGTGTTCATCCAAAAGAGTAACTTTGTAGCCAAATGACAACGGATCATTAATTCCTTCGAAAATAATGGTTCATCACAGAAAAAAAAGATGCAATTACCGCCAACAAGAATGAAATCGCGGCCGATTTCATCATAATCCGCAAATTCTAAATCTTCATCGGAAGATTCGCCGTCGTCTTTTATGACGCCCCGCAACTTCTCTTTCAGCTTCAAAACCTTCTTCTGAGTCATCGAGTTGCGAAGCTGAATTATATCTAAGATTCAATGTGTCCTATTTTTGATATGTTTTACTTTCAGCTTGTGAACAGCTTTACGGAGATTGATTTTTTCTTCTTCGAGGAGAAATACGGCGTTGTGGACGGCCGCGTTTGCGCGTCTCACATCGTCTACTTCCTAGAAACGTAGAAACCCCTCTAAAACATTTTTCTTACTTTCTTCAGCATATCCTTCTCGTCCTGCATTTTGACCAGCATGTTGTGCATTCCTTTATGAGAAACTTTCAAATCTTCAAGTTCCTGAAAATCATAAATCAAACTTTTTGAAGCGTTTTCTTAACCAACCTTCGAAATTTTGACGACAATGTCGTTATCGCTCATCATTTTGGTAACGTTTACCAAGCTGAAATTGGTAAAAAAAAACTTTGAATAAACAAGAAGTACACAGCTTAGAAGTTCAATTCGACACTCATGCGCTTATTATAAGGAAAGATAAGAAAATATGCGACAAGGATTTTCGATAACGGTTAAGCTGATAGTTAACGAAAGCAATGGAATCTTAATAGCAAAGGCTGGGTTAATTATTCTAATTTGCTGATAAAAGCGGGAAAGGGTATTCAGTTGAGATTTTGCTCTATTTTAGGCCAAAACCGGAAGAAAAAGAAAAAATGGAATGAAAAAAGGATTTTCAGCCACGCGAAATTGCACAAATAATTTTTTGCGGACATTATTCTCACAGTGATCAAAAATTAAACTTTTTTGTCACAAAGAAAAAAAGGACCCTGGAGATCATCGACTTTCATGAAATTTTATTTAATGAAATCTCGAAAAAAATTTGAAAGATGGGAAGAACTTCCGTAGTATTCCAGTGGAAAACGTGGTTCACCTTTTCTTAAATTTACCACCGAAGAAACGAAACCGGAGAAAAAGTGAAAAGATAAGAAGTTAGATGTTTATCAAGAGAGTAATTGGTAAAGGGTTCGTAGCGCCGACCCAACATCGATTTTTGTTGGCCTCAACTTTTTTGATCTTTTTGGCTGGGTTAGAAAAACGGTCAACCTCATTTGATTTTCAGTGCTTTCTCACTTCGGCGTTTCCTTGCTTTGAAATTTCGGCTGGCTTTTCAAAACGAAATGGCAAGTTGTGGAGGCTGCGGTCCCGGCTACGCATCTCCAGCGGAAGCCACGAAGGCGCCTCGGGAGAAAGTAGGCTCATCTTTTTCTTTTCGTAGCTAAATCTGCGAGAGCGGTGCATTTTAAAACTTTGAGGTGCTGTTGGTGACGGCTCCCCACGCTCAAGAAGGCCACGACGCTATTTTTAGTATCGATGTCGATCCAGAAAGCGAAACATACACTAAGGCTCAGGCATTTTCTTATAAAGTTGGAATTTTTGAAGTTCAGGTTATTTCAAGAGTCGACTTGCCAAACATCGGAGACGAGGTCCATCACACGGGCTGGAACGCTTGCTCATCGTGTCATGAAGATTCGAAGTCCAGCAGGTGACTATGAGAAAATTATCTCTAAATTGTTTTTTTCCTTGACCTCATCAGGTCTCACTTGATTGTCCCATGCCTAAATTCGGACCGAATTTACATCATCGACGCGAGAGATGTGAAGAATCTACGACTTGAGAAGGTAATTTTTTGAGTTGTATGATCTTAAAGCCTAGTTTTCCTTTGGAATCTTTAGACAATCGAATCGGAAGATCTCAAAAAGCACGACGTCTCGTTTCCACACACTTCTCATTGCCTCGCAGACAAAAACTGCATGATCAGCACGTTGGGAAATGGCGAAGGGGAAGGGAAAGGTTAGCACCAGATTTTAAAAACTGTGGTCGCATTTGGAATGACTTTAAGCGACGCGGTCGTGATGCGATTAACCGTATTTTCAATAGAATTGATTTGATCTTTCATCTGATTCGTTTTCCAGCAATCTCTAAGAGCTAAGCCATTCTACGTGCGGACAAGACTTATTGAATTATAATTAATGGATTACAGGTGATTTCATTCTTCTGGACAGCGAGACGTTTTCAGTGAAAGGAAAATGGTCAAATGATGAGTCACCGTTGCCGCTCAACTACGATTTTTGGTTTAATATCAGATTCTAAATATAAAATGTGTGAAGTTCAGGTACCAACCCCGATGCGACGTGATGATCTCTACAGAATGGGGCGTTCCCAATCTGATCAAAAAAGGCTTTGATCTCGCCGACGTCGCCAACGGTTTAGACTTTCTTCCTAGTGGAAAACATTTGATTTTCTGAAGGAACCTACGGAAATTCTATCCAAATCTTCCAATGGAGCACGAGGAAACGTATCCAGACGATAGACCTACCACTTCCCAACGGACACATGCCTTTGGAAATCAGGTTTTATCTATTTTTGTTCTGTTTGAAGCTAGGAAATTTCAGGTTTCTTCACGAACCGAGTGAAGAACATGCATTTGTCGGCTGCGCGCTTGGTTCTACAGTTTATCATATTCAAAAGGAAAAAGTGAGATCTTTTAAAACTAAACCGCTTTGATTTTGAAACGTTTGGTCGCACGAGGATTGGCTCTTAATGATGCGTCCGACTCGAAACTACTTGCGCGCGTTGCCATCTGATTCAATTGAAGAGAGTTGTTAGATTCTAAGTTTCTTGCAAATTAACTTCGAACCGCGACCGCGTCGCTTTGAGCCATTCCAAACCCAAAAAAGCCATTTCAAATGGAAATAAGTTCATGTTTCAGAACACCAAGGAAAAGTACGAAGCGACGGAAGTCATTGCAGTACCCAGCAAAAAGGTGATTTCTTCAATAAGAAAACTTCGTCAAAGATGAATTTTCAGGTGAATGGCTGGATTCTCGACCAAATGCCGGCTCTCATAACGGACATTCTCATCTCGATGAATGACCGATTCCTTTTCTTCGCTTGCTGGCTCCATGGCGACGTTCGCCAGTACGATATTTCCGATCCAGAAAACCCAAGGCTCGTCGGCCAAGTTTTAACAAACCATTTCAAGAAGAAAAACTTTTTTCCAAGGTCTACATTGGCGGAGCGATCCACGATGAGAGCGGGGTGACTGTAGAGGGTGAAGATCAAGTTAAAGCCTTGTACGTGAAGGGAACGAAGGTCGAAGGAGGCCCTCAGATGCTCCAGCTCTCTCTCGACTCTCGACGTCTGTACGTCACCACCTCGCTGTACAAGAAATGGGACGCTCAGTTTTATCCCGGTCTTTTGAAGTGAGATTTTTTGTTTTCATTTCACCCAAGCAAAAAGGAAGTTCTTAGTTTTCCATATTGTTTTGCTTATCCTAAACTTCGTCTAGATTCAACTCTCAGCTCAAAAAATAAGAAAAAATACCAGTTTATTCCAGGAAAGGTGCGACGATGGTTCAAATCGACGTTGATCCCAACGGGGGTATGAAGATCAACCAAGACTTTCTGGTCGATTTCGGCGCAATTGAAGGTTTCGACAACATTTTTTAGCCTTTCACCTTATCAAAACCAATGTTCGCACGTGGAATGGCTGCAAAAAATTTACTAAAACGACTCCAACCGCAACGCGACCGCGACGCTCAGAGCCATTCCACATGCGACCGCGCTTTCTGAGTCGAAGCTTCAGAACTATTGAAAAAATGTTCAGGTGGTCCATATTTGGCACACGAGATGCGTTATCCGGGCGGAGACTGCACTTCAGACATTTGGGTTTAAAATAATCAGCTTGCATGATAATTTGCTACATTTCATTGTATAATCCCTAAACTTATAATAAATAATCGTTTCTCAAAGAATCAATGAAAATGAACAGGAAAAGCGCAATGAACAGTGAAGGTTATGTTGCTCTTGGCACAGAAGGAAGATCTCCACAAAGCCCATCTTTCTGTTCCTCTTATCCGCTCCATGTTGTAGGTGTAGAACCTGGAGTGTTCAAAATATTCTTTATAAAATTTCTTAGGCTCATGTCTTTATCTTTCCAGCACTGAAAGTTGATTTTTTCTTCCATTTTTAATACCTTTACTATCAAAATATAAAAAAACAATTTTCGAAATTTATTTGGATTATTTCATCCGACAACCTATCGATAAAAAATTATCCAAAACCAAAAACTCACAAACTCGCCCCTTTTTGAAACTGTCTGACCTGTCTGCGCTCTCTTTGCTCTCACTAACCATGCATTTGAAAAAAAAAATGTAAAACTATCTTTTTTTCCTGTTTTTGAGTCGGAGCGAATGATTGATTATAATTTTGAAAAAAACAATTTTTTTGAAGAAGTTTTTTTGTATTTTTTTGAAATTTTTCGTGTTCGAGCACCTTAAGGGAATTTCGATTTTCATGAACTATCATAAAATTATGAAGCTCACCGGGTACATTTTCGATGAATCGTCGGATTTTTGGAGATGACGGAATCTCTCTCGGCGCCATCGCATTCCATGTCGCAACTCACTCTTTCGTCACCTTCAAATTTCAAGTTTTGTTTTAAAAACTTAGAAACGCCAAAGTGATAACTATAGGGATTTGGGAAAGAGACGCTATAGTGGACAAAAGCTCAACTGGTTCTTATGAAGTTCTTTTAATTTTTTAAAATCTGATTTCGAAGTTAAAAAGGCCTTAAGGAACCACTAGCAGGCTCCCGTGGCCAGTTTTGCATGCCTTGAGGCCCCTGTAGGGGGAGGCTAGGTGGTCCCTTGAGTGAAACCTACAAGAGCCCATAAGGTTGTCGCTCTAGGGATCACTCTGGCGCTCCTAAGAAAGTTTTTGTCCCTACTTCGAGTGCAGTTCGCCAAATGGGGCGGCTCTTCGTTGACGTACAGAAAACAGACTTCCTGGGTGCAGGACAATATTCGACGTTCTGAAAATCTTCCAATTTTCTCCAACTTCAAGAAATCAATTACCCCAATCAAACAAGGCGGCAACTTTAGCAGTTAAAGCTATCAAAATAAAAAGACGCATATCAGAAAAACGATTTGAGATCGATCCAAATGCCTTCGACAGTCGCCAGAGCTGGTTTCAGATGGCATCATAACTTGATTAATCGACGTGTTTCCCGCGCAATTTTCCCCCCACGATGGCCATGTCAACACTAAATGGTCCGTTTTTCTGGAGCACTTTGTTTGCTTTGAAAAGTTGCTCCAAAAGGTCTCGAAAGGATTTGCGAAATCCGACACCTTTTATGTGTAGATAGCTGCCACGCGTCAATATCCCAAAAAAAATTTCCCGTTATTTTTCTTCTTCTTTTCAACATGATCTCAGTTGGAAGGAGTCCAAAAATCAAACTTCAGGTTTCTGTTTCGTCAATGAAAAGCTGAAATGGAAAAAAGATCAATTTCGAAAAATGTGTTTTGAAACTTGGCCCATCCATACTCGGGGAAAAAAATAAAATAAAATAGAGGACAAAAAAAGGCCCTTATAGGGGTCGAATTCAAGTGGTTCCTATAGGAGTTTAGGTCTGCCCCCTAAGTCCCTAAAGCTCAAGTGGTCTCTAGAAGGTCTTTTTTGTGTTCAAATTTAAATATTAAAAAGAAATCTTTCAATTTCTCTCTGATGATATTTCATTCAAACCTATAAGGAAAGATAGTGAGGTCCCTAGAGGGAAACCTTAGAAAGTCCCATATGATTACCTCTATAGGAACCACTCTGGAGTTACTAAGAGACGGTTTTCATAGGATTTGAGGCTAGTTTTTAGGAAGTTTCAGGTTGGAAAAATTTTAAACTAGATTTTAATAAAATGATCATTTTTTAGTCTCGTGAGTTGCTTCTTTTCAGAAAAACGAGAGATAAAACAGTACCTCGATACTGGGAAAATTTTTAGTGGCCACTAAAAGAGGTGCTCTATTTAGTGGCCACTTCAGTGGTTTTTCATCCAGTATTCCTTTCATCTACCTTACAATAACTCTGATAATTTTTAAACAAACAGGACCCGTTATGTTGATCCATTGACCCCTTAAGTGGCCACTAAAAATTTTAGTGGTCTACACACTTAGACCTCTATAATTTTTAGCCCCTATATTGACTACTATAGTGGCCACTAAAAGTTTTCCCACTATATTTTTTTTCAAAACGTTTTTGGAACTGCTTATCAGTGTTCTGAAAGGTTGAGAAATAGAGAGGGAGATTTGAGAACTTTTTTTTTCTTTCCAAGGATAAGCTCTAAAGAATCAAGCTGAAGAAGCTCGTTTCCAGTTCGATGTGATCAGACCACGCGAGAGCTTTTTTTTTTCTCTCCGTCCTTCGAAGTGATATCGAGTTCTGATGATAGGCTTCCGGAGCGCGGAAAACTCCGTCTTTCTCAGGGGTTGGACGATCGTCGCGTTTGTTTGTCGGCGCTGGGGGGCCGTTTTGCCGGACCGATGGACAGAAAGCGAAGCGCCGGAGCCGCTGTGTTGCGGACGCACTTGAAACCTCTCTTGTCGTCATCTTGTCCACCGCCCACGGCGCTATCAGCCTTTTTATCTTCCATGTCGTCGAGGTGCCGTTCCGATATCTCTTGGATTAGTTTCATTCGAAAAAATTTATTCGGTTTTTGTTTTTTGTTGTTCAAAGGCTGTAACAAACTGCCTGACTCTCTAACGTGGCTTAGAAAAGAATCTTCAGAAACGTATTGTCACAATAAAGACCATTCAATTCGGACTTTTGGTCCTTTTTTAAAATTTGGCTGTAACGTATATTCCTCTAGAGTTTTAAATGAAGAACCTGACAAGGGAGCTAATTTTTCTTCACGTTGAGAAACGGGCTAGAATATTTATTGATTCAATGAAGGATGCCCCTGGGAGCCTGTAGCTGCTAGAAATCTTATTCTTTGAAGAAATGGCTCCCAGATTTGACAAAAAAAAACAGCTAATAGTCTATTCTGAGTTGCTTTTCGTCGAAAATTGAAAATTTTAATACTTCATTGACTTACTTTATCTAGTACGTCCAGATGGTTTTAGCCCAATTCTCTCGAAATTCCAAAATGCAAATGAGCCACCCTGTCTAGACCTAAACCGATTTTCAGCAAATCTCAAGACTTCGGGCAGTATGACCTTTCTGTTATTCGAAAGATCTTCCATTTCCAGAAAAACCTGTTGATCCCTTGACTTTTGTCGAAATGGCCGAAGGCAAGCGACGGCGGTACACGCAGGGCCGAAGTCGGACGATTGAACTTTCCACGCTTCCAGAGATCGACGAAGACGCTCATGTTCGCCAGGGTAAGCCTAAAAATAAAGATGGAAAACTGTAAGGAAAACGGTGGCACACTCTTTTTTTCCGAAGGATGGAAGCTTTAAAAAAATTATTTTGTTAATTCTGGCCAAGTTTTTCAAGCTACGCATTGTTTTTTTTTAATACTTTAAAACTTTGATTTTTCTTTTTCTAAATTTTGAATATCCGTTCATCTAGTTAATCCACATCAGCTCAGTCAGGATTTAAAGCATATAAATTTTGCAAAAAAAAAATCGAAGCGACCTTTTTCCGTTTTTTCAAAAAAACTTCCCGTCAAAGTCGACCTGTTTTTTTTTCTTTCAAATTCAATAAGCAATTAAAAGATGATAGATTATAATTTTACTGCATCAAAAAACTAACCTGACTAAATATGTCAATATTATCACAAAATTTCCAAAACTCCAATAGCAATCAAAGCGTGAGAAAGGTGGAAAAAACTTTTTGATCAAAAAAAAAAGTCTCAAGCTTTTCCCCCATTGTCTCGGAGTTGTCGCTTTAGGGTTAGAAATAGATGCCGGAGACCGGTGTTCAAATCGGTTTCGGACGTTTGAGAAAGAGCCAAAAAAAAAGGAAGAAATAGGGGGAGGAGGTCAAATTTGTTCGCAAGCGATCTCGCCGTTTTTCATTGTTTCTTCGCGCAATGCAATCCACACGACACGGCTCCCAACGACCAATTTGAACCTTTTCTATCTTGTCGCGACATGTTTCATGGTAGTAACTTCATTTTGAAACACCATTCCATGTCACAGTCAAAGTTAGGTTGTTTGAGGGAACTTGAGGAAAACGCAGTGAATAAGATTGAAGAAGTCTGCTCGAAATTCTCACTTGAAATATATCTCGTTTTCGAGTTAAGACGCTTCAAAAAGCCAAAATAATGCTTTTTTGCGATACTTTGCGTGTATTACGAATTTTGAAGCTTCATAACTTGAAAAAATAAAAGACGTTCCCCAGTCAGAGAAAGACATCTGCAAAAAGTAAAAGTTTCTGGAACGTCATAGTATTTTCTTGGGACGGATAGTTTTTTTCAATTAAACTTCGCAGAAAAGAAGTTCAAAAAAAAAAGGGAACGGCCCGAGAAAAAGGCAGGAAAAAAGATAAAAAAAAAAGAAGGTGACAGATAATAAATAAGTGTTGGATAGATAGCAAGGGCAAACATTGATCTCAGTTCAGAAGTAGAACAAAATATATTGGTAACAAATCGAGTACCTTTTGTTTTTTTCAAGGGACTAATTTTTTTGAACTAATAGGGTAATTTTTTTCCAGAAGAGTTCGATTTTGCAAACTACTCTTTTTTTATAATCTTGATTATAATTTTATTTTTTTGGTCATTTTTTTCAAAAAGAAGTTCGCAGAAAAAAATTTTTTTAAATTCGCTCTTCTGAAAATTAAGCTCGCTCTTCTGGAAATTCCAGTGATTGCTATCATAACCCCACGAATTCGGTGTTTTGTAACCTATGACATTTTTTTTTTTGGGGGTTCAGAATTTTCTGGAAATACTTGCAAATAATATTTGAAGGTCTTAACAACTGAACTTCAAATTTCAACAATATGAATATTCAACTTACATTTTCGAATCATCCAACCTCAGATAGCGGATTGGATCGACGTCGCGGACTCTCGCAGGACGACAGTTGCGTCGGCTCGGCAGCCTCTCGTTCCTTCCGAGGCAGCGTCAGGTCCATCGTCCGACATTTGAGCGAGAGGCAGCTGGCTCAGCGAGGCGATTCTTTTTTGAAGTGTTCATTAATTACGTTCTAACTTTAGTAGCTCCACTAGCGACTTCAAACGAGCCTTCGGAGTCGCAGAAGGAAGCCTCTGCCGCTGAAGAAGACGTGACCAAGAAGAGGCAGTACACGAAAGAGCTTCAGGGCAAAAAGCCAGAGCGAAAAGAGGCAAGTTTTATATTTTTTCCTTAGTCATGATTTGAAACTCTCTGGTCGCATGTTGAATGACTCTAAGCGTTGCGCTCCAAGTATTCCTTCAAAGCTTTTTCTTGGCGGTCTTTCAATTTCAAGAAAATGTCCAGTTATTCGAGAGTCGTTATGTTTTGCTTCGAACTCGTTATTTGAAGTTCTTTCAGCCAAAAGTCGTTATTTAGAGCACGACAAAGCCTTTTTTTTGAAGCGGCTTCGCAGCCTTCCAATTTTGAGCCATTCCAAGTGCGACCAGCTATTTTCAAACCAACAAAACTGTCTTTTTTGATCTCTAATATATTTAGAATGACTGGGGACCCGTACCGGAATGGCACGAATTTCATCCTTTTCCAGCATGTGCTGTACCCAGGTCAGATCTCAAAAAATCAAACTCCAAAGGAAAATATTGACTTGACACCAGCGGTTAGAAACGATTCCGGTCGTTTAATCTTCAGTCGTTTGATGCGTTTGATAAACAAATGATTCGGGCTTTTTCGCGGACTGCCGGTTTCTAGTGACTGAAGCTCAAACGGAATGGGAAAGAGAAAATAACACGTGAGAACTGAATAGGCTTCTCAAAGAAAAAAAAACATTTCAACCATTTACTCAAAAAGGCGAAACCAATTAGAAGCCCGGTTATTTTTGATCGATTTATAAATCTAGATAGTTTGAGCTCAGCTAGTTCACTGCAGAAAAAAGCGTTTTGGGGTCATTACTTGACTGAAAGAAATAGGGCCTTTCAAAAGTACTTCTAACCAAGTTTTCATCAACTTCTTTGCTAGAAACCTCGGTAAAAAAAAGCCAAAACCACTCCAAAATCTGCATCATCCTCTTCAGACACCCGATCTCGCGGTCGGCCTCCTTCGTGACGCCGACGCCAATGATCGTCTACGGCCTTCCGCCAGACCGAATATCGATGGTCGACCCACGGGAGCTGTCGACGACGGCGCCTTCTTCCAGAATGGGAGAGTACGCGGTTCCCGTCTACTACACGACTCTCGGACATCCTCCGCCGCCGCCGCCAATCTATCTGCCGATGGGCGGAGCGATGCTTCGGCCAGGCCTTCTGCCACATCATCCGAAGTTCCCGGACCAACAGAAGGACGACGGCGACTCGGTCTGCGGCAAGATCTGCTGCGGCGGCGTCGCCCAGCTCCTTTGGACCATCATCTGCATAATTCTCTTCGGCGTCGTAGCGTCTCTTATTCTCGCTTTGTGTTATATTTGAAAAACTGAAACTTCTTCCTAAATAATTCCAAGGTTGCCAGTTATATCCACAGAGAAATGGCCGTCTTGCCGTACTTTTTTCGGTGTGAATTTGGCCTTTTTTCCCAAGATCCGGTCCTATACTACATTCATCATGAATCGGTCTGACCTATCTGCGCTCTCTTTTCTCTCAAGATCATAGATAGATAGCATTAACAAAGTGAGAGCGCAGAAGAGCCAGTTGTTTTTCAAGTTTCCGTGATTGAAGTATCTCGGACATTCGCAACGTGAAACGGTCGTGCTCCGGACGTTTCTGGCAAGTTCTAGAGATCACTTAAGAGGGCTGAAGCTACTAAGGTGGTTACTAAAATGCTCCGACACGTCCGTTTCGCGTTACAGATGACCGAGATAACAAAAAACATCCCCTTGTAAATATTGTGCATTTTTTCTTCTCTCCCTAGTCTTTTTCTCTTTAGTTCAAAACTCTTAAAGCATTGACATTCCTTTTTTCGTGATAACTTTCTTTCCTTGCTGACCTACCTTGCGACATTCTTTTTTCTTTGTTTTTCAGCAACAATATTTAAATAAATTACATTATTAAACTAGAAAGACAACAACAAAATGTACAGAAAAAATTGCGTTAAATTGATCGTTTCGTGATAACAATAACTAGAATATGAACAATGATGAAGGCAACTTCGATGAAGGAAATAATGCTGATACCCATCAGAACGCCCAGTAATCCTCCGAGCTGAGAGAGAAACGTTGAAAACTGCAAAAAATTGAATATACTCGGTAATTTTAGGAAGCAACTCACATCCATTGCTGGAGTTTCAACGTAAATTTGATATTGTAAAGTCGGGAGGCCTATCCTGAGATAAACCGTCTCCGCGTTGTCTTTTATACAGGCTGACACGTTTGCTGGGTGTGAATGTGAGCATTCGACTGGCTGAAATTGAGAATTTTTTCACAAAATATGAACGTATTTTTTTCGAAAGCTGAATAATTTTCAAACTACTTCCTCCCTTGGAAACTTTTTTTACTATTAATTTGATAATTCTCCTGTAACTCAGGTTTGAAGATCTAAATCAATACTAAAATCTATAGTAAATTTTTTAATTAGACAAAAAACCAATTTTTGACAATAAAAAGCTTTTTGAAAATTTATTTCGAAACTTGGAACTGTATTATTTTTAATCAAAGACATTTTTTCAGAATATAAAAAACCCAAATTTTTCAAAAAACTTCAGGGGACATTTCGAGCAAGGTCTAATTATGAGCGTGAAAACTACATCCACTGATTTCAGTCATATCTAGAAGCACCTCTGCGAAAGTATTCTGTGATAAATACTAAGGTGACAATGAGTCAAATTTCGAGTTGCGATTATTTCTACGCAATTAGACGTGCCCAAAACGGCCAGAATGAGTCTGATCGAAAAAAGACCAAAACAGGTGATTAAAAAGGCATGTTCTAAAACACGAGCGGTTGTGGGGCACGAGCGGCACGACCGTTACTAAATCACGAGCGGTTTCATTTTCGCTCCTTCGCGAACGCTTCTAAATCACGAGCGTTTTTGGCTTATCGTTCTGTTCGAGCGTTTCTAAACCGCGAGCGTTTCATTTTAATCATTTTCTTTATTACCATCCAAGTGTGTTTTTTTCATATTTCTACCTTCTTTTTTTCTCCTTGAATAAAAAAATTTTTGACGATCTTATATGCACATTTTTTTCGCTCAATTTGTTGATTGATTCACATTTGAGGTTCATATAATGGATTTTTTTCTAAGTTTTTTTGCGGTCTCTATAATTTCACAGATTCTGCGTATGGCAAATTTTTTTCTAATAATTTCATCTGATTTTTCATATTCAATATTTCACAGATTTTTGCGTATGATAAACTAATATTTCACAGACGTCTCGCATGAAAGTCAATATTTCTCAAGTTTTGCGTATAGCAAAATTTTTTTCTAATACTTTCTCTCAAAAATTTTTTTCTGGTAATAGAATCTCATATTCGAATTGATGCCATTCATATTTTTATTCTCCTCTTACCCGCTAGAATAGTTTTTGGAGATACTACCAAAAAAATTTATTCGTTTCCAAGCTTTGAAAAATATTTATCATGAAACGAGAAAAAAATACGAAATCGAAGATTTTTTTGCAAGAAAAACACAGATGAGAATCAGAGAAAAAAAGTTCATATTTTTTTAATTTGTCATAAGCAAAATCTGAGAAATATTGACTTTCATGCGAGACGTCTGTGAAATATTAGTTTATCATACGCAAAATCTGTGAAATATTGAATATGAAAAATCAGATGAAATTATTAGAAAAAAATTTGCCATACCCAGAATCTGTGAAATTATAGAGACCGCAAAAAAACTTAGAAAAAAATCCATTATATGAACCTCAAATGTGAATCAATCAACAAATTGAGCGAAAAAATGTGCATATAAGATCGTCAAAATTTTTTTATTCAAGGAGAAAAAAAGAAGGTAGAAATATGAAAAACACACACTTGGATGGTAATAAAGAAAATGATTAAAATGAAACGCTCGCGGTTTAGAAACGCTCGAACAGAACGATAAGCCAAAAACGCTCGTGATTTAGAAGCGTTCGCGAAGGAGCGAAAATGAAACCGCTCGTGATTTAGTAACGGTCGTGCCGCTCGTGCCCCACAACCGCTCGTGTTTTAGAACATGCCGATTAAAAAGCACCTTAACGACGTAGGGCAGTCTCGAGTAGCGCTGCGTGAACTGTGTCTGCGTACACGGCAACGGACAAGAACACTCTGACCATTTCGAGGGGTCGCCTCTCTTCGCCACCATCGCATCGATGCAATTTTCTGGATTCAACTCATTTACTCTTCTTTCAAGGATATATGCTAACTAGATGGAAGCGTGCAGGACTTGGCCGTCCACGGCATCGGATATCTCGGATCCATGCAGCCGCACGCCTTCTGAACCGCATCCTGGTAGCACGACCTCAGACAGCCCTGAAAATCGACGTCTTTTTCGCAACTTCAGAATTGCCAACGTCAGTCGTGTAGCTGCCCTCGTAATAGTAGGACTTGACTTCGGAGACACTCTTCACGCATCTTCCATACTTTCCTCCCAGTCTTTTAAAGTCAGTCTGAAGGAATATTCGCTCAATTGGAGAGAGGGTCTATTAGTACCCTCTGAAGGCCGATGCGAGACTCAAAGGAGGGCTGGACGTAGAATCGCGGCGATTCTGAAGCGATGACCTCATCTCGAGCCGAAATGAAGACTTGGATGGCGGCCGTGTCGATCCAAGGCAGGTATTCGCTTTGATCCACTGACATTTGCATGGTCAGACCTGAAAAGTTCTATTTTGAAGTTTTTGAAGCCAGAGTGTGTGAGAAGGCTAGCTCAGTGGCTAAGAATCACTTCTCACCTCCAAAAGGTCACTGGTTCAATTCCTTTCAGGATATACAATTTTTTATTGAGCTCTCAGCCACAGAAAAGACAAAATCGCACAATGTATTACCAGAACTGTCGATTCTGATGTTCTACCAGGTCAAAAGGAGACTTCTAGGAACTCTACTCCTAAGCCTATTTTCTATAAACCCTTGAAAATTTTCATTGTTTCACCAAAAAAAAAATGCTCTCGTTTGGCCTTTTAAGGGCCCATTTCGCGCCTTTTCTTCGCTTTCTCCTATATTTTTAAATCTGTAAAAGCAAAAAAACCTCCAGAATATCCCGGAGACCGAGCCAGGTACTCCGACGAGCTGTTAAAGTGATTAAACGTGAAGCAATTTCCGAGCACTTTGTCGTTCCAAATGTGGAAATTTTCGCTGTAAAACGAACTGATGAAATATCCAGAAATCGATATTTACCTCAGGTTAACGATTTTTTCTTCATACGCAACCCAGACGAATAAATCTTCTAAAGACCACGAGAGGTTCATTCTGAAAACTTCTTAAAAATGAAATGTTTAGGAGCAGAAAATTAAACCTTGTCTCCAGAGAATAACCACCAATGAGGAAGGGAATAATGTCACGGACCAACGTTGGATCGCTCGTCAACTGATTCGTGAGCTGAAAAAATAAATTATGCTTGGATATGAAATTTCTTTTTCGAACTATTTCTCAAGTGCTCAACGAGTTGGTTTGATTTTTTCATAAAAATGAGTAAAGTCCTTTTTTTCGAGTGATAGCTCCAAGGCTGACTCATTTCTAGCTTCCAAAAGGTCACTGGTTCAACTTCTTACAGGGTCTTAGACTCATTTTCTTTGATTCGAAATTGAAAAAAAAATAAACCTCTTCCAAATCGTCATCGGAGACGTAGCCATAAGTGGCGTTGAGAATTTCATAGATGATTCGATCTAAAATATAAAAATGACGTTTCATATTTAAAAAAAAAAACAAGCAAATTTTTTTTCTTTTATAGTAATCCGTAGTACTTTCATTTTTAAGCTTCGAACATCAAAAATTTCTCTAAATTGATTAAAAAAAGCGTCATTTTTTTCCCTTCCGCCATTTTTCAAGGCCTTCCTGATGCCCATATAGACCTTTTCAACGACTTGGTTTTCAAAATAAATCATGAGAAATTGGAAAAATAAGCTTTAAATCTTAAAATGAAGATATTTTGCGCATTTTTCTGACTTTTAATTTCAGGACATAGCTTAAGTTGGTTCGTTACTTTTTCAGCTTTAAAAGTTAATTTCACCCTAAAGTTCCTTCCCATAACGACCTGAACCGCATTTGCGAGTGACTCTCACTGATTAAATTTCATTCCCTTGTTATTTCTAAAACTATCACGAACTCGTGGTGCAACGAGGGCCGGTCCAGTTCTCGCTGCAACTGCAATGATAGCTTCCGTCGGTGTTGACGCATACGGCGGCCTTATCTTTCGAGCCGCAGAGCGAGGGACCGAAGACGGCGCATTCGTCGACGTCTTCAGAAGAAGAATATATTCAGAACCCTCAGAATCCACTCAAACCTGTGGTGCAATCGTCGCCTTCCCAGTTCGAGGGACAGGTGCAGTTGAAGGACTTCGGAGGGCCTCGGTCGTTCTCGCACTCTCCGCCGTTTTTACAAGGCTCATCATCACATGGCATTCTCTCTGGAAAGTTTTTCATGTTCATTACAGAGGACCCTCTCAAGAGCTTAATAAACTTCACACTATAAGATTCTGAACATTTTGAGCCGAGATATGAATTTTTGGTGTTTAGAATGACTGAAAACCCAAAAAAAAAAAAAATGGAAGGATCGATTTTGGCAGATTTCTAATGGTTTATGATGATACCAGATGATCTAATTTGCAAGAAAACTACCTGAAGAGCTTGAGAAACTTATTTTACCCGATTTTGAGCGTTTTTAGCCGAAATATGACTTTTTGAAGTTTAGAACGATTAATTTGACCAAAAAAACCCAAAAAATAGAAAAATCGACGTTGTCAGATTCCTAATGGTTTTGGTGGGTACCAGATGGTTCTATCTGAAAGAGGACCTCTTTAAAAGCCTAAAAAACCTTACTCAGTCCTATTCTAACCATTTTGAGATGTTGATCTTGAAGTTTTTTATAATTAACAATTTGACCCCATAGGGGGAAAAATAGATATTGTCCGATTCCCATTCATTAAAAAAGCTCTTCCAACCTAATACTTACCTATTTCACACAGATCTCCACGCCAATCGACCGTGCAGTCGCAGGTAAAAGTGCTATCCAAGATATTATAGTTAGATACGCAGGTGCCGCCGTTCAAGCACTTGTTGATGTAGCATGGCTCGAAAACTGGAAGGTTTTTCCGATTATATACATTTTTTCAATTTCTTCACCTCCGCAGTTGGTATCGGTGTAAAGATTGAGGCAGAGGCAGGTGTAAGTCCCGTCGCCGTGGTCAACACAGGTACCGCCGTAAAGGCACGTGTCAGCGGCACAAGGGTTGGCAACTTGAATGGAATCATTTTCCTCGGTAAATTTTCAAAAATTCAAGAATTGTTTGAAAACTGACCAGAATACTCTTCCATCAGCTAGGTTAAGGTCCAAAAAAACAAAAATTCCTTTTTTTTTTTGCAAAAAGTTAAGCCTCGAGAACTCATTTTCTTTCCTGATTCAATTGGACTCGGAAAATGAGGGAAAATAAATGCGAAATCCCAGAAAATTATTTTCTTTCTGTGAGAAATTTCTGAGGCTTGAACAAAAAATAGTGATCCGGAAGATTAAAAATCAGGAAATCTTCGAACCAAACTACTTGCTAGTTCTAAGAAAGCTCAAAAATCAATAATTTCCCGATGAACCTTACCACAGCTTTCAGTTTGATTGGTATTCTCGCAAATACAGTAGTGTCCGATTCCATCATCCGTGACTGCACAGGTTCCGGCTCCACAATCGACTCCCGAGCACGGCGTCAGCGGAAGAGCTGGAAATATCCAATTTTCAGTTCCACCTCAAGAAAAATAGCCAAACCAGTCTCGCAGGTAGCACCGGTACGATCCGGGGCGCAGACGCAGACGTAAGCAGTGGAGGAAGTCTGAACGCACTGTCCCCAGTCGTTGGCCTCGCCGCAAGGCTCCGTGGCGCACAAATCTACATGCAGAGCTAGTTAAGAATCAAGAGGTCCAAGAAAAACCTTTCAGAAAGTAAACGGACGCCATTCCGCTGTTAACGTTTGCATAAGAACAAGTTTGGAGTATAGCATCTAGGAGACCTCCCAAAACTGAAATGAAGAAATTTATTTGAAAAATTAATAATGGCAAACGTCCTCCAGAAGGGGCTGCCGTGAGAGTATTCACTGTGGAAAAAAGACATTTGCCAGTCGATCCGCTCATTGCTGGAATTTCAGGTTTATGACGGAAATATTCCCAAGGAAAGCGCAAAAGGTGGACGGTTGAGAGTTCGATGAAACTTTGTTGAAAGGTACTTCAAAACCTGCTGATCGCAGATTAGTTGAAACTGAACTTTCTCGTTTCAGAGGGAAGATGTCTCATAGCCGAAAATCCAGTATAAGGCATATAAACCATTAAAAAAAACCCGAGACTATCAAGCTTCTCTAGGAAAAACTCCTTTTGACTTTTCGAAGTGTGAAAATTCGCGCAAAAATTGGTAGGACTTGAACAAGCGACCTATCTGACCCTAGGCAAGAGTCTTAGCCACTGAGCTACTACTAAGCCGAGATATGAGTCTTCTTCCTGGGATTTATAGCCCCTTCGCCGCGGATGGACAGTTTCGAATGTCTGTTCCCTAACCGGAAAGGTCAGGGAAACATGAAAAAAGAACGAGAGACGAGGAGGGTGCAGAGAAGTCCCGCCCTTCGCTCCTTGAGCAAAACAGACTATATGAACTGAACGGTAATCAGGTGTCCCTGAAGTACCTTTCATCAATTCATCAATTTCTCAATTTTCGTTTCCGTTTCCGTTTCCTGCTTCCGACTAAAGTACTCACTAGAGTAGTTATAAACAGAGTTGGGGTTGTCGATTCGGTACTGCTCCAAGGCGTCCATGCACGCCGGCCCTGACTTGATTCCGGTTGTCGAATAGACGTAATAATTGGAAAAGTCGGCCGAGGAATCGTCATAGCAGCCGACGTACGAGGTGGTCACTTGAATGTTCTTTGGGTTAATCGTGAAATATTGGAATTTTAAAACTTGATCGGGAAGTCTGGCATTTCGTGTTGTAGTAGTTGAACGGGCAGTTGCAGACCGGCGACGTGTCGTCGAACATCATCTCGCAGGTGCCGCCGTGTTGGCAGGCCATCGAAGCGCACGGATCTCCGGCGTCTGAAGTTTCCAGTTAGAATAAAAATTCGTTACGAAATTATCAATTTTTAAAAAAAATCCTTTTTCAAAAATGGAAATGAAGATCTCGCGCCGTATCGAGTTTTTAAAGATTCTCACGGCTTCAAGAAAAATCTACTTCACCTTTACAGTATACCTCCTAATTTTCTAAATTTAGTTTCGTCATCTTTATCTATGAAGCTCGACGAACTACTGAAAATTTCAAGCTGACTTTTCTGATTGGTTTCTCAAGGCCTTATGTGAACTGTGATTTCTTGAGCTCGAATTTCAGTTCAATTTTGGCCGACCAAAATAAAATTTTGAAAAAATCTGAAAAGGTTTACATTGACACTGGTTACCGTAGTAACCGGTTTCGCAGGTACAAGTATAAGAGGATCCTGAAGACGTGCAGGTTCCATGGTCCAGGCAAGGAGTGACGGCACATGGATCCGTTGTTACTGAAAAAAAAACCGAGTGACGGAGAAAAATGATGTGTAGCTCAGTGGTTAAGACTGTTGTTTAGAGTCCGATAGATCGGCGGTTCGAGTCTCGCCAAGGTTTGTCAATTTCTTGGGAAACTGAGGGAATAGCTTGATGTCGTAGCTCAGTGGCTAAGACTCTTGTCTAGGGAAGATAGGTCGCTGGTTCGAGATTTGCCAAGGATTGTCACTCATCTCTTTTAGAAACAAAAATCATGGAAAAATCTCAAATCTTGGTAGCTGAGTGGCTTAGGCGCAGGCTTGGCCTGCGCCCTATTTAGGGACAGGATATGACTTTAGTCTAGGATCAAAAAGATTGCTGGTTCAAGTCCTACCAACCTTTACGCAGATCTAAAAACCTCAGAAGAGTCAAACTAATTTTTGCGCAGAGAATCTTCATTGTCTCGTGTTCCCCAAACCGTTTGGGCCAAACTTCAGAAGTTTCAATTTTCAGGAATAGTTTCAAGAAGTTCAAATTGTAACCATTTTAACAGAACGAGTCCTTACACATAGTGCAATCAGTTCCGGTGAATCCAGGAGCGCAAGAGCAGACGGCGGCTCCGTTGACGACCGCGCAGGTGTACTGTGCTGAGGGGCAAGGATTCGGTGTGCAGCTCGTCGAGCCTCCACAAAAATCATTCTTTTTCAATTTCCTCTAGAGATACCTTGACACTCCGTGTTGGAAACCTGAGTAGTGTCGTCTGGACAGACACAGTCCGAACATTGAGTTTGGCCGTTTCCGTCGGTCGAACGGTCTGACGGATAACAGTAACCGTAGCCAGTGCAACCCAGGGGAGGATCATCCGTGTTCTGAGGACATTTAGTATGTATTTTTTCAGTCAAAATTCGTTTCAGATTCATTTTAGAAGTTGCGGTCGCAAAACTACCGTAGTGCGAGATTATTTTTAGCGAGAAATAAAAAATTAATTTTAAAGTTATGCCTCGGGGTCTTTTCAATTTTGTTTTTTCTTCCCTATATATTCTCCTTTTTTTATACTTATCCATTACAACCTTTTGAAATTGGAAAATTTCTAATATTTTTATAAAAAAATTCCAAAAAAAGTCTTTTTAAAATAAAACTCCTCGAAACATGATACTAGTATGTAGGTACTTCGTTTTGAGAAAAAGACGAAATTTGTTATTTCTAGTCTCTAAAAAAATGGATTTCGCTCTAAAGATCATTATCAACTTTGATCAAAAAAAGATTCATCACAAAAAGAATCAAAAAAACTTTACAATAATAAAATTGACAAGTACACAGGCCCAATTACCCCGGTCATGATTCTTCGCAAAAATTTTCGCGGTCGCTTTGGTCCTACAGTAGTTTTTGCGGGGACGACTTTGAAATTCAAACCAAAAATTGCTCCAAAAAGCCGTTTTTGGGATAGTTTTTTTTTAAAATTCAGAGACAATGTTCATTTAGGTTCATTAAATAGGAATAAATTTTTTCAAAGATCTTTTTAAGACTAAAAATTCTTAAAATTTTCAAAACTTTTCACTGATAATAAAAACTATAACTAAACAGACTAATGATTACATCAGATCCGACGATATGAAAAAGTAGAAAAATCAGAAGAGTCGCCAGGTTACTCGCGCTGTAGGGCATGTGTGTGTGTAATACAAATGTTTTATTTTTCCTTTTTGTTTAAAAAAAGGCGTTCCAAGACAACCGGGAGGTTCATTGGAAATTCGGAAATGGCCTGGGATCGACTTCCTTCTTTTGAATGCCCACGCATTCTTCTCTCGCAACTTGAGACAACTCCGTGAAAAACGAGAGTCGGGCAGAAAAGTCTACGAGGAGAGATACCGACCAGAGACCGAAATACTGTTTTTGGGTCCGAGAAAATTTTTATTTTACTGTGGGGAAACTATAAACCTTTTTTATTCTGCGTCAGACCAAGAAGGAATACAAAATCAGCTTCTTTCAAAGGACAAACAAAAGATCTTTTGGCCTCGTTGAGACCTTCCTATTTTTGGGAATTTCGAATCTTCGTTCAAAGTTACAGGGAGAAAGCGCGTGGGCTTTGAAAATTCTTTTCTTCGCTAGGGATCTTTCAAACTATCAAAAAAATTATAGATTTCTGCCTAATTTTTTTCTCTCAAAGGGTTAGCTTTTTCACATTTGAAAGAAGATAAAAAAAGTTATTTTTAGTTTTTTTCATTTTTTTCATAAATTATTATTTACCTTTTTTTCTAAATAAAAAAATAATTTTTTTGGGTTTTTTTCTTATTCCTTCTAAAAAAATGAGAGAAAATCCTAGAAAGGTATTCACTTTATTTCATTATTTTTCTAAAAAAATCGTAAAACATCGTTCAAAAGTTTAATCTTTTTTTACTCTAGCTCTTAACTACACTATACAAAACTTTTTCAAAATAGTTCACAAAAAAATATATAAATTATAATCATTGATTCTATAAGAATAAATCAATCTTAAGTACCACTTTGAAAGTTCAACTCAGTAACTTCTTCAAGTCACGATGGGCGACCTGGCCGGGTCGCAAAAAGGAGAGAAACCAAGTTTTCTCTCCTTTTTTTTCTAATTTTTCCGTTAGCCGAACTGTTTTCAAACTAGGAATGCAGACGAAAAAGAGCGCACCTTAAGTGGAGACCAAGGTCGTCGGATGGAAAAACGGCCGGCAAGTCGATTTTAGCGGCATGTTTACCGCAGTCGGGTATAAAAGGACCCTCGGAAGTCGCTTCGAGAAGGCGCTGCCATCATGACGGTCGCCATCGCCGCTTCGATTTCCGTGGTTTCGGGCTTTGCCGTCGTGGCATGCCTCGTCAGCGTCAGCTTCATGTTCAGCGACATCAACAACTTCTACGATGACGCCATGAGCGAGATGCGTTTCTTCAAGGTTCGCAGCTTACTCGCGTTTTCCCAAAACTAGAAGTTGACCTTTCAGGACGTCTCAAACGGCGCATGGGACTCTATGAACGAAGTCACCAAGCCGACAGTTCAAACCAAGAGCCTCAATCCCTTCCTTCTCCTCTCTTCTCGCACCAAGCGTCACGCTCAGTGCAACTGCGCCGGCCAGCAGAACCACTGTCCCCCCGGACCGCGAGGAGCTCCAGGAGGCGCCGGAGAGCCTGGAATCCCAGGAGCTCCTGGACAACCCGGTCACCGTGGATCCAACGGAGCTTCCGACGCTTCCGAAGGCCCTGGCGGTTGCATCTCTTGTCCTGCCGGCCCTCCAGGCAGACCAGGACCGAACGGACCTCCCGGTCCACCTGGAGCCGATGGCCATACAGGAGCACCTGCCTACGGTGGCGGCGGAGCTGGACGTCCTGGACCACCAGGACCTCCCGGAGACGCTGGAGCGCCAGGACGACCAGGATCTCCAGGAAACCCTGGACGACCTGGAAACTCTGCCCACTCATCGACAGCTCGACCAGGACCACCAGGACCTCAAGGACGCCCAGGACCAGCTGGACAGCCCGGCCAGCCAGGATATGGATCTGCACCAGGAGCGCCAGGACCAGCCGGACCTCCAGGACAGCCGGGAGCCCCAGGACAGCCAGGAAACGACGGACCACCCGGACAGCCCGGCTCCGACGGAACTCCAGGATCAGATGGTGAGGAAGTTTCACGATTTCAGATGAATAATTCTCACTTTTTCAGCTGCCTACTGTCCATGCCCATCTCGAGGTGGTTCCGCCCGAGGCGCCAACTACAAGAAGCACGTCTACTCGAACAAGAAGGTCGCCGCCCGCAGTCGCAAGGTCCTTGCAGCTCGTCGTCGCGTCGTCCAAAGACAGAAGGTCGCTGCGGCGGCCGCCGTCCGTCGTCAGAAGGTCCACGCCGCCTAAAAACCCAACACAATTCAATAAAGAACTTTCATCCTTCATTGCTGATTTTCCAACACCGAATAATCTGAAAGAATCAGACAGACCATGCACAAAAAAAGCTTCCAAAAATAAATATCATATCGTACTTTATTTCAGCAGAACAGATTCATTGCGCAAGGGAATACATAATGGATAACTTCGTGAGTGAAAATGAGAAAACAAAAATCAGCACCTAAAAATCGAAATTCCGCTGGATGCAATGATAATTATCGTAAGAACATGTGAGAACTATTTGAAATAAATATAACAAAATTGTTTCAATAAACCTATAATGATGATTATCTAATGAGGAAAAAAACAAGAGAAACGTAATCTTTGAAAGATTTAACACATTTTGATTTCATGAAAAACTTAGCAATCAATATCACATTAGGAGAATTTTTCGTAGAGGAGATTTTTGATTCTGGGAAGTTTCAATAGCCGTTTTTTTTTTCATTTTATTGCAGGAAATTATGTGATTCACTGATGGAAGATTTCATATACAGAATTACAAGTTTGAGGTATTACTAAAACGTGAAGAGATGATATAAGTGAACTGAAATGAATTCTAATTGTGATCAGCCAAATCTTGGACAATGTTTCGGAAATCGGTTGGTGGGACCGGCTCCGAAGTGTCAAAGTGCATATCAGGAAGGCAGGTGTTGCTCCGTCCAACGTCGACTACTTCAGTCTAAATTCTATTTTTTGTTTCAGTTTTTTTAAAAAGTTGTTTCAGGTATTTTTTAAAGAACGTTTGTGGCGAGTTCAAAATGATTTCGAGAAACTCGAAAAAGCCGTCAGAGAGGCGACAAGATCGTTTTGGAGAGCCAGAGAAATTTTAAATTTCGAGCAAATTACTTTGAACATGGCATTGATAATTGTATGACAGTTGATTATAGAAAAGTAGAAAAATTGGGAAAAATTTAATTAAAGACGTGTGTTCAATTTTTCTTTCAGAAAAACAAAAAAAGGGAAGGGGGGTGGAACGACCCGAAAAAGCGGTCTCTATATGGGTAAAACTGAGGTGGTCCCTATAGGGTTTTAGAGTCTGATCCCTGAACCCTACGGCTCAAATGAATCCTATAGGGATCTCTCAATTTCATTCAGTAAACGCTTATTTAGTTCTGGGGTTCCTAAGTGCCAAGAAATATCGTTAAAAAAAATTCTAATCTCGCCTTTTCGTCTTAATTCGGCTTGAAGTCAATTGAAATTTTTTATTTCTCTCTAGATAACCTATCTCCGCCGCCAAAAGGTCTCCAAAAAAGGTTTTTGGAACATTGGATTCTTGAACAACCTCGCCAAAACCGAACAAACGAACATTAGCTAACGCGGGTTCGCTGAAGCATCTGCTCGCCGTTGAAGCATCGCTGCTGTCGTCGTCGTCGGAATCATCGTCAGAGTCGTACCGATCGTAATGCCTAGTAAAATCAGCGATTACGTATGTTAATTGAAAAACTTTACTTGGCTGGTAGTCGACAGACGCATTTGGAATCCAAGTCATACACCAACTCTGCGCCGGGGAACACGGATCGGTTGATTGAAACCTTTAGAAAAACGGTTAGAGAATGAAGTTCGTATTTGACAAGTTTGGGAAAAATTGAAGCTTGTTTTTTTATTATTCATAAATAGATAATTTGAGGATTCTTACCTGGAAATATCCGTCAGGAGGCAGCTCCTTCTCGATGGTGACGTACCGTCGTTGGTACATGGAAGCGACGATTTTCTGCTGTTCCTGGGGCGAAACAAGCCGCATTCTTTTCGCCGGACAATCTTCTTCTTCTTTTCCTTCTTCCTCCTCGTCTTCTTGGCTCTTGTCTTCTTCCAGCATCATCTGGAAGAGTTTTGAGACCTCTTATAACAAGTTAATTTTCATCAGAGTTAGGAGGTTCTCGGGCAAAGTCGGAATGGTGGAAAATGGCCAAGAGACTCAAAAAAGGCAGCAAAGAGAGTCTCTTTATCGAGCCTTCCATTTTTCTGGGATTTTAAAGGCTCGAGAAATGGTGGAAAAAGGGAGAGGCAGCAAAAATGGTGAAAAAGGGCTGAGAAAATGGCGCAAAAAGCGAGCCTTTATCACCCTAAAATGAAAACTTCTATCGAGCCTTTCAGCAGCCTCGGAGGGTCTTTCCGACTTTGCCTATGTTGATTATATTTTGTTTTATTTTTCAAGAAGAACGATACTGTTTTTAATCGTCTTTTCGATGTCATATGTTGCCTAAAACTTCCAGGATTTTCTGAAATAAATCCCCATTTTTTTTTTCTGGCAGCGCTTTGTTCGTACCATTTGAACCAGAACAAATTTCTCTCCAAAAATGGAAACTTCAAGAATTTTCCATAAAAATAATCCTTAAAACTCTGAAATCAAACCTTTTCAAATTCTTCGACGTCAATTTTCCTTCTTCGTGTTGCAGGCGCAGCGTTTACCGGTGTACCTTTTTCTCATGGCGTCTACAATGAAATTGATTATATTTGCATTATTGAAATTTGCGGGTATAAAAAAAGCTTCAAAAATAGAAACAAAGAAGGAAATTCTGTTGAAAACTTATTCGAATCAAAATTTTATACTGTGAATTGATTCCTGATGACAAGACTTTTACTTCTGTAAATTGGCCAGATAATTTCTCGATGTACCAGAAAAAGATTCTGAAAGTCTCAATCAGCAAAAATTCCTAATTTTCGTGAACAGACAGCTCGAAGTCGGAGGAAAGCATAAACAATCACCAAAATAGGTCAAAACCCTTACTCCTTCAAAAATAGGAACTTGTGTAGGTTGATACTACCGGGGTCTTTATCAGGTACATAGAGGAGTTTTCTGGTCAAATTCCAATGAAATTTAAACCAAAGGGTAGAAAAATAAAAAAGAAAAGGCGCAATTTTTCTTTATTCAAATTATTTTTTCAGCTCATTTTTTGCAGCTTTTTCAAATAGACCAAAAAAAACTAACTGTCACTATCAATCATTTCTGAGAACTGGCCGCCGAGAGCGAGGCAAATTTCGCTAACAATATCGTCGCAGTTGCCCAAAAGCTCAATGTCAGCCCGGTACGTCGAGAGAGGCTCCCTGAACATTTGGAATTCAACTTTCTCGTTTATTTCTATCTTTCCGAACCGATTGATCAGGATCTGGGGGACATCGGGAGCAATATTGTAGGGAATGAGACAAACGGGGCGCACTTTCATTGAAGAGCCTTTAATAGAAAAGAATGATTTTTGAAAAAAAAGAGAAGAGGGGAACCGATGACAACAAGAAGGTCGACTTCATTTTTGTCGAGGCCCATCTGTTGGTGGAACTGTTGGCCGAGGTCTTCTCCAAAGAAAACAATGTCCGGTTTGATGACACCTTCTTTGCACGCAGGGCAGGTGGCGACTTTCTGGAAACGCTCAATTTTTCAAAATCCTGTTCAATTTCCTTATGTATTCGAAAGAGATGGGAGCTTTTTCCTTGGAAAAATGAATTTTGTTACTTTAAATTTAAAAAAATCACCTGTTTTTTTGTTCATCTTTATATTTCAGAACACTTTTTTTTCCCTGTGGAGATAAAAAAACTTGTTCAATTTTTCGAAAGTAAGATATTCAAAAAGCTTTTCAGAACACTCCTAGTAAGCAGAAGTCCAAATCTTCCTGATTTATAATTATAAATAGGAAATAATAATTTTTTAAAAAGGTTACTTCACGTGTAAAATTAGGTTTTTTTGACGTGATTTCAACTTTTTCGGGGTGAGTGAAGAACGGGAAAATGAAAAACAGAGAAGAACCTTTTTAAAAGAATTTAAAAATTTCTTTTACAATCTCTTAATTCATTATTTTTGTTTCTAGATTTTTTTTACTCCATTTTTTCTAAAGTTCAGCTTGTTTAAATTTTTGCTTTACATAAGTTATATACATCACTTTTCTACTTCAGAAGGTAAAAATAACTAAAATGAAAAAAATTGCCCTAATGGTCCCTATTAAAGTCATAAAAAATGCCAAAAAAGTTTTTCCTCGCTTTTTTTCTGAATTCGTCATCAGAAAATGAACTGTAGAGCCGAGTTGGATTTAAAAACAGAGAGAATTTCGAAAACCGACCCGTTGCATGACATCTTCCCGTATCACCTCGCCGTCGAACTTCTCCTGACACCTCAAACAGGTCGCCTTCGAGAAGGATCCTGAAATTCCCCTTCAAGGACTCATGAAAAATCAAAGAGGACCATTATTTAGTACGCATCATAGGTGTGAAAAAAAAATCTAGCTTCAGAATTATGAAAAGTAAGAAGGAATATTCTCAAGAAAAAACTGATGAGTTGAAGTTTTTAAAAGTGACTATTAACAGTTTCAGCCAGAATATTTAGACGTTTACACCCACGGGGGAACAATCGAAGAGTTAACTTCGTTCCAAACTAGTCAATGTGATAAACCGTTTCCATATCGATGTTCAGAAGCAAAAGGCCGAAATATTTCACCCGTATAAAAATTATGAAAATGAAATTCTTGATGGGACGTCCTGTACTTTTCACGCTCCCTTCTCTGTATAGAATCAAAACCACCAGAGATTTTTACACAGTAATTTTTCCGTGCACTTAAGAGTCTTACGCTGACAGACTATCCCTAACTTATTTCAAATGTTTGAAAAACCGCAATTCAAAGGTGTCCTATCTCATGACGCGCACTATAGTGGTCCCTTTTCCACAAATTTTCCACGAACCATGACATTCGATGACCTTCGTAATCCCCGTCTGTTTCTCCAGAGTGTCAATGTTCTGGGTGTAGTTCCTCAAAAGCCTGCCGCTATCCTCTAGTAACTTGATGAATTTATGAGAAACGGAAGGCTGGAACTGGCCCGGGAATATTTCCTGTCAAGAAAAATTTCAGAAGCTGTTCAAAAAGAATAGGAACCTTGGCAAAATCATAAAAAGGCGCCGGATTCTGTCGGAAATATCGGATATCAAACATGGCGGTTGGGTCAGGAAGGTCAGGAAAATCAACGTGGAGTCGAGCATAAATACCTTAAAGATGATAATATTGTTAATAAAACTCATATAGTCAATTTAAATATACTTTCAATGGTTTTTAAAATAATGAAGTTTTTCAAAACAATAAATAACCCTGAAAACGGCTTTCGCCACGAGACCTTTTTCGAACTTGCACCGTTAATATGAAGACTCTTAAACAGAACAAACGCAAAATTGAACTCTGAGAAGGATTTTTGAACATAATTGACATAAATCGAAGTTGAAATTGAATTTCGAAATGAGTAAACTAGCTCAAAAATCAAAAATTTTTCCTTGTTTTTCATGAAATTCTCACCATCTTTGCTGCGAAAATCGGGAATCCCGCAGGAAACTGAAACCCCCGCGCCAGTTATCAACATTATATTCTTCCGGGTCCTAAAAAAAAATCTTAAAAAGAAAGGTATCCCGCAAAAACTCACTTAAAAAGCTCAATTGCGTCTTCCAAAGTGTTGTATTGCGGTAGTTTGTCTCTTTTTGGCTCCCGATCCAAAATATCGCACAAAATCCCATAAAGCTGAATAGAACATACTAAAAAATTAGGCTATTTCAATAAACTAACCACGGTATCGCTTAAATTATCCACAGGAATATTGAAATGTGGGAACAACGTCTTTATAATAATAGGAAGAGATAGACCTTCGTTCACCATTGAATCCACTTTTTTGAACAAACCCGACTGTGCCTGAAAATAAAAATATATCTCAGTGTTCTTAAAAAATAATTTGAAGAAAATTTAAAATACCTGATTTTGCCAAATTTCGGAGCCGACGCGCGAGTCTTCTGAGCTGCTAGAAGCATCTTCGTCGTGATGTACATGAGAATTTTCCAGTACTTCAGAACTTTTTTCATCGTTTGAGCAAACCGGATTACTAGAAGCAGGGTCCTAAAAATATAAGTTATCGAGTAGATTGGAAACATTATAAAACTCACATTACTCAAAACGTTTAGGGAGCAGACTTTGGTCGCGTCTTCGGGAACTTCCAAAGTTATTGCCGCAGCTTCAGCAATGCTTACGCTACCGTTTTCAACGTTGACCATTCCTTTAAAAATTTAAACAATTATCAAAATAAGAACAACAATGAATATTAAAAATTGTACTTCATTTGATTTAAAAAGAACGCCTCCGCTTCTCTAACGTTTTTTTCATTCGTTTAAATAGTGTTTCTCTCAACCAAATTAATATAATAAAATAATAAAATCACGTCTCTTCTTATTATGCTATTTCATAAAATTAATTAAGTGCGAGAAAATTAAGAAATAAGGAGAAATTAACGCATTAATTTGAAATCCTTAAAAATAGGAATTTCTGTAAAAAATGACTTTTAGTTATTTCACTTGAGCAATAAATCTATTGTTTCATAGCTAAGCATTTTTTTTGTGAACCACGGATATTAATATTTAATTAAAGCTAATTAAATTGTGGTAACATTAGCAATAAAAACGAGAAACTGGAAATGAGCCAAGAGGACAACGTTTGCGCCAATCCGCGCAGCTGGCTCATCTCAAGTGTATTCTTCAATCACTCAAAAATGCATTTAATGATGAAACTCGATGGCATGAAGAAAATTGTTCAAGTTATCATAAAGATTCGTAAAAAAGATGCCAAAAAAGCTCACAATCAGGTAACACAAAAGTGTCGAGAAACCTCAAAATACATGATCCGTAGCCTTTTTTCTGCAGATTTCCCTGTTAACATGTTAGTGGTCTTTACTGTATATTCTTTCGCTAGTTTTTGAACTTTGTGCTATGACATCGACAGGCAATTAGATATGGGACCGAATAGTTCGTTTATCTGAGCTCTTTTAACTATTGACGTCAAACAATGATTTGCCGAAAACTGAGTTATCACATTTTCCAACTGGACCCCCGTGATAATTCGATTCAGCTTCCACAGCCGATTTCTCGTTATTATTTTTACTTTTCCACCTTCCGGCTTTCTATTCATTCTCAATATTTTTTATTTAGACTTTCTAGGAAAAATAGGATAGGAATTATCTCAAAAATATTATAAAAACTGGTAGAAATCTCCAATTTTTACTGACTTTGACACATTTTTTTTTGAAATCGAGTTCTTTTTGTAGGTAATGCTGTGGCTGCCGGTGCTCCTGTCGATTCTGCCTTTGGTCGCCTCACTTCTTTCGTTCCAGAGCAGACCTCTCTACGGATTCATCAGGTATAATACTGAAAAGCTTTTTAGTTGCTAAACTTTCTGGTCCAGAAGAACGTGTTCTAGAAGTTAATTCACGGTTCAAAGGATATTCCAATACTTGAAAATTCGTATGTGTTTGTGTAGATTGAGCTAAAACTTATAAACTCTGTAAATTTATTCCAAAGGAGATCAGCGTTCTTAGAGCTTCAGATTATTCTGAAAATTGGCTATACATCACCTTTCAATCCAGCAATTCAAGACCCCAAGGCTCCTTAATTCTAAATCTCATCCTAGGAAGGACTTTTTGAAGATCTAGCCGATTGTGTAAAGTCTAAAGAACCATAACTTCTAGGTATCCGTTCTAGGAAAAATGCGAAAGTCTTGCAGGTAGACGTTCAGAAAAAGAGCTTAAAAGAGGTTAGAAGCATGCTTTGAAAATTTTCAAAAATTCCAGACTCATAAGTGAAACAACCCCGTCAAGTATCAAAAGGAGCTCAGTTTCAGTCCGAGCGTAATGCAGGACCCGTCGCTGAACATCATCAAACGCTACGACCGCAACTGTTTCTTCTCGCCAGTCCAGTGCATGTTCTCCTTCAACGAGGACAAATATCCGCTCGTCGTCACTCCCAAGGGCAAGCGCTTCTTCCTTCCAAGGACATAAACTTCTCCCATTTTCCACCTTTTTTTGCTCGAATTTAAATATTTTTTTGTGTTTTTTTAAATGAAGAAGTTGAGGTTTTATGTGTCTTCGTTGTTTGAAATATCATCCTAACTCATTGATTAATTTAAAGAAGCAAAAACAAACTTTTTTTGAATTTTTTTCGAAGAATTCTTAAAATTTGCGCCTTCAAACTTCTTTGAGCGGTACGCTAGAAAAAATTCATTTCTGTCATTTTTTTTATAAACCGTGCCCCATTTCCTCAAAGCCGGTCCATTTCTCAAAAAATAGAACTCGAGGGAGTATTTCACAATTCTCGCTGTAAATTGAATTGTCGGGTGGTGATTTGGCGTCTCTCAGGTAACGTAGCGGTAATTGAGTTTTCGGGAGTCTTTTCAGATTTATTGGCTACAATTGGCTCCCCAGAACGAATGACAATTTAAGTGATTTTTCACGATTTTTTTTATGAAAGAAATATGACGCAGAATGGCAAGTTTCTCATCAAACGTCGTTGTGACGAAGATCGGACCGACGCATGGCGACGCGGCCGAAGCCACCGCCGTAGACGTCGTCGTGGGAACGCATGAAAGTGGCGATCGAGCGGATCGTCAGGTTGTTGAGATGCTCGTTGGTCTCGTTCTGAAGCTTGCAATTTTCCTTGCTGTTTGTTCTTGGAATACCTCGGGATGCTCGCCGCCTTTGGCAGTCACTTTAGAAGGATTCTCCTCCTGAAATTAAACGAATCAAAAAAAGGTCATTTGCGGCAAAAGAAATGAAGTAACTAATCTGAGAGAAAAGATTGTTATCATTATCACTCAATAGTGATATTAAATGCAAGCAATTGGACATAATCGAATGAAATAAACCTCTTCTCCATTATTTTTGCTCCAAACACGGTCTAAACGATTTTCCAATACCGTCATCGTACCTAAAAAATAAGTTTTCTTCAAATTACTTTTAAAAAAATGTATCCAACCAAAAACCCCATTCTCGAAGCTCACGTAGGTGACACGATTGACCACCTGAATTTTTTGTTTCTTGAGTCTTTGAACAAATTTGGGATTTTTCAACCTTCATAATAGGCATTCCGAAGAAGAACAGAGCCGTGATGAGCGGAGAAAACTGGGAAGAAAAAAAAATGACTTCTACAAAAAACTTGAATTTCTCACCGGAACGTGGTTAGGCATGACATCGCCGAGGCCGATTGTCGAGATGGAGATGAAGGAAAAATAAAAAGAGTGGAAAAGTGTGATCCCCGTGTTGGGTGCTCCAAAGAACCCATCGTAGTAGTAGATGAAACAAGTGCAAAACAAGAGATAACCTTGGATATTTTTGAGCTGGCTTATTGATTTTGAACTAACCAAACATCAAAGAAACGCAGAACTTCATGGGCAGGCTGATGAGTTCGTCTTCATCAACGTCGTCTTCGGAGCCTCCACGGAGATTCCTGGAGAGTTTGTTCAAAGGCAGTTCAGGAAGAAATTCAGATAAAAAAAATACGATCTTTAACTTTAGAGCGAATTTGTACTGGTTTCAAGTAATTTTGCGGCTTTCTTTTCAGGACCATTTTCTTGCTATTCTGTCTTTTGAGAAGTCCAAATGCTTTTTCTTACTCTCTTACCAAATCAACGTATCCCTCCATAGAAGCTAGAGCTCTATTCAACCTCTCAAGACTACTTTTTAGGTTTATACAATCGCAGTTCTCTTTTCTAGGTTGGACTTCCACAAAAGATTGAAATAAAGTAGTCCGACAGTAGACTTCAAACTTCCACAATTTCCAGTCGTTCACTCTTTGGATCCACCTCAAACGTATGCAGATGGAAGCATAGACTCTCGTGAGAGCTACGAGGACCCATTGGCCGAGGTCGCGGACCACCACCAGAGTGAGCGGCACGAACAGAAGCCCGTAGATGATTACGAACGCCTTGCCTTCCGTCGAATCCGGCGCGATTGACCCTAAAAAACTTTCTGAAAAATATTGCAAGGCGAAATACCGTATCCTGTAGTAGTGTAGACATTCATGGAGAAGAAAATTGCGCTTCCCAAAGACCATTTCAAATTGTGTTCCGTGTCTTCCACCTGTACTTTTCTGCTTCATTTGGCTTTAAAAAAGAAAGTTTCTGCTCAAACACTGTTCGATGTATTAAATAAAGATTCTGAAACTCAAAACCGAATCGAAAGTTAAGAATGAACTCATTCAAACTTGCAGAACTCGCCTTGAAATAAGTACTTCCAGTGTAGATATCCTCCTCCTTTAAGAGCCGTATGTACAAATCCTGATTTCCGATGTTTTCTGAGTAAAAAGATGGGAGCAACCTTGACGAATCCTTTGACGTGAGAGACGTTGGTGGAAAAGTCCGGGTCGTTGATGGCTTCATTCAGGAGATAGGCCATTTGGCTGGACATCAACTCTAACCGGTGCTTGTGCACTTCCAACATCTGACAAAAGAGATCATTTTTGTTTGAAGTTTTGGATTTATTAAGGATTTTCTTGAACATTTTTTGAAAAGGAAGATCCTCATAGTAAAGCCCTTATAGTGGCTGATCAAGCGAAATTTTCAGTTTTGGAAATATAATATCTTCAAAGTTTTAGAATAATGGCTTTCGACCTGTCACCGTGTTGAACGTGAACTTTTAAAAATAATATTTTCAAAACTTGAATTTCGCACAGGTTCACCTAAAGCTTCAGAATAGTTTTTAACAAACTTCCAGAAAACTTCAAACTTCATACTGAAACTTCCTCTAGAGTTCCGCCTAATTAGACGACCCTCAAAACCTCACCTCCAACTCGTGTCGGGACTCAATCGAATAAAACAGAGCTGCTCCAAGCAACGTGTAGGTCAGAACCAGAAGTAACATACAAAAATGCCGAAGTCCGATCTTCTTGTGATTGTGCGCCAACCAGTAGAAGGATTTGCGGAACCCAACAAACCATCCTTTTAATCAAGTATTTTTTTCAAAGTCTCACGATTTTGAGGCAGCATTTTCGACGTTTCCATTTCTTTTTGAGACTTTCCCCACGGCTCAAGGTCATGACTTCTCCCATAAAACTCTGGAAACGTTAGTTGAAAAATTGAGTTTTTTAGACCAACTTTTTCCTGCGGGGGTGTGGAAACCATTCTCAAAGTTGTTCAACTTTTCCAGATTTTTCCCTTTCTTGGGAGAGCCTCCATCCTAAAAAAAAATAGTATAGTAAAAATTAAACAGCCCACCTCAGAAGAGCCGGAGAGGTCGATCGTCGTTTTTCTCTCGACGCAAAATATTTTTGAGGGCCTGCGGGAATTATTAGAGTTTGGCGGTTGAATCTCGCATTTTTCCACGATCGCAAATCCGACCGTTTTCTTTAAAAAAGAATGTTGGATTTTTTTTCTTACGATATTGAGTTTTATATATGTTTCCTTCTCACTTCTTCGTTGCTTTTTTTTGCAAAAGGATATATCTTCTGTCTAATTTTTTTTAGAAAATTTATCAAATCTACTCAGAACTTTTTTCTTTCTGAAAAACCTTCTTTCTACTTTTGAATAAAATAGAATTCAGCTTTACTAAAAGCTGTCTCCTACTTCAGAAAAAGCAAAAGAAAAAAACTGTAAAAATGAACAGAAAAAAATTAAATACATAAAATAAAATGAAAATCAGCGGAGTGCCGCTACATGTCGAACTCGACTATAAAGCTGAAAAAAACACCAAAGGCGATAATTTCAGATTTTTGTATATTCTTTGAAAGAAAAAAAGTTACATTTTTTTGTGAACGGTCGAATTAGCGGCGTCCATAGGACGAAAAAAACAGCGAATTCAAAAAAATAAAAAAACTGTCGAACAGTTGTGACCAAGTTTTTGCCGGGTAACTCATATACATAATCCTCCAGTTTTTTTTCTCTCATGTTCAAATTTAAATTTGAAAAAGTTTTCATTGAAAAGAACCTTTTTCAGATGGTAACTTTTTTTTTGTCAATAGTAACAAGACAAATTTTATTATTATTTCTTAGAACTTTAGAAATATGTATGAATATCTCCTTTCGGAAAAAATCACACTAATTGGATCAAAAAAACTCGTGTGTTATTGGATAAGAGTGTATAAATTTGGCAAAATCAAAATAATGTGTCTGATTGGATATGTTGTGAGATCAGATACGAGTCCAAATAACTGAAAAAACATCTGAGACGTATTTGGCGGTTAAAATGGACATTCAAAACAGTTTCGACAAGAAAGGCACGGGGATAAAAGCATGGGTATGTATGAATAAGGGTTCGAAATTATTACAAAGAATGGTAATGTGTAGACAAGTAAGTCAAAGTGTGGTCCAAATGGAAAATCTCAATGCAAACAAGAAGAAAAAATCCCTAGTTCAAGTTTAAAAAGACCTGAGGTTTGATAAAAGCTTATTGGGGAGGTACTAGACTACTTGTATGTCAGAATCCTTGAAAAGACAACTACTTCAAAAAATACCAAGTCATAAAAAAAGGTTTAAAAACGGATAAAAAACAATTTTGAGAAGTTACAGCTTCAAATAGCCGTGTGTGTTGACAAGGGAACTAATTTTGATGAAAATTTTGAAAATCTCTATAAATCTGACCAAACGCTCGTTGAAGGTATAGATCAATATTATTTCTATGCAAACTTCTTTTTGATGTTATAAATATCGATTCTTGGCTCTATACTCAGTTAAACTTAGAAAAAAATATTGTCTCCAAAACTAAAACTTTGCGTTTGAACGACCATTAATCCTTCAAAAAGCACTCGAGTAAATTTTGAGAAATCTCCAAGTTCACTTAAAACGTATCTCCTTTTGGGGACATGCAATTAATAAATAACGATATAATGAAATATGAACAACGCTACTATTATTATTATCAAGACTAGCTAAACTATTTGATCAAATTCATAGGAGGAGGAAATTGTTTACTCGTCCTTCTCGGAGTCGAACATGGAGCGGAGCATGAGGAAGGTGTGGAGTTGGTCCTGAGAGACGGAAGCGATTCTCGAGTCGAAGACGGTCCTCGGCGCCGTCGCCGGAGTGCTCAGCGTCCGTCGCGCCAGAGACGAGAGCGCCGGAAACTGCGCCTGTCCAGAAGTGCTCCAGAACGTGATCACGTCTCTGCAAGCAGCTCAATGTCGATTAGAAGCTTTTTATCAACTTTCAGCATCATCAAACATTTTACTAGTTAAAAAATCAGAAATGAGTCGAAAATGTTGCTCCCAACTTTTTTATCTATGAGAAATAAACCGCTAAGACCGAAATTGACAGAAGCATGACAATTTTTCCATTTCTCACTTGGTATGTTCAGCCGGATATTGTGACCTCAGATAACACTCCAGCTCGTCTCCCACAAGGTCGTCCTCCAAGGAAGATAAGAACATTCTCCTTTTCCTAAAAAATGACTATTCAAAGCCATCTTCAAGCCGAGTTTCTGACCTGTGAGGCTCGCCATCACACGAACTTCCTCTACTCAGCGGCTCTTTTGGGCTTCGAATTCCGCAGAGGGCTCGGATTTTCTCGCAAGCCACAACTCTGCAGAAAATCATTTCTTGGGATTAAAAAAAAGAGTCAAACCTTTCAGACTCTGTCAAAATCATGTCAAGTTTGCGGATGAGACGCGGATTCAGAATCGAAGCGATTCTGTGGTCGACCGTCACGACGTTGTCATTCTCCGCCACCATCAGTTCCGTCGTTTTCTGAGTTATTACGACATTTATTTTTTCAAAAATGGTTTCAAATGTTATTTTATGAGCCTTCAGTAGATTTAGGGAACTACTTCAAAATAAAGCTTGAATCTGTCTACAAATACCTTTATAAAGCGCTGAGACTTCATTTTTGGACGATCAGCTCCAAATAATCTATCATGTTGTTAGAACATCTTCTAAAGGCTTTTTCTAGCTCAAAAAAGTTTTCCTTTTAATTTTGAACTTCAACTAGAAAGTCAGGTTGTAAAATATAAAAAGTGAAAGTTCACTGCGAGACAATCAATCTTGTCTACGCTCTCTTTTTTCACAATTTTAAAAAAGAGAAAGGTGGGAGAGAGGGCTCAAACAGTTCAGACCGTTATGAATAAAACTAACAGCTCTTAATTCACGTTGAAGAGGAGAAGCTTCATCTTCAGTTTGCTGACATTCGTGCAGAAGCGCCGACCATTCCGGAACAACTCGCTAAAAATCGGAGAAGTACAAAAATTTCAAGTTTCATAATTACTTGAAAGTTGGGCTGTTCCCTGAGCAGCGAGTCGACAGTCTCTTTGAAAGGGTCCAGGAAAAGCTTCAATTCGCGCATATGATTTTGATTGAGGGTGTGGAAAGTAGGAAGTAGATGGGGATATTTCGCGGCGAGGATTTGTTCAATCTGCGCCCAATGATCGTTGAATTCTGCGAGGAGCCGGTGGAAGTCGAAGATGTCCGAGGAGGCGGAGACACACTCGAAAGGCAGCCGGACGTCCTTCTCGACCATCGCCTGAACCTTCTTTGCTTGGAAGGAGAGAGCAGAAGCTGGACCTTGGTGAGCTGGTCGATGGTGTTGAGCATCTGCATGAGGGGGATCGAGCAGGTCGACAGCACTGCCACCAGAACCTTGAAAAATAAAATAATAAACATTTTCGGACTCATAGTAAGCCAAACGCGGTTTTTTGGTATAAATGAGCCCTAGGTGATTTCTTCTAGAACTAAAAAATATATTGTATAGTCAATCTTCTGCGATTTGGAAGGCGAGACGGGTAGATCGGCAAAGGGAGACGCGTTGCGTACGCGACGCGGCTTTTTGCCGGCAATTTGAGACCAAAGTAATTTTTTAAATGTTTTTCCTCTTTGTTCGATTTTATTCCGATAATTTATAACTTTTTGGTTTTTGGTTTTTTTTTAAAGGTTTAACATATAATTAGTTGAATGAATAGTTATCTACCATGACTACCTTTTGATCTCTAATTTCGCGCCAAAAGCCGCGTCGCGTACGCAACGCTTCACCCTTGCCGAAAAAAACCATATCGCCGTATAAGTCAAAAAATAAAATTAATTATATTGTGTACAAAACACATTTTGCTGTTTCACAATTTAGATTAAACAGTCATCGTACCGCATTCACCGTTGATTGCTTTACTACAATTTCACCCCTCACTTTAACTTTTTTCTTCACTCATTTCGTACAACTAAAACCTGTTTTAATTTCTCTTTGACGTCAACAAAAGTCTTGATGGGAGCAAGGGCATTGGGATCGCTGGAAGTGACGACCCGCAGAAGACTTTTGTCGAGTTCGTAGTTGTGCACTACAATATTGATCATCTCAGCGACCGACTCGTTTCCTCCGGCTTTGAAAACTCTAAAAACATGAGTTGCTTCTAGAAGATGACCAGAGTCCGACCCTAAAATATTGCTCCGCCATTTCCAGTCGTGGCTGATCCTCGCCCCATGGACGACTTTGTAATCTCTTCCACAGTAGGACAATGTCTAAAAGGTCCGAGTTTTAGCTGTTTGCTAGTGATTTTTTTGTTCTGAGAAACATTACAACCTTATGTGTTCGAATCAGAGTTTCACGAGACTTGATCTCGTCTCGAAATGAAATTCTTACTTTATGATATTATTTCGAAATTATTTGGAAAAATGTTTCGTTTCGGTCCCAAAAAATGTATTCTCGTGCATCTCTGGTTCTTATCCTCAGACGCTAGAGAGCACTGGCAATTAAGAGGGTGTTCAGAGAGAAAAACGCATGCCCTCTCATTTTTCAATGCTCTCTAACTTTAAAGGATTCGAACTTTCACCTTATCTCAAGACAAGCCATTTCGGAAATATTTTTATTTTAATGAAAAATATACTTCCTTTTTTTTTAGTATCCTTTCATTCACTGTCTCTTTGCATGGTGTTATAAAAAATCAAGTTCAAATTGAACCTTTTGAAAGTTTTTTTCATGACCTTCTTGCAAAAAAAGACCGATGTTTGCTTCTTTTCAATTATTTTGATCAAAAAAGTCGCATAAACACAGCTTTTATACCTGGTAACGTTAAAATTATCCTATCTTTACGAATAAACCCACTTCAAGAGTGAGCCGGACTCCTTGCGGCGTTCTCGACAACTCGTTCTTCAAATCATCCGTGCAGAATCTCAAGTGCGTTTGCATCGCCTTCAAAATACCTTCCTTACAAAAGAGACAATTTCCAGATTCCTACAGATTTAATAGTCCCTGTGTCAGGAAATGTTTCGATACACCTCCTGTTGGACACTTTGTACAGCTGCCAGAGCTTCTCCAAAAGTCCTTGGAATCCTTTTCCCTGAAAATTTTTTTTCGTTTTTTCATTTTGGAAACATTTACTAGTGATAACTACTTGGTGAGACTTTAAAAAACTCAGAAGTTGGCCTTACTCTGTAAAAAATAGTCGCCGCAAAATATTCGCGGATTCTTGCCTATGCTCCTTTAAACCTCTATGCAAGCTGTTTTGGAGGTGATATAACTCTTTAGAAAACTACTTTTCCCACTTCTTTCTTTTATAGTTGTTCTCATCCGTTCCAGTTTCCATAGACTTTTCAAAGAAAATTTCCCATTTCTTTCGATTTTTATGAAAAATATGTCTTCTTCTTATAGTGTTCCTCTCTTCCCAATAGTTTCCCGAATTTTCTGATGAGACGTACCGAAAAAATGATCGGATCGATTAAATCGAGAGCGCAGCACTTGACCATCGCTTCGGTCAAAACTTCGCGATCCACATCTCCAATCGTCGCCTGAAAAAGGAATGATTGCTATTTTTTGGAAGTTTTTTGATATTTTCCGAGGGCGGATAAAAAAATCATTACAAAAACGCGGAAAATTTTTAAATAATTGTTCTTATATCAGAGATTCATGATCTGAACGAAAAGGTTTTAAAATATGACTTCTAGGTTTCAAAAAACAATTTCAGGATTAGCAAAAAAAAAAAAATGGATATTTCCGCTATAGTGTATTTTTCACAAGTTTGACGCCAATTGAGCTTGATTCTGGATTATTTTTCTCAAATCGGATCCAAAATCTAACAATACTCCGTCGAAAAAAACTTCTCCTCTAAATTATTTTTCGTTAAGGATCCCACTGATCTTCGAAATGTCATTATTATTATTCTTATCATTCTCATTTCAGTGATCTCCCTTTCCTCGAAGCCGAGACTAACCTCTCCAGAAAGCTGCGGAATGAGTTGAGAAGCAGTGGGTTGAACTGGCTCCTACGAAAAGTCTTTGAAAAAAGTTTCCGATTCAGCTCTAACCGTAGAAACATTGAGCGGAAGCCTAGAATCGGCGACGACGCGGACGGCGGCCGAGATGGCCGAGTCGAAGGACGCGGCGGCTTCGACAGTCTCCGTCGAAGAGCTGGAAACAACGTGGTGACGTTTCAGCCTCGTAGTCCGGCTCATCAAAGCCTAGCGAATAGATGAGAGTGTATTGAACTCGGCAAACGCCAGCGAGGCAACATGTACACGGATTTGTATCTCACAAACTCAAATCGTAGGCAGTGAGCTGGCAAGAAGACTGTGAAGATCTTTGTTTTTCTCCACTTGGGTAGGAAAAATAATGACCCTTCTGCTACAAAAAAGCACACAATGGAGAAATCTTGCTAGCGCCTAGTTTCGAAAATTGTAGCAGACTCAACGATCGGTTAGACAAGAATCCCTCATAAGATTGGTTCTTTCTTCTCTATTTTGCTTCTTTCGAAAAACGAAAAACTGAAGGGAAATACAAAAACGGTCAAAAGATGTTCTGTAACTCATACCTGAAAACTTATAAAGCTTTTTAAAGTAATTTTTGAGTACAAAAATGTGCATTTTGAAATTTCAACTGAACACACATCACTTAAAAAGGCCACGCACTCGGAAAAAAATTTGAATAGATTTTTAAAAATAGTTCGATCATGCTCCCTGAAGGCGCTAAAAGGAGCTAAAATCAAAATCAAGCCAAAAAACCAACTTGAAAAACGTGGAATCGTTGGGAAGTCAAGAAAAGATAACTGCAGGAATTCCTAATATAATAATAACTTGGAAATCTTTTTTTTTTGGATGTTTTCAATGATTAGAAACAACGTCGCGAGCTCTGCCGGAGAAAAAAAAAATTCAAATCGTCATTTTCCAACTTTCAGCGATTATTTTCCACAAGAAGAAAATTTTTTCCAGAGTAGTTTCCAACATGAAAAATGTTCAAAATGACGTGCTCTTTGCGTTACAGTTGGTTTGAACCGATTTGCTCGACCAGGAAAAAAGTTAGCTTTTTACGGTATTTTCTCTAATATAACCCTGAAAGTGGGCGGAGCTTGTCGAAACCGGGTGTCATGTGTTGAGAAGGTCGCATAGTATATGTGACATGAATTTAAGCTCGAAAAAACAAACTTGAAAATTATTGTACCAACGTATTTTCGAAAATCTCAGAAAACTTAAATTACAACTTTCTCATATTTTCTTCTAAAAAGGAAATAACGATTGCAAAAAGAGCTCAAGAGACAGCGTTAAATTTGTAAAATCAAAATGGAAAAAAATTAGGAGAGAGAGAGGCTTGACTTAAGCTCCGAGAGAGGATTTGACCGTCGCGTAGCCGACTTATCCCTGCATGTATGTTTATAGACTACCATTCGATTGCTTTAATAAAAAGAAGACATGATTTTTGTTTTTCCAGAGTTTTTCTTTTTCGCAACTTGCTTTCGAAATTACAGCAAGTAAAAATGATGATAACTGTTGTAAAAAGCCAAAAATTATAGGTTTAGCTTTGCAAAAAAATGTAGTTTTTGTTGAATTTTTTTATTTGAATTTTTCTTGAAATGAAATCTGCAAACAATCGTTCTATGCATCCTTAATTCTTTTTAGAAATTCTTCGATGAAATGATTTTTTTAAGTTTTTGAAATAGGCATAGTGGCAGTAAAAACGCTTTCTAGTGAAAAAAAAAATTTCAAATGAAGCTTGATTTCGAGTCTCCCTTTTTTTCAACCTCCCACTTTTCGAGAAAAACTACTTTCAAAGTTTCGAAAAATTATACATTTCGGTTGAATGAGCGGCCAAAGTACATCCTCATCGAATTTTTTTCAGAGCAATGGAAGGAGGATAATCACAAAAAGAGACGAATGAGTGGACTTTTTATAGAGAACGTAGAAAAAATTGTTTTTTTAAACGAATTTGAATATAGACCATTTATTTTTTTTACCGGTAAAAAAATGTTCGTTAAGGTGGACTTCCGGTTAAAAGATAAGAGTAAGGTTAAGAAATCAGTTTTCTATTACCGGTCAAGCTTTCCGTTTTCACGCTTCCCTTTGTAAACTTATACTTCACAATAATACACTCTCATCCGCATCGCTAAAGAACAAATTCAAACCCATGAGTACTGCTGTTTCTGTAGCTGGCGCCGATGGGACACCGATGGCGGGTCATATTTCCAGTACCGCCGCCAGTATCCGTATAGAGCACCTTGCAGGCGTAGCAAGCCACGTAAGGCAGTCGGACTCCCGTCGACGTGTCTATCACCTAAATTCCAACCAATAACCAACGATGAGCTTCCAATTATCCACCTGGCCGAAGAGGTTCCAGACTTCGGAGCGGCCACGCTTCCGAACCAACTGGAATCGACCATTTCCACTTCGAATATCGTCCTGGATCAGAGACTTCGGGGGCATCTGCGCCATGATCTCCGGCGTAGCCGAGACGCTGTGGCTCTGAACAAGTTCTGTTCACTTTCAGATGCTCTGGGGGCACCAACATGGTCAAAAGAGACACTACTAGAAGTGAAATCGAAAGATCCCGAGCCGAGTGTTTCGAAAGAGCCCGAGCAGTCCATTTGCTCCATTTTGGCTTCCCTAGACAACTGAGCCTTCGCCAAGTCTTCCAGAGGTCCGATCGCAAGGGAATGCGGTCCCATCAACTGGCTGATCAGTTGCGGGGCCAAGGAGATCGGAAAGAAGTCGGACGTCGGTTTCGGAGACTCGCCTGTAAATTTGATTATAAGTAAATTGTTTTGTGTGAAAATGCGTAAATAAAAAAAATTCTAACTGGAGAATGATCTAAAGTTTTGAACTTTGTAATATCAATATATATCACCCTCTCAATGCATCGATTGCTCTGAAAAATGCTCCCGCTATTGAATCAAAAATACTATGAAATCTTAGCGCTTTCCATAAATTTAATTGATAAATCACTGTCGCTGAAGTAAAAAAATAAAATCGAAAAATTCTTATTTGAGGTTCGCATATTTTTTTAAGATTTTTTTATGAAATTTGAAAAATAAAAAAACTGTTTCCAGTATGTTTTTAAAAACCTTTTCAAAACCTGAATTCGACAACAGTATCTCCTCACGTAGAATATCAAGCAGTCTACAAAAATGTTTTTTTACTAACATATTTGAGTACTCTATAAGAAAAAAAATCGCTTTGAATCAAAGTTATGAATTGAAGGAGAGCCTCAAAGTAGACTCGTGACGAAAAATGGTAAAAGGTAAAAAGTGAGCGACATTTTTAAAGGCTCTGAACTTTTGTAAGACCTTTCACCACTAAAAGTTCGATTTGAGCGACTTTTACCATTTTATTTTCAAGATTTCTGAACTAACAGAATAATTTGTTTAATAGGTGAATGAGGTTCCAAATTTAAGCAATCGATACAATGAGAGGAAAGAAAAACGAACTTTTCTTTAATGATTTTTTCAACCATACTTTATTTCCACTTAATTTTTTTTTTGAATCAGGCTTGTCTCTTGTGGAATGACTCTACTCGCAACATATGCGGAGAGGCTGATCTGAGGCGTGCCCGACCAAAAACAAATTTCGCGCAGTAACATAAAGAAGCGTGGATGTATGCCTAAGTTCAACCGCAACGCGACCGCGACGCTTTGAGCCATTCTACAGATTTTCCATATATTATATTACAATAATTTGCTCTCTCATAGCGTTCGATTCAGCCATATTGTATAAAATTGATTAAAATGTTAGTAAATTCGTACATGCATAGTTTCTGGTGGTGTCGATGGGACTTTTGCGGAAATCCGGCGAAGGGACGGTTAGGAGTCGGGAATCGGGTGCCGGCGAGGGTTCCAGCTGCAGGAACTGCTAGTGAAAATCATGACTGTTAGATTTCGCGGCAGTTATGGCTCTCAACCATGTTATGTCGACTGAGTCATTCAGAAATTACAGATCAGCAAGCTTCATAGGGTTTTTGAACCTATTCATTTCATTTTCTAAGTTTGCTCAATGACATTTAAAAGAATCTAATCAAAGTTCTATCTAAAATTATAGTCTATTCACAACCAAATCCATCTTGTCTGAATCGGAAAATCACTGAACCGAAATTTTCCTACATTTTTTCCCACTTTTTTTCAAAGCTGCTACTTTTTTTCTAGCAATTTCTTGAGGTAGTGAATTAAAAAAAAAAATAAACGTAAATTTCGTTGTAGTCATTAATTTGATTTTTAAATAAGATAAACTAAAGTTTGCAGAGGAGCCAAATAGGCTCAGAAAACGTCATTATTGAAAGAAAAAAAAAGCAAAATTCGAAAAAAAAATTTCACGCTATGTGAAAAAAACGTGTTCGAAATTTGCTGTATTGTACAGAAAAAACAGAAAAAATTGAATCAAGAAAACTTCGAATTAATTTTTTTAGTTCCATTGAATAATCTTTCCAAGTTTCTTTTAATTCAATGCTCAACCGACTCAACTACATTTTAAATTTTTTCTCACTTCTTCAAAAAAAAAAGAAATTGAAATTCAACTTGAATGCTTTATTTGCCTGCTGAAATTATTCTAAGATCGGAATAAAATCCCTAAGTCCAACCCGTTTTTTTTTCAGATTCTGTACTCACCAAACCTCTATTAACAGACTCATTCTCATTATGATGAATTAAGAGTTTCAGGATAAATGAAGAAAAAAAAAAGACAAACGTGTTTCGAAACTGATTTGTTTGAGCATCCAAACAAAAAAGAATAGTTCTATCAATATGATAAGAATTTCAATTCCTGGGGGAACTCATCTTAAAAAGGGGTGGGCAATTTCAGTTTAGAATGGGCCAGAAAAGAACCTGAAGAGGAGAAAGAGGCGAATGGACCAGCAGCCGGGGCACTTCCACCGGCGAAAAAGCCGACCTCGAAGACGCGTCGAAGGATCCAGGCCTCAAGTTCGCTGCAAACGGCCAACGCTTTGTCTCTACCCAAGACATTTCGCAACTTTTGAAGCGTGGTACAAATTAAAACTCACAAAAAACTCTGCGTGCGGTTTGTAAGATTGAAAAAAGACGGAAGCTTAGCACGTTTGTTATGATGATTAATTTTGTTGGAGTCACAAACAAACTTCGGTTTATTATCCACACACACAGCCAAAAGATGTAGTAAAAGACGATTTTTCGGATACCTACCAGGCGACATTTTCGGAGAGACGCTACATTGAGCGACGTCGAACGACGAGGCTCTTCTCGTCGTTTCAGAAGTTGTCGTCGTCGGCTCATCGTCCTGGACGGCCTGCGACTTCTGGAAGAGAATTTTAATGAGTTTGAACAAAAAAGTAGCAACCATGAGCCATGTTTTTGATTTTCAAAAGATTTGAGTACCCGATTCAAATATTTCTAGTCCTTGTTATGAAAAACTTCTTAAAACGCAACTGTTCTTACAAAATGAAGGTGTAACCCGCAGAGAACCCCGGAAAAAAGTTAAAATTTTTTTTGATGTTTTCGGTGCACCCCGCGTTGGACTTAGGTGGCGTGCGGCTCAGGGACAACCGGTCAGAAAAAAGGCCTTTTTTTGAGCTACCGTAACAACCTTGGATGGAACTGTAGAAATTTGTACTATCAAGAAATAAGAATGAAGGGGGGGAGGTGTACCGATTTTTTTGCTAGAGTCTTCTTCTTCTTCTTCCTACGCCTTTGTACCGCTTAAGCGGCGTCGGCAAGTCGATTAGCCGAGGTCCTATCCTGATGTGATAATCAGTGGACTGGCTCAAGTGACATATCCGTCCTTGTGTGTGACGGCTGGGGATTTTGAAGTCGTGGTTTCCCACTACCAACATTTCTTAAACCCCTTGGTTGGGTCGAGGGAATCGAACTTTTGACCATAGAGAGGCACACAACCTGTTGCGCTACTGCTTTTTTGGTTACGGATTTTTTGCTAGAGTATGTTATTTATTTATTTTATACTTTTCTATCTATTCTTTTTCCAAACCTTGAGTGAGCGGTTCCGTTGCCGAGCCGCCGCTCTCGACGGATCTTCGCCGCTCGACAGTTTGCTGAATTTATTAGAAATCAGTGTAATTCTTCATAAAACGTCAGGAAAATTCAAATCGATGAATAAATGAGAAAAAAAAATGAATAAATTGAGACCTCGGCGAAGAAGGAGCTTTATCAAGAGGTGGGAGAGTCAGCAGCGAGGAGCCGCTCATCACAAGTCCTAGACACAATTTTCAATCGTCTTGTTTTCGAAATTCAGGAAAAAGGCGTTATAGCACGCGATATATGAACTTTGAAAGGATGTGAAAAAAGGCAGAAATGAAATCTCGACGACTTGGAAGGCAATGGAAACGCATTGAACGACTCAAAACGTCTCGGTTGGCTGAAAAAAGGCGTCCAAGGCGACCGCAAAATCTCGAGCCATTCCGCATGCGACCATTCGTAGCGAATGGATTATAAGTTTTATATGATATAGGAAAGCCGTGAGAGTTCCAAATATTTCCATTCCCGGAAAACCCCTGGGGAATTCAAATGGTCATGGGAAAACTCGAAAAATCATGTGAGGTATTTTTTTCTCAATAATAACTCGGCGGAAACAAAAAGTGTCCTTTTTACCCATGTTCCGGCCAAAAAAACCTCCTGTAGAAGATTATTGAAAACTTATTCACACTTAAAATTGAAAAAAAAACTGAAGAGTTTTGGCAAATGGAGACCGGTAGAAAATTTTCCACTAGGTATTTCAAATTTTGATTTTCGGAAATTATAACTCTTCATTGCACACCTGCAAATGGACATGGTTCTAGCAAATCAAAAAGGATAGTAGAAAGATTGTTAACTGAAGAATAACACTTCAAATCGGCCTTTTAAGGGTATTTCTCTCTCCAAATATCACAATACGTACGCAACAAGACCTTATCGTGGTCTAAAAGCACCATTTTCGCTATAGTTCATGATATTTTGAAAATTCAAAACAAAATATGACCTCTTTAAGTAAATTTCAACCTTTTTGGTAAAAGTTTCTGTTTCATTGAAGTTTATCAGAACGAAAAAATAGGTAGAAATGCTAGAATATGGACTTGAGTGGTCAAATAAATGTCAATTATTTAAGAAAAAAAAAATTATGATAATATCAGTTACTGCTTTTCCTGAAATGAAGGCTTCTCAGAGAAGTGCGTTTTTTCGCTATAAATCCATTAAAAGCCTTGATATTCTTTCGGAAGACACTTTATTTTTGATTATCAAAACACCAAAAGCCACCACTTTTTCAGATCAGAACGATTTAAAAAGAAGGAAAGACCACGCGAATGGACGGTAAGTACAATCGGCATGTTTTCGCCAAATAAGCTCGTCATTCCCAAGAAAGAACGACGTTATCGAGAAATTTTGCGAAGAACCAAAGGAGAGTTTGACGAACAATCAACAATAATAAATAGGACGTGCAGTGAGAAAAATAGTTGAATTTGCAGTAGGAGAGCTGACTTTGACTTGGTCTTTTGATTTAGAAGCACAAAGGGCCATGATATGAAAGATATAATGAAGTAAGTTGGAAAAAGACCGCTGAGAGGTCCAAAGGAAACATGATTTAAAATTTTGACGTGTGAGATAGCGTAAAAATCTGAAAAAAAGTTAATCGAAAGGAAAATTCGACTGCTGCAAGCATATGAGCTTTCCCAGCTTTTCCAACTGTGCAGGTGGTGAATAATTAGGAAAGAAAGGGTTTTTAATTAAAATGCACTGAACTTCAATCTAAGAATCAACTACTAAATTATCATCTTTCTATATTGATAGAAAAACTGTGCATCTCACAGAAATAGTTAGAGGGAAATTATTATTTCTATAAGCAATTTTTTTAAATCTTTCTAGTTTGCTCTAGGAGGAAATATTATTTTTGTGACTCAGTCGGGCATGCTACTATCACTTTTTTTTTTGCTTACCTATACTTTAGCCGTTACGACTTGAATCTCTCGGACCGCATGTAGAATGGCTCAACCAATGATCGGACTTTTAAAAGCAGTGAGTTCAATTTTTTCAAGTACAGGGAAGACTATAAAATTTGAACGATCTCCCGACCACGTTTAAAATTGAGACTAAAACTATTATGTAGATCGATCAATTTGAAAATTAGCTTCTTGAAATGCTTCATAATTAGAAATACAAGTAAATATTCACAAAAAACGAACAAATTCGAAGAATTTAAAAGATTTTTGAGCCACTTCGTAAGCTCTTCTTTGTCAGAGAAAAATTTTTGAGGAAAGAAATTGATCAAACCAACAAGAAATTATTAATAGACCGAGCCGACAAAAACGAGTAATAAATCCCCATAATTCCGCAGAATAATGAACAATGCTTCGGCTCCCACGCGCTTTCACTATTTCTAATTATAATTGCGAGGCAAATCGGATTACCGAGGGGCAAAAAAAGCGGACCCATTCTCTTCCGCATTGTACTCTTGCGCAGGAGGAAAAGTATTTTATTTTCAAACCAAGCGCAGATGAAAATTCCCTTCTTACGTCTTTGTTGTTCAGATTTCCTACAAAATTTCGAAGAAAAACAAGCGCTTACGCTCTTCTGGCAATGGAGAAAACAATAAGATGACGAACGGCGGTGCTCTTTTGAGCATTTGTAGCCGCGAGATCTTCGGCCAGACTCGAAAACATTACGCAATTGTATTTCTAAGGCCATTCATCAACACAGACGTCTTATTATTGTGTCTTCGATTTGATGTACAAAACGAATACTTGAAATGGAACAGAATTCAAAAGCTTTTTTGAAGGGAAAAACATTTTCAGCCAGACTTGATTAGTCATCGCTGGGAACTTTTCTTCCCGAACACGTATTTCCAGATTTTGCTTGAGAAACAAACAAAACTGAGTAACCAATAACGATCGAAATTGAAAGGAAAAGATAGGATATTTTCAATTGGTTGAGGGATTCAAGTTGAAGAATCAAAAGCATTGAAAAAGGAATTATTGAAAGAAAAAACACAAAAATCCGAGAAAAGGGTTAATGATCAAGAGCTGACGTATGTGAACTATCGGTTTTAATCTCGAAACGTTGAAAAGAAAAAAAAACACAGCGGAAAATTGACGAGTGGAAGAGGCGACGAGAGGATAGAGACGCAGAGAGAACGGACCCGCAAAAAAGCGAGTCGACCCAAGGCCCGTTGGCAATCGAATACGCGACATGCAGCTGCCAACTTTGGCCTCCAACTGCCTACCGTCTCTTCATTTCGTTTCAAAACACCCGGCTCATTTTCCAAAGAGTTAGAAATCATTTGATCAACCTTTTTTTAAGGAGGTAAGCTTTTTTCGATTTGACAGTTTTCCGCTCAAAAGTTCAACTCATTTGCAACTAACCTCTTTATTATTTTATTAATCTTTTCTTTTATGTGAAATGAGAGACGAAATAAGAAAACAAGACGACTTTTCTTTATTATCATTTACAGGTTTACCCCCGTCAGTATGACTAGAATTTGTTTTTTTGACTTCTACATGAAAATTTACACCAAAAAAATTCAAACTTAAAAAAAATAATAATATCGTTTTATCAACCTCTTTTTTTCACTTTTTTTAAAATTATCCGCAAGTACAAACATGATTATTTAAAAAAAAATTTTTTAATTAGGACACTGAACTTTGGTGAGGCTAAACAATTTTTAACGAAGATGATTGAAAAACTTCTGTTTCTCTAATTTAATGGCTCAAAAACGAGTAAAAATGAGCATCACAAAAAGTGACACCAATTCAATTATCTTCACTGGAAACATTATCCTATAAATATTCCCAAAACAACATCTGACTAATGGAAAACCACAAAAATGGGCTCGGAACAAAAACCCACGTTTCTCGCGTCTCTTATCACTCCGATCAATTAATCTTGGGCTTTCATTGGGACGCTGATAAGCCCGAGAAACCTGTGATTATTTGCAACAGGAAGCCATAGCAAGGACGGAAAGCGTGGCATAAGGAAACGTGAAACGAAGAAATTCAAAACATTTACTGGAAAAGTGATGAAATGCGGCAGGACAGACCCCAAGGGCTTCGACTGCGGATGTCTTTGTTTTCTAACAGGAAAAAACCTGTCCATTTTGTAGTTTGCCAGAGGTTTGTATTTTTCTTCAAAATGCTACAATATCAAGATTTCGTATTCAAGGACATCTGATTGTTCTCAAAAAAAAGAGCTTCCGCAATGATTAATTGTCCATTACTACAAACTTTTGTATGGAAACGCCTATTTTTTTTTTGCTCATTAGTACAGTAGCTCCAGTTCAAACATTTTCAAATGTTAATTGAAAACAAGTTTTCACAACTTAAAATCCCACATGATTCAAAGAACTGTGTGTATTCTTCCCGATCTTAAAAACGTTTCCTTAATTTTGAAGTAGCCATTCTTCGAGACAAAGATGTATTTCAGGTCTCGAAAAACGAAAGAACAGAAAAATAATAAAATTGGCAGGAAACAAACAAAAGTTTCAGATCAAAACATGAAAAAAATTTATTTTTCATTTAACTACTTTAGTTCAATTTTTTTAAATCTCTTAATATATTCGTGAACAAACTATTTCTATTTTTGAAAGAAAGAGTATATAATTTACATAACAACTTGGGCAGCCAAAACAAATACCGGACTATAAGTAGGATCTTAACTTGAAACAAGCCAATGAACGTTCGAAAAGAAGAATAAATTTCATTTGATGCGCAAATGTGTTGTTCGAATGGTTATCAGCGAGACGTTTGGAGGCGGATTAACGGCGAGGAAATCATCGGAAGTGCACGACGGCCCTAGGCTTCACCTAGTCAAAAGAGAGCGCACCTAGACGGGAAACTAACCAGAAAATAGAAAGAATTACAAATTGAGGAAAACTTTTTTCCAAAAAAAGCCTGGGAAATCAGACCACCGTGAGTATTACTTGTATACAAATCAACCAAAAAAAAGGTTAGCTTTTCTTTTCTTTTTTTTTGATCAAACTAATCTTTTAGAAAACTTCGAGGATGATCACGGCTATGAGCACGTTTAATATCCAATTGACAAAATTATTATTAAGCAACTTTATTTTGTATTTTAAAAACATCCTTGAAAAAACTTTAGACGAGGTTACGGAAAGTAAAAAATTAATTGAATCAAAACTGCACGCGAGTCGAACAGCACTGCATTATTCGAGAAAAAAAGGTGTAACCAAAATGAAACTGAAAACTGAGAAAATAATTTCGGCGTAAAATAAAATGCAAACCGGGTGTTGTGCTCACGGACGACTAAATCACAGTAACAACAAAAATACATTTCAACCTGTGAGAGTAGCACGCTAATAATATTAGTTAAAAGTTCGCAGGTCTGTTAGAAGCTTCAAGTAACTCCGAAGTAAGGGATATAATTCAAAACTTCAACTTCATAATCCAAAAACTTAAGGCTGCTACAACGAAATAACTGTCGAGAAGCACTATCAATCGTCAGCTTCCTGGGTAACGACAACCAAGTTATTAATAGCGGAAAGCGTAGGTGAACGATCATATGTATGAGTTACCTAGGTTATTTTGGGGATGATGTCATTGAGCTACAAAAAAGCTGTAGCTTGTATACAAGTATCCGTTCTATATTTTTTCTTGACTTCGACACTTTTGTTCTTTTTTTTAGAACAAGTTTATTAATCATTAAAAATAAAAAGGAAACCAGCCAGCCTTCTAGCTCCACGTTGTAGAAAAGGGAATGACAATTAATTCAAAGCGTCTTACAAAAAGTGCACATGGGCGTACCTGCTAAACGCTCGTTGTGGTGCACTTTGAAGTTGTTGAATACATTTCTCAACGTCGCAATTCTAGAGTGACGTAAAAACCCTCAAATAGTCGCAATCATGGTTTTAATGTATGCATCAGTAAGTTTCCAGAAAGTAATCAAAATTAGTACGCTTGCACTTCCAATTTTGGGCTTTTTTTTGGCTACGACGTCAGTTCTGAGCGTTTCGTCAGTTCGGAGATCTGATGGTTGTTTTGATGATTCACATGTAGGTATGAAATAATTATATTCATCTTTAGTGCCTTTTCCGGGGATAGGTTCTGATATTCATCAGGAAGTTGGGAAAGCAGTTCAGTTTAATTTTAAAATTGCTCAAGGAAACATGATATAATGCCATGATTGAATTGATTTATCGATTTCACAGTAGAAGAAAGTGATTTTTGTTTTGCCCGAAGTTTTTATCTCCGTTTTGTCTATAATTATCAGTTACCGGCAACAAAGACTATCTTTTTTCTCCGACCACCAAACGAAGAGTGCCGCAAATAGTTGTTTGATGATTTCGAACGTTGACGCAGTCTGTTTCCACGGCGATCAATCACTTTGAAGAGCCAGACGAAAGTTCTTAGTACGGTTTTACAAAAAAACTCTCTTTGTCTTTTTTTTTTGACTTTTTTCATCGAAGTTTTGTGTCGATCGAATAAACCCATGATTTAAATTTCACAGTACTTTAACCAAGGGTTCTTGTGATGTTTTGAGCGATCGGCGTTTCGATGACAGAGAACGGAAGGGAAAAGACATTTTTATGTGTTTTGCAGTTCTGATGGAAAATTTAGTCTTTTTGAACTCGTGTGATGTTATTCTGAAACGTGCTATTTTGAAATTAAAAAAAATCATTTCAAGTGGGAAACTCCTGAATGGGGAAGCTAATAATTGTTTACGGATGCTCATAAATGATACAAAATCTCTAAATTTCGGTGTTTCAGGTTCAACATTTATTTTTTTTTCACCGATCTCTTTCAACCTCCATGGTCATGTAGATATTTTAGGTTAGAATGAAGCCTTGAGAAGACTTCAGAAGTAGTATACAAAAAGTTGACGCTGGCGCACCTTTTTTTGCCCAAATGCGATTTTTGCAGATTTTCAACATTTTTTTAAAACATTTTTTTCATTGAAAATCATACTTAATTTCCCCAAAATGTGTCATTTTTTTGAAAAAAATGACCAAAAATTTGTCTGGCGCACCACTTACCCATTTTGCACACTTTCAATTTTTTTGAGACTTTTTCAATGTTTTTTTATTCCTATGCAATAAAAATACATTAATTTAAAAAAACTCAGATAAAAAAAGACACTTAGTATTCGACAAATTAAACCCGTTCTTCCACGGTGTTTTTTTCATTACGCAAGGTCAAGACTTTCCGTAAATTATGATGCTTAGGGTGTAAGCACACCGAGATGCACTATCGCATACTCAAAATGTTTTTTCAATTTTAGAATTTGCGATTTCAGGATAATAGCTCCTGAAATGTTCGAAATTTGTCATTTTGAAGAACATGATGTGAAAAAAACATTCACTTAAGTTAAAAAAAACATTTAGGAACGATTTCGAAAGGGGAAAACTCTAAATTACTGATTACAAAAAAAAAACAAAAAATATTATGAAGGTGAATCAGCTCCCATTGAATAAGCATTTATAAATTTATACATAAAATATTAAAATGAGGAAAATTCGAGGAGCAAATGAAAAACATTTTATATACCTCGAAAACCTAGCTTCAGAAAAACAAATTATGGATAGAAAGCAGAAATTGCAGAAAAAAAGAACCTCGTATGGCGAAATTTTTTTGTTTAAATCCGAAAAAAACCATCAAAAAAACTAGAAAAAAATATATAATTTAGATGATGCATATATCAAAAATCATTGAACTGCATCAGCAAATTCAATTTGGCTCTAATTTACCCGAAACCGGTTTCAGACTACGTCAAAGGAACTAGATAATAACTTTTTTATCATTAACTGATTAAATTAAAAAAACTATAGTTTCCGAAATAGAGTGACTCTTTTTCATGTCGCGAAACAGATTTCAAAATTTTTGAAAAAAATTAGGACTTTTTAGAAAAAAATCTTCAACTTTTTTTGAGAAAAAAATTAAAGATCTGAAACCGGTTTAGAAAAAGTGCGCAATTAAAAGCTCCACAAGATGTACCCATAGAGAGGCGGATCACATAAATGCAAGAAATAGAAAAAAGTAAAAAACCAAGAAAAAAAGTGATGAAATTCAATTTTTGCAACAGAAACCATGAGAAGGGGCCCCCCGACCATTTCGTAAGCCCGGCCCGGCCCGGCCTTAGCGGGCCTCAAGAAAAAAATGGCCAGCCCGGCCATTTTTTTGAAATGGTCGGGGGGCCCCTTCTCATGGTTTCTGTTGCAAAAATTACTTTTTTGCTCATTTTTTCTCTTAAAGTTTAACAAAAAAACTATGATTTCAGAAGTAAAAGTCACACATTTCGGTGAAAAATTTTTTTGAATGAAATTTTTAAAATGTTTTTTTGAAGCCCGGCCCGAGCCCACGCGGGCTTTTTCCTGAAAATGAGACCCAAAGCCCGGGCCAGGCCGGCCCGGGCCGGGCCGCCCGGCCTGTTGCACAAGCCTGGCTGGGACCCAAAATTTCGCATTTTTTTTTCATTGCGCGGAACGCCGTGCTTCATCTATGAACAATGTTTGGGAGCCAAGACCTTCTATTTCCGTCTGAATGAGCTTCTTTTTTGATGGCGGAGTTTTTGGAGAGTTTTGCTGCTCAATTCGCAATTGAGCCTAAAAATGTAAATTTAATATCGCTTTAAATCGAATCCAACTCTTACCATAAGAGATTCCTCGAAGCGCACTGCGGGAGATATTATGGTTTTAGGACTGTAGGTCGCCGCTTCGTGGATCACAAAATGTGTGAAGCCGACATCTGGCATACAAGTAACTCCGTATTTTATTCCAATCAGTCCGCGTGAGCTCCAACATGCACCGCCTGGAATTTTTGTAAATTAATTTATTTAAATTGAATTAAGTAAAATTAAAAATTAAATAAAAACTATAAGAAAATATTAAATAAAAACTATAAGCAAACAGCAAATATATTATACTTACCTGAATCTCCTCTAGAACTTTGTCCAGTTCCCAAATAGAACGGGCCCATGAGTGGAGGTGACGGCCTGTCGTTAAGTGAAAAGTAGTACCCTCGAACAGAGTGCACAATTCCACTTAAGTACGCTAACTTCTGAGAGCCAGAAGTCATATCGCCGAATCCCGCCAGAAGGAATATCTCGGATTCTTCTCCTCCGACCAATCGTGGCGCTGTCTAGAAATAATTAGCGTTAAACAAAATCATATAAATGTTATAAATAAACATATAAGCAATAAATTACCTCAACAATGTTCTCCTTACTGCGGAGAAGGATGAAGTCCAATTTCTCGTTTATATCAACGACGGTAACTTCCCAGCCACTCTCCGCATTAGGTTGATCCTCGGCCGTTGCATGAAAAATCTTCATCGCACTTCCGAGTTGTAGAAGAAGGTGCGTCCCATGACGAAATGTCACAAAATATCGTGGATGGACACACACAACAGTCGACTTTCCCGCCAAATCACTGGCATAGAACATCCATTTGTCGATGGATTTAGACAATGGAGGCGGTGGTGAAGGAGCTGAAAACTTTCATCATTAAAACGTTGAGATCATAGCATGTACAATATATTTTTAGTAACAAATTTAGTATTACCGTCGGGATATGGGCTGACGTTCGGGCGTACATCCATGGAGGAAGCTGGTCGAGAAGGAGTTTTATCCGATTCCACACTGAACTGCATATTTGAAAAGTCCGCCGGTAGTATAAACGCCGAACCATTTTCATTTACTCTAAATTAATTGAAATAAATCAGAAATAATTCAAAATATGAGTTACTCGCATCCTTTCTGACGACTGTTAACTTCATAACTTAACGAAACTACTGCATCCCAAGGAAGCAGAAACTGGCTTTTGACGGTGCTCAGCGTCAAATTATTACTCAACAAATCTATTTCAACATCCTTGTCCATCATTTTAATATGGACGGTATTAGCCATTTTGGGACGAATGAATCTGAAAACAAAGAATTAATTGTAAACTAATGTAAAAACAACATGCAAACATGCACTATGTAAACATCCGATTCAATTCGAGAGAGAGACAAAGGGAAAGTATGAAACGTTGTTAGCAAGCTCAAAGTTAAGGAGAAAATAACAATGATAACCACGGATGCGAAATCACGAAATCAACGCGAACTGCAAAAGAAAAAGAAGTCTCTTTTCTATTCACAAAAGTAATAATGCGGTGGAAGAATGTGATGTTCGCAGTCTCTCTCCTTCCTCTGCGCCTGTGTCTTCCACTCTAGCCCAACGCGTTTGAGTGTCGCGTGGTTACATCCTGCTGATCGGGATGCAGAAAGAGTTACTAAGTATATTCCTTTTGAAAACGAATTAAAATTTGGAGGTCTATCTTTTCCAGTGAAAATTAAAGATATAAATAAGTTTGAGGAGATTAATGATCTTGTTGTAAATGTGTTAGAATGCACTGAAAAAGGACAAATAAAATTATGTCATACACTGCGACCCATAATTATAGACCCACCCTAATTTCTCCGATTTTAAGAAAGATTGAAAAACTTTGAGCCACCAAACTTTTTTTGTGATAAACCTTGTTGATAAGGAACATAATCATAATATAATTATCAATCACCCAGTTGAAAAAGTTTTTTTCAAGATACGAGAAAAATCTGATTTTTTTGACCGACCCAGAATTATAGACCCACTATAAGTAATCAACAAAATTCATTTCACAAAGTCAACAAAGTATAACAAAAAGATTAATTAATAATGTGTGATGCCTCCTTGTTTCTGAGCGACTTCGAAAATCCTGTTCGGCATGCTGCCAACGAGTGATTGCAGCAGTGACTTGTCCAAACCATCCCACTCGGCACGAATCGCTCTTTTCAGATCGTTGACCGTTGTATACTGCTTGGCATTCGCGTAGACCCTTCGTACAAGGACTGACCATAAATTCTCTACAGGGTTGAGGTCAGGACTGCACGCGGGCCAGTCCAGAAGAACCACGTTCTTGGCCGCAAACCAAGCCAATGTGGAGTTGCTCGCGTGAACAGATGCATTGTCTTGTTGGTAAATCATATTAGCACGTCGTCGGCGACGGAGATAGGGCAGGAGATGCTGGGCAAGCAGTTGCTGGTAGTCTTGCGAATTCGTTCTGGTCCCAATAAAAGAAAGAGCTACCGTCCCGTTGCCGCAGAAAGCCGCCCAGACCATTAGGCTGCCGCCGCCGAAGTTTCTCTTGGAGAAGTACATCGGATCTTTCCTCAAATCTCTCCAGTAGTGAGCGTACCCATCTGGCCCATCAAGGTTGAATTTCTTCTCGTCGCTGAAGATGATCTGAGCAGAAAAATTGGGAATCATATGGTGATAGAAAACATTGATACCTTATTCCAATCCGTGGCCATGTTAGAGCGTGCAAACTGGAGCCGTTCATTCTTATGGCGTTGCTGTAGACGAGGTGCTGCCTTCATTGGAGTATTCACAAGTCGACCGGACCGATGCATTGTTCGTAAGATGGTGTTCTTCGAGACGTTTTCAGGAGTTTCGGATCTGATTTGGTTGGCGGACTTCGTAGAGTTTGATGCTTTTCGAGAGACGTCTCGTTCAGCTTGAACCGATAGCAGCCTGTGCCGTCCAGAATGTATTGCTGTGCCGTATTCTTGCGGATTCCTTGCATAACGGTCAATAGTTCGCCTTGAGCGACCCGTCTGACGAGCGATTTCCCGATGGGACAAGCCGTTGTTGAGTAGAGCATCGATTACCGCTTTTTCGGTATTATCAAGTTGAGTAGATTTAGGCATTATGGCTTATGATACACGAGGACTTTTTCTCTTATATACCACTGAGAAAAACAGGAAAAACGTGTTACCTGAAACGAAAACTCGGAAAACTCTGGGGTGGGTCTATAATTCTGGGTCGGTCAAAAATCAGATTTTCTCGTATTTTGAAAAACTTTCCAACTGGGTGATTGATAATTATGATATGATTATGTTCCTTATCAACAAGGTTTATCACAAAAAAAGTTTGGTGGCTCAAAAGTTTTTTTCAATCTTTCTTAAAATCGGAGAAATTAGGGTGGGTCTATAATTATGGGTCGCAGTGTATATGCAGATTTCGAGAGTATTATCAAAAAAATATCACACACAATTTAATAATCCAGAAGAATCATGGACTACAGATGTTGGAAAACATGTGGGCCACACTATAGATTTTTTTATTGAATCTTATTTTTCATCATTTAATAGCGATAAAATCATTGAAAAGTCTCAAAACTCAAAGTGGGCAAAATGGTCACTTTTACGTCCAGCCTAAAAAGTGAAGTTTTTCAAAAATAACTGATTTTCGATGAGCTTAGACACTTTTTTGATGAAAACAAGCGTTAAAATAGTCAAAAAGTGCAAAAAACGTCATTTGGGTAAAAAAGGTGCGCCAGCGTCAACTTTTTGTATAGTCGATGCGCCACAAGTTGAAATTTCATGGAACGACACTCCGCTGTTTCGATTTTTGCGATAGCGCGCATCTTGCGAATTTGCCAACCTCAGCCACGCTAATTTTTTTTTGTTTTTATTCTAATTTTTGAGGTGGTATGAAAAAAACACCAGCGAAAAATTCAAACGGCGACTTTTTCCGATTTTTTTCATATCGCTAGGGAAGTTTCCGACGGCCACCTTTCCGACGAAATTTTTTTCCGACTTTTTTTCCCTTATATTTTTTTCTGTTTATAAGACATCTATTTACATTTTTATCCTATTTCTTTGTGTTTTTAATCATGAACAAACTACCTACTTCATATAGGAAGATTTAAAACGAAGATTTTATCGAGAAAAAAAGTCGGAAAAAGATTAGTCGGAAAGGTGGCCGTCGGAAAGTTCCCTAGCGATATGAAAAAATCGGAAAAGTCGCCGTTTGAATTTTCGCTGGTGTTCTTTTCATACCACCAATTTTGATCGTTTTTTTTAATGTTTTATTCCGTTAAAATGTATTATTGTCGTTGAAAAGGATTGTATTGACAAATGTAAACGAAAGAACACAGTAAATTTTATGATCAATCTCGAAAAGAGCGATAAAAAAAGTTTGAAAGACTTCATGTACTCGTCAATCGCTCTAATATTGTTTTTCTCGTTTCTCAAAAAAGTTTTCAAAGGTTTACCAAAAGAATTTGCGGGTGAAATAGGCCGTAAACGCCACAATATTCTAAAAAAGTTTCTGTGTTTTTTTAAAGCCATGTTTTAATGTTTATATCGTTTTTTTTTTCAGTGTGCAGTGGTTAATGGATTTTTTCAGAAAGTGAGTGCCTCATAAAATGAAGACGTGAACTTCCATGAGCACAATGAAATAGAGAGATCGGTTTCAGTCAACATAAGGTTAAATCGACTCCTCTGTTTTGTTCTTTCACTTTTTGTTGCCGTTGGACATGATTTTATTGAGGGAATCTGAACGAGATTTCAAAGGTTAGCGAGGAAGGAAGAAGCTCATCCATAGGGATATAAGACAAGGTTAGTTTTTCATACCCCACTGTCATAAACTTCCGAAAATCTGTACTTTGATAATTTCAACCGACAAGAATACCAGAATTTGCAGAAAATGCTCAATATGAGGAGATTATTGCCTTTTCGAGCTTTGCAATGCAACATAATTTGAAGAAAGGTTTTCGTTTATTTTTTTTGAAATTGAGCTTTAGATAACCGAATTGCAGACTGTGCGTCAGAATTGGGGCGTGAACAGTGGGCACTTGGAACAGTGGAAACGATGTGCTGATGCCGTGTTCAAAGTAATTTCCGCGAAATGCAAAATGATCTCTGACTCTCCAAAATTTAGTGATCTTTTCCTTTCTCTAACGGGTATTTTGCATTTCGCGGAAATTACTTTGAACACGGCATTAACGAAATGTTCAGAAAACTAATGATTTTTCCTTTGAACTTATGTATCTGTTTCTTTTTTGTACGAACTCGTCAATGTTGAAACATTCATTTGTTTTTTAAAAATTCATTATGTTTTATTTCTGATCGGGAAATTTTTTAAATGATTTGAAATATTACAAATAGGAATGTTGCATGTCAGGGACGTTGAAATCAATATTATAAACGCATTTTCGCTTAAAATTCGAAAAGTACTCAACTTTATTTGTTTCTAATGAAACAGTCTATCCACTATTTTCAAATGAAAAAAAATTGAAAGCGCGACCGAAATTCGCAAAGGCAAGGCGCTTTCACGACCACAAGGCCACCACCGGAGTGTCGTTCCATGAAATTTCAAGTCGTGGCACATCGACTGTATACTACTTTCAGAGTCCGAAAATGATCAGAAAAAATAGACGGTTCAGGTCTGATCAAGCAAACCGTTTTTTAGTAATTTTTTGGGGCAGAAACGTGTTAAAATATTTGGTGAAATGAAAATTGAGCTAACAGGGAGTTTTTGCTTGCTTTTATCCTAGAGCCATGAGAGAGAGAGAGTCGAGACGCCTTAAAGTAGTAATTCGAGGGCTAAAAACGCTTCGAGCTGTAGAATTCATGTCTATAGAGGCCATAAGTAGGTGAAATTTCCTCAAATTATCAAGCTGATTTCATTTGTGTTTTTCTCAGGACCAGGCCAACAGGGAGATCATAGATTTATCTCCAAAGAAAGAAAGTTGAGATGCTGAGAATCTTTGAAATTGAAACTTCCACGAGTTCAATCTGAAGTCTCTAGGGCCTCCACCGTTATGAAATTAAAAAAATATTGCAAAAGGTTAATTCTTCTTCTGCTCCTCCAACTGGATCCCTTGCCACGATATGGATCAGCTCTGACTTCATCCTTCCTTCACAGATGCCCCAAAGACATTTTCTGACCTCCGGTGTTTTGAAGTCGTCTGCAGAAGTGGCAGTGGAACACCGCGACGTCACCGGTGGCGGCAGAAGAACCGTCGACGATGTGATCGACCCGCAAACTCGTTCGAGTGATTGACCACCGGTCGGCAGAGGAAGTAAGAAAAAGGGAGAAAGAGGCGTCGGCGGAGTCAGTGGTAAACACTCTTTGACGGCGCAAACGTCTTCTTCTTCTCCGTCCGACGTCTTCTGCCGACTTCAGAAAATGCGACCGTGTTCTTTGCTCCTGCTCGTTGCTGCCGTTCATTTTGCTGACGCGGCCAAGTTCCTCGATACTGTGAGTTTCCTGGGAGTTGAGTATTCTCAGATCACATAGAATATCTCCGACATCTAAGAGCAAACTTTTGGGATTTTTTTTTAATGCAAACGGTTCTTGTTTTCTCAATTCGTGATTTTTATCGGCTTCTTAGAGATTCTGAGTTCTTTGAAAAGTGTCTGCAAAAGGTCTTGAGTTTTTTGAAAAAGACGGAAGTTATAAAAGATCTGGTTTAAAACCTATCGCACATTGCTCTACATAGTTTTCGTTTCTCTCTGTTTGAAGTTTCAATTTTATACTTAATTCGTTAAATGTTGAAAGAGTCTGTTTTCTTTGTGCTCTCTCCCCTTTGCGACGCTCTCGTAGTTACTTTCTTTTTTTTTACTCTCTCTGGCTTTGCTGATTAGAGAAAAGAGTGTGGAGATAGGATATAACTCCTGAATATTTTTTTCACATGCTTTTACGAACGGTGAAAGTCGATAGGTGTTTCTTTTATTCTTGCCAAGGCCTGAAAGACCTAAAAAAAAGTTCCCAAAAAGAACTAAAACTCCTTTTCCGACTTGGAATTTTTTTCCCTGCAATCTCATTTAATGGAAATGTTAAGGAAATCTTCTGTTTCTTCGAAGTTTTTTTTTCAATTTGACAATATTTTTCAACGGAAAAGAGGATCCTCCTGAACTAAATTCAGGTCTCTCGGTCAGCCATCTCAGTGCTGCATGGATCTCGACGAGATGGAACAGTTCGACAATGTTCTTGCGTCGAAATGAAGGACTGCTATTCTTCGGCAAAGGCACAAGCTCTTGAGTGCTTCGAAGGATGTTGGCAGACTATCACAGCAGTTGGTTTTACTTGAAGATCTTGGAAAATCGAAAAAAAAGAACGAATATTTGTCGAAAAAATCAGCTTTCAGTGCAAATTTAGCTTAATTCTACCACACAATCGTTTTAAACTGAAACTGCCTTTATGAATCTTCTGAAAAAAGAAGCCGTTCAACCTTTTTGAAGTCGTGAAAAACCTGCTAAAACAGAATGATGAGATTTTCCTGTTAAGTTCAAACTGACGGACCGGCCCGAAGAGCTGAAGGCGTGCTTCGACGCGAAAAAGCCGTTCGTCGACCAGGTCATCGACTGCTTCCAGGAGAAAGTCAAGGCGTAAGATTTTTGTTACACTCTTCCAATCAACTATCTCAAAATGCAAACTTTAACATCGAAAATTCCTTTGTTCTCAATTGATAACTTCCAATGATGATAACAAACATGCAGAACGAACTTTACGATGAGAAAAAGTTCACTGGGACCCAGAATAACAGTCAAAACAAGTTGTTTCAATTCCAATTTCACAACACATGTTTACCTCCTTCAATCCAACATAATAGTCTTTTTTGGTCTGTGTTTTGAGATCAACTTTCTAGATATTTTGAATGTACATTAACATGGTGTTTTTCAATTAAACCTGTGTTGAAAATTTTTTTTCTTTCGGATTCGAATAGCACATTGAAAGCTTCCAATATCTTCGAACCTTTTTGAAGTAATTTTTTTTTTCGAAATTTTTTTCAAGTTTTTTAGAAAGTTAGGATTACAAACAAAATATGATTTTTTCGGTGGAAAATAAACTGTTGATTGAAAAAACCACCTTTTATTTCCTAGTTTTCGAATGAAGGTCTCAAAGTCTCAGGTTGGGCTATTGTAAAAAATTTTGATGGTTTTCTTTAGCTTCGAGGTGTCCATTCTCAAAGCCTATAATAGTGTTGAAGACGAGAACTTTTGAGGAAATTTAGGGCGTTATCCGATTCCCCACAGTTGAAGAAAACTATCAAAACCCGTCTAAAATAGAACTCTTGTATTTTGAGCCCGCGCTTCTCGAAATCTAAAGATTTTTCGTATTTAAAGACCTTCATCTATTACATCAATGTATTCTGGAGTTCCCAGGAAAATCCCAACCAAAAAAATGAAATGACCTTTCCTGTGAATAAAAGAGACTTGAAGATGTGCGACGGACGAGGACGCCGGTAAGACAGTTTCCGTGAAGCAGTACGACTACATGGACATGATCAAACGTGTCGAAGACGCCGTCAACGACCAGATCAACGCCTTCCTCCGTTCGATTGCCTCGGACACAGTCAAGGTGACTGGACTCTTCAGGAGTTGAAAGAAATGAAGTCTTCTTTGAAGACGGTGGTCAACGCCGCGTCGACGGTGGCTCGTTGTGTCAAGACTTGCTTCATCGAGAAGAACAAGAATGGCTTCTGTTTCGACCGGATAGGGTGAGCAGGCCAGAAACTGTACTTGCAATATTGGACTTAAAAAGGGAAGAACCGAAAAAATTTCGCTTGAACTTTTTCTAAGCATCATCGTAACAGAAAAGCTTCCCCTAAAGTGGCCTCCAAAATTTTCTGCAAACTATTCAAAATTGATCCTTCCCACCTGTAGTCGCCGTAAGAAAAATTGATTTGAAGTGAAATTTTAATTTATTGATTGAACCCGGCTCCCTATTCAAATTTGGCTCTTTTTTAAATCGAAAATTTCGAGAAACAAAAAATCAATAACCTTTCGAAGAAGAAAGAAAGCTGATGAGAAATAAAAATTAAACTTCAACTTCAATCACAAAAAGCTTAAAAATCGGAAAAATATGACAATCTTTGAACTTCTTTGTTCAATCTAGGAAGTTCAATTTTTCCTATTTGAGCAGTTTTCAGTTTCAACTTGAATCCACAGGAAGATCTGGAATTTTCCGTTTTTCAGATGCGAGCCCCACATTGAAGACCGAAACGCCCGTTCGGCGATCAGACAGTGTTCAAGGGCGGTCGCCTGGAAAAAGGAAGTCGAGCAGTTTTGCCGTTGCTCCAGCGAGGCTGGAATTTCGTGAGTTTTCCTGTCTTACCCAAAATTATCATGGAACATATTTTTCAGTGGCCTTTCAAGCTATTGCGGCATGTTGAACGTTATCGGCAAGAAGAAGAAATAAATTTATTACCCTGACAATATGTAAGTATGTGTACATGAAAAAGAATAAATAAACGAAAACTGTTGGAGTAAGTGACGAGCAAAGAAAAAAAGAAACAATTTCAAACCCAAAATCACCCAATAAAAAAAGATGAGGACACGAAAGATACTACGAGTAGGATTTTTGAGCATCGACGGATTTTTCTCAGGGTAAAGCGTTCATCAGAGTATTCGATTCAAACGAATGAAAGGGTTCAACAAGCGGAGAATGATAAATACCAAGAACCCGATGATTAAAGCCGTCACTTAATTACAATTAAGGATTTACAACTAAAAATGGGAGGAAAAAGTTAACGGAAACCGGGCAATAAGGGAAAAGCTTTCTGTCATTAAAATATCGCTATATTTCATTCAAAATAGTTTTCTATAGTTTTTTAGAGCATCGAAGGTCTTGATTTCAAAATCTCTTCAGAAGAAAAGTTCACGTTAAGATTCTGGAGGGGAGAAAAACTCAAGGACTTCCTTTTTGTTACTGCTCCTATAGTCTCTCTGAAAGTATTCTAACCGTCAAAAGATGATTTCAAACTTCTCTTTAAAAAAGTAAGAGGTTTCTCCGAACGCGATTGGTTTCTTAAATATCTTCTTTAAGCTTTTTTGGATAAACTATGCTAGCCAAACTTCTGCAATTCACGAGTAAAGAAGAAAACCCTTTTAAAGCGTCTTCAAAATTTCCAACTACAACGCATTTTTCTGAATTCAAATGAAGACGCCATCAAGAAGACGAAGGGCTTCGTAAGATCATCTCAAAACTAACTTCAAAGGGTACTCAAACTAGTCAAGGTACTTTTCAACACAGGTAACGAGAACGATAAATCAAAGGTGAAACAACACTAAAGCGGCTACTTGGGGTAGGAATGGCGCGATCTCTTGGGCTGAGGGTCGTCCTCCATCGTCGCCGCGATGGTCCGACGTTTCTTCGTCTTCGAACCGTCCGTCTTTTCTTGTTCGCCGTCGTCTGGCGTGCAATGGCGCTTAGGAGAACGGGAAAGTCGCGCGTTCGCCATCTGCACCACCTCAAAATAAACACGTGAAGACTCGTTTCGAAAAACGAACTGAAGATAATTTGAAATGAAAGCATCGCTTTGGAACGAGTTTTTTACACTCCTTCATATGAGAAAACTGAAAATTAGGACAAGGTCGAGAAAAATTTTTTACAGAGGAGGCGATTTCTTTTCACTCGGGATTTTGCGGAAAATTTCATGAGAAGTTCCTTGAAGATCGTAACAACTAGAAAGGATAGTCTACACAACTCCTTGGTTTTTAGCTATAAGCTCTAAAAGATTTAATTTTTAGAGGTTCGAGAAATCTACTTTAAAGATCCTCAGCAATCAGAAATTCTACTTTCAAGAATTTCATCTGGTAGATGAAGCATGATCCAACCTCAGGGAGACCCAAAAGTCGCTTGAATCTGACGTAGAACACGCTGACTTCTGTCACGGAACGATGCATTTTTTCCGCCACCGTCTCGAAATCATTTCCGAGCAGTTCAAAGTCTGGAAAGAGTTCTTTTGAACCGATAGATTTTCTTTTCTTACATTTCATGAATAAAAGTTTTTCCGCTTCGGAGTAGTGCTTCACGCGAAATGCTAACATTTCATAGTTTTCCGGTGCAGCCAACGTACATCTGCAAAACTTAAATTTGAAATATCAAATTACACAACTTCGAGATATAACATATTAGCCTTAAAATCAACTTCAATCCTTTGAAAAAAATGACGTATGAAAATCAAGTTTTAACTTTAATTTATAATTTTATGCTGTATTCATAGTGATTCTGTGAAATTCAAAATAGCCGTCACAGAGTGAAAAAGATAACTTTTTTCTCCAAAACTCACCCCGGAAGAGCTCGCGGCTCAAACTTCTTCGTCAGTTGCACCAAATCTTGCTTCTCCGTGGCCCATTTCGTGGGAAGCATTGAAGTCTAAAGAACAAAACTATAAATCTTTTTTTTAAATCACAATTTTGATTTTCCTAGGTTGGTAGAAAAATATTACCTCTTCTTGGGTCAAAGGTCTTGACCGAAGTTCTTCCAGACGCTCATTTTCCATATATTCAGTTACCTAAAAAAAATTTTTTTTGAAGAGTTTCAAATAAAGATCAAGCATAATTGTTTGAATATTTTTTATGTCAACTACTAGATTTTTTTAACTTCAGTTTTCGTTATTATTTTTGAGAAATTTTGAGGTTTTCTCTTTTTTTTTTTCAAATTTTAACAAAGAGTTCGCCATTTTTCAAACCAAAAATACCTCTTTCAAAGACAAGAAGGTCTGGAAGTCGTTCTGAAGCTTCGCCCAGAGATCCAGAATTTCGATTTCTTTCTCAGTAAAGCCGCCCGAACAAATTCGGTGATGTCCAGTGCGCCTAAAAAGATTTTTTTTCACTTGAAGCTTTTTTTCATTTCTTGTTCTACCTGTGATAGAGATCGCAGATGAGGCAGATTTTCTTCTCGCGTTTTCCGCCATGCCAGACGGTCTTAGTGCAGTTGAAGCACTCGACACGAGTAACTTTTGGCGGAACGTCACTCGTAAATCTTTAAAAAAAACTACTGAATCATTTTTTTTTTCGGAGAAAAAAATGAGCTTCAGATTGCTCGAAATTAAGAATTTTTTTATTCATGTTTTGTTTTTTTCGTATCGAAAAGCATTGAAAAATGTTTGAAAAAAACCATGAAACGAGAAAAAAATAGAGAAAGGCAAAACTTAAAAAAACATTCGTTACTGTGGAAAACGATTGAAAAAAAGCGGCAAAAAAAGAAATTTATCGGATATCGAAACTTTCCGGAAATTTTTTTGAAATTTTTTTGATTTCGAAAATCTTTCGCTACATCGCTAAAACGTTCGGCGAAAGTTGCAATTCGCCTAAGAAATCGATTTTTAAATGTAATTTCAGAGTTTATTAGATCAAAAAAACAATTAAAAGTTTCGAAAAATTTGAAAACGAATGTTCAAAAACTAACCTTTCTCTGCAAAGACAACGCGCATAGCGTTCGTTGATGCAGCAATGTTTCTTCGTCGTGTAATAATACTCGACGATTTCGCCAATGTAATGGCTGCGCATCTGAAAAATCCAAACTATCAGAAAAAATATTTACAAAGGCGAAAAGAAATTAGATTGACAGTTTTTTATCGGTCTGTCATTTTTAGAGCTCAGGGTATAACTTGTGAATTTTTCAAATTCTCTGCAAACTCTTTCAGACTTTCACCTAGACACACTGAAAAACTGGTGAGTTTTTTCAGCAGCTCTACCTTTCTTTCTTTTTTCAAAGAAGAATCAGAAAAATGAAATTAAAACTCACAAATTGTTCCTGGATCTCGGCGAATCGCTGTTTCTCCACGGTCTTCGACGAGACCATTTTCGGCACTTTGGTTTTTCGAATCGCTCTTTCAAATTCCTCCTGCTGCGCCACATTTAATCTGCAAAATGGTATATCATGAAAAAATTATGCTTAAGCCAGAAAAAAACCTTTCAAAGGGCTGCGGAAGATTGTCCAGCTCCAATTCAATCGTCTGCAGCATTGCGTTGATGTCGAAGTCACAGCTCATCAGTCGGTGCAAAACCTGCAAAAATCTGAATCTTCAAGAAAATCATTGAATTACAAACCGCGTCGAAGGGAATCCGATTGTCGAACTGCCTTCTGATGACGTTCCAGGCATCGTCTATCGAAGTGCTGAGCCTTCCATCAGGATCAGAAAAAATCAATTCCTCCTTGTCCTCAGTCTCCTCAGCGCTGGAGCGTTCCATGACCGGAGGAAGGTCGACCTTGAAAATGGAGTAATTTTTTTCAAGAATTTCAGTTTAACAGAGTAAAATTTGTAGAAAGGAAAGTTTTTGAAAAGACCTGGATTACGTGAATAATTTTTAAAAAAACGTTTCTTTTCCATTTGAACTAAACTCTTTTTTTCTTCAAACTAGTTCCTGCTCTTAAAATCGAGTTTTACTAATAGGAAAGGAGAAAAAATAACAAAAGGTTCAAAGAAATGATATAGAACTGAGTGTCCCCTGGAGGATTGAATGCGAATTTGCTTAATTGGAAAAAAGGGTGAAAATTGGGAGTTTCAAATTTTCTTTATAACTGGGACTTCGTATTATTTTTGAGCCGAAAAGTTCTTGCTCAGAAAATCTTTTGTCATCTTTTTTTGGAATTTTTCAAATCTTTCAGGAGCCCTTTCCTGCTGTTCAATTTTCCTTTTTTCAGCCAAAAAAAGTTCAAAAGATTCAAGTTGAAAATAGTTAATTAGTGACATTCCTTCTTGTTTTTTTGCGCAATTTCAGAAAAATTCAACGTTAAATGGGACTCATGGCCATAAACAAGACGAAAGAAATGAAAAAAAAAATTTTTATAATTTTCTTTACTTGAACCTTTTTCAGTGTTTACCTGATGATCTTTTCCGATATTTATCCGTCCGTAGCGTTTCTTCAAGGGATCTTCAGTGTCCGGATTGCTTCTCGTGCTTGGGCCATTCTAGAAAAAAGCGTATTTCGGCAATTAAATTTCGATTCAAAACATACCATATCGATGATCAATCGGTTCTTGACCAGGGTCGGAAATCGATGCGGGATCCGTTTGAGACCGCGCGGCGCTTGATAAGCGGCAGCTAAACGAACCTTTCGGTTTCAGTTTCACTTTTTTGGGTTCTATCTCACCTTGTCGCTTACTCGATCCAATGTAGTTGTCGACGAGGTCCTCCGCGTCGTTCTCGCTTCTATTTATTCTGCAAATAGAACTTGAAAAACAGTACTGTCCCACAAGGAACCTGTGGCTTTTCCGCGAGATTTGCTCGTTGTTGTTGTTGAACTGCCTCCTCGTGTACTTCCTCTTCTTCCTAACTCCATCCTCAGGATTCACAGCTGTCGGCTCCATCGGAAGGCTTTTCTAAAACGAAAAAGTTCCCAGCGCATTCTTTTTTTTCTATAGAGCTTACATTAAATTTTTTTCTAATAGTTTCTTGCATGAAAGCGCGAAAACAAGACACAACTTAATTCTAAAACTTCAAAAATTCGTCTTAGAAACGACGGACAGGGCTTTAAAACAAAAAATCGCGAAATAAACTCAAGACAAGGCGATGAAATAAATAAGAAAAAATACGATTTCATCAAACCTACGAAGCACCGTCATCATTCTAGAAAGCTCTAAAAGCTTTTAAAAAGCTTTCAAAGCTTTCTAGAATGTTTGTCGAGCTAATGGATTGTTTATCACTGCTGATAAAACGTGGGAAAAAGAATAAATCGTTCATTTTTCTTCAACTTTCGTACAACACATTTTTTTCTTCTGTTCATTTTTACAAGGAAAATTCTTTATCTGACTTTCTCAAATAAAAATTGAAAAATGAAAGTATTTTGGTTAACGCTTCTCAGTTTTTTTTCATTCGTCTTACAGCCTTCAAAGCGCGTTTTTTGCTATTTTCTCGGATAAAAATCAAAACTTCAACAAAAAAGGCTGTTGAAACTTTCTAACAAACATTCCTTTCAGAAGAATTCACGAAAACTAACCGAAGAGCCTTCGCCGCCCGTGTGGAAAAAGGCCGGGGAGACCTGCTGAGAGTCCTGGGCGGAGGACTCCTGGGAGCTGGAGGAGACGGGACCGACGAGACGGGGAGACGGCGGTCCGGAACTGTAAACGACGTGGGGACTGTCGACGGACAAGGGCTCCTGCGAGGAGACGCGCTCCGTCCCGCTGCTCTTCGGCGACGACGTCAGGGAGCCTTCTGCCCTGTACGGCTTGCTCGGCTTCTCCCCGAAGGAACTGCCGTTCGTCTTGACGTAGATCGGCGTCAAGGCTGGCATCGTCTCCGTTTTGCCGTTTGGTATTTGTTCAGGAGCGTTCTCTTCAGGATTTTCCTGAGACTGCTAAAAAAAAAATTGTCGTTTTAGGCGCGATTTTAATGGTCTAAAAAAGGTTATTGCTGACTTTTATCAAAAACTACTACAGAAACGCATAATGCCGCTTTTTTCTGGCACTTCTACTCGTTGAACTTTTTTCAGCCGTGAATGAATTGTAATAACTTGATCCTAAATAAGTTTCTTGAAATTCCTTTTTGAGCGGAATTAAGGTTCAAAGAGTTGATTATTTTAAGGTTAAAAATTTTGATTCTTTTTTTGATCTTCTTTTTTTAATTTCGCAATTTTGTAGAGTTAGAATCACATTTATACTTCCTTTTTAGAAAATGAAAAAAATTGTTTGAAGATATAGAGATTTTTACTTTATGGATAAATTATTAGGAACTCGTAGAGGCATTTTCCCAATCTGAAAAATATCTCAGTTTCCAAATTTGGAGTGTGATAAAAACCCTTCTAAGACATTTGGAGTATTGAGCGCTTTTCACAAATATCAATTTTGAGAAAAAATTTTCAATTCTTCCCATTTTTCTAATACTGTCCTAAAATAACTACGCATTTTTCGGACTTTTTTTGAACTTTCTTGAACTGTATCTACTCTCTAAGCTCACCCTAAACACTTGAAGACTTTCACTATCTCTGTTAACCTCAGTTTTTGTGGTTTTTCATCAAAAAAGCAGTACCTGCTCGAAAAAGACGTTCTCTTCTTGGTACAATGGAGAAGGCTGGGCTGTGGACGTCGACGGCTGCTGGAGATGTTCCTCGCCGTTTTCCTCCTCCGGAAGACGTGAGGTCGAGGAGCTGGACATGAGCCGGATGGGGTTCGGCTCGCGGATCAACGGCATCGGCAGGCCGTTCTGAGGTCGGGCCTGCAGCAGCACCGTCGATCCAGCTGAACTTCGCTGCATCTGCTCCTCTTCCGGACCTTGGCACCCGTTTGTGTCCGGCGAAGATATTTTCTGCAACCGAAAACTGATAACTCGTTTCAAAAAAGTGAGAAACGGTATCAGACCGATTTTTCGCGATAGGAAGTGGAGGAGGATGTCTCTAGAAGTTTTGATGCACCGAGTGACCACTTGAGAGATTTTAAGGTCACTTCAGATTGCACTGGGAGATATGTGATGGTCACTCAAATACATATTTCTAAGATTTTTCAAGGCGTAAAAGCAAATTTTGGCTTATACTATAATAGAAAAGGCTCTTCGTGTCATAGACCAAGCTATTTTTTTGCACCTATAATAACCATAGAAAACTTTTTTTGAGGCTTTTTTTGATTAAAGGAAGAAGTTTGAAAATGTGAAAAACAATTACCGTGTTTTATATTTTCTCATAACTTATGATCAAAAAAAGTAATGAATGCAACAATGAATGTTCAAAAAAAACTTTTTTATTGTTTTTAGTGTGATTTTTAGAAGTATCCCGGTTATTTTTAAGCATTCTTTGATTTTGAAGAATCGTAACTTATAAAAAATTGATAATGTTCACTTTTCAGATCTAATTTCCTCACTCGAAATACTAAAAGATAAGATTCGCCTTATTTTTGATAAAATAAGAGAATATGAAAAAAAATTTTCTTTTTTCTGATCAAGTTCATGATCTTACTCAGAAAAATAGCTCTGCCTTTCTGAATCAAAATTTTTTTCAAAGGGCAAAGTTTCTCAAAAGTTTGTTCACTTGTTCAAGCTGGCTTTCAAACTCTCACTTTAAATTTTTCGGCATTTTTTTGTAAAATACTAAGGCAATCAAATTATATTAGTAGGTTATTAGCGGAAAAGTTGGAGACAAGCAGTTCATATGCCTTTTTTGTGATAATTACTCCAAAGCAGCTCGTTTTGAAAAAAATTCCTCTCTTTCCATTGTTGATAAGATGTGAAAACGAAAACAGGAACTAGGTCAGACAAGTTTTGACTTCTCATAGAGAAAAATATAAGTCTTACACTTTTTTTTTTTGAAATTCGGGTCAAAATTCTTATCATCTCGCTCGAAAAAAACCGAAACTAGGTGATTACTGAAATTTTCTTCTGTTATCATATCACTTTTGGACGTGACCCTGTTATAGAACTGCCAAAGGTTGTTGTGAAATTTCAAAAAAGTGCCAATCAACTCTATCCGTTTCTAAAAATTTATAGCTTAACGCTAATGCTCAATTCCGGATTTTGTAAAATGATTAGAAAATTTGACGCCGAAAAGTTTCAAAGGTAATTACTAAAAAGAAAACTTTATCTCTCTGAAATTAGACTAATCAGAGAGGAAAGATAGCAAAAGCAGATGTAATAACTGATCTCATCACTCAAAATGTCAAGCTACGGTAATCATGATTGTGAATGATAAGAGAAGGAAGAAAAATCGGCGATTCTAGTGAGCGTGGCAGGTATGGTAGAGGTGCTCATTTCAGAAGCAACCGTGCATAGCTTCAATCAGATCTAATACGTGAGCGATGGAGCATAAGTGGCGCAGAGACGGAAGGGAATGGGACGTGGGAAAGAGAGAGCCGAATGTTTGAGGAGGGCAGTAGGGCGAGAGACGCGGTCACAGCATGCGACGGCGTCGAGACGCAGACAAACGTCCCTCGGACGTTCCGCTTAGCACCGCCGAGGCTTGGAAAGAAGAAAAAACGGCTGTTGAAAGACAGGAACCAGCCTCGGTAGCGGCTTATCAGCAGTTGCTGAGAAGAACCAACTCATCGGGAGTTTTAGAGCGAAACCGTTGGCGGATCCAGGAGGGGTGCCGGAGATCGCAAGAGTGTATACGGAGGCGAAGACTGCTGATGCCTACTCCCACCTACCGTATCTTGGCGCGAGAGAGCGACACTCACTCGATCAATAGAGCCACGCCCACTCTGGCGACGACAAAGGCATCCATCAACAGCGCTTGGCCGATGAGTTGGGCCGGTCCAAGCAAAGTGTGCCAATTGAGAAGAAGTCCCGAGTCACATAATTGCGATGAGGTGTTGACGACCGTCGATGGACCATTTTGGAATCTGATGTGAAAAGTTATTCACTCGTTTTGTAAACGAGTTCTCATCAAAAGTTCAAAGAAATTGGCCGACTTCCCGTGAGACTCCTAATTGGGTGATAGAGCGAAATGTCGGAGGAATCATAAAAACAGCTTGATTATTGTAAACGAGCCAAAAACTGCTCATAAAGAAGGAAACTCAGTTGATTCATTACTTTCTTTGATGAGAGCTTTTTTCAACAAAAGATAGAAAGTTTTTCTCAATTTAGAGAGTTTCTGAAAGCAGGGTCCATAAATGATAGCTAATTCTGAATATTCGTTCGAGAACTTTTTTAGGGTCTTTTTTGTTGAAGATGATCACGATTTCTCAACAAATCGACCAGCTGCTGATATATTTCTGTAGTGAAAGATTATTCAAATCAAAAGTAACAAGTTTTGTTTGATTCTGACGTCTTTTTGCAGCCGAATCACTTCGGAGTAAGATTTCTCACGAATCTGATCAAAAAGTGTCTATATGGGTCTCAAATGCGTTTTCAGAGACCACGCCCATAAAAATTAACAATCGGCCTTTGAGAAACTGTAAATATTGTTAGAGGCTCCGAAATTTCGAATTTTTTCACTGATACGCTAAGCTTTTTTGAGGGCAATGTAAAGTTGGAGCGTAAGTGTAAAAAAGAGCTCTTAGAGGGCGTAAAACTTGAGTCATAAGTGGACTGGTCAAACCAAAAATGTGAGTCAAGCATTTCTATTAGTTGTTTTCGGATTACGAAGAAATCGGAACACTTTTGTTTTCGAATGATGTCAGCGATGTGAAGTCCTCTTGAGGATTTCTTTCTGTTCCTTTCAGCCAGGACAACATTAGGAAAAACGAGAAATACGGTTTTCTTCTGATTCGAAGTACCTGTAGGCTGATAAAAGTGAACGTAGCCCCTAAAAGTAGTTGAAAAAAAATTTCCAGACTTCTTTCAACAAGCTTAAAAGAAATGTCAATCATATCATACAATTTTGAATTTTCATGAGTTTTCTTACAAAAACACTCTGTGGAACCAGTGTTTTTAGGAGATATAAACTATATCGGTTGGTCTCCGAGACGACCATGGAAAGTTTGAAAAAAACTCATAGACCTTTCCAAAGTTCAAACAAAAAATATTTTTCTCTTGTAAGCTTTTCGCAAGGCAAGAGTTGTTTCTGACTTTAGGTGTTATATTCCTTTTTTTCGGTTGAAAATAAAAAAATTTTTTTCTGATTTTTTTCATAATAAACAACTAGCTGGAAGTTATTGAAAAAAACTTACTCAAGGGTGTTTGATACTGCTAAAATCGTTTAGGGACAAGAATATTCCAGTGTCTGCGTATTTTGAAAACATGAAACCAACTCTGGCGCTTGATTAACTTCATTGGAAAAATTTAGTGTAAACTAACTTCCGAGTTTTCACCTCATACTTCTCAGAAAAGTTTGTTGAAAAGTTGAAACTATAAATTATGGAGAAAGTCATCATTGCAAAGAGAATCTCAGAAAACTTTGGCTTGGGAAGTTCCAAGAAACGTGAACAATAGTGTGAGAAAAAAGGAAGTGATGCGGGCCGAAACGCAAAAATATTTGAAATTCTTCGAACGTCGTCCACGTCTGTTGTGAATAGACTATAGCGAACGGCGTCTCTAATCCAATTGAACGAAATTCCTTGTTTCCTTTGATTTATTTCTCGAAAATCTCAATTTCATTCAAACTCTCCTTTACAAAACGAAAGTCTCGTGGAAATGGAGCAAAAAAGAACAGCAAATATTTCATCAGGCGCGTGATTCATCTCAAAAAAACCAATATGCGGGTGGCCGAATGGAACGTCACTCTTTCGAAACAACAACTGCTGTTGGTAAAAGAAAAACATGACTAGATAATTTTTAGGGGGTTTGGAAGAAAAAAGATACTAAGTTGACCTAGAACACGATTATCCTGGTTTGAAAACAAGTAATTGAGAAAATTGAAGAAAATTGATGATTCCAATAGTAAATGGATCAGAACTTTCTCCAGCTGGCTCTTTTTCACTTCGAAATCTGTAAAAAGCGTAGCGGAACGCACAGATGCTTTGTAAAGTGGAGAGATTTTTTGGAAAAAAAAAGACTTCTCGTTTGAAAATGAACAAGCCATCTGGTCAGAAAAGATTTTGGACACATTTGGAATCTGAGGGCTCTTATTTAACGAGCCTGATCTCAGAAAGATAAAAAAAAGGAGGACGAAAAGTTCATAGGCTAAGCAACTACTAACGAAACCAGAATGGCTTTTGAGATATTTCGCCTTTGCTAATGAAATTTAAATGAGGGTGGACAAGGAAAAAGCCAGTTTAAAGGGAAAATGGAAAAATCTTGAGTCTCTCTCCTATTAAGTGGTAAACAATCTTTCATGAAAAAACCAACAAATTTCCAATTTTTGATTTTTACTCAATAACCTCTTGCCCTCATGAAAAAAACTCAGGTTGTGAAAATAGATTTTTGAAAGTCCAGAGAAGTTTTTTAAACGTCGCAAACTCCTTTATTCAAATCCCGAGACTTTCCTCCCAGAAAAATTGTTCCCTAGCCCTTAAATCAAAATAATTATCGTAACGAGAAAAAAAAACCAGCTAAGAATCTCGAAATCTGAAAGACTAGAAGCCTGATTCACATCTGCCGTTTAAACGCACCTGAAATTGGAGGAATTGTTGAGAGACGCAGTCGACCAGCTTCAGAAATGACGAATGGACGACAGATCGCCGTTTCCCACAATCGGCGCCGCTCAACTTTTTTCTTGGTTAGTTTTGATGTCTTTGATAAGCAAATGAGAGAAGGGGATCTCCGGCTGCAAAGTGCGAAATAAAAAGAGAGATATTGGTGTTCGTTAGTTTATTCTAGGTGTGAAAACTATGAAAAAAATTCTGTAGATTTGGTGCAACTTAAAGGAATCTTCCAGAATTCGCTCATTTTGAAAAAGAGCCAAGAACTTCAACGGACACTACATGGATTTCGTCGGAAATTGAGGATCATGTTAACAATAAATTTCATTTTACTCAGAACTTCCAAATTCTTTGAAACTTGTCCAAAACACTGATACAAAATGAAGATTCTGGAAATCGGAATTTACAAAAATCCCTGGTTTTCGAAAAAGAAAGTCTTTTCCGCATATAATTGTGCGTCTATTGAGTGGCCTATGCGGGACTTTCGAGGTCTCCATTCTGAGAAAAGTTTGCGCAGGTTTAGACTCCAGGAGCTTTCTTTAGTAAATAAAAAAACAATTCAGCCAGTTTTCAAAAATTTTTGTGTAGCAAAATTAACTTTTCAATCAAATACGGAAGCAGAACAGGAGTCTATTGGGAAAATAAACACAACTAGAATCGCTTTCGAACGTCGTATTTTTGGAAGGGTCATAAAATGATTGTGATATGAAACGTGAAAAAAGACGTCTTGTCAAGTGCGCCGTGTCGAACGCACCCGAAAGTTCATTCGAATAAATTTAAATAGGAAAAAAAAACAACGTTTCTGAAAACTCCAACAGTAAGGGTAACAATGAGAAAAAAATCTACAAGCATTCAAGACTCGTGAAAAAGGATAAACTTTGAGGCTGGATGAAGTTTTCAAATATGTTTAGAAGCTGCCAAAAACCTTCTGCTTATTCTTTTTTTACGATATTAGTAAGAATACAAAAAGATAGTTCGAAATGGAATATTTATATATATTTGTCGAAAAACTCACTCATGGCCTCAAAGATGAAATTAATGAAAGGACCCAGAATATCAAATTGGTAATTTAAAAAGTTAAAAAAAGTAAATAAAAGTTCGAACTTTCGTGTGAAAAAAATAAAGTTTTGCGCGTGAAGTATGTAGTCGCAGTTGCACACACAGAAAGTGCATTTTTGCGTAATCCGTCAAACATTTTTGTATATCCTCGTCGCTCGTTACTTTTATTATTCGTTTATATATATTCTTTACATGTTTTTTTTTTTCAGCTCCCACAAACAGTCAAAGCGGTTTAGATACTTCTAGTATATTTTAGTGGCCACTACAATTCCAGGTGATGAGGTATGAATTCTTCTTAAGTATTTCCACTTTTTAGCCACTATATTTTTTTCTGAAAAAAAGCTTTTGCCTAATGTAAATTTTGAGTACTTTATCTCATCTAGCTCAAGACATTTATGGAAACGGAAAAACTCAGCTATTAAATGCCTTGTAAATTTTAATGTTTGGAAAAATTAATCAAACTCGCAATAATTATGTAAACTTTAGAAGTAACTAGTAGAAGAATCCTTTCACAGTATTTTTGAAGTTTGCAATGACCCGGAGCCAGCATCTTTCTGAGCTGCTTCAGTCGATAGCTTTGTAGGAAATCTCGTTTCTTTTTTTTCTCTAATACTTTTTCTTGAAGGTTCGGGTTCTTGAAAAGTTTTCCAAGCTTCAAAAAATAAACGTATCATCCATTCGCCGAGACTTGATGGAATCGAAGTCGCACATGGGAATGACTCGCCCTACGTAAACAAAATAAGACGGAGAACGCATAGCGCATTTTGTAAAAAGCCATTCCCAGTGCGACCAGAACGCGATTCACACCCATTCGCAGGTGTTTTCTCTCAAAATTTTCCGTAACCTGAAATTAACGGCGGCTGTCGGAAGAATTTATCTTGTCGAGATCAATATAAATCATCTTTGGCCACTGGGGACGGAGGAAACGTCTCATTTTTCGGCTTCTTTTGAGAACCAGAGAAAATTTTTGTGAAAAACACCATAAAGCAAAAAGAGAAAATTTTGATTAGAATGTCTTTGATACCTCTATACAACGATTTTCAGTCCAAAAACCTTACTCCAAAAAAATTACTATTTAAAGAATAAAGAGGCCAAAACTAGAGTTTATTTGGATTATTCATTTCATTTTGAAAATCCATGTTCACAAGTGAAATGGCTCGACGTGGGAAATCTGCGAAGCGAAACTAGAAGAAATTGAAGCTTTTTTTCAAAATTTTATAAGTCCGCTCCGCTTTACTAAAAAGAGTATTGGGGAAGGACTACACATACAAAAAAAATTTCAGAAAATTTTCGAAAAGACACTTGAACGAATGAGATGAAGTCTATCGGAAATTGCAATTCTGCTATGAGACTGCTCAAGTTTTGACTCACAAGCGATGATTAATTATTTTTTTTCAAATCAAATCAAAATCAAATCATTTATTTTGTTGGTTTAGTCATAGATGTATCGACTAGGCGGTGAACAAGAACTTTGAAAGCTATAACGAACAACCGCCTTTGGCGAGCTAGAAGTCCAAACGTGTAGTCGAAAGAGTTGAAAGCATGGTCTTACGGTCCTTCGTTTTGTCCTTCTGCGCGTAGTCTATCCAGTTGCGCCTTGACGAGCTCAGAATGTAGCGGATGTTGTGCTGGAGCCCGGAGACCGTGCTCTAGGTGGAAGCCTCAGAATGAGAGCTACCACTTCGAGTGAAGATTTTACACGGAATTTATGGTTGTTAATATTCTGAAAGTTGGTCACAATGTTAATATTTGAATCAGATCACGTTCCTAAAATTCTTAACCTTCAAAACTTAACAGTTTTGAAGAAAAGAGATTTCAAAGGCTATGAATTACCTGTTCCAAGGGATCGTTTTCTTTGGGCAATAAATATTAGGAATTTTCAGAGGTTGAGCCCTACAGGAATGTTTTCTAGTACACGAAGGATTTCATTTGAAACTAATTTGAACACTTTGGAGTGCAAATTATAATTGCCTCCCTTGTGAATAATTAGTTTTTTTTTTATCACAGCCATCTTCTTGCAAAACAAGCCTATAAGTTACTGTAAACTCTCAGTCTTGCTTACTATATATTCAAGCCATTTTCTTGATAAATCTTTGACTTTAAAGGCAAGCTGGTGGTGAATTGAGTTTGACTGTGATGATAGAGTATGATTTCCTTCATTCGATATATTTTCATGCTTTTCAGGCTGCGAGTGCGGGAAACTTCTTCAGTTATCTCCAGCTTTTATCAGCGAGATAGCAGTTCCTTTGAGCTGTCAGAAAGTCGGCCGATAAATAAGATGAGTTCTTTTTTTTCTGATTATCGTTGTCCGCAAATGGGAGCGCATTTCGCGCGAGCAGCAGGCCTTTTTGTGATAACGTTATCTCTCGAAGAAACAATGGGTGTTCAGACATCTCTCTATGTGGTCTTTTTGGATATCTTTGCCAACTTTGGCGAGGATCGTTAAGGAATTATTCAAAAAGGAAGTCGAAAAACTTCAGGAATAAAAAAAACCCTTTGAAAACTTCAAACAGACTTTCTCTTTTAGCATTCATTCAGATTTGGTGGTTCAAAGCTTCGAGCTTGAATTTAAGTCCAAAACTGAAGTGAAATTTAATATAGTGCTCTAAAAGTTTCGAGTTGGTGTGACTCTATGAAAAAAAAAGCACACAAAAAACTTAACCTCCACAGAAAAAAAGATTAATAATCCCAAAAAAAGAAGTGGACGAACTTTTACTCCCGAAATGAGATCTGCGCGCGTAAATTTTTTTTTTCTTGATTTTTTTTTTCCTACCTCTTCCCTGAACAGAAAAACTTACAAGAGCACAGTCCTTCAAAAATTTCCCTTCGACAAAAATCTTCAAATTTTATCACTATGAAAAGAAAATGAGTTTTTAAATCAAAGTATTTCTGCAATTTGTACATTTGCTCAAAACTCGTCCATCATCGACTATTTTAGCCGACTTTCCCAATCAGAAGAGTTCGGTGCGTCATAAACATCCATCTTTGAAAGGAGTTTAAAAAAACTGTCTAGCGGTGCCATCAAAACGCAAGACACGACACAAGGCGGCCGCTCTTTTTTATAATTTCGATGACGTTTTCGGAAGGAAAAAACATATTCTGCTCTTTTTGTAATTCTTTGTACACAGTCGAAAAACAAAAATATATCCTAGAAGATCAAATTTTTGAGAAGAGGCTTCTTATCAGTTGGAATTCCAGATTTTTATGTAACCTTGTTCAAAATATTGTGATATACAAGATGAATGTCCGAAAAGTCAACATGTATCTACAAAAATGCTTTTTTCAACAACCGAAATTTTGAAGCCCTTTTTTTGAATGAAAATTGGGAACATTTTCACTTTAAGTATGTTTTAATTTTCCCGGAAATGAAGATACAGTTTCTCCGTGTTTCTTCAACAAACTTCGAAGAGAAATGATAATGGACTTTGTAAGAGGCGCTTCTCAGTTGAGTGGTGAGGTAACTGATTAGAAATTATTTTCAATTATTGGACTTCATTCGAAAAACTTTTCTCCGTTCAAATCAGAACTTTAATGAAATTGAGCTCACTAGATGCGATTTTCACGCCAATTCACAATCTGTGCTCAAACATCGACATGAGGGCCTGTGGAAAAAAGTTATGGGCTCTTAAAGGTGGGAAGCCTCTCCAATTGAGCTTCTGGAAATAAGATAGCGCTGGCCTTAATTTACGAAAAAACAAAATTTTTATGTTTTTTGGAAATATTTTTTAGCTAAAACCGGATTTTTCGAAATGTCTCACATGTTCAAGGCATTTCAGCCAGCCAGCCTTAACTCGTTTGTCAGACCCTATTTGAACTTCGGGGAGCCAATTTTTTTCCCCACAAGTCTGATCAGGATTTTCTGTGCACAGATGTGAAATCACCGAAGAAAACTGCTTCAGAAGGGCTTTTTCTCATTTGAAAGTCTTATTTTGAGCTGGGGCAAGTTTCCATTAAAGGATATCTGATAATCGAACCCTTAAGTGATCCTTTTAAGGTTCGTCCTGAGTTTTGAAGGCAAATCTTTCAGAGAATTTTGAATAAGATTTTAATTCTCGACATTGTAATGGTGACCTTCATCCGGATTTTTAACGCTTCAAGGTGTAAAAAGCTTAAGATTGGAAACAATTTTTCGACTTTTTTGTTTCTTTTCAGAGTAGAGATTTAATATTTTCAGAACAATCTGAATTTTACTATAAAAAGGAATTTTTCACGCGTTAATAACACGTCCAACTTTTCAGTTTGTCAATTTTCTGAAGAAAACTCGTGATCCGTTTCGTTGGTGCCAATTATGGTAAATAATCAGTGGAGCCTGGTTTGTTCCGTCTTCTTCGGAGAGGCGCCTGGTTGTGGCGTTGTCTGGCCTCTCCGGGGCCTTCACCATTGTCTCGGCGGTCGAGTTTCGCCTCGTCTGCGCCCTCTTCGCACCGCCCACTCTCCCTACCGCTCTACAGTAGATCGCCGCGGCGAGCGATCGATTCACGAGGGTAGTCGCCACAAGCATTTTTGCGCCCACTGACAAATGTTCCAGGGACCTGCCAAAGTTGCTTGGGCATTGGAAAATCTGGAATTATGGTCCAAACGAAGAGTCATGAGTCTTTCGTTCTTCCAAACTGGCGTATAGAAGTAGACGTAGTGGCAGAAAGTTGAGAGAGCGCTGAAATCTATGAAAAACCTTTGTTAGAAAGAAAGTTTCCAAAAAGATGAGATGGACTTGAGCTGACTCCAGAAATGATTATGTCTTCCAAAGATCATTTCGAAGGCTTTTTTCAAAGTTTCTGTTCTGGAATTTTGCTTTCTTTATGGGGACAAAGGTTCGAAAAAACAGACCGACCCAGTTTCTTTTGATTATATCTATGGAAACCGCTAGAAAATTGCTCAAAATTTATTTTATTCTCTGATAATTCAACTCAACCCAGCTCAAAGTTGCGGCTCAGGAAGTATGAAGATTCAAAGCTCACCACTATTAAGAAAGCTGTATTTTCAAATTGTTTTATCTTCAAAGCGTCGTAGCTTCAAAACTTGAAGTCTGTTCAGCTGATGGTCAGGTTGTTTTCTCAGAATATGAAAAACTTATAGTACGTTCCAAACGAAAAAATTACCTCCCTTGTCATTGATTTTTGACTGCAAAAAGCTCTATAGCCGAAAAAAATCTTTTTTTAGTAATATATCTCGCAAGTTTTTCTGCTCTTTAAGAAACTTCCAACAAGCTTCTTGTTTTTCTTTTTGAAATCCTATAGATTGTTTTAGAAGAGATTTCATATCTTTTCCATGACATACTAAACTTTCTGAGAAAGACTAAGGTTTTCAGACTCTGAAGAAATTTTTTCTTCTGAAAGAAATCTCGGAACCGATAGATTCAAAAAAATTGTTTCCCATAAAAAAAAAACCTCCTTCAATTCATCATAAAAACAGTTTATTCGATCAAAAACAATAGGAACCGATTAGAAACGTTGAGCGCAGCCGTACTTAAGCTTATTCGTCAAAGTCGTCGTAGATAAAGCGGCCAACGATCCGCAAATCCTCAAAACGTGGCTATTGCCCCGAAAAAGTCGTTTACTAAACCGGCAAAGTAAAAAAAAGTCGCAAAAAAGCGAAGACACGCTTTGAATAAACAAATTGATTGATGTAAAAAGTAATTTGTAAAAACAACATGCCTTTAATCTAGAGAGAAATAGCAAAAAAAAGAAGCTCTCAGACACGCGAATAACCGTAGCAAGAGATTAAAAGCTGATTTTATCAGTCGGAAAAAAAAATGATTAAGTTTGCGGATTTATTGGTTGTAAGCGGAATGCAGACAAAAAAAGGGACTTGGAGTAAAAATTTGAAAAAAAAAGTGAAGAAAGATATATAAAATCCGCCATGACTTAGGTCAGTTTGGTGTGTCTGCTCTCTCTTTTCTCTCTTTCAAATTGTCGTTTGAAACAATCTGAACTGTATGAGCCTCTGTTTTCTAGGCTATGAAACAAATAAAGTGTAAAGAGAGAGAAAAGAGAGCGCAGACATACCAGACTGAGCTAAATCGTGGCGAATGATGTATAGAAAGATAGAAAGCGTTGAATTTCTCAAACGGACTGCGGGAGAATCCAAACGATCTTTCTCAGCTCTTTTCTCGGCTTTTTCTGCGTCTTCATGCTTTTTCAGGAAAAGCCGATAAGGAACTGGAGACCAACAACAAAACCGCGGAACCCGAGTAAGGAAGAATAAAATTGGGGGAAGAAGCCGCGAAAAAACGAACAGAAGCATAGAAGGGTTCAGAGCCGCTTGGAGGCGAGCTCGTAGGACAGGTGCATGGCCTCGCCCACCAGGATCATGACGAACGTGACAAAGAAAACGACGAGCGAGAAGACGATGAGCAGGACTCGGTCCAGCACCGACGCCAGGTACTCCCATTCCAAAGCATACCTGCAGACGCTTCTTTCGTAAATAATTAAAGGGGATTTCTTTTTAAAAACAAAGGTCTTTGCTCTAACTAGCACTACTCAATGTTGAATTTTTCGGTTGACTTATTAAACAGAGAATTTGAGAAAAGAGAGAATTTTTCTAGATCAAGGTAAACTCACATTTTAGAGCGGAAAAGTCTTTCAACTATAAGAAAACCTCAAGTTTTTGTGCCTCAAGTTTTCGTGGAAATAAAATCTTTTTTAACTATAATTTGAGAAAAGTTACCTCTGTTCTAAACTTTAACTTGACCAAAAAAAATTACTTTTTTTCTGCTGAGTAGATACTATTAATAAATTTACATCAAACTGTAGTTTGGAAAACAAGCTTTTTACAAATGACGTCAGTACAAAAGACGTCAGTAAAATGAGTTCCGCTGAAATAGTTAGAACATTTTTTGAATATTCAGATGATTTTTCACCAAACTTTTGACAGACCGGTCTCCTATTATTGAAAAAACTCTGGATCCCTTCTATTCTTCTCATAGAAACCTGCGCTTGAGCTTGCTCTCCAGAAGAGCGTTGTCCGTGGAGGAGAAGGCACTGACAGCCGAAGAACTGAGCATCAACGGCGGCGGCTCATCTCCAGGCATGGCTATTGACGGAGGCCTCTTCCTGACCGACCTCAGGACGCCTCTTTCACCAGCAACTTCAAAAATCGTTATTTTTCTTGAGAATTCTCTACAACCTACTTTTGGAATTGGAAACCCCATTCTCCATGTTGTTTCTGCGGGCTAGAACTTTTTTGGTGAGTCGCTGCCAGTTCTTGCGCGCCTGTTCCCGTCGGGTGTCATCGAATGACCTGAAAAGTTTGTGTGTTTTGGGAAAAAGAGCGGAATATTCCATTCACCGCTCTTTTGGGACACACCAAAGACGTAACAAAGTTTTTAGAAATTCCAGAGTGGTCTCTATAGGGGTTAGGGGCAAAAGCAGCCCTTTAGGTGCCAAAAAAGTGTTCCCTATAAAGATAAAACTTAGGTGGTCCATTAAGAGGTTTTGGATCTGACCTCCTGAGCTTCTATACTTTAAGTGGTCCCTATAGGGATTTCTTATGTGTTTTTTTCAAGTTTCGGAAATCAAAAAGATGCATAAAAAGGAATTTGATCAATTTATCCTATGTTGATATTTTTTCATTTAAAAATGTGTATTTATTGAGTTTTTCGAATATAAATTCTTCTTCTCATAGAAGTCATAACAAGAATCGAGTAGCATGTCCTCTATAGGGGTCACTAACTAAAACCCCTACAGGGGCCGCTTTTGCAAGCCTTAAGGGGCCCTGTAGCGATTAAAAAAGTGGTCCCTATAGAGAACCCTCCAAGGGCCCCTAATGTTGACATTATAGGGACCACTTGGGAGTAACTGAGTTCGTGTTATCCTCATTACACTGTGATCCAAGCGAACATTGAAATAATTCTAAACTAACCTAGCACTGATAGGAGCGGCTAAAGGCGCCAATCCGCTGACTGACTTCTTCATGGGAGGAGGCTGTGAACACATCAACTGCTTTTTCTTGAAAATATTGAAAGTCAAAATCTTCTTTCAAAAGTGAGACCTTTTCTATCCGCTTGTGTTTTGACCTCTCATTGGCAAAAGTGACTCCGGTCTCGTTCCAAAGGTCGAGAAGCATCGTCGGCGGCCGCATTCGCAGCCAACGAGCCATCTTCAAAGAGAATATTTCTCATTTTGAAGTAGAAATTGAGATTTTTCTATACTTATTTGAGCTCAAATAAGTCCAAACCGGCACCTTGGCAAAGAAAATGAAGGAAATCAGCGGAGACACCGGCTTCGCGTACATCTTCTGCAGATGAACGTTGAGAATAAACGCTGTGAAAAGCGTGCCGATGAAGATAATGAAGATGATCGACAGGTAGAATATTCCTAAATTTTTTGGAGTTTATCATCCAGCGGCTTGACATTCTATTTTCTTCGCTTTGTTCATTTATTTCTGAGTGAAATGAATAATGAATTAGCGTAAATGGTGCGAAAAGAACAGTTTAAGATGTCTCTAGAGCTTTTTGAGCTGAACCAGCTGTGAGCCTATTTTAAACTCTCCGAAGAATCCCAATTCTCAAAACTATTTTTCTAAGATTCCTTTTGTTTTTTCAATCACATCGTAAATTAAAAACTCTGTGAGAAGTGTAAGAAACGCGGCCATTCGAGCTTCCTTTCCATCTTCTCAACCTTTTCTCGCCAGTTGCGATAAAGAATTCTTCGGTGAAAGCGACGCGACACGACAACTGTCACACAGGAAAAAGTGATCAATTCAAATGGAGCGGCGCTAATTCTTCAAACTTCTTGAAACCTATTTCTCGGTGATTTAGAGGGTACGGAAATTTTTGTAATTTCAAAAAGAAAAAAAAATAGAATATTTCATGAATACATGGGGATTAGAATGATTACACATCATTTTTTTCAATCTATAATTTTTGAAAACTTTCTTTGTGAGCTATTTTTTTGTGCGCCCGACTCGATCTGAATTTCTCGTCGAACTGAAAGAGCGGAGGTAGATTTTTTTACCTTTTGTGGAAAGCATAGTGGAAAATTGAAAAAATTTTAAGTTCTGGATTTGGTGCAAAAAATTCTAAATTGAGATTTTTTTTTCTGACCTTTGAGTAAAAACGTACTAAGACTCAATCCCTTTCACCAAGCTAAAACAGTCTAACCTGTCTGGGTTCTCTTTTCTCTCACGTGCAAGATCAGAGAAACACACCGAAAGCCCATTTGAAAATGAAATCGTTTTTTTTTTTCAAAATCGTTACAAAACCAACCAAAAAGCGGAACGAAATCCGAGGAAGTTGGCATCTGCTCAGAAACCATCATCATAAGAATGGACATCGCCAGCAGCGAGTCGATGCCCAACGACAGCTTCTCTCGTCTTGATAACTTCGGATAAGGAAACCGAGAAGAAGACGTACCGCTCGGAGCTTGTCGAAGCCGCCGTGAAGAATCCCGTGACGGCGACCAAAGTGATGACTGACGTCGGAATGACGAGGTTGACGATGTAGTAGAGGGGCTTCCGACGGACCACCAGCGCCGCTTCGAGCAACACCCACGGCTCCGGACAGCACACGAACTTTTCCTAAATTTTTTTACGGCTTACTTTTCGAATGTGACAGCTTAGAATGGGTGATTAAGTTTTGAAAATTTTCTGAAGCTCAGCGGAGAAGTAATTGAGCACCATAGTTTCAAAACAGATCGAGTTTTTGAGTTTTTTGTCTTTTAGTCTTCTAGTAATAGCGTCTAAAAAAAATACAAAAATCCACCTTTTTTTTGACAATAATCATAACGTAAGACCGTTGAGACTTGGCGAACCGAAGAAAATGAATGAGAACTTATTTAGGTAGAAATCAGAAAAACTGTAAGTGCAAGCCAAGTTTCAGGGATTTCTCAAAAGTTGTACTTATGAACTATTCTGATGAGTATTAAAAAAAGGCTCCATTCGATTTTTTTTTGCTTCAGGCTTTGAAAACTTCACAAACTCTTACGAAAACTTTGGATTCCGAACTTTCTTGAATTTCACGACTGCTATGCCTCAGCCATAGTTCTATTTTCCCTTCAAACTTCAATTAATCCAAGCCGTCAAGTGTATCACAACAAATTAAAATATTTCGAACGTTATTGTTTCAGTTCAAAAAGAAAAACCTCGATGCGTTTGACGTTGAAGCTGACGACGACCCATTCTTCGTTGGGAATGAAATTGTCGAGGTTGACAGATGGATACTCGGCCTCGTAGTTGATGTCGCTTTTGGAAGATGTCCAAGATGAAATTGTCAGCTTGCATTCTTGCTGGTCGTACGGGAAGTACCTAAAAACAGGTATTGATCTGACATATGTATTGTTCTGTAAGTGTATGGTACAGTTCATTGAAAATTTTACAATTTTTCAGGTCTTCGACTCGCTTCTGAAAATTCCAAAAGTCCTAAATAAAATCATTTTTGAGCAATACTTATTTGTTCCAAAATGACGTTCCAATCCCAGTAAAACCGTATCGTAAATCCAACAACTTCTGATCCCATTTGACCGCAAAATCGAAGAGATACCGAATGTCCAAAAGACAGCTGGTGCGGTAGAGCGCCGGGTACATGAACTTGACCTCGGCTCCCTTGCCTCCCTTCCAATAGTTGGTCGTGACGACCACGTTTATGTAGCGTTCCGTTTCCTCTCGGTTCATCACGACACTTAAAAAAGTTTTCAAAGGAACGTGAATTAATCTAAGGAAAGAAGGGCCCAATTTTTTGAATCTATTCGACATGAGAAAAAAATTGATATTTGAAATGTTCAAGAAGAACCTGTTGTAGATGTAAGTGTCAGGAAGCCAGATGGCGTCAAAAGGCAGAATCGTGGTGTTGATCATCCCATACAGGTAGGGATTCCAGCCGAGAAAGTCGTCGGTCCATTTTTGGATCGCCCACACGTTCAAGTCCACGTTTTGTTGCTTTTCGTTCTGCAATTTTTTGACTCCTTCCAAAAAATTCTACTTTTTGGTGAGAAAATCCTTCATGAAAAGGCAAATTTTGAGCTCCTTAAAATGAGCATAATCAATTCGCCATGACTTAAAGCTCTTATCAGTCGCGAAATGACTCAATTCATAACAAATGCGAGTTTCAATGTCGTCCGACGCAAAACGGTTTGCGCGCGGAGTTATCAGAAAAATTAAAAGTAAACTTCTAAACTGTAAACGCAATGCAATCGCGACGCTTTGAGCAGATCTAAGTACCGATTTGTCTCGAATCAAAATCACTTTACGTTTTTTCCCTTTTGTTTCATAAACAGCAATGATCTTCAAAAAAAAAAAGTTCAAAACTGACAATAGATAAAATTTGGTAGAGACTCATCGAAAACGAAACAGTTGTAGGCCGAGTATGATTCATAACCGGCCGAACACGACTGTCGTACCTGAAAAAAGTATTTGGAATGTTGAAAATGAGGGAAAAAACCTTCTCTGGTCGGTGAGATCCTTGGCGAGTCTGATGTGCGGCAGGAACTCTCCATTTTCATCCATCAGCGATTCTCCTTCAGATTTTTTGAGAAGTAAATCAATTTACCGAGAAAATTATTAAGAGGTCATAAGAGAGATCCAGAACCCCTTCAAATGGATCAACCGCGAATAAATTTTGCTTTCATATGTTTTTTAAAAAACGTTCCCTACACTGGTGAATCGAGAGGACAAGTAGGTACCGGGTAGCAACTCAAGTGAATCGGCGAATCGTAATCGGTGGTCATTTGTATGCGACCGGGTACTATCTCTATGGTACCTGGATAGTACCTGATCGGTATCTGGATGCTACCGGGTATGTACCTGAATTTCGCGTTTGCCACTGGCTGGCACAACGGTCGTTTATATACCATCAGTGTTTTTTACACCTTCCCAAGCCTTCCAGGGTCTTATTGGATAAAGCTGTAACAAAAAATAACGACCCGGGAAGCAATTCCAGACTTTCCGAAAGAAATCGCGAATGTCAGGTCTACCCGGTAGTCTACCCGGTAGCTACTTGCATCGACCTCCGACCTGGGTACCATAGAGATGGTGCCCGGTCGCATACAAACGACCACCGATCACCATACGCCGATTGACTTTTTCAAAAGTTGCTACCCGGTAGCTATTTGTGTCGACTTCCCGATTCATCTTTGTAGTAAGAAAGTCTCGAGAAAAATGAATAGCCCAATTCAAACTGTCCCCACAGCGCTACTAGCCTTTTCCCATGAAAACTCTTCCCAGTAAAAAAGTTTCAGAGATACCAAACTACGCTTATAATTTCATTACGGCCCTTCCTCTTTAGTAGTTCAAGGCAAAAGTCCCATGGGAAATCTTGTCCTGCGCGCTTTTTTTTCTCTCTTGTAAATGGCACGGAGCGTCCCATATTTTGGCGGCTTCCAAGAGATTTGCCCATAAAAAGAGCCACTCGTCCAGAAATCTTTTGTTTTGTTGTCCGTTCTTCTGCTGCAACCGACCGCGATCGGCCTTCGCTTGCATTTTTTGTTCTTATTTTTCGGACAAACTTCTCAAAGACGGCTTTAGGAGTGAAAACTCTCAAAGTAAATCAAGATTTTTTGTTGAATGTTTTAAATTTCCTAGATTTTTTGATTTCTTTATCTAGAATTTTAGATTTTTGTGGAGTCTTTGAAATTGTTTTCATGTTTTCGGCTTTAGTCACCCCAAAGAATCAGGAAAACATTCAGAGTATGGCGAAAAAAGACAGGTGAGGGTGTGGGAATCGAATCTGAGCCAATGCATTTTGGACAAGGTCGACGAGGAAAGAGAGATTTGCTCGGAAACCGAGAAAATCGGCACGAATGCATCATTTTTCAGCCGATAGGGCAACGTCAGTCGAAAGCGGAAACAAAAGCACGTGGACAATTTTTCAGTTGGAGGAGATTGAATTAAATTCGAAACTTTGAAAGTGAAGAATCAAAAAAGCAAAGTAGAACAAAATAACACTATTAACATTAAAGGAACAGGGGCAGTAAAAATGAGGTTATGGTGAAAATCGTACACGGCTACTGTAAAAAGTTGTCTGTACACCGATCCAAAGCAAATTTCAAAACTAGAAGCCGGGAAAATAAAATTACGTTTTTCTTCAAAAGTAGTCACATCTCTAATTTTTTTGAATAGACCGTTCGATTCGCAATGAAAAGCTCTACAAGGTACTGCGTTCACCTGGAACCCCGTTTTTTACTGTCCCCATGCCTTCAAATATTTCTCCTGTTAAAAGAAACGATTTCCTTAAAGTCTAGTTGGTAATTATTTCAGAATCTTAACCGGATAATACAAAATCATAGCTTTTTTGGGGAAAATAAAAAAGATTTCAATGTGCTGATACCGAAAAACCGAGACATTATTTCTGTTTTGAGATTTGAACTTAGCTTGAAACGGATGTGGTAATGGTACCCAGAAATGATGCCTTTCGATCTCGGAAGCTTTTGATTGAAACTTTGACTAAGAGAGCAGTGCGAGGAATGAAAAATTTATAAATACAGAAAAATTGTTTTATAAATAATTCTACCAGTCCGTAGCGAAATAGCGAACTGAAAAATGATTTTCTTTTTCAGAAAAATCTTTTTTTTTTTGAAGTTTTATGGGAAATATTGATGTGTTTGGCTACAATAGCGAAAAAAAAAATCCAACTACCTTTCTTGAATTGAAGTTCATAAAAGTAATTTTTCGCGCAATTACAGAGTTTTTTTCTCAATTTTTCAAGCTTAAATCTAAACAGTGTTTATCTTAAATAAAATGAAATTTTTCATATTTTTAAAACCTCCGAAGAAAATTCTAAAAAAAGCAGAGAAAGAACGGGATTTCAAAAGAAATTTTTTTAAAGTTGAATTTTTGATAAGTTCATCGTATTCCAAATTTATGATCAAATTTCGGATTATTGAAAAAAACTGGATTTTTCAGAAGCTCGGATCGGGTAATTTATTTGCTTAAATTAATTGACACTTTCCCCTCAAATTTTTGGTAGTACTTACATGTGAAAAAAATATTTCTCAGCCAAACTCAAATTTCAAATCATCTTCTTTCAATGCTCATTATCGGAATTTCTATAAATCAAAAAAATTATTCAATTTTTTTGAAAAAAAGTTTCTTTTTACAGCAGGTCTAAAGTATATCCTAATCACTACTAGTTTGAGGCGAAAATTAACACTTAAAAGTCTCTTTTATACGAAAAATGGGTTGCTAATCGTGTACAGAACTTCTTTGAATATTTTTTAAAGTTATCCGTGAATGAACTTGAGGCTAATTTTGAATGAACTATCGAGAAGCCCCTTTTTCCCGTCTGATCTTGATTTTTTTCTTGCAAATGGGGACAGAACTCACGGTTGGAATCGACAGAACCGAGAAGAGCTGCCAGAAGGAGAAGAGGCCGCAGCGACATGACCAGAGGACTGGCACCGCGGCGCCCAATCAACCTGAAAGGTGCAGCGACTGCATTATTCAGTGCGGGTGCCGCTCCATCGAAACGTTTTCCAACGATACATACTGAAGACATTTTTTGCGGAGGCAGAGTTTATTATTATTCAGAATCTTTTACTGAAGGAAAATAATCAATTAAAAGATCATTGTAAACGTAGGAGAGATAAAAGTGAGAATCGATGATTGAAAATAAATTTTTTTTCGCGAAAACGATATATTTTTTGAGCTCAGTATGGTTCCATCGAAATTTTATTACAACAATAAATACTGAAGACATATTTTTTTCGGGCATGGAATTTAATATAACCCAGAGACGTTGACTGAAATGAAACAAATCAAGTAAAATTTTCAATTAATTAAAGACGTGTGGGCAATGAACTGAAACAGAAACTATGCTGCGGAACTTTTCATCACAATTCGAAAGGTCTTTCAAATCGGGAAGAGTCAACTTTAACGGAGAAAAGTTACAAGAACGTGAACAAAATGCATTGTTGGTTTTCAAAGTTTTTTTCTGTTCTTTTATATTTTCGATTCTACTTTTTTTTTAAATATTTCGATTTGGACTTTTTTCTGTCATTTCCATGAAATCTTACGTATTAATAGATTCATTCCAATAAAGTCCTGAAAGCGGACCAAGTACTATTCACATGATGTTTCTTCCGAAAAGTAGTAATTTGGCTTTTCCTACATTTTTTGAACAATTCTAAAGTACACTGACCTCATTTTGAGATTTTTTTTGGAAAACCTTAATATATGCGTTGAAAAATTCTGTCATGTTCTGCTAAAAAGTACGGAAAATCAATTCGTACACTGCGTAAAACTAAAACTTTTATGAAAGTTTATTATGAAAACTGGACTTTTGAGCGGTTTCAAGTAGACTGAAGGATTCGCAAGAAAAAGCTCTATGTGATGAAACTCCTATCTCAAGCAAACTTTCCACTAACGAAGCGCTTAAAGTCCCAAAGTTCACAAGAAAATTCGAATAAAAAAGGGAACTGAGGAAGCACTTTCTGGACACGGAAAGTGAGAAAAGTAATGGTTTGAGGAATGAGAAAGAGCCACGAGAGTGGTAGAAAAGGCCGATGGATGGGCTAATGAGGGCAGGAAATGAGCCCAGGGCGAGCAGGAAATAACAAGTGGCACCGCAAAAAGCCATGAAAATCGTTCGAGATCGAATTTTCGTTTGGAATGGAAGAAACAAAAAAAGAGGCGTCAAAAAAGCGTGGCTCAATCTAATAGGACCAGTTTCAGCAAATTTAATTCAAGAACGATGAAAACCTATTTTCAAAAAATGTAATCAAACATCGAATAATGTATCTTTATCCGAAATTCCAGAGAACGCTATTGCGAATAAGACATTCAAAAAGTTCAGGCGAGTGGAAACAATTCCCAAGGGTAATAACTCAGAAGTAATGCGACTATTGTTTCATGGAGTGGAGAAAAAAGGTAAAAAAATAAAAAAATAATCAGAATGAACATTTTTCAAAGCCTTCAACGTTCGTGCTAAGACCCAAAATTTCTTAAAAGTTAAAATTTTGAAAAAAATAAGATACTTGAGGCTTGCAACTTCCCAGTAACGTTTGTTTATATGAAAGAACGGTTTTTTCAAAACCTTCCCAATTTCCTAGAAAACCCTTATTTGCATAAATCGTTTATCATTTGTTTCACAGTGCTGAAGAAAATGAGAGCGGAAATAATTTTGTAAGTTACCTATATTCTATTTTTGATGCACTCGTAAACTAAATAATTACAAAAAAATAGTAAAAATTTTTTTGTTTCATTAAGTAATCTCGTGGAAAATCATAGAAGACTTGAGCGAAACTCGATAATTTTTTTCCTCGGAAAATACCTTTCTTTCCAGTGATTTCTGATTTGAATTTACTTTACAGGGAGCCTAGTTTCATTTTTTAAATTAATTTTTTTCTATAAATTTTTAAATATTCGTTTAATGAAGCTCACCCCTGTAAAATGGCGTAAGTCTGGCCTCACAAGGAAGTGGATCAAGTTGAAAAGAAAATTTGAAAAAAACGAACCAATCCAATATGAACGTGTTTCAACGTTGAAAAAAAAACATGACGAATTCGAAAAAAAAAAATGAACGGAATTGGGTTCGAGGTGAAGCAATAACAAAAGGAGCTATTATGGAGCATTTCGCGCCCAGAACAAGAAAAAGGCGACGTGAACCTGGCCACGCCCGTTTCCTCTACTATTGCGCGTTTACCAAGTGCATCTCAAGAGTTCTAGCTTCTTTGGAAATTTCTTGAAATTTGAACTTGGTCCACGTTTAGCAATAACTACAATGGCGGCTTTAGTTATAGTTTTGTTGAAGTTTCTCTGTCAGAACTTCAAAACTGGCAATAAAAAATGAGATTGACACTTGGAAAACTGAAAAGCATAACTCTCAGATCCAACTTGGAACTTTCTATGTACGCTCAAGTTTCTTTGAGCTTCCATTTTCTTTTAGAGGACTAGTACAGGATTTAGGTCTCACTTTTTGCGAAAAAGCCTGCGCGGGCCTGAGCCGGACTTCATATAATGTTTTAAAATCTTATCATAAAAACTTTGCGCTTTTTGGACCGAGTCGGGCTTATAAAATGACCGGGACCTAAGGGGCCGGCCCCTGCGAAAACCTACTAAAAAGTAGGATAGAAACATAAAAAAACTACAAAGGAAGCTTATCAGTTTCAACTTTGATTTTTCATTCGTTCATAGCTCCGGAAAGCTTTGTCTTTTTACCTTTCGGAAACTTTTTTTCAAAGTTTTTCTAGCGCTTTTCAAATCCATTATAATTTATTAAATTATGAGGAATGTACATGTTTCGGGTGGCGTTTCACCGCTTGTTGGCCTTCCACCATTGCTTGACGCGGTCGTGACCTTCCTCCGTGACGATCACGAGCTTCTGGACGCTGTCGGCCCACATCAGAATACCCTCGCTCGCGGCAAAGTCACGCACGCCTGCGAGAATTAAAATATTTCATGTTTTCACAATGAGAGTTCAATGATTAATGTTGAAATCGCGAAAAATTGGGAAGACATTTTTGAGTACATCTTCATAGATGAGAAAAGACTTATCCAGCTATTTTTTTCGTACTAAAAATTTTTTTATTTTTTTCATAACTTCACGAAACGAAGAAATTATTAAGAACGCTTTCATTTAAAAATTTATAAGATTTTTCAATCATTTCTAAACGAAATGATATCCGAAAATTAAAAGCCAAAAAAATCAAAGTAAAAAGTTGTTATTTACACGCGCTTCTACAAAAATTAGTCATGCGCAAAATGCTAATTTTTTTCACTTATTCATTTCCTTTCTCTATTCAGAAAAAAACATTTTCGCGAGTTGATTTAACATTCTGCTTCTCGAACAAAAACTGAACTTTTTTTTTCATCAAACTCCAAAATGAGCTAGAATTCAAGTCTGCCAAAAAAGAAGAAGTTTGGCAATACCTTCTCGAAAAAATTTTTTTTCAAAATTTCATTTGTGAGAGGAGAACGACGGCAAAAAAAGCTCAAAAAAAGAGATCGAGAAGCCGATAAGAAAATCCAGCGAGAAAAGGTGAAAAAGCGCTGAAAATGAACTTTTCAGTTCCTTTTTAAATCATCAGAGCACTCTCACGCATTCCGAAGAAAGTTCACTAAATGTGAAATCGTAAAAGAGTTCTTCAAAAATGCGGAACGAAATGAACAAAAAAAGAAGTTAAACGCACCAATGAACTCGTTTTCGCTCTCGAAAGTCGAATAGAGCACAGAATCCGTGAGGTTGAGCCTCCTCCGCTCGTCCTCCCACAGTCGGATTTGATCAGAAACCTGAACTTCACCTCTAGAAGCCATCCAGGTGAATTTTGATTACCGTAACAGGAAGACAGTTCAAGGGTCCACTGCTGGCCAAGCACTGGGGATGGGCATTCGTCCGCAAGAACGAGACGATTTGTGACGCCGTAATGCCGACCTGAACGGCCATTTGAGAGAATTTGATCTTCTTGATCAGAAACAGACTTGCAAGGCTCTACGAACTGATTCCCTCGTCAAAATTCCTACCGACATGTCGTTGAATCTGAAAACAATTAACTTGCTGGAAAATGACCAGCCTGCGGAAAAATAATTTCTTTCAAAGAGGCGTCGTGTCGGTTCTACAGGTTGGACCGAAAAATGTATAATTTCGAAAAAGATTACTTTAATACAATATTTTGCCGGTTTCCTATGAAGATGCTCGAAGGACAGTAAGTTTCGAAACTACTTGGTTTTGTTTTTCAAAATGTAACTTGAAAATTCAGGCTTTCCCACGAGTCAACTACCTCACATTGTGCTGATTCTAACTTTTCTCGAAACAATTTTTTTATTGATTTGAAATCGCAGTTCGATATACACTTTGATTTTGTTCAAACATATTATCATCATCAATATCTGAAAAATAGTAAAACTTTTTAAAAAAATATTAATCTAATTATCAAAAACGTATTTTTTTTTAACTTTTGGAGAGAGATGTACAATGGCAGATTTTTCTCTGACTAGGGAACTACTCGGACTCGGTTACGCGGATCGAGTTCAAACTTAATTGGTTTGTAGACCTAAGTGAGATTGCTTGAAAAAAAGTGAGAATATCTGCTAAACCCAATATAGAACTGGAAAAAAATTAGTAGAAAATGTAAAAATTAGGCCTGAAAATTTTCAGAATACTGATTTCTACCTTATCTTATATTTTAATACAGTCGCTTCGAATGATGCGGCTATTATGAACTCTAAAAAACTTTTTTTCAGCCAAAAGAAGGAGGAAAGCAATAATTTGATAATTTTCAAGCCTAAAATGTTCATTTTCAAAAAGCTTTTTCTCAGAAGCCTATGGAGTTTAGCAGATAATCTCTCTTGTTTCCAAGTTCTCTTACCCGGGTCTATAAGCCACCAAAGTTCCAACTCGAAACGCGTACCCCGAGTCCGAGTAGTTCCCTAGTGAGAATCGAAGTTTCACTATGTTTTTACATATAACAGCGACCAAAACTCCAGAAAGTTTCAAAAAGATTTTAATAAAAACTCCATGCAAGCAAGTTGCGATCAAAAAAAATTTCTGACAGATCTTTATATTGGGCTAGACTGACTGCTCAAAAGCCAATGAGAACCTGTAGGTCATCTCGGTGAAAGTAGACAGAATGGCGAGCTGGAGAGGCGAAGAAGTGTAGGCGTAGAGCCGGAAGTTGGTCTCGACGATGATGCTTCCGTGCGCCGTCCTCTCAATCGCCGTCTCCGAATCTTCTCGGGAAGCCAGGTACAGAACAAGAGGCGTCAGGAAGAAGATACTGAGAAGAAGTTGGAATTTTCTGTGGAAGTCATCGCTTACCCATCTTTCCTTTTTCGAATAAAGATGACTCCCAACTCTCGGAGATGGTTGATCAACTCCGTTTGGCGTTCACTCCAGTTTTCGTCAAGTACGTAGGACCGCTGTCCAGGTTCAAAGCCTCGAAATTCAAACTCGACTACATATTAAGGGCATAAAGACTAACGTGACATTTAAAAAACTGATATTCATAGAAATTTCTAGTTCTCCAATCCTTTCACCACAAAGTTTTCAGTAAACATTGATCAAACTTGTCGATAATTGTTGAAGGACGAAAAAATTGAACTTTCTCGTAAAATTTTCGGGAGAAAAACTAGAAAAAATTGAAATTCGGGATTTTTCTCTTAGAAAGTCTTCTTCATAAAACTTTCCGGGAAAAAAAAAATTCAAAATCCAAATTTATTTTTAAAGAATCGGATTCAGATACTGTTTCTCACAAACTGGATTTCCCAAATTTCTGACCTTTTTCTTTTTATCTCAGTAACGCCTAGGCTTATGAAAAATATTTTTTTCTGATTTCACATTAATTATCATTCTTATCATCATCATCCATATCAGAATGAGCTTTACAGATTCCGGAAGCATACCTTTGGTCGCGCATAAAACGATCTGTATGAGGAGCTCTAACAACTCGACGATGTCGTATCCATTGCTGATCTCCAATTTGAAGTACTCTTAAAAGAAATTCCAGAAGTTCCACAGCTTGAATCGGATCAAAACCGAGGATATAAGTCCACATCTGCTCCACGGGGCTGAGCAGCAGGAACTGGAAGCCGCTGGAGGTGATCTCGAGGTCGGACTCGCCGTCGCCCGACGTGAAGTTGGCCGCTCGGAAGAGAGTCCGAGTCGTGGCCGACACCGACGCCATGTTCTGTTCGGACGGCAACGCCAGGTATCTGAACTTCTTCGGAGTTCGGATTTTTCCCTTTTTATTATTTTATCTTTTTGATATATAAAATTTTTTTGAAAAATTCTCGCAAAATGCGAGTCTAATGACACGAACTTCGCGTGTACGGCTACTGTAAACAGTTTTCTGTACACCGATCCAAAGCGTATTTCAAAATTAGAAGACGGGAAAATAAACTTACGTTTGTTTTTTTCAAAAGTACTCATGTCTGTGCTTTTTTGATTAGACCGTTCAATTCGCAATGAAAAGCTCTACAAGATACTAATTTCCCTTGAACCCCCGTTTTTTATTGCCTCTATGCCTTCAAGTGAATAAAAAAAGTCTTTTATGAAAAAATCCAACTAAATTAAAAGAACTAGTATATCAAAAAATAAAAATGAGTAGAAAAATAGCCTAATTCCCCCAAAACTTGCCTCAGAATACAATCCCATCGTTCGGAAGCCTTCTTTCCGATATCCTTCTGTTTCTTTTTCTCTTCTACGAGCTTCTCGCGAAGATTCGCGCACCTTGATGAGCCGCTCATTGCTGCGGAAAGGTAAGCGCTTCGGAAAGACTTCTGTGAAACCAAAATAAATTCTGGGAAAGAATGTGAGATCATGCTTCAATATTCCTCCCATTATCAACAATATTAAGGGACTGGAGAAGCTTCAACGAAGGGATAAGTTCCACTTTTTCCCATAGGCTTGATCTGAAGTCACAAAAATAATTTCAGAAGCAGCTTAGAATTAAAAAACTCATTGTTCGCGTTCCAGATGAGCTGGACGATTGACTGTTGAGTGATTGCAGGGAGCATTCGAAATACGAAAAGAGCTGGATCATACAAACATATATTTTTTTTAAATTACATGTATCTTCTAACCGCATGACGGCTTGCCGAGAAGCGGAAGTCTCGATTTTTCGGGAAGAGACTGCAGAAAGTCCAAGAAGAGACACTGTCTCGAAGTCTCAGGTTCCGCAGCCACCATGCTTCAAATTTGCGTTTATGGTTTTTTCCGAAATCTCTTTTCGGACTTTAAAGGAACAAATAATGCTTTTTTGGAATGATTTCCAAACGGAATAAAAAGAATGTTTTTTTAATTATTTCATTTTCGGGATGTGTTGAAGTTTAAGATATTTATTAATTTGCTCAAGTTGCTCAAGGAAGTAGAAACCTGCGTATCTTTCTCCTGAATCAAGAAATACCGGAAATTCAAAAAGTGTTTAGGAAAAATCACAAATAATTACGAACTGGGCCTCTTAATTATAGCCGATTCACGGCTAGCTCAAGTTAAAGGGTAAGGGGCGTGACCTGTCTGCGCTCTCCACAAAAAAGGCACTATCTCTTTTTTCTCCGTGTCAGGACCCTTTTTTCGATGGCTCTAGCCAACCGTGAAACAGATATACCTCTCTTGTGGGCCAAATAACAGATTGAATGAGAAAATTTTTTCAGAAAATTTCAATAATTTCGGCCGATAAGCTTACGGTAATTCAAAACATGATCATTTCTTTTTTCAAAACTTTATTGCAATTATACAAATATACGACAACATGCAACCTTTTTTTTTCCCAGATTAGACCCGAAAATATTTATGTATATATAAGGGCGCGTTGAATGTAGAAACGGAAAATGTCCTAGAGTAAAGGTGAAATTTTCTGTTTTCGAGCCATTTCTGTTCCGTTTCTCCATTTCAACGCGTCAAATAGAAATATATATCAACAACACGAATGGCTGAATGATGATGAAATCTGACAAGAATTGAAATATGCCTGAAAAACTTTGAGTCACCGGGAGAGGGACTAGCAAAATAGCATTTGACAACCTATAAATTACTACAATAAAAAAATAAAAAAATAAAAAAATATAAAATATAAACACAAAAAAACGCAAGAGAATGCTTGATACTGATTGAATATTTGTCGGAAACGGAGCTATTCAACTCGAATTTGATCTTGAACTTCTCCACTGTATGCTTGGGACACTAGCGTGTACATGTTCGTCGCATCGCGGTTACTCGTGAACTTCATCGCGAAGTTTCGAGCGTCTTTGAACATTTCCTGTAACATGACCCGTTAGTTCACCTTAATGGTTTCATTGGTTCTACTTGTACTAGGATTTTTTCAATTCCACGATGAAAGCGGTAGTGTCTCAACAGGATAATGAACAATTTATCAAGGCGTTCGTTCGAAAATAAGGCAATTTATGAAAAAAAAAATTTTTTCAAATTTTTTGCAAGAAGTTTCTACTAACAAAACTTACTCACGTGGAAGTTTATGTCCTTATAAATATGGAACATTGTTAATTCAAAAAATACTTCTTCGATGAGCACGAGAAATCCAGAAATAACATTGAACTACCACTATAAAAAATCATTTAATGCTGTTTTGTGATTAAAAAAGCAAGCAAAAACAAAATAAATTTTGAATCATCAAATTGGCCGGAAACCGTGAAAAGACTTTAGTCTATTTTTTTTTCTGACTTATTTCTTTTGAGAACTTTCTTAAAAAAATTCAAATGTCAAACGTCTACTACTCCTAAATACCCGAGTCATGATCTAATTCTTAATCCGCAGGACTTTCAAGAAAAATTAACAGTTATTGAACAGATCTAGGGCGGTAAGAACTTTTGATCATGTTCTACGAAAAAAAGCAAGGAACAACAAGCTAACCCTGGCCAGCAGAATGCCCTCCTTGACGAGTTTGGCGATGAGATTGGAGACGAGGCGAATGTGACGATGATTTTCGGACTGTTCGCATTTTCGAATACAGTAGCGAATGTACTCGCAAACGGGCTTTCTGTCTGGATCCGTGAACAACATCTTCATGTTGAGAATCTGAGAAACATACGACAATTTTTTGAATTCCTTCTGGGAAAACCTTGACCAAAGCTTCCATTGGTTGAACTGCCACTTCCAAATGGGTCAGCGACTCGATCAATCTGAAAATATTTTGACTTTTTTTTTCCCTATTGAATTTTTCAAGCTTACAGACGAATCTGTGGCCCTCAAAAATTCAATTATCTTTTTTTTTCTCTGACGATTATTTTGGATTTCGCGGAATCGCTTTAAACACTGCATTGGGCTTTTTCTTTTATTTTCAAGAAAGAAATTTCAAAAAGGCCTTAATTTTTTTGTTTTTAATTTCGAACCTGGAATATTGCGTGGGGTCGAGGACGACCAGACGTGACATTATTTCCGCGGTGACCTAAAAATTAACTTTATTTATTATTATTTTTTTTCAAAAAAGAAACCTTAGAATTACTGAACATGACCCTGGGCAAGAGTTCCTTGTCCCTAACGGCTCCCATCAGAAGCCGATAATGGGGATCTGCAGGCGGCGCATCTTCCAGAAAAGTCTGTATGACCCTCGTTTGAAATGGCCTAAATTCGAAAAATCAGAAGATCTTCAGCTTTCGAAAATCTTGCCCCAAAGTGATTCCTTCCAAGAATTTCTCGATGCAGTTCGTAATTTCGTCAGTCGCTGAGATGGAATTCTCGGCCGCTAATTCCGATGGAGTCGGAGAATCTGAAAAAAAAAAATCCTTTTTCAGAGATTTAGAATGTAGTTCGTTTGGCTTGACTTTAAGCAAAGTTCAGATTTCAGGATTCAAGCAAAATTGAAGATATTGGATGATTAGAATGGCGAAATTAGAGGTTTAGACGCATTTTTTTTCATTTTGTAACAAGCTAAAGTTGAATAGAGTATAGTTCAACTTGTAATATGCATTTCTAGCTTCCACAAAACCCCAGGCTCCAATCTCCGTCACCAACCGAAAATACAGAAATCTAAAGAATTATAAATTCTGAAGTTCGGTAATATATATACCTGATGCAAACTCATTTCAAAAATTTTTTTTGATTTTTTGATTTGAAAATGCTTTAAAATACCGTTATCTGCGTTTTGAAAAAAGTTTGAAGTCGATCCGTCAACTAGGAAAAAGGTTAGAAAATTTAGCTTAAAGTCCTACCGTAACCCAGTGAGGGGGCGGAGCCTCACAGTAACTAGCCTAAAAGTTTACAAACAATGTCTAATAACTGTGATAATAATTTCAACTCTCAAAACAAAACTTGAAATTCTTGTACCAACGGTTAAACGATTTTCTCGGAAAATGTGTTAATCAACCTCAAACAACTCAAAAAAAAAAGCGATTCAAGAATTTCCCATTCATTCAATTTAAGAGAATAAAAATGACACGAAAATTTCATTTTTTCGACAATAATAACATTTGAAACCAACCAGAGGGGAAAAAGTCGTCTGGACTGTCTTCCATCAACGCCTGTTCAAACGCGACGGCGGCTGAACAAGAAAACATTGATAATTGGTCGTTTTTGAAGATCTACCAGGCTCCAAGGACTCGAACATGAACAGAAGCTTCTCGGACACTTCTTTTTTGCCCAGACAGCGCTTCTGAATCCCGTCCGTGTAGTTGATCTCCTCTGCCGTCAATCCCATTTGATGTTCCTTATTGTAGCGCTGAAAATATGGAAGTTATGACTATTCACATATATATTTTTTTAACCTCTCTAACATTTCTCTTTGACCTAATAGATAAGAAACTGATATTCAAAAATATGAACAGAGTTTACTCGAGTTCTGATGATTTTTGAGCTAACTTTGAACCGGAGGAGGCTTTTTTTAGAAACGGAAAGTTCAAAAAAAAAAGAGAAAAAATACCTCGGTGAGCATAATTGGCATTTTGTCAGGAATGACGGTCGGAATGTAGGGATAAACGCATTCGAAGGCATATTGAGCTGAGGCGTCAACGACTTCTCGTGGACTGAAATTTCATTTCGATTATTTCAATGTGAAAGAGCAAAAAAATGCGAACTTTATGATACTCAGACAACTTTTAAAACATTTTGACGCATTTTTTTTTTAAAATACAAACTCTCACCGATTCGGACTTTTAGGGTATGAATGAATGATCATTTCGCTGACATATATTGATCTAAAAACTTACCAGCTCGTAGCGCTGTGGAGAATAGGCAGTGGAATGCCTTTTTCTGGAAGTTCGGGCCACATTTTATTATTTTCATTTTCCCATTTGAAGACTTCTTCGTGATTACAACGATAATGCTTCTGAAAAAGTTCAACAATATCGAGAAAACTCTTGAAATTTACAAGAGAATCCGAGCGTTCGATGAATTCGTTCACCGTCAAGTTGGCTACGGCCTGAGATTCATTGCAAAGGATAATCCTCGCTAAAAGAGACTCGTGCTCCAAATGAGCCTCTCCTTCCTTGAAAAACTGAATATATTTGATAAAAAGACATTCGAAACCGCATAGGTGAAAAATGGCAGAAATATGTGGCGATAGTACTCATTTGGCTTTTTGGGAGCTTTGCTGGTCCGTAGAGCGCTTTCGATCTCAGGCAGTCTCAAAACAAGAAACTATCTCAATAAAAAACGATGAAAACACCTGAAAAGGATATAAATAATGTTGAGTCGACGAATGGTATCATTCAATCCAGGTCCCGATTCATCAAAGATTTCCATCATTGAATAACCGAGACCGAGTGGACATCTACCCTTGAAGGCCTTAAAAAAGCTTTCAAAACACAGAAAAACGTTTTTTTACCTCCATAGCAGCAACAGCCGTTTTTTGGAACGATTTGTTTGTGGTGGCGATCAGACTGTGTAAGCCCAATTACAAAAAAACCAAAATCTCCTACGAACCTCGCAATCATAACTGTGTCGGCCTCAGTTAAAGTCAAATCATCGTCTTTCACAAAAGTATCATCTTCGAACGGATCGTCGGTGGCTACACTTGTTGATTGAGAAGTAGAAGAGTTGGATCCTTTAGACTTCTTGTTCTTCTTTTTCGTCATATCAAAAGATGAAACTAAAATGGAAAAGTAGCAAAAAACTTCATTATGTCACGATAGTTGAAAAGTTTCAGAAAAAAAAAGTTATAACTTGGCAGAAAAACTGATTGAGAAGATTCGTCACAAAAATGAATTTTTCCATTTTTAATTCAACGCAGAAGCAGACCAGAGAGCGCAAAAAGTTTACTTGTAAAAATTTTCTATTGCAATTTGAAAAAAAGACCCAAGAAAAACTATGAAAGGATCGAGCTTTACTGAACCTTTCTTAGCCTTTTTGTTCCATGAATTATTTTTTTAAAAAAATGAGAAGATTTAATTAACTCAAATAACTAGGTTCGGCGAAGAAAAAAACATAAAAAAATTTGAGAAAGTAGATTCAAAAAAATGTTTGTGAAACGCGGACGTGGCCTAGGTTCACAACAAGTCCACGGCCGCTTTTTCCAAATTCGCAAACCCGGTCCTCATCGACACGTTGCATCGGCGCCGTTTCAACCGTGAAAAACGTCGTTTACTTCATTTCTCATTCGTATTTTATTTGGATTTTAGTCTATTTATAAACCCCGCCGTTTTAACATCTCTGAAAGCTCGTCCTCACGTTCGCTCGTGTGATTTAAAGTCGAAAAAAGTGTGGTTAAAATTTTCAATACTTTCTAACTTAAATGATAAATTTATCTGTTCAGAATGTCTTCCGGAGGCAAAGGAAAAGGTAATTTGATATCGTGAAGGGTTTTTAAGTTTTTGTGTGTGGTATCTCTTTTTTTTCTGGTGATATTTAAGTTCGACATCCATGTTATAACTTTTTTTTTTCCAAATTTTTTTTCACAACCAGCTTTCCAGCAGCGATGAAGCGCGACAAGAAGGACGAGGAAGCCAGTGGCAACATCTACGCCAATTTGGACAAGACTTCGGTGCTTCAGGAGGTAAGAAAAACTTATTGATGTAATTTTACAAAATATTAGGCTCGAGCTTTCAACGAAACTCCTATCAATGCCAGAAAGTGCAGCCTGATTTTGACGAAGCTGCTCTACATCATTTCTCAAGGTATTTGAAGTTATACCTCATAATTTAATTATCTTTGCTTAAAGGCGAGCAAATCGGCAGAACCGAGGCGACGGAGGCTTTTTTCGCTGTGACGAAGCTGTGGCAGAGCAAAGATGCCAATCTTCGAAGATTGGTTTATATTGTCGTCAAGGACCTGTCCACCATTTCTGACGATGTGATCATTGTTACGAGCAGTTTGACCAAGGTTTCAAATTTTTAAACAATACTTTCAACTTCGTTCGATTAAGGACATGACGGGCCGTGAAGACATCTACAGGCCGGCGGCCATTCGAGCTCTCTGCAGAATTACGGATACCGGAATGTTGCAGACCATTGAACGATACATGAAACAGGTGAGGAAGATAACCACAAATATTTTTTTCCAATTAAAATTTTTCTAGCCTTTATCTTGAACGTAAATTTGAGCAAAAAACACAAAATTGTTTTAACGGCCTCAATTTAGTTACCTTATTGTCGTCAAAATGATGCCCCTTTGATAAAGTCCTTTTAATCAGAAAATTGGAACATGTAGCGGAAAAATTAAAATAAATTAAAGATGAAAATTTGTAGAAAAGAGGATCTATTTTACAAATTTTTTAAGTCGTTGAGCAATAATTTTTCAAATGAGTTCTCTTTTTTCATTTCTTGGTTTTCCTTGGGGAGTTTGAGTAATATTAGTACGAAAAAAATTTATTTTAGGCGATTGTGGACAGAAATGGAGCTGTCGCCTCGGCGGCGTTGGTGTCCTCGACGCATCTGATGAAGAAAAGCGCGGAAGTGGTCCGTCGCTGGGCCAACGAAGTCCAGGAGTCAGTTTCTTCGGACAACCACATGGTCCAGTACCACGCCCTCGGTCTTCTCTATCACATCCGTGTCAATGACCGCCTCGCAGTAAACAAACTCGTCCAGAAGTTCAGCAAGAACTCGCTCAAGTACTGAAACTTGGGCTATATCAAAGAAAGATGACGGCTTCAGGTCGCCCTACGCCATCTGCTACTTGATCCGAATCGCAGCTCGTTTGTTGGAAGAAGATGATCAGTGAGTTTCATTAAGTGTATAGAGAAAAAAAAAAGTTGAGCTGAAAAAACGTCCTTTTTTGAAAAGGTCTTGACAAATATCTTCACTCAAAAAACTAGCTTTTCTTTTTAATAAGCAAAGAAGTTGAAATACAAACTATTTTACCAATGGAGCTTTTTATTTCCCACAAAATTCGTCGTTCAACCTAATAAAATCCAATTTTCTGCAGAGCCGACTCGGCCATCTTCACCTTCATCGAGTCCTGCTTGCGGCACAAGAGCGAAATGGTCGTTTATGAGGCCGCCAGTGCAATCGTCTCGCTTCCCAACATCACTGCGTAAGTTTTAGGAGATCCATAAATTCAACAAATGTCAGCGTTTTCCAAAAAAAAAAAGTCTTTACTTTCAAATTTTTGTGAAGCGCTTCGTGGTCTATGTACTAGTGTATTCATGTGGTCTGATGGCCTTTTGAGATTTCTATAAGCCTGGAAATAATCAAAAGTTTTTTAGTATAAATTTGGGATAAATGGGCAAATTGACATTTTTTTTTAGAGCAGTGGTGATGTTTGAAGAAAAAGAAGCTTTAGCATGAGTCCTCTGGTTTTAAATTATCCCACAACAAAGAAAGCGAATATCATTTACTTGATTATCCAATGTTAATAAAAAGTTGAGAAAGTGATTGAACTTTATTAAAACGAAAAAGAAGCTTTTGGATGATGCCTAATCTGCAAAAGGCTCTAAGTTTTCAAGAAACTCTTGTGCTTCTTTAAATACTTTAGAAAACTGCTTCAAAAGTTGATTAACTCGGAAAAAATATAGACATATTAATGGAATCAGAGCAGTTAGACATTTGGTTCAATTTCGCTTCCAATTCCGCGTTTCAGATCTGAATTATCTCCTGCAATCACCGTTCTTCAACTGTTCTGTTCTTCGCCAAAAGCCGCTCTTCGTTTTGCTGCCGTCAGAACCTTGAACAAGGTTTTTTCAAAGAAAGTCTTCTAAATATTTATTTTTCTTAGGTTTCCATTAAGCACCCGAACTCGGTCATGAGCTGCAATGTCGATTTGGAGAAGCTCATCTCGGATTCCAACCGGTAATCCCGTTGCTCAAAAAATATAAGAAGAAAAAAGAATATTTTCAGTTCAATCGCGACTTTGGCCATCACCACCCTTTTGAAGACTGGCCGGGAATGCACTGTCGAAAAATTGATGACTCAAATCAGCGGCTTCGTCAATGAGATCAGCGACGAGTTCAAGGCAAATTAATTCTAGTTTGGTTCAAAAATTATTTTTTTCGTCTTCAGATCGTTGTGGTCGACGCGATCCGCTCACTCTGCGGTCGTTATCCCAAGAAACACACGGTGATGCTCCCGTTCCTGGCCAAGATGCTGCGGAACGACGGCAGCTACGACTACAAGAAGGCGATCGTCGACACCGTCATCGCCATCATCGAGGAGAACCCCGAGGCCAAGGGAACCGGTCCGTTTTTTGCTCTTCTTCGGAAAATAGAGACATATTTTTTTAAATTTGAAACCATTCCAGTTAAAATTTCATAGTTTCATTCAAAAAGCAAAAAAATTAAGTTTTTCCAGCTTTGAAATTGCGCTTTTAACACATCATTATTATCGATAACAGAAAACGTTTACAGTTATAAAAAAAATGTTCTTTTTTTCCATTTGCCCTTCGTTTACCTAGGTTTTATATACTTTATAACGTATCGTCTTTCTTGTAATATTTATTTTTATTGTTTTTTTGACATTGAGAATCATGACCTTAAAGTTCGTGGCCGCCTATTGCCTTTTGTGTGAAAGAAAACATTGATTTTAGATTCAGTTTTATTTTTTTCACAGGACTCGCCTATCTTTGCGAGTTCATCGAAGACTGCGAGCATGAGACTCTTTCGACTCGAGTCCTGCATCTTCTGGGAAGGGAAGCGCCCAGAACCAACAACCCCAGCAGCTACATCCGATACATCTACAATCGTGTCATCTTGGAGAAGTCGAAGGTAAATTTTGATGAAGCTGCTAAAACTAAAGAGCAAAAAATTAACCAGAAGTCAGAACGTGGTCATACTTCAATACATTATTTCCAATCATCTCTTTTTTTATCGGTAGTTTCGAGCCTGTTAGGAGCTGTTAGAACATTTTTGAAATAAATATTTTTCTCTTTTTTGAAAATGTTTCCAATGGAACTTCTCTATTAATTTTCAATTCGAGTGGAAAGATATAGAAAAAAATAAGCGTCATGTTGTTTTTTTACAAACTACAATATTTCCGATTGGTAGATTCTGAGAAACAAAAAAACGAGCGGTTTTGAAAAAAATCTGCCTATTTAGCCGATTTCCGATTGTTTTTTTGCGATTTCGAAGCGTTTGACGACGAATTTTTTTCCAAATTTTTGGCAAAAGTTAGAGATTTTTCATTTCAATATACCTCTTTGATTCTTCAAATTTTTTAATCACATGTTTTTACAGGTCCGAGCCGCGGCTGTCACTGCTTTGGCCAAGTTTGGCGCCCAATGTGTCGATCTTCGCGAGTCGATCAAGGTTCTTCTAAAACGTTGTCTTCTCGATTCTGATGACGAGGTATTCTAAATCCGAAATTTAAAAAAAATTCAAAATTTTCAAGGTTCGCGACCGTGCGACTTTCTACCTGAACATGCTGACTACCGCTCCTCCAACTGTCATCAGCAACTTTTTGCTCGATGGCCTTCAGGTTATCATTTTTTTTCGGCTTTTGTACAATTGGCTGAATTCAGGTGTCCCCATCTGGTCTTGAACGCGCCGTTTTGGAATATTTGCGAGGAAATTCGTTCGCGTCGCCCTTCGACCTGAAGGTCGTTCCAGTCACTTCGCAGCCGTTGTCCCAGCCACAGAAAAGAGTTCCGACGATCGATGAAGCCTTGGAGGCACCGAAACCGGCCAAGAAGGAGCCCTATGCCGGTTTGTTTTTTTTTTTTCTTATGAAAGTTTTTTAGAGTTGAAAAAAATTGAATAATAAATAAACCTCTGGGCTAAAGTTAGAAGGGATTGAAGAACTTGCATTAAATAAAAATTTTCTGAAATTTTTTTCCCACAGTTCTTCATTTTACGTATGCTTGAACTGTCTAGGTTGTCTGCGCTCTCTTCCGAAAAAAACTTTTTGGAAAAAAATGGAATTAGCAATTTTGAACTGAAGCGCAGAATAGCGAGGTTCATCCAAGTCTGAAAAAAATTTTTAAAGTTTTTTTTTTTATCAAAAAGGTAATGTTGATGATGCTTTTGAAAACAGTTTTAGATTCACTTTTCTCCTAATCCGTTTTGTTTTCTCGTGAAAAAACCCCTTTTAAAAATTATCACCTTCTTTTGATAGACGAAGGAAAAAAAACTGTACAGCGATTGAATTCTGAAATTTTCATTTTATAAATTTCCAAGGATATTTTTTCCAGAAAAACTCGCCGCCATTCCCGATTTTGCCGCTCTCGGCCCGCTTTTCAAGTCCTCGCCTCGTACTGCTCTCACCGAATCTGTCGCGGAATACACTGTCCATTTGATCAAACACACGTTTGCCAATTCTGTTGTTCTAGAGGTTCATCTACTTCTCTTTAACTACCTTTCACATCATTTATTTCCAGTTTGACTGCAAAAACACGCTCAACGACCAGTTGCTCCTGGACGTGAGCATCGAAGTTGAAGATCCCGAACAAGAATGGACTCCTCGCCTCTCAATCCCCATTCAAAAGTTACCCTATGGAGAGGCTCAATCCTCCTATATCGTCCTGGACTTCCCTGATTCTGGTTTTGAATTGAAATTTTTTTTTAATGTATAATTTTATATTATAGGAAGTATAAGCGGAACCCTGGCCGCCACGTTGAAATTCAAGGTGATGGATGTGGATCCAACGACCGGAGAGCCCGATTCAGAGGATACCTACGACGATACCTATGTGGTTAGTTTTTCAAACTTACTCTGAAAAACAAAATATTTTTTTGAAAAATATATTTTCAATGTGACGGAATTTATGGAATTGTCTTATTTTTTTAAATTCGGTCTTGGAAATTTTCTAATTGTTCATCACTATGCTAATACTTAAGTCAAAAAAATAGAATATAACTCATTTCAAGGATCGAGAAGCATATAATATAAGCTATCAGAAAAGTTTTGGTTTAACATCGAATAACTTTGTAGCTGGAAGAAGTGGACATTGCCGTTTCGGACTCGGTCCAAGGATTCTCCAAAACATCCTTCAACCCCGCCTGGGACGCACTGACGGACGAAACTGAAAGAGAAGAAACATTCCAACTGTCCTCCGTTTCCAGTATTCCTGAAGCCGTCAAAAAGGTCTCAAAGATCAAAAGATCAACTCATAATTATTTTCTTCAGATATCAGAAATTCTGGGCCTTGCTCCTTGTGAGAGATCAGATCGCGTTCCTGAAGGCAAAACTCAGCACACGACCTTCTTGTCTGGCATTTTCCGTGGTGGTTTTGAGGTCGGTTTGGTCAATTTTTGACATTTTTTTGCTTTTTCGGAAAAGGCAAGAAAAATTCAATGCAATTTTTTGATACGCTGTCTCTGAATTAATTTTCGAAATCTGTTATTTCGGTTTTAAAAAAAGCTTAGGGATGCTCAAAGTGCAAAAAATGCTCATTTTTTAATCTCAGGTGCAACTCCCGTTAGAAAAATTCATGGCAACGTAAAATTTTTTTGGATTAAAAGAAAAAAATCAGTAGAAAAATATGTGTTTTTTTCAACCTGGCTTGGGTCATGTGAAAATTAAACTTTGAAAAAAATTTCTTAATTTTGTCGATATAAAGTCTCTAATTTCGATTATGAAGTTTTTTTATTTCACTTTTTTTAATATCTGGTAAACATTTGACAAAAAAAGTAATAAACAAAAGTAATAAACAAAATTAGGAAAAGCGTAATGCAAAAGGTCAGATTCAGCAAGTTAAAAAAAGAAAAAATTAAAAGTAGTTTTTAAATCAAAATTTGCACATTTTCCTTTTTTAAAAAAAATTTTTTTGGCCTTTATCTATTCATAAATGTAATATTGAGTTTTTGAATGATTGAAAGTTTTTCAAAATAAAAAAAGATAATTAAATATTTGTTTCATGTTTCTAGCAATACTTTTTAAATGCAGCTCTCTTGAATAGTGAGTAATCGAATTTCGTTTAAAACAGAAAAATATAAAGAGCGAATATTTTTCGAACATAAATTTTTTTTTCCCATAAGACGTCACCTTATTTCTCTACTGTGAAGAGAACCAAAGTTTTATAATTTTTTCACTTAGGTGCTGGCAAAAGCGACAGTGGCAATAGATCCTCACGACAACTCGATCAACATGAACATCTTGATCAGGTTGGTGTCGAATCAGGGGGTGAAATGGCTCGGCATCGATCCGTGTCACAAGGGAGCCGCTCGGCGAGCCTACAACGCGAGAATCGCGTCTCCTCAGCCGTTTTTGCATTGTTCGGCCCCGTCTCAAAACACTTGCGCTGGTCAAATGTTTGCCTTGCGTCATAGTGTTCGCTATTTCTCACCATCCAGCAGCTTCCCTTTTAGGCCTGACTTTTTTGAACTGTATAAAGTAGCTTTTTAACATCGTAATATGATAGGAGGCTTTTTTAGATGCTTTATTGATTGATCTTTTTTTGATAGCTTTTTCAATTTTTTGATTGAAGCTTTCGAATATTTTTTGCATCAACCTTTTATAATTGGTAAATTGTTTCCAATTCCGTGTTCAGAGTAATTTCTGCGCAATTCAAAATCATCTCGGGCTCTCAAAATTTAGTTATCTTTTCCATTCTCTGACGGTTATTTTGAATTTCGCGGAATCTCTTTGAACACAGAATGAAAATCTGCAAGCAAAAAAATAAATTGGGTGGGTTAGGTTCGAAAATTTTATCAGGATTTTTTCAAAAATTGTTGAGTTTCATCAGGATTTTTTCAAAAAAAGTTCGAATCTCATTTTAACGCTTTCGTGCGACTTTTTTTTTGAAATCTGACAGCTTGAAGCTCTTAAAATCCTGTCTGCATGACGCTATTTGCATACCTTTTAATAAGATTTCTCGCAATAAGGATATTTCTCAGAGATGAAGCATCAATAAATACTTCCCTATAAACATATTTTTTCAAATCTGCAAGAACTTTTATTAACAAACGAAATCCACAATGAAAATATTCAGATCGGCGGAGCAGGTCGTCGTCGACCTCGTGGTCAGCGCGATCGTCTGAAAGCACTCGAATGCCCCTTTTTTATGCATGTCTAATTTAATTGTCGCGTACCTCCGTTCGCCTTTTCTCCGTCCTTTTTTCGTGTGTTATGGTGTTTCGCGTTCGATTACCAATTAGTGTCACTGTGATTGATCGCAAGATTTGATATTGCTGGAAGATAATTTATTAAATATCAAATAAACGAGTAATTCAGAAGAGATGTTTGTTGTGTTGTTTCTTGCTTTTCTCTCGTTTCCGGCGATGACGTCGGCGAACACGGAGTGCGCCTGGGTGATTGGCAAGTTGGTCTGCTCCAACGAGGAGAACCTCGCAAATGCCGTCGTCGAGGTCTATGATCTCGATAGACCTAAGGTGTGGCCTCTTTTTCAGCTCATTTTGCTCTGAAATGTGTAACATTTGAATTCTAGAAGCATCAAGAAACGAGAAGGTCACATGGTTGTGAAATAAAAAAAGTATTGGAATGTTTTTCTTTGCTTGTTCCATCAGATTTTCAAAATTAAAAATTTGGAATAAGGTATCATAGATAAATCTCTTTTATTTATCTACCTAGTTTGCCGTGAACGGAAAAAAGTCTATTTTTCTGTATCATATTTAAACTTTCAGCTCTAGTTTTTTTTTTAATTAAACGGAACAGAGAGAAAGAGCAGAAAATCGAGACTTTGTCAAGTAGAATTTGGTCTATCATAAAATAAATTTTGGAAGCTTTTAATTTTTTTGAAATTTGAAGTTCAAATTTTTCAAATAATGATGAAACTTTCACGGAAACCTCAATCATCTTTGCGAAAAATTAATAGTCCAGAGAACAGTTGTGATAAGAAAAACCCTCAATCGAAGGCTCTGAAGTCAAAATTTGAAACAGATGAAATCGAATTTTAGCTTCAGGCTTTAATTTTGTTTTTGATCATTGATTTGCAGAAGTCAGTCATCATTAGGGCTCAGAAAAGTTTTAATTTTTTTTTACTTTGCTTTTATTTAGTTCGGAAGGTTGAATGTCCTCGACACGGATGATTTGGCAGGTCGAACCGTCGTTGCCAAAGAGGAGAATGGAATTTTCAAAGTAGAAGGTACAGGAAATATTCCTCCCCAATCCGGAAAATGTCTCAGGTTGTGCCTCTGACTTCGATTGGCTCGGTCCGGCCTACACGAATCGTCCAGAGTTTTTCCTGAAGGTCCGCCACAGCTGCAAGGGGAAGTAAGTCTTGGATTTCAACAAGAATCGAATATCGGCTCAAAAATTTGTTATCAAAAGAGTTACATTTAAAAAGTCTCTGATTTTTTTTTCTACGTTTTTCATTCAAAATAACTCCGTTCAGACCCGAGACTTTGACGCTTTTCCCTCCAGACATGCGCGTCTACGCCCCACAGACAATGGATTATTACCTTAATAACCCGATTCTCCTTGATTGATTTTTATCTTTAATCTGTTTGTACATTATTTCTTACTGATTTCGTGTAATAAACTTGAAAAAAATTGAGTTCATACTTGAAAATTTGGGTTTGGTCCCGCTATTCTACTTTTTCACATCTAATTTTATTGATTTAGGGCCAAAATTTTTAAAGTTTTTGTTAAGCGAATATCATCTCTGATTGGCGAGAAACGCATCAAAAATCTCGGAAAAAGGCCAATAAAAGACATTGTTCGTTAGAGCTAATTTGCAAATACTTTAAAGGCGCAGCTTGAATTAACGGAAGGAAAAAATTTTTTATTCTGAATTTTTTTTTTTTCCATTAAGTAAATTTCCTTTTTAAAATCTGTAGTTAAAAGGTTCAATTTGAGCCACCGCACGTTTATTTCTATGGTTGATTTTTTTTATTTGAAAAAAGGTTATTCTGTCACTTCTCTAAATTTTCGATTATTTCCAGAAAGTGTTAAGTTTAACGTTAAACTCGAAACTTATTTGAAGCAGCTTCATCAGTCAATTCAGTAATTTCATCGAAATTCCTTTCTTTAGTGTAACAAGGTGTAACTTTGAAAGGTTACTCAACTCTGAGGCTTCGACGACCTCGTGAAAGCGAAATGGTCGCCATGGGACGGCGAAATAGTCATGATAGTCGATCAGTTCTCTCCTCGTTCCAGTTTTCGTGTTCTTTCTTCCAACCTTGAGTCTCCTCTTCCTTTTCTGTCTAGACTCGCACTTTTTCGTCTTTTATATTTTGCAAATATCAAAATTACGTTCAATTTCACTCTGAGTCACATTTGAATGAGTAATAAAGTGTAAGCCGATGAACTTACCTGAAACCAGTTTCGATATTTTGGACATGACAAACAATTTTATATGTGTTATGCGTTTTTTACTTTTTGCGTTCTACTTTTTGGTGGTTTCAAAACCTGAATACTCCGACGGCCTCTCTTTATTTGCTTTGGTCAATGATGCGCTTCAGAGTGGCGGTGGTTCGAGTGAATTTCGCTATCGAGAAATTTAGAATAGTTTTGTGACGCTAGCATATAACTCATTCAAAGCTGGATTCAGACAATATTTGAAAATACTATTGGCGCGATTAGTGTAAAGCTGTGCGAAAAGAAGAGGTATCTTGTCTCAAGATAACGTTAAATTATATATCAATCAAGTATATCAATCATGAAATCGATTTTTTCCGGTTTACAACGATTAATTTTTTTTTGAAAGCCTTTTTGAATTCCTCAAAGATGAAATTTGTAGCTTGCTCGAAATTTTCTGAAAAAAAGTTACAAAAAAATTCGTTTGTATCTTCCTTTCCTGAAATAGTTTCCTCATTCTTGTAATAAAAGTGCTTCTTTCTGCGCTGTTTTGGGAATTTTTTTTTCTGTTCTTTTTTTAAAGTTTTTTTTCCCACTTTTGTTCTTCGAATAAGGACTTTCTAAATTGATGGCTACAAAATTTCACATTCTCACATTTTCGACTCTTCTTTGATTCTTAAAGGAAAAGTCAGATTTTCGAGTAATTTCCTGTTTCATTTTTTGAAAAAAAAAAACTTTTTTTTCCTGATAGCCTCGCTCAGTTTTTGTGTCAATTTTCAAAAAAGGAAGTTAATAATGAGTTTTGTTAAAGATGTTGATTCGGATTTTTTTGGCCATTGGCGTAATGGTCCAAGCGGTGGCCACGGGACGCGAATGCGTCTGGGTCCTTGGAAAAGTCGAATGCCAAGCTGATCCTGCCAAGAATCTCAACGTTGAGGTTCTTTTCAGAGTTCCTATTATCTAGTTTGAGTTTTCCGTTTAGATCCGCGTTTGGGACCGGGATTCTTTTGGTCCTTTGAAGCTTATCGATCCTGATGATTTGATGGGGTTAGGAGCTGATTTGAGCCTTATTTGAAGAAAGTTCGAACTTCAGTGTGACTTTTACAAATGATGATGGACGTTTCCAATTGGACGGTTGTGGCGATGACTTCGACTGGATCCCTGGAGTCAAAAACGCACCGGAACCCTACATTGAAGTTCGTTCGCGTGCTGTGTTCAATTAAAAAATAAAAAATTTATTTACAATTTGTTTTAGAGTAACTATTGAGCATCTTTTTCGGCACTTCTGAAGCTAGTTTCTGAGATCTAAAAATCAGTTTCCAGATCCGGCACTACTGCAACAACCCGAAAGGCGAGACGATCACGCTCCCCGAGTTCAACGAGTTCGTTCCAAACACTCACGACGTCGGCACCCTCGTCCTGGATCGTCAGACCGACGGCCGACGCGTCATGAAGTCATCCCGAGGCGAATAGCCCTTCATTCTGTATTTCTTGCCAATTTACTGGTTTATATAAGTACGGTATCCTGTGAAATATAGTATGTTGAAAAATCTCTTCCTTTTTTTAAACCCCAAATTAGGAAAAAAAAGAATATTTCAATGCTGTTTGAATCTGTATTATTTTATGCGAGTGATTTTTCTTTAGTTTTTTTTTCAGTTTATGCGTCTGATTTTTTATGTGTCTATTGTTCTTTTTTTTTTCGGCTCGCCGAATTTTTGAAATCTCTTCCATTTTTATGTACTCAGCAGTTCCGCCCACCAGATTCTGATAATTTATGCTGATTATTCGACTTTTGCCTTTTTTCCCTCACTTCTGAAGCTCTTCTTGCCTTGTGTATATAAAAGTATTTTTCAATTATTTTCTTGCTTTGTGTCTATAATTGGTGTTATCATGGTTGTGTGGTCATACTATCAGTCATGCAGAATAAAGTTTTTGTCTGTACTTTTTTTCGACTTTTTTTTTGAAATCATTTGCAATCGGTTATTAACCACTAAATTACTTTGCAACCGTGAGGATAACTATTAAAGTGATTTTTTTTTTCTCACCTTCTAGTATACTTTGAATTTTGAAAATTTAATATTTATTATTAATAAAGAAGTCATGAAGTGAGGAGTTCGAACTTTTTTTCTTTTTTTATAGATATGGAAAAAAATGTTTATTTTTTTGAACCGTTCCTTTTTAGAAATGCTCTAACTTGTCTGCGCTCTCTTCCTTCCACTTTTTTTCTTATTCTTCGACGTTTTCGCCTTGAAAATCATATAACTGTTTTGAATAGCTTATAGAAATATGGAAAAATAATTAAATTCGATCACGATTTAAGACCCTTAATCCTAAAATGCGTTACGTTTTGTGAGAATTGATCGGTCAAGCGAAAAGGAAGAGATTCTAAATTTCTTTTTTTTTTTGACTTTTTCAGTAAGCCAGAACTCTCTCAGACCTACTGAGTTTTCCGATAATCGACATCGATATTTCGAGCCGAAAAGCATTGAATTTGACCTTTGAGCCCTTATTCCTCGATAATTGTGAGGTTGAGCATGTTGAGACTTACGGGAAGTCTATCTGCTTGATCAAAGACTCGGCTAAGTTATCGAAAATTTCGAATTGAAAATTAGAAATTTCTTCCTTGTGAGAATAGAACGCGAAAGTTCAGATAGAATCAGTGATTTTTCCATGTTGTTTTTTTTTATCAACATGGCGTTCAGTTTGATGTAAACATGCGGAAAATAGAGTCGAAAAGAGAGATTGGTGATCCGCTTCGGGACATGTGATTACTCGATGCAAGTGGGCGGCGATTTTCCACACCTATCCCCCCAATTACCGTCCCTACACGTTCAAAGAGCTCTCAATTTCTACCCACTCATTTCTGACGCTTTTTCGTATCTTCATAATAGCTATTTTTGCAAAAAACGAAGATATCTGTAATTTACTGACAGAATTTGCACTGATGCTTTGAAGTTTTGATTTTTGGCGTTTTGCCAAAAGAAATTCCGCTTTGTTGAGAACATCGATAGAATAGAAAAAAAGGTTTGATTTCTGACATAAAATATTTTTCGAATCAGTTCATTTGATTATTTCAAGCACAAAAAAATCAGAATCGATGTTTTTTTGAGTCAAAGCATTGAAGCCTACGAATTGTAAACATGAAACGTTTTTTTATGTTTTTTTAGAGCAAAAAAATATTTCGGCTGTAATTTTTTGCTCCCACGCTCTTTGTTAATTTTTTTGAAGTGCAATCATTCCAAGGATGAAACTTTTTAAAAATTTTTTTTCAACTTGAAATTCTGGAGTTTTTTGCATTTTCGCATATGATTTTCGTTCTTTGAACTTTGAATTTCAATTTTTGCAAGTTTCAGAGTAAAGTATATCTTTATCCGCTCTAAGAAGAAAAACTCTTACCAGAAAAGATTTTATAGCTGCGAATTCAACAATAATCAACAACAAAGATCCGAGAAATTTCTTGTCGAGAAGTCTCCCAGGATCGAGAAACCAGAATTGCCATAGGCGGAACAGCGAGAGAAAGAGAAGGCCAAGCCATTTTTGATGTGGATTTTCGACTTTCTTGATTCTCTATCTCAAGACACGTTAGGAAGCTTTAAAAATCGCAATTCGGTCTCGCTGATCCCATTTTTCGGTTTTTTTTTAGCTTGAAGCCTATCTTGTATGTTATAATCTCATTGAAGAAGACTTTTTTTTTCAGAAAAATGGTTTGAATATCTATAATGAGCTAGATGTAGATACCGAAAATCGTAGACTGCAGAGCTCTCATTTTTTTTTTTTGTTGAAAAACGATCCTTTGTATTTTTCGGAACTGTTTAAGAAACGAACCGTTTGAAGCGGTTTTTTTTTCAGTAACAAGGAAGTTTTGAAAGTTAAAAGTTGCGTTAGTACATCAAAGAGTAACAAATACCATCTTTTGAACGCCCATAACTCTTCTCTTTCGTTTGATCAACAAGAAAATAACGAGAATGGTCTGAAAACTTGTGCATAATCAGCCTCGACGTCCATCGAGCGTAAGATTCACATCGATCTGAAAATCTTCAGCCTTCATCGGGATCAGACCCGTTCCTGCTTTGTTTTCTCCCATTGCGAGACTTTTTTATTTTTTTATCTTGCATAAACATTAATATAAAAAGATGCGAAGTTTCACATATCAACAAAGAGAAAAATATCACAATTTCAAGAAGATGATTATCGCTGTTCCCTTCTCCTCGTTTTTACCTTCACTTCAAGTCATCAGAATTGTGTTTTTCTAATTGATCAGCTCTAGGACATTCATCAGTAGTTACAGACTGCATGAATAAATTTTAAACGCCTCCAAACCTTTCTTTTGTTTTGATGATCCGCCTTTCGGACGCTCTTTGAACAAGACTTTGCACTGACCCTCGTAACTACCAATTTGAGTTGCTTACAAATCCGTGTACTTATCTTTTTCCCCTTTTTTCAAGTCTAAAAAGAGTACTTGCCCACGCGAATCTCGTCTGAAAACCGTCTAATTTGGCGTTCTGAAGGGAAGGAGTCGGGAGGACTGCGGCACGCCTCAATGCACGCCCCTTTGCGAGACGAGAACCGCTGCGAGGACTCGGCAGAAGAGCTCATGCCGCGTCTGAAGAAGCCTCGCATCCCGGTGAGCTCTCCGTTTTCCAGATCTTCAGCTTTAACTTTTATGAAAGCTTCAAGCTTGCTGTAGTCCCAAGTCTTGGAGTAAAGTCATTTGTCTCTCTTTTTGAATTAGTATACAGACCAACTAGGTTGGGAACCCTTTTGTATCTAAACTTATGTTAGAGAAAACTTAGATACTTTTAAAACATTTTTTTGGTTCCAAAAACCATCAGCAAAATAGCGTGCGAAAAAAAGAAGTTCAGACTTCTCTGTAGTCTTTTTCCTCAGCTAGCGATGAATGGAGTATGCTAGTCATCCCTTTAGAGGCGTCAGTTCTCTTAAGTGTTCACTATAGTCTATAGATTCTCAGAAACGTCCGGGGCGTATCCGGTTTGCGTTATCGAGACATGAGAAGTCATAAACGATGTTAGTTCGTGCTAACTTCCAAATTTGCAATTTATTCTCAATTTTTTTAGTGAAAGTTAGGCTGAAAAATGTTTTCAAAAAACAGAGCGTTCTAGCAAGTTTTAACAAACTTATTCGAAAATTATAAAGAGTCCAGATTTTCTTTTTCTTTACAAAATTACTCAAGCGTATTGAGAGTCTTTTGGATTTTAGTTGTAAATATAAATCGAAAACTTGAAATAGTGAAACTGCTTGGTTATCCGCGCTCTCTTTTTCCTCGCCTACGCAGTTAGATTAAATGAAAATAGCACAAGAACACAGGAGAATTAGGGAGTGAGAAGAGAACGCAGACAGGCTGGTTCTTTCCTGCCAAATTTTTTCAAAATTGTAGTTTATTTTGAAAAGTCAGTTCGTTTATTAACGAATTGTGAAAAAATACAGATATCATGAAAAAAAAGTTTGACGAAATCGACCTTTTCCAGAGTTTCGAGGGCAACTCGACCAACGTCACCTTCCAAGAGCACACGATTTGTCGGGAAGAACGGGCCACAGCCCTGGGTCGTTTCGATGGTTTCCGAGGCTGTACCATATGGTTCACGGGCCTCTCTGGGGCTGGAAAAACGACGATTTCGTTCGCCTTGGAGCGCACTTTAAACCAAGTTCGTTTTTTGATTCTTGATTCTTTGATTATTTTTGTTCAGCTCGGTATCCCGTGCTACGGCTTGGACGGCGACAATGTTCGGCACGGACTTTGCAAAAATCTTGGCTTCTCGAAAGACGACCGCAAAGAGAACATCCGACGGTGGGTTTGAGAACTTCTAAAATGAAGTGGTAAGAAGAAGTTTTCAGTGTCGCTGAAGTTTCGAAACTGTTCGCGGACTCTGGAATGGTCTGCCTCGCTTCCTTCATTTCTCCCTTCAAGGAGGACCGCCTCGAGGCTCGTCGCATCCATTGCTGTGTTAGTTTTTACAATCATTCATTCCTTAAAAACAAAAAAACAGAATAGGATTTTTTATACAGCAACTTTACAAATCCTTGACAATCTTCGATTCTCAAGCTTATCTTCTAATTTTCCTAATTTTGCGCCAGATATCTTTTCAGGCTACTCTCTCCGTGAACAAAATACTAAGTTTTGTGAATAAAGTTCAGAAAAATGAACAATTTTCACACTTTTTTCTATGAAATCTGGATTACAAATGTTTTCAGAAATGAATCGTCGCTATTAAAATCTCACGTCATTTTCACGAAACAAGCGAGAGAAAAATATAGATTTTTGCCTGATCGCGAAAGAGATTGAACCAGTGACTCAGTTCCTACTATGATAGATTTTTATCAACTCTGCCACATTGCCAGTCGAAAAGTGATCACAACAGCGCAAAAAAAATTAAATTTTTCTTTTTTTGGTAAAAAGTGATTATTTTATAAATGAGTTTTTTTTTTGATGAGACTATAAGTTTGAATTTCGTAGAAATTTTCCATAAACGCTTTATTGCCTTCGAAATTCAGGACAAAGTCCGTTTCGTCGAGGTTCACGTGAGCACTTCTCTGGAAATCTGCGAACTGCGTGACCCGAAAAGTGAGTTTTCAGCAAAAATAAAATGTTTTCAAGCGTTTTTGGAAGTTTCAATATAGAAAAAAAGCGGTCGCTGCATGTTTCTTTAATTACTTATTTTTCGGTTTTATTCTGTGACTCTCAATTTTTCTAGTGCTTATCTAATTTTACTGTCGATCTCAATTTTTTAAATCAACGAGAAAAGAGAGCTTATGCAATATATACACTTTTTGATCAGAAAGTCCAGTTTTTCTGGTTCCACGAAAGGATCTCCGCAGATAACGTTCTCCCCGCGTCTTTGCGCTTGTTTTTTTGGAGGAGATCTTTGATGTAGGGGAAAATGAACTGGAAAAAAAAGGCTGGGGAACATAGTAAGCTTTGAAAATAATTTTTTTCCGCAGAACACATGGTTCTTGTACGAATTCCTGAAAAAAAACTGCTGAGAAATCATTATATAAAAAAATATATTGAAGTATTGCATATCTGGCTGGTCTCAAACCAAATTTTCCCAACTCTTTTCGAAACATAATATTTAAAATCTTCAGAACTCTACAAAAAAGCGAGAGCCGGCGAAATTCGCGGTTTTACGGGCATCGACAGCGTCTATGAGCCTCCGGAGAATGCCGAAATCGTGAGCTTTTCTAAATTTTTTCAGAATGAGCTTTTCCTCATGAAAATGCAAAAATGGGAGGAATCGATTACAGGTCCTCGACGCCGGAACGCAATCTGTGCAAGCATGCGTCACAAAAGTCCTCAAACATCTGACGGAAGTCGGAATAGTTCCCGAGAAGGTGAGCCGAAAGAATCGTGCTATTCTATTCAACCTTTTCCCTTCAGGCAATGAGTCAACTCACGTGTCCCGATGTCCGCGAGCTTTACGTCCACGACGAAACCGAGAGGTTGCAATTGTTGGAACTGTCGTTGACGCTTCCGAAGATCCAACTCACGGATGTTGATGTCCAGTGGCTTCAGGTTGGTGAGGGCCTCAGGAAAATTATCGGCGCAAATTGAAAAATGCAATCAAAATCTCAACAAAACGTCATTTTCTCGGAAGGCTTCAAATTCGTTTTCTTGCCAGTCAAAATCGAACTCTACCGTGGATCAATCCTAACAAGGACCCGTACTCGCATCGGGTGAAAATTTTTAAATCTGGGAAAGTTTTTTAGCAATAGAAGCTCTACTGCTTCATCAAAATACTGAAGAAAACAATGGAAACGAAAAATCAAAAACATGATGATGCATTCCTTTCGAATTAAAGTCTCAAAAGTCGTATTTCGTGTGGTTCCAATCAAACTGTTTGACACAGAGAAATATTTACCAAATCAGTTTTTGATATTTTTTCCTCTTTTTTCCTAACTGGGAAGCTATTTTACAAAAAAAAAAGTTCAACCGGGGGGTAAAAAACATTCCCTAGTAAGTCAAAACTTTTGATACGTTCTTAAGTCGAAAATACGATATGAATGAGAAAGGAAAAAGTGAACAGAAGAAAAAAAAATTAAAATTTCAGGTGCTCGCGGAAGGATGGGCGACTCCCCTCCCTGGGTTCATGAGAGAGCGCCAATACTTGCAGGCTCTGCATTTTGGACAGCTTCTGGACTTGAAGAAGAAGGTTGTCTTCGTCGGGGAGGAAGTTCGTGGAAAAAAAAAATTGGACTCAATTCACTTCACTTTTTGTCAGGATGACGGTGAACAGGACCCGTGGCCCATTGACGAGACCATCAGTCAGAGCATTCCAATCGTTCTTCCAATCGACGAAATCCAGAAAAAGGCCGTTTCCCAACAAATTGAAGGTAACTAAGAGGAAAATGTCCAGGTGAAATTGAGAAAAAGGTTCAGGAAAAGACGTTATTCACGATAAAATAGCTCTGGTGTACAACAACGAGGTCGTCGCGATCATTTCCGACGCCGAGATCTTTGAGCATCGCAAGGAGGTCAGGATTTATTGGTTTTTTTGAGAATTACGATCATTACTCGTAGATTGAGTCTTAAAAAAAAGGAAATCATTGGAATTTTTCTAAATAGAATCTGAACTCTAGGGACATAAAGAAAAATAAATTTAGCTCGGAACTTTGGCGCCACTAAAAACTCTCAATCAAACTCAGACTCGATTATTGGTCCTCAATAGCACTTTTAAAAAAATAAATTCAGACAAAGTTCATGAAAAATAAACCACTGAAATGTTTGAAAAAAATGTTCGAATTTCGTCATACATTCACTGAAACTGAAAAACAAGAAAAAAATTTCAAGAAAAAAAAAATTAGAAAAATGACCCTTCCAGGAGCCTGAAGAAGTTGCTGAAAAATGTCAAAACTGAAAAAAATGCCTTTTTTGTTTATTTTTTTTTGGACCCAGTGAAATTCTGAAATTTTCTCGCTACCATTTCAAATCATTCATCTTTGACTGGGGCTTCTTCTTGTGAGAAAAGAAAATGCTGATTTTTCGAAAATTCGATTGATTTGATCAAAAAACAAGCTTCTAGGAGCGCGTTTGCCGTCAATTCGGCTTCAACGACCCTCGACACCCTACCATCTCTCTGATCATGGAAAGTGGTAACTGGTGCCTCGGCGGAGATGTAGCTGTCCTCCGCGAGATCAAGTTCGACGACGGCCTCAACGAGTTCCGCAAGACGCCCAACCAGCTCCGACAAATCTTCAAGGAGAAGCAGGCGGACGTCGTATTTGTCTTCCAACTCCGCAACCCGATCCACAACGGCCATGCGCTCCTGATGCGCGACACTCGCGAGCAACTGCTGAAGACGTACAAGAATCCGATGCTTCTGCTGCATCCGCTCGGCGGCTGGACCAAGGACGACGACGTGCCGCTGGAAGTCCGCATGCGTCAGCACAAAGAGGTCATCTCCGAGGGGATTCTCGATCCTGCCTGGACCGTCTTGTCCATCTTCCCCTCTCCGATGCTCTACGCTGGTCCCACCGAGGTCCAATGGCACGCCAGGTAATTTTTCATAATTTTTCCGAAAAAAAGACACTTAAACTTCAATCGTACCTTTTCAAAATCAAGACTGCGATTCTGACCGAATTCCCAGAGAAAAATCCATGAATTGTGATTTCAGAGCCAGAATCGCGGCTGGTGTCCACACCTACATCGTGGGAAGAGATCCAGCGGGGATCCAGCAGCCTGGCAGCAGCGACCCTCTCTACGAAGCCTCCCACGGCGCCAAGGTGCTCTCGATGGCGCCAGGGCTCTCGCATCTCAGCATCCTGCCGTTCCGTGTCGCCGCCTACGACCTCAAGGCTAAGCAGATGGCCTTCTTCGACCCCAGCCGCAAGCAGGACTTCGACAACATCAGCGGCACCCGCATGAGAACGCTGGCCAGGTCTGTTCGAGAATAAATCAGAACAGATATCTTCTTACTGATAAAAAGTTTCCCAAAACAGCAAATTCATTTTTTCAGAAACGGAGAAACTCCACCAGATGGATTCATGGCTCCAGCAGCTTGGAAAGTCCTCGCCGACTACTATAAATCCTTGGCCAAGTAGACCAATGTATACAATATCCTGAAAAATTAATCTCTCATTACTTTCTGTGATTCTTGTGCAATACCGCGCATTTTGACGCACTTTTATACCTAATCCATAATATGACATTTTTCTACTGCTTTTGGCGAAGAATTCCTGTACTTTCTTTGAAAACTCTAACAAATCTGTGATCTTTTATGAAACAAAAATTGCATGCTCGAATGAGATTGTTAAACCAATAAATAATAATTCATAATATTCTGGAGGATCTTCGAAAACAATTAAAATGTTGAGATCGTTGGCAAACTGAGAAACAATCGATAAATTTTTTTTCAAAAAAAATAACATGAAGAAAACGCGAGGTTTTAGGATACCATTTCACAGGGAAAATACCAGCATTATTTGAATTGAATATTTTGACATGGATTTGGGGAATTTAGCACATAGGAAATGTTTTGACAGTGAACCGTGACTTGAGTGAAGGATATAAATTTTCATATTGTATGCTTCAAAACTCTTGATTCGAAAAAGCTTCTTGGGATGTGGGAGGGAAAAGCAGGTCCTTTTCGAATTGGAGACTTTTTCATAAATATCTAAAAGCTCTTTCGAATAGACTGAAAACCTCAATAAAAGTTTAACCTCGAAAATCATTTTCAAAAAGTTCACTTTAAAAAAAAAATAAAACCTTTTTTCAATCCATGAAGGGCCTTCTTTTTTCTGCCTTTTTTTGGATTTTTTCTCGTAATCATTAGAAATTTGATTGAATACTTACTTGAGACTATTTACAAAGATCCGAACTTCTAAAGACATTATTCACCTAGCCAAACTCCAGGGTCAGACTATGCTAACCATGGGAGCCCTCTGGAAGATGTTATGGGTGAGGAAATGGCCGTGGCCATTAGATGTCGGAATGAAGTCGTCGTCATCCGGAGGAGCGTGGAAAGAGGCGCGGAGAGTGCCGAATCCGGCCTCGGTGAAGCCCCCGTCTGTGGCGTTGCTCTTGGTGTCGACGTGGTCGAGTAAGGCCCGCGAAATGTCCCTTTTCCGCTCCAAGGACTCGGTTGAGCTCGATGAACTGCATTGCAACAGGAATCTTACTCTGAATCACAATTTAATCTTTATTGTCTCATTTTTCCACCAACCTAAAAAGAAATGACGCGAAAAAGAAGGCACAGATTACGTGTGCCAACTGTGTTATACAGAAACACGTGACGACCACCGAAGACTCTTCTCGGAAGAAAAAGAGCAAAATTGTCGAGCACAGGAAGAATATCTTCAAATTATAGAGGTTTACAAAAGTTTTCAATTTCCAATTTTGTTGACCCAAGTTATTCGATTGAAAAATTTCATGTCTTTTGAAAAAAAAATTTTAATCGTCGACTCGGGCCTTTATTCCTCAAAAAATAGAAAAAAAAAACATTATAAATTAACATTTGAAAAAATCCAGGGCGACTAAAAATACTCAAGTCACGTATAAAAATTCAGAAATAACACAAAAAGGAAGCGCCTGAAATCCATAAAGGTTGAAAAAGTCAACTATTTTAATAATGATTTACCTATTTTAAGAGATTGTTCTAGATTTTTTTAACCAAAATATTATTTCCTTAAGCTCAAAAAGGACAAAAATGTGACTCCTTACCATAAATAAAGAAGTCAACGAAGCGCTGATAGCAGGTCCCAAGGAAAGAAACCGTTCCGATGTGCCTCGTCGATGGCTTCTAAAACAATAAGGCCATCATTTCAAGAGCCCACTTCAAAAAATCCAGATATTTTCAAACTAACTTGGCAGTAGATCCAATGTAGACGTTCCAGACGCCGACGGCAACACAGACCGAGAAAAGCAAGGCGGTTGGGAACAAATATCCGATAATGAAGACCCAATCCGTTCTTTGCACTATGCTGAAGAAACTTCTTTTTCAAACGCCAGAAAAAGATCGAATAACCTCAAAATATCAACTTCTCTTCCGTCGGTTATAATATAGGAACAAACTGTGCACGCCAGTGGAACTCCTAGAATATTTGAAGGTTGAAATGGCCTGAGAAATTGAAACGAACCGACGCCAAGAAAGACAACATGGAAAGGTCGAGAGAAGCAGGTGGCGTCGTCGTCTTTGGACTCGCTGCTGGAGATGATCACCTTGTAGACAGAATAGAGAACGAGGACCAGAAGGCCTGCCGAGGCGATCACGCAGAATTGCAGGACAAAATGGAGTGTCGACGAGAAAGCGAATGGCTCTCCGACCTGAATGTCGCAACTTTGAGGAACTTGTTTTTTTTTGTGATTTGAAACTTCACGAAAAATTTTCTCTTCCCAATCCGAGAGAATTTATAAATTTGATTCAAACTTCGCTTTTTTTTCACAAAGCTCAAAATTCATCCCATACTGAAGCGACCCGATTTCCGTTCACTAACCTGAGGAGCGATGAAAAGAAGAAGATGAGCAAGATGGATCATGAAAACGTAGAAAAGATACATCAAAAACGCGCAGTCGATCGGCTGATTTCTAAAACTCTAAACATTTCAGGAAAAGGCTATGAAATTCTACTTTTGAACGGCAGCCATGAAAAGTAAGAGGATTGTGCAGATCAATGTGACAAAGGAAGTCGCGGTGGGCATGTGAGAAGACAAATCTTTCCAGAAATTCTCCGAGTTGTAGAACAAACGGTCCTACAGGCACAGAATTGGGTGAGAAAAATCAAAAAAGAGAGTCGAACCGGCAAAAGAGCAAAAACGCCGAAATGATTCGTCTCGCACTTGACATATCCATGGTAGTTGTTGTCGATCCTTCGGATTCCTTTTGTAGACCAAGCTTTTTCTAAAGTCCCAAAAAGCGTTTAAGAAATTTTCCAATAAAATTTCACCTTCTTCATCGTAAGAAACACAGGTGTAGTTGTCGAAAGTGTCTGGGAATCTCAGGAAAATGCTCATTCGCGAGAAAGTCGCCTTGGTCTCGCCGTCGGGGAAAACTGACAACACGGGGCTTCTGGAAATGGAATCATGGTAGTGAAACTCTCATTCTCTCTTCATTTTTCAAAAATTCTTCTCCTCTTCATTTTACATTTGAGAATATCTCTTAGAGCTTCGAAAACGAACTGTACTTCCTCAGATATTCATATTTTTGATCTATTTTTTGAAATAGCAAGGATATGAGAATGAATGAAACGAGAATTCCGAATCTGATAATTTTCAAAAACGGAAATCAGCTTTTCTGGCACCAAGTTTGAATTCATCTACAAAAACTTCGTTCCCTCGTGTATTACTTCATCGGAATCACGACTGAGCGTTATTCCATCATGTACTCGTAAATAAATTTCGCTATAGTCGAGATAAATCTACCAAGAAGTCGTGCAAAAATCCAACTTTGAGGGTTCCACGATTAGTAACGCTCAGAGGAGATTATGATGAACTCCATACTCAATATTGAAGTTCCCCACCATATAGTTAAATGATCGGATATTTTTTTTTGAACAAATCTAGTCCAAAGTTACGCACTTGGGTTCTAAAAGTTCGAAGAGAGTGGCGTTGGAGGCGCAGACCAGCCGCACCGCCAGATCAACGTCGATAGGTGGCAACTGCAAAGATGAAAATTTCAAAAGGATTGAAATTGAGTAAACAACGAGGGCAAGTATTGAAGAAAATACAGATAAATGCAATAATAAGAAAAGAGCCCAGAATACGAAAAAAAAAAACCTGAACGCGACACATCTTGCCGACCATGTTGTCGTTGACCTCGGCCTTTTTGATCCACTGAATCGACTTCATGTGGATGCCGAGATCCGCCGACGCCAAAGAGTACGGAGTTGGCAAACTTCGGGAGAACCGTTCCACGACCCGCCACGCGTCCTCCTGAACTTTCTATTCATGAAAATTTTTCGAAGGTTCTTGTTTATCTGAAAATCAGCACGAGAATCGCAATTTCCTTTTCTTCTGGACTTGAAATCCATAGATCTTAGCTAATAGCACGAAAATAGGAGGGCGTGTTAAAAATGACTCCGCCAAATTTGAGATAGCTGTCCAAGAGTGAAAAAGATAACTAAAATTCGGAGAGTCAGAGATGATTTCGGTTTCAGAGAAAATTACTTTGAACACAGTATAAAATAATGGAACTCAAGCTGTTTTGAACCTACAAGTACTATGAAATGCATCTCAGTTCCACTATCCAACAGCAACTAGAACCGCAAATTCCAATCTTCAGTTGAACTTCGTAACTGTGTAAAATGATAATAGTCAACTGGACTATTAACTATTTTTGACTCTTGCGTTGGAAGTAGAAATCCAAAGATCGGCAGTGAAATTTCCAGATTTTCACTCGAACTAGAACATTTTAAGCCATTGCACATGCGACCAGCAGATTCCCCTAATTTTCCAGGTCTCACTTTCAAAAGAGTCGTGTTCCCATCCAGGCGATCGATGTCGTTCTGCACGATCGAATCCAACACGTGGATGGCCATTTCGGCGATTTTCTGGTCAAAGTGAGCATACTTTGGTCCGTCTTGGACAAACGCCGGCACCGTGAGAAGTTTCTGGACGAATCTGGAAAAGGGTCCATAAAAACTTGTCCAGAGTTCACATCATAAAGCGCATTCTTTACAAAGAAAGACCGCCAGTTCTAAAACGTGAGAGAAAAACTGACGTAACGACGGTATTAATCGCGGAAACAGTCGTGGCTCTGGCTGTGAAGGTGCCCATCATGCCCAAGTGTGTCAGAACCGATGTCTGCAACTTTTTTTTTTCTATGAATGGCCATTCTAATTTTTGGGAATTCACTGGAACATCTCTGACGTACCAGCAAAAGACCCTGAAGGACTCAACCTGCAGAGTTTCCTAGTTTTCTTTTTAAAAAAACCAGCAAAAAAAGGTGAAAATCACCTGTTGATTACAGCGATCCCTTTCTTTCGGTCTCATCCAAATGGCTCTTCCAGTGGCCTCGTCCCAGGAACAACGACGTTCCACGTACTGATTCTCCTGCGGCTGGTTATACGGACCTCAAAAGGACTTTGATCTTTTTGTGAAAACTTCTAAAAAAAAATTATGGTGGACGTTGGTGGACAAAAAAATTGAATCTGAGACTTCAAATTCTATTTCAGAATCAAGCAGAGTTATATAATTATGTTTACATTGAATTCCAATTCTCTTGACTCTGATAAACCTTCGTATATTTTTGAAAATTATTCGAATTTTCCTTCAGAACAATCTATCCTTTTCGGGACATGGCACAATTGTGATTTGATAAACTGAGAGATGTGAAGCGTTAAAACTGTCTTTGAAAAGAAAATGATCATGTTTCTTCGAGTTTCCTGAACATAATCAACCCTAAAAAAGGTGAAGGCAGAAAATTCCTCTGAATTTGTGTTAAAATATCGTGCGATATCAAACTCCGAATATTCCGAGATTCTCTTGGTAAGACTAAAAACTAACAAGGGAGCCGTAAAGTCGTATTCGCGTGTACGACGCTCCAGTCGACGCCGCCCCAGGTCTCGACCGTCTTGTCGGCGGCACATTGGTCTGTAAGTCATGTTCTTTCGTTGCGCATAAGATGAGCCACTAGGAAATTGCGCCAGGAGGTCCCCGAAAGGCTCTTAGACGTGTTTCCGAGTGTTGCACCGTGTTTGCGGCTCCAACGCTTGACACAATAATTAAGATGCCAAGGCGACATCAAACGCGGCAAATATGAGCGATTGGCTAAATCATTAAGCTGTCGCGCCTCGGGTTTTGGCGCATTAAAACCTCGTCCGAAACCGGAAAACCGGAGGGACACGCAGATGTTCTGCCGCGTTGCGCAATGGACCATTCAGGGGTGGCACACAAGAGGGTCAGCGCCTGCTGCACAAAATGACGCAAGCAGGAAACTTCCTAGTGATAGTTTCTAAGATTTTGCATGGGAAAATGTTCGCTGATAGAAAAAAAGTTTGGGAATCTCTGAGCTATGGGAAAGTTTTTGACTTACAGTATATCTCACTGCTGCAGCTTTTTTTGTCCATTATTTTTCTTGAATCTACTGAATCGTAAAAATCTTTTGATTTCCATTTTTATAACCATTCATTTCTTATTCAACAATGAATGTATAATGATAAAAACTGAAAATATCGAGTTTCCTAATTAAAGGAGCATCGACTGCTCGCCAAAGATCATCTTAAAGTGCAGAGCTTTTTTCACTGTTAGTATAGGTTAAGCCGCCCTATGAACATCGAAATTAGCCAAAAACGCTTTGAAAAATTAAACTTTTTTTAATAATACAATAGGCCTCCCTGGTTGTCCCCAAAAGGGCTTTTTTTGTGAATTTTTTTAAGTCAATCTTCTCTCAAAAAAAGCTTTCAAATTTTTCAAGTTCTGGGACTTAATATTATATTTCATCCAAAAATATTATTTTAAATCCTCAACAACTATACTCGCTGCAAGTTCTGCACTAAAATACGCAATATTGGCTCAATATTCTACAAAATTAGCTTCGTTGCGCACCGATTCTGTCGCAGGAGACGCCGACGTAGCCGGGGAAGCACTGGCAATGGGCGCCGGCCGAGTCGACGAACTGCTCGACGCGGTTGAAAGGCCCGTGGAAGCAGAGCGGGACGCCGCCTCTGGAGCACTCGCCGTCGCACGACAGGCCTGAAGTTGGAGCTCTTGGAGGGGGACCTGAGGTCGGACTGACTGTGATGGAGAGGTCCGAAGGGGAGCCATTCGCTGGGAGTCTCGCCGTTCACGTCGATCGCCACGATTCGGAACGTGTAGCTTTCCGATGGCGACAGTTTCATCTGGACGAAAAAAGTGTTTGGCTTTGGAATAACTTATTTTACAGTTGCAGTCTGAACGGAATCTTCAAATTTTCAAAACAATTTTTCGAAAAAATCTCCAAAAAGCTGAAAACTTTTCATAAACTGAAGTTAGCTTTTTAAATTTCATGAAAAAATATTCTTGTGAAAAATATGATTTTTTTTAAATCGAAAATCGGCTACTCCGAAAAATGATCTCATGAAAATCTGGGCTTAGGAATACAATTTTAAAAAAAACTGAACCGAATTTTCAATCAAAAAGCTGAAAACTACAAAACTGATTTGATCAAATCTACAACGAAAACATCACTGTTTGGAAAAAATACAAAATTTTGATATTGAGCTCAATTTTTCAAAGTCTCGAAATTATCTCAACTCGAAATTGTTACAGTCAAAGAAAGGAAAAACCTACTTTTGTCAAGGCGACAGTCCTTGTGCCGTCGACTTCCTCCTCGTAGACGGTCTGATTGAGATGACGTCGCACAGTGAGACGAAACTTGTCCGCTCTACCGTAACCAGGCACGTCCCACTCGAAGATTTGGTACTCGCTCCGGGCGACGTTCACCCGAGCATCGCGCACTTCTGAGAGTGAAATAAATCAGACCGGATTCCCTTAAACGTTCCTCACCAGAAACAGTGACTGGCGTCAGAGAAACATTGGCTATGGTGAAGAGCTGTGGACTGCCGTAGTCGATTGCGAGAACCTTCAAAAATATTTTCTTGGTTTTTTATATCCGGATTCAAACTTTTAATTTGAGACTTACGAAAAAAGCGACTCTATCTTAGGAGCCCCCAGAGTGGCCCCTACAAGGAAGAAAAAGTGCCCTCTGTAGGGGAAAATTTAGGTGGTTCCTCTAGGAGTTTAAGTCTGACCTTTAACCTCCCTAAAACTCAATTGGTAACTATAGGGCCTTTTAATGTTTTTTTCCAGACTTCAAAATTAAGAAATCAAACATTATCAAATCTTCCTTTGTTAATAATTACTTCATCGAAGAAATCTTCAAGGGTTCCTGTAGCCGCCCCTATAGGGACCACTCTCGAGTTCCAAAGATAAGTCAATATTTTAACGTGACGATAAAAATTCACGAAAAGAGGTTCCGCCTAGAATCCTCCAACAAAGGTCACTCGTTTTGAGATCTTTATTCCATAGAGCTCGTGCTTGTTTAAACACCTCAGCCAGCTTAATTAACTGAGCTCTACCTGAGTGCGCAAGGCAACGTAGGCGAGTTGGGAACTGAGTGGTTTCTTGACGATTATCGATCCATCCTGTTCGATTCCGAAGAGCGGCTCATCCTTGGTGAAGGCGAGGCTCCGTTCCGAGTTGTAGATGACCGGATCGTGGTCTGTCACCTGCAACCTGATCCCTAATTGCCGTGTTTCCATTTCTAAACGCTCAATTTGAGATGCGAATCTGGTAATAGGGGGTTTCCGGGGGGAAAAGCTCAACTAAGGCCAGAATTTATGAGGCAAGAGAAGAAAATGAAGAAGCTTGCCTCGAGTTTGGCGATCGTTGAACCAACCGTCAACGTTATCGGAACGTGAAAATGGTAGGAAGGTTTTCCGAAATGAGGAGGGTGATGGTTTGGATGAGTGACGTGGATTCGGAACATAAACGGGTAAGTCCGTTGGTTCGCACAGAGTCTGGAAACAAAAATACTTGAATTTTAACTATTTCGGAATATCATGAATACATGAAATTTAAAAAAAGTCATGTTCAAATTATAAAAAAAATAAAAAAAGTTCACAGCCACGTTTTTTTCATTTAGAAGTTTTTTTCCTGGTTTCATGGTTTTTATTTTTCATCTTTTTGGTTGAAAATGCGCGAAAAAATTCAGGCACATATCAAGCCAAAAAGTTGCTGTTTACCATGAGAAAAAAAATTTTTTTGTTAGGTTAAAAAAGTTGAAAATCCCGGAAAATTTCCAGTTTTCGAGAGTTTCTTCTAACAATTGTGCGAAGACCATATGTAATCCATCTTAACTGGCAACATTTGAAAAGAGAAAAACGGATTTTTATTATTTCAGGAGAGCGATTTCCTTCAGCTGACTATTTTGATACTGAGATATAATTTTGAAAAAGGGAAAATTGAATGAAACCAGGTCTTTTTCTTGTATTTTTGAAACAACCATAAACAATTGTCGAGAGGATTAGTTATCTCAAAATGAACTCACAACATAAGAGTTCCATTCAGCTGATCGGCACTTTTTGTAACGGAAAGAGGCATCTCACTCGCTGTATAGAAGGCACCTCGTGATGATCTGAAAATTTGAAAAAAAAAAGTGAGAACATCGAGTCGCAACTGTAAAAAAAAACTTTAAAAAGAAAGTTTATTAATCGGTCTGAATTACAAAATAGTGGAAAAAACGTCATTAATCAATCTCAAGACAATGAGATATTATTTCCCAGAACTTAAAAACCCTTTTTACATGTCATTTTGGCAAATTTTTGTAAGTCAACCCCGCCACCTGGACAAATGGACCTGCCCATTGGAGCCAAAGAGTTGATAATTCGATATGTGACAAAAGTAATAATTTTCACTGGCACTGACGCTCCAATATTTCAACCAAAAATCTGGTACCTCCACTCGATCCACTCGACTTCAGTGTCGAGCTGTCCGAAGCAGGAACTATAGGGTTCTGTGGCGGCCTGAAGCGCCGCCGACATCGTCATCCGACTGCCTTTTTCGGCGCCTTCGTGAATTCGGACGTCATGTACTTCTACAATTTTTTTTTCTGTTTTTTATCATCTTGAAGTAGAATCTCACTATGACCGTTTGATAGATCGGAAACTACTACGTTTTCAAAAAATTGTTTTCATAAATTGTTGAATTTTTCAAAAGTTTGTGAACGTTTTTCGCTAAGTAAGTTTTACACCTGTTGCTTATCAATAACACAGAAAAATGATTAAAGAATCACATTTCGCGACAAGTTTGCTGCTTGCGTACCTAGCACTCGATTTGACGACACTTTTTTAATTTTTTTTTATTAATTTTTGTTTTTTGAATACTATGCTCACGCGTGCTTTTTTCATACTACTTCTCGCGCAACCGTCAAAAAGTGTTGAGAAGCGAAGCGAAACTTGGCGAGTCGCGCTTCTTCTGATGCATGGCTGATAAGAGCGACACGCGATCGGATGCCCTGCGGCAAAAGTCGCGTGCGAGGTGCGATTTCAGGAAAGCAGAGATAGCGAGGAAAAAAAAGGCCTCTCTAAATATTAATAGCTACGTCAGAAGGTTGCGTACTTTTTGAAGCACCCTTTTCGGGACAATGTTTCCGAGTTGTTCTTTTCAAAAACGACGAACCTTCTGCTTTGGTAGTGCACGCGAAGGCCAGAAAAATGTAGATTTGGACCCGGAACATTCCCATCTTCACATTCAGAACTGAAAAGTTAGAACTTTTTTAAAAAATGACCTCACAGAAAATTTTAAAACAAGAGAAAATAGTTTTTAAACGACCGGAGTTCAATAAAAGGGGGTTTTTGCGAATTTGCTTGAAAATATGTCTGTCAACTTCGAAAATTGCTAAAGCCTACAGGAACGGAATTAAAAGAAGATATTTTTCAGGCTAATGCGGTAAATAATTCTCCTGGGAACGTCGCCCTGCCTTTTTTCCTACGCGACAAGGTTTTTTACTGCAGAAATGGAATCTCTTTTTTTGCGTTACAAAACGTGGGATTCTTTGGCAAATGGACATCCACTTGGACGTTTTTACGAGGCCGCGGAGGAAATATAGTGGGTCGCTGAGTGAATTTTGATAGGCTGATGGGCAGTATGCACGGAAAGTTTTTTTTTTGTTTTGAAGTTGGAAGAATTGGGGAAGCAAGAGAGGTTGCGATGTCACAAAAAATTAAATGAATTTCGATAAAATTCTTTCAATAAATCAGTACTAATTGATAGAAAAAAATAACTGAAAAAAATAAAAAGAGAACCTAAAAATTATTTTTTTCAGCCGAAAAAGCAAGAGGAGGTACTAGATTTTTTTGGGATATCAAATTTTTTTAGATCAAAAAAATAGATACATCGACTATTTTTAATTTAGTAAATCTGTCTTACTCACATTTCACAAACCTAAAAATCTCGTTTTTAATAATTATCAAGGCTTTCGTTCAAAAAAATCAAGTAAAAAGTTTTCATTTTCACATTTTGCCACTGTCCCGACCACAGAAAAAAAAAAGTTGAAAAAAAGTTTTGAAACTTAAGTTTTTCAAAGGAACCAAGAAAACCTAACGAACTTTTTCCGAGTAACCAGACAAGAAAAACTGCAAAAAGGGAGTTTTTTTCTGCGGAAAACAATACGGAAAGGGGGAATTCTTGTTGCGCGAGAGCCGTTGTTCTCCTCCTTCTGAATCGGAAAAAGAGTGGGAGGGCACAAATCAAATGAAAGAACTCTCGTTGGAAGTTGGAGAAGAGCTGCTGCAAAAAGTGAACCGCAAAAAGAGTACTTTTATATTGTTTTTAAAATGAAAATATCGAAAATCTTCTCAAAAACATTAAAAACTTCTTTAGAAAAGCTTTCAAAGCGCTCAGACAGTTTCCAACAATAAACGGGTCTTGAAGCTATGCTCCTTTAAACAGGCTTTTTTGAACAGAATATAAAGATCTGAGGTAGGAAAAACGTGGAAATAGGATAATCTGATGAGGTTCAAGTGAAAAGCAATGGTGGAGGCTTCGGAAAAGACACGGGGCGGTCGCAGATTGAGCCTTGGCCCCGCCCCCTTCCGTTCGCACCTCCTCATCTCAAAAAGGACAACACATGGGCCGGAAACACCTCGTTTTGTGTGTTTCGTTTTCTAGAATATTTTGAAGCATGCTTGACTTTCTAGAAAATGAAAAATGAAGCTCGAAGTTTAATACAAAAATCTACCAAATTTTTTTAAAAGTGGATTTTTAAAACAAGACAAAAGTCTAAAAAACAAATTGCATTTCTGAAGATGTAGCTCAACATTAACGATTATTATTGTGATTGAAAATTTCGATTTTATGGTCTAAAATGATTTTAAAAAAAAACAACAGTTGATAATGAAAACAACGAGAACGTAAGCTATTGAATATATGAGAAAAAGTATCTTTAGAATTCCTCGTGACTTACATTAAAATGATTTGCATAGAATATTCAACGAGGATTTTTTTCAAGGAAAATTTGAACTTGAAAAAAAAGACCTCCTCAGTTGCAGGGGGTGGGGAAAAAAGAACGTTGCGGTTAATGAGACATTTCCTCAAGGGCTTAGTGTTACGAGGCTTTTTTTCTTGAATGTCGCGCAGACAACTTCAAAAGATTTGTCGTATTTCATTGCTACTATTTTCAGAAAAAAGGATAAAGCTGGAAAAGGTATGCGATGAGGAAATTAGTATAGTATGTAGGGACCGCAGGCCAATTTCCAAAGTCAGTGATATAAAGTTGAAACCTATATGAAAAGAAAGCTGATGGCAATCGAGAGCTAACTGCGAAAAACAGAAAAGAAAAAAATATGAAAAAAATGAAAAAGTTATAAGCAAAAAGTGGCGAAATCGGGGAACCACTTTTTGTGTAGAAACTTTCGTCAGGGTCGCAGGAAAAGGGGCGTGTTTATAGATGCCGCGCGCTCCTTGCTGTGCCTTAATTCACGCAGGAGACGTTTCGAAAACATGTTTTTTTGAGTTTTTTTAAAAAGTTTTTTTAATGAAATATTAGAGTTTTTCATAGTGAATATTGCTCTTTTTTTCAATATGAGCCTACTCTTCAAGCACTCACGCTGCTGAAAAGCGAGTTTTGAAGAAGGTTTCAATGCATTTCGTGAAAAAAGAAAATAACCGACAAAATAAACCTCTGCGAAGGACGAACAGCATTAAACCGAATTGAAAATGTAACAGTCTACTAAGAAATTTACTGAAAAATATGTAAATAATCACCAAGTCATTTTTCAGAGAGTCTTTTTAAAAAAAAAGGGCGAAAGCGTTTTTACTTTTGATTTTCTACTTCTTTTATTTTTCTCTAAAGTTTGTGCGTCTACATGGAGTGTACGTAGACAATTTTTTAGAATTCTTTACTTGACATTCTGTAAAAATTTAAAAAAAGTTGAGTAAAAGCGAAATTTAATACTTTTCTCGCTGCTATAATGGATATAATGATATAGGAAAAAGATTCCAATTATGAAATGAGTAAAAAAAGCAACTATAAAGCCACAATAAAATGAGAAAACTTGAATAGAATACATAAATAGTTTTAAAAACCTTCTTCACGCTTTCGAAAAAAATTTCGTGGCCTTCGCGGTGTCTGCAGATTTCCAGCGACGCGCAGTTTTAAAAAAATAACTTTCGAGCGTTTAAATTAACCATACTTTTCGGGCCATCCTAGGAATTTTTTTATTTTTTTGATATGTTGTAGAGAAATGTCTAATGTTTGATATTATAAAATAAAAAAACTTGCCCAGAACGCTTTGGGCCGTTTTCAAAGCGTTACGAAAAAAACGGAAATTTTAAGCTTTCATATAAACTATATAATCGATGAAAAAAACTTAGTTTTCTATTTTTTTAAAATTTGCAAACAACTGCAAACAATCGTTTAAAAAAATATAATCAGTAATTATCGATTGCGTTTTTTTCGAAAAATAAGGAATTTCGAAAATCGTGATTTTTCAAATTGCGTTATTTTTTTGAGGCCAACCATAGAATTTTTTTATTTTTTTGCCAGAATATGCGTTTTTCAGTTGCTTTATGATATTCAAGAATAAAAAAAGTTGCCCAGAAACTTTCAAGAAAAAAACGGGATTTTTTTATCCGTTTTCGGCCACAAATGCGTTTTTAAAAAAACTGTCGTCGTACATTCTTATTTCTCATTTTTTTCAGTATTTTCTTTTTATGTAGGATTGTTAAGCATAGCCGATTGTATGTTTCCCCAATTTTTTTCCCAAATCGGTACAAGAAAACTGTTTTTAAAAATATAAAAAAAGAACCAAAAATGCAACGAAAATGACGAAGTTTTTTTGAACAGCGAAGTGGGCGTGGCTCTGCGGTCCCCTAATAGTATGCTTTGCGGAAATGGATAAGTGAGTCTAAAAAGGAGAAATTTCGCAGATCGATTTTAAAAAAATATGGTTTTCTTTTTGTGAATAACGAGCAACTAATTCTTTCTGAGCGATATATCTCAAATTAAAGATTTGAGTACACTTATAAGAAGAAAGAAAAATGAATGAAAACAAAAGAAAATAATTGCTCACTAGGGAATGATCTCAGCTCACTGTGGGACTTCTAAATGGGACCTCCAGCCGTATTTTTTACGTCTAATATGAATCTGAGCTCAGAAGTTGTAAAGAAAGTCTGCGAATAAACACTCAAAGTTGAAAAAAAAACCGTTTCGGATTTTCCATAACTAATGTTTTTGAGTTAATTTCGAGTATGAAACGGAAAATATAGAAAATTCCACTTCCAAACACCTGTTTTCTCCTTTCCTTACGCTCAGTTGCACTTGAAGGAAAAAAATCGAGCCTCCAGGGTCCAGTATAACATAACTGCCCTTCGTAAAATAAGAAAAAATGGCTCGTAAGGGCCAATTATCCGTGAATTTAATGCACTTCGAGCAGCTAGCAATTTCTGATTACATCCCAAGTATTTCCTCGTTTTTGAAAAGAAAGAAAAATAAGGAAAATGACGTAGAAAGACGATCAAGTTTGAAAATTGTGGAATGATCCGATTGGGAAGTGGGCGTGGCCTGTCAGAAAAGATTACTCGGAAGACTCGAAATGGCCGTGCGGGGACTGGTAAAGTGGTTGAGATCGCGCGGCTCTGAATATACGGAATCTCATAAATAAATAAAAAAAGCTGTGATGGTCAGAATCGTATAAGTTTTTCTGAAGAAGGCTTTTTTTACGTTTTGATTATTTTGAAGATTCTAAAAAAAATCTCCGAAGCTGCTTGTTTGATTATTCTGTGAAATTTTTTTAGTCGAAGTTATAACGAAAAAAAGACCCAAAAAAACTTGATAAAATAGAAAAACCAAGTTTGAACGCTAAATTTAGTACTACATTCCCGTAATAACTTTCTTGTGAAATTTTTTTCTCCACTTTTTCCCAAAAAAACTTGATATTGCGCACAGTAAACTAGAAACCATACGCTATAAAACCACACAAAGTTCAAAATCGAGAAAAATGTTGAATTTTCGGATCGAGTTTTGGAAAAATGGTACAAATCGAGTTTTTTTGAGGTTGATAATTTTGAGTTTTTTGGATTTCTAACGCCATTTTTGGCCAGATACCCTTTGTTTAAGAAGTTTGGATTTTTGAAAATTTTAAACAGTAGAAACGAAAATTTCTATGGGAAATAATAAAAGTGAAGAATCTAGAGAAAAATTCAGACAGGAGACTTTCCTGAACTCGAAATTGAACA